CCCCCCCCTTTGGTACTTGTTGCCGTGATACCCTGGATATCTTGGTTGTTTTTTAAACGTATCTCCTGTGTTTTATATTCCCTTTGTTATGGATCGGTGGATATACTAGATGGATAAGATGGGATGGACTTGATAAAAAAACCCTTTATAAAATTTATGAGGCAATGTATTATTTTATGATTCACTTCTTTTTTCTTCCGTTGTACATGTGCATGTGTAGCCGTGTCAATCACTAGCCTTGGGATATTCAGGGTTATGGTTGGTTTACTTTGGTTTAGTCTTGTCTTAGATTTTATCACGCGGGGACGATGATCGTGTCGATGAGCTCGGTGAATCCTCGGCAAAAGGGGTATGATCATGTCTCATCGCGATGTTTTTGGTGAATCTGGCACCGGATCGGGCAGAATAGATATAGCCTGCGTGACTTTTGGATCGAGTCGCACGAGGCATGTCGGTTCCTTGGGTTTGGTAGATTGGGAATGAAACGGGACTAATGAAAGGCACTCGAATCCAGGGGAATCAACCTATGGAGACTTGGAGAGTATGTGTCCAAGCTAGAGACCGTATAGATGAACGGAAATGTGTGCAAGAAGGATTGTAATTTGCCCGAGAGAATATCCCAAAAACGGGTGTAGATGAAACCCATATATTCCTTCCCATCCTATTCTCATCCTTGAAACCAATTTAAACCAGACCGAACCGTATATCTATACCAATATCCATATCGACATCCATAAGCAAATCCTTGTATATTAACCCCAACCATTCATAAATCATCAATATCATACCCAGTCTCCACCTCCTCACCCCCCAAACTCATCACTCGTCAAGCACCCCCCTCGCCAAAGCCGCCAGACTAGTCTCATACCTCGCCGGATTATGATCACTCAACATGCCCGACGCAAATCTCAACTCCCCAAAGAACGCATCCACATCCCTGACAAACCTCATCTGCACCCTCGTCGCCGGCCTCCCCAGTCTCGGATACCCATCCGTACCAAACTCGGGAACGGCCGTAAACGCCTCCCGTTGCAAAACGCGCATAGTCTCGACCACAAAAACCTCACCGGGAGGCATCAGTTTGGGGGCACGCATTTCATCACGTAACAGGCCGAGCGTTCTCCACGCCCACCCGTCCTCGCCGACGCCGTCGCCGGCGTGGAGCACGTGGGGTGGTTGGTTCACGTAGAATTTGTGGATGATGCTTTGACGGAGACTTTCGTGGAGGCGTTGGCGGACGTGCGACTTTGCGCCGGAGATGTCACTTTTGAAGAGCGAGGCGGCGGTGTGCATGTCGTGGAGGATGCCGAGGGAAAGGCTGGGGACGATGTCGGAGCCGTTGACAATGGTTGTGATGAGGCCGCGCGTGGCGAGGCGGAGGAACGGGGACATTACGGCTGGGGGACCGTAGGCGTAGACATGGATCGGGCGGCCGGGGGGTAGATCGTAGGACGGGGGTGTATCTGCTGGAGAAGAGGATGCGCCGTTACTCGTCTCACTGTCGACGGTGATGAGGCGCGGCTGGGGACGTTGTTGATAGGATTGTTGATAGGATGCCGTCACGAAGGATGTACCCGTGAGAGCACTGCTGGGCTCGGCGATCATCGTTGCTAGCAAGGCCGCAACACCTCCACCGAGGGAGTGGCCGCAGAGGACGACGCCGTAATCTTGAAACTCCTCCAGCGCGGCGCGCAAAGTAATCATCACTCGGCCGCCGCCACCCTCAAGCAGTCTCTTGGCCGAGGCGTGCATGCCCTTGTGCACCTTCCAATTCTTGCCTTGCCATTCTAGATCGTCGTAGTCGCAGGTCATATCGGTGAGGATATCCTCGAAGCCCCAGGTTCCTCGAAGTGTCAGGACGACTGCCTTGGACTCGTGGTCGATTGAGAGATAGTGCACGAGTGGGAATCCGGTCTCCGTCTCACCGGCGGCATTCGTACCTCCCGCAGGATCAACGAACGAGGAAAGTAAGATCGTCGATGGCGGAAGCCCGGCATAATCTGAAAATGCGCTGTGTTCATGGCTATCTAACAAAGCCGCAGGAAGGCCATTCGTGCCCTTGGGCACACCCATGACTTTGAGTGCGTTAGCCCCATAAGAAGCAGACGAGAAGCGACAGAAACGACGGATGTTCTGAACAAAGTGTCTCTCGGGGAAGATTCCCGGGACTAGACCATCCCGATTCAATGCTTGGATGGTACTGATATCCTCATATGCACTTTTGCGAGGCCGATGCGCTAACAAGAGGGAGGTTTCTGAGCCTGCCGTTGCAACCGAGTACATACTGGGAGTATATGACTTGGATCGTCTATGTCGCGCCGAGGAGCTGGGCCGGTGGTCATTCACAGAGACAGTACCATCTGCCTCCGATCTTGTTAAAGACATGGAGCTGCTGCTGCGAACATGGGTCCTCGCCGTGACCGGTGATCCCGGACGTAAGTCGGCATTGCGGCGTGAGAAGGTGTCTGTATGGGTCAAAAGGGACTCTTGACTCTTCTCACGCATGACAAAGTATCCCGCTCGGGAGCTACTTCGGTCGGGGATATTGCGAGGAGGAATATGTCGAGGATGCGCTCTGGGTGATTGAGGTGATTGGGGAGAGTGGGGGTACGGTGACCTGCGCAAGCCTCTATTCGGAGCCGGGGTGCTGGGTCGATAGTCAACTGCTTCTGTATGTCGACGCTTGGGGTCTGGCTGGCCAGAAGACTCGCGCGCAGTGGCTTCTCTGACAGATGCTGCGCCCTTGGTTGGCCTTGCTGGTAAGCGTGGATTTGGAACACTTAGCGAGCCAGGGGTTTTGAGGGCTGCCTTCTTAGGTTGCGCACGCTTGGTGGTCTCAGAACTCTCTGTCGGCCCATTGGACTTGACCTTTCTCGCCAATTTTGTGAACGAACCTTTCCCGAATCCAGATTTCTGGCTTTGATCACTCGTAGATCCAGGGCTAACAGGATCTTGTCGTGCCATTGTAACTTCTTTTGCAGAGTCTGAAAGCGAATTTGCTCGGCCATCCTGGGCTCTGCCATGTCCATTTGACACCGAGCTTACAGGCAGAGCTCTTGGACGTTGCGTCTCCGTCGGACTGGGAACACGTGAACCGTTGTGAGGACGTAGCTCTGTGCTTTGCGACTTGTTGAAAGCGGTCCGAAACACGACTGTATGTTTCGGAAGTCGCTGGTACTCTGGCACCGCTGTGTTATTGTACGCATGATCATGATGGAATCTCTCTTCGATCATCGTCGTGCCCGGAGGTGCAGCAATTTCAGCCATATCGTCATCGAATATGTCCACCGTGATCGTGCGCGCAGTAAGGACTTCCGATTTGATAGTAGCGTGACAACCTGGGGGCAATTGACTCATGATATAAGACCGAATATCTTCATCCGATACTTGCTGTTGACCATCCAACTGGAGCGACAGTCGAGAGCCGGGAAAGGCTTCTGGAATGCTTGCTCGTCGTTGAACCGCATCAAAAGACTCATCGCCGTGACCCGGCATCACGAAAGATGCACCCTCGGGCTCGATCAATTCTTTCTGATTTCCATCTGGGAATTGTACTTGATGCGTGCCCACAACATCGGCTCTGAGGCCACTGTCCAAGATTACGGTATCCCACACTACTTCGTCGCCACCTTTTTGGCGGAGAGTACGTTCGGTGTTCTTCTTTCCCCAGCGCTGTAGCAAGGCAAATCCAACAGAGCCGAAGAAGAGGTCTCCAACGCCAATCTTCTCGCTACTGGCCCCGGTATCGACGGATCGGAACTCGCGTCGGATGAGCGTGATAATAGCCGCGATGGCCCTAGACGACTCGGTGGATCCAAGGATCGCGTCGAGAGTTGATAGCAGAGCCTGCGAGAAATTGGCAACCGATGCCAGCGTCGTGGATGAGAAATGGAAGGATGCAGCGGCAAAGAACGAGGCCGACGTCACGGTTGTATGTAGAGTTGCCAACTGGAACAGAAATTAGTATTTTGCATATCAAAACGGCCCAAGAGGGGGATTTCTAGATCACATACACTTCGCTCCAGCAAGGATTCCGCCTCTCTCCGGCCATGTTCATCGCCACTGCGAAACGCAACGTCTCTACCGGCTCTAGTTAGAATACCTTCGATCACGGCACGCCCCAGTTCTAGACCCGTCAACGTCGTTGCCCGCGCTCCATCCAAGGCCACACCACCAAAGAAGGTGCCGACTCTCAATGACAACGAAGTCGATTGAGTGAGAAGCGAAACCAGTGATGCGACTGGTCGAGGTAGCAAAGTGGTGCCAGAAGTTGCGGGTACATGGCTCGCGTTTGTCTCCAAGCTAAATTGTCCATCTTTCTCGTTCGGTGGGTCCCGTTCAGGTTCAATAGTCTTTGCAAACATCGTGAGCCATGAGGTTTATGTACAGTATTGGATCGTGCCAGGTCTATGTCTAGGAGAAGGAGAAGAAGAATGGATCGAGTGATCTTGCCCTGGTTATCAGGTTCCCGACCCTGGATTTGCCCCTCGATTGGCCAACTGGCGGGCGTGGCTGATTCGCGCCTTGTGCCTGACCCTGATTGACATGTGATTCCCAACGAACGCGTCGTTGGGATGACGTCGAGGGACCTAGAATGCGTGTTACTTTACCTTTCCGGGTTGAATCGTGCTTGAAGAATAGTGAGTAAATGTAATAGTGAAATGCTGGAAAAGTCCACTACGGACATGGTGTACAACAGCACGCGAGTAAGTACTGGGCACTCATGCGTGATCAATCTACATCATCGCCTTGACATCGCCTGCATGCTGCACCCTGCGAATCACCGTCCGGTCGCACTCGGCGACCGTGCGGATCCCCGCTAGGCCCATGCTCTGCCAAAGATCTGCCAGTAGGCCCTTGAACACCTGCTTTGCACCATTACGACCGTCGATCCCCAAGCCATAGATCACTGGTCGGCCGACCAGTACGGCCTTGGCGCCGAGTGCAAGCGCTTTGATGATATCCACGCCCGTTCGTACTCCGGAGTCGAAAAGTACCGTCATTTGATCACCGACCGCATCGACAATCTCTGGGAGGACGTCCAAAGATCCGACGGCACCGTCGAGTTGACGACCTGCAAGACCATGTAAGTTTTGCTCGTTCCTATCCCGTTCTATCCGGATTACGGGTTACGTACCGCCATGATTGGAGACCACCACTCCATTGCACCCATATTTCAGTGCCATCTTCGCATCCTCTACATGCTGGATGCCCTTCAAGACTATTGGACCGTCCCAGTGTTTCCGTATAAATGCCAACTCTTCCCAAGTATGCGGTCCGCCGGTGGCAATCTGACCAAGCCAGGCGCGCGATGCACCAAAGATATCTTCTTCGATCGGGCACCCGGCTTCTTTTTCAAATTTCTCTCGGAAGACCGGATCGCTAAATCCAACCTGGCATCCAACGCCCTTCAGGAAAGGCACGTAGGCGCTATCCAGATCCGCCGGGCGCCACGCCAAAGACCAAGTGTCTAGCGTGACGACCAGCACCGAGAACCCGCTCGCTTTGACCCGTTTCAAAAGCGAGAGGGTGATGTCGTTATCCTGCGGCCAGTATAGCTGATACCATCGATTGCCATCGTTGCTTGCTGCGGCCACTTCTTCAATGGTGCTCGTGGCGGCCGTACTCATGATATAGGGCACGCCGACTTCCTCGCAGACCTGTGCCAGGCCCGTTTCTTTATCCTCGTGGAAAATGCCTTGCACACCGACGGGTGCCATGATGAGCGGGCTATCGTATTTCTGCCCAAACAGTTCAACGGAAACGTCCTGACCGTCCATCTAGTAGTCTCGCGACGGTTAGTCAAATTATACAGAATAGGTAAGTAGGAGAAAAGACCAACGCTGCGCAGCATTCGCGGGATTCTATGCTAATTGATTAGCCCATACTTCTCCCAAAGAGAATCTCCAAACATACAACTTCCACTGTCGAAAGGCCAATCGATTGCTGTCCATCGTCGCCTTCTCACCCGCACCGCCAGCAACGTAATTGAACGGCCGCTCTCCAAGCACCTTTCGCGCCTGTTCCTCCAATAGTCGAGGATCCGTCGTAACACTCGGCAGGATACCCATCATGGCACCCTTGCCATAGATTTCGCTTTGATAACTGCCGTAGTTCTCGTCAGACATTGCCGGCAATTGATATGTAAAGTTGGATAGGTATTCAAGGTGGTCAGCATCGCAAAGCTGGGGAAATATCCCCATGCCCCGGATGGGTAAAACGTCGAGTGGGGTCGCGCTATGAACCTCGGCCGTGGCGAGTCTCCCCCGAAGGGCCGAGCGTCTAACCTGATGGATATATGCGACCGTCTCATTCCATGGATTGGCTCTATATTTGCATAATGTATCTGGTTATCAAATCCGTTTGTGACTACTTCCATGGAGTGCAAAAGGGATCTTTGGCTACGGTCGCAACGACCCGAATCTGCAGGCAGGTTCTGAGATTTAATAGTCTCGTCGATCCCTGCAGTGAATCATCCTCAGTGCGACAGGGATACCCAGCCTAAACTTCACCGAAAACCCAATGGCAAAGGCCATGTTGAATTTGGAACGTGGATGACCCAATGCTTCAAGAGCATTCATCGTTCATCTTTCCCATAGACCCTTTCTCTATCGCCCGATAGACCCTCCCCGACAGGCGATCTCCCTGTCTTGGCGCTTGGCAACCTTAACCTTGGGAATCCCCGACCACCAGCAAACTTTTTTTTTCTTCGATATACTCTAATTTCGGAGCCCATCGAATCTCTCCCGGCTGGCGATTGCCTTTTGGCTGAAGACTTTGCCCGTCGTGTACTCCGTATAAGTACACCTGCCAAAGGCCAGCTATCGCATCGCGCCAGGGATGGAGGAGCACGACGAATCGAAGGCGGAAATGGCCCCCGTGAAGCCTGTCAAGGCTGATCCGGAGCTGGCGGATGAGACCAGTTTGGTGCCCACCCTCGAGGAGGAGAAGATGGAGCGCAATTTGATTTGGAAAATTGATTTGTATATCCTGCCTTTCGTTGTACTGTTGTATTTGTTTTCGTTCCTTGATCGAGGTATGTTGGCCCACTTTTTCATTCTGACTCATGGGGGCATCATGATTTCAAGTAAAGACCGGATACTGAACAGTGGCAGTAAACATTGGAAATGCACGGCTATACGGTCTGGAAGAAGATTTGGGTCTAGTCGGGGACCAATACCAAATTGCGGTGTCGATTTTATTCGTCACTTATTGTGTACGTTCATGTCTAATCCTTCAAAACTATCGTTGCGATTTACTAAACTCTCTATCTAGTTCTTCGAGGTGCCTTCCAATCTGGTAATCAAGAAATTGAGACCGTCTCGATACATTGCAGCAATCTCCGTGATATGGGGTATCATCGCAACCCTCACGGGCATCTGCCAAAGCTACGGCGGTCTCCTTGCCTGCCGTATTCTTCTGGGTGTCGTGGAGGCAGGACTCTTTCCAGGCTTAATGACCTATCTCACCCTCTTCTACAGTAAAAGGGAGATCGCCCTACGAACCGGTTACCTGTTCAGCAGTGCTGCTATTGCGGGTGCTTTTGGTGGTCTTCTTGCATACGGGATTGGGTTCATGGATGGCATTGCTGGGCTGCGTGGTTGGCGCTGGATCATGATTCTCGAAGGCATTCCCACCGTTATCTTGGGCGTGGCCACCTGGTTCTTCCTGGCAGATGACCCGGACACCGCATACTATCTCAACGAAGAAGAGCGGGCACTCGTCGTCCGTCGGCGAAGTCGCTACATCGGCCAGACAGCGTCTGCTCAAAAGTTCCACTGGGCGGATGTCAAAGAGGGCGCGCTCGATTGGAAGATCTATGCCTTTTGTATCGGTCAATTTGGCGTGGATACCATGCTCTATGGCTATAGCACATTCCTGCCGACCATCATCAAAGGAATGGGCAAATGGTCCACGCCCGAGGTCCAAGCTTTGACAATTCCATGCTACGGCCTCGGCGCTATCGTCTACCTCGGTGTGGCCTGGTTGAGTGATCGGACTCAGCACCGCGCACTTTTCATTTGTCTCTTTAGCGCCATTTCGGTCATTGGTTACGGGATCTTGATCTCAGATTCCTCGTCGGGAGTACACTATTTCGGCGCCCTACTCGTCGCACTGGGTCTCTACGTTACAGTCGGCCTCCCACTGGCCTGGCTACCAACCAACCTACCCCGATACGGCAAACGTACCTTCGCCACAGGGCTGCAACTCACATTCGGCAATATCAGTGGTGTCATGTCTCCGTTCTTGTACAAGAACTCAGAGGGGCCACGCTTCGTGCGTGGAAATGCTGTTACTCTGGGATTGGTGGGATTCGCTGGGGTGCTCTATGGTGTGATGTGGTTCTGCCTGGGTGCGATTAACAAACGTCGTGCCCGCGGTCTGGAAGATGAGAAAATTGCCTCTTTGTCCGAGGCAGAGATTCAAGAGCTTGGTGATCGCAATCCTCGATTCCGGTATAGTACTTGATGGGAAAGGTGAGAAGGTGGAAAGATAAATGATTGGACGCGACATGCATTGCATATTAGACCTAGAGATCTAGATAACCGCTTGGTATAGACAAGACCGCGAAAAGCGTGAAGTTTTAAAGAACGAAATCCAGGTCATTGATATACTTGAATCAAAGTGCAATCTTCATACATTACATACGGCTTCAGTTTTCATGACTGTTCTCGATGATCAATCTGCAACTCGGCCTTGGCGCAAAATTGGCTGGGATGAAGATCACCCACCTTCCTTCCTCCCGCACCCACGCGCCTTGCATCGCCAGCGAGTGCCAGAAGCTCAAATTTTAGCTTCTACAATTATGGCCTTCTTATATTCCCTAGTAAAGGTCATATATCCCTTGTTGGTGATCCTTGCGGCCGTGTTGCTTTACAGCTATGGACCAGAGCACTCCTTGACGACCCTCGTATCGCCAGTGACCCACCACACGCCCACATCTCCATATGCTGCAAGCTGGAGGTCATGGTTTCATCCGCTCCAATCACAATTAGGCTATGCACCTACATCCCTGAAAAAAGATTGGAATGTTCTGCATCACCTTGGGGGCAATGGGCCTTGGGTCGAAATGTTGGATGAAGGCAGCCGGACACCAGATTTGGCGCCGTCACCGGGCTGTTCAATCGATCAGGTGCATATGGTACGGAACTTGAATAATATCAATGGCAAAGAAGAATCACTGCTAATGAGCTGTAGATGTCGCGGCACGCAGAGAGATACCCCACGCCGCTTGTTGGCTATCGTGAGCTTCCTCAGCCCCCGACAAGCTGACCTGAGTAGTCGTTGACCTCTCAACTAGGGCATCTAAAGTTCTTGGAGCGCGCCAGGTTACTTGAACTACCTTTCAACGGCTCACTCGAATTCCTGAACGAATGGACCTACTTTACTGACAACCCCGAACGGGATTTCGGCCAGTTGACTAGTACAGGCCCCTACGCTGGCACACTAGGTGCTTTTACCACTGGTGTGCGCTTTCGCACGCGGTATGGTGAAATATTACCGAAAGACAATACAATCCGATTCTGGGCCAGTGACTCGGAGCGCGTCATTGAATCGGCCCGCTACTTCGCCTCCGGGTTATTCGGTCTTAACTGGGAAAGCAGAGACAAGGCTGTACTAGAGATCATCCCGGAGACATTTGAGCGAGGAGCAGACACTCTGACGCCAGGTGATACCTGCCAAAGATATCTCGAGGACACCACAGATGGCCATGATAATGGCGATACAATGCTGAGGCACTATCAAGATGTGTATACCCCCGCAATTGCTGCGCGGTTGACCAGCGAGAATCCAGCTTTAGGCAGCCTGCTTAATACGGAAGTATACGCCATGCAGGAGATGTGTGGCTTTGAGACCATGGTCCGTGGATCGAGTCCCTGGTGTGATGTTTTCACCGAGGAGGACTGGCTCCATTTCGAGTACGCCCGCGACATCAAGCATTACTATGGGTCTGGGCCGGGGAATCCATATGCTGGAGCAATGGGATGGCTCTGGTTGAACGCCACAGCAACACTCTTAAAGGCTGGACCAGAAGCTGGGCCGATGTTCTTAAGCTTGTGAGAGACCATTCCCTGATTTTGGAACATGAAAGCCGTTGGACTGACAAGTCACAGTGTACATGATGGCGATATTTCACCGCTACTTGCAGCCCTTGATCTTTTCAAGGACCCACGCAATACTCCCCTTCCGCTCACATACCCTCCAGCAGATCGCTCCTGGAAGACGTCCACTATTCTCCCTATGGGCGCTAGGATTACATTCGAGCGGATGACTTGCCCAACTGAGGATGACAGGGATGACGAGGTATACGTCCGCATCAACGTTAATGATCGGATCGTACAACTACCGGGCTGTGTGGCGGATCCAGGGCATACCTGCTCTTTGGATAGTTTTCTTCAATATGTGAATTTCAGGAGGGAGGAAGTAGGTGATTTTGGCGAGGTGTGTGGACTGGAAGGGCATGCCGGGAAAATCACTTTCTTGCATCAGGATCGAGATTAGTTTTGATATTGAATCAAGCTACACCTATGACAATCGGAAACATAGGTAGCTCGTCATAAGATATTTCGATCACTAATATGTGTCTTACCACATCCTTTCTAAGCTTGCTTCCCAGGTCGTCAGAGCCATAGGAATATTATAGATGGCGAGAGCAGCAACCCAATGTACTCGAGCTTCCTCGAGATAAATTCAATTACTCTGTTATCAGATATCAATTGTTCCTGAAATTCATGGTGTTTTTCTCAAAGTAGTAACTTTTACCAAGGAATGACAAGGCAGCTGCCATCACAAGGAAGCTGATACTGGTGGCGCCCACGTGACCTGTATCCCGGCGAACCAGCTGTGTTTACCAAAAAAGTTTCCTTCCCACGACCACCTTAACGACTCGCGCTCTGCACCCCTCGAAGTGAAACGTTGAGCCTTTAACTACCCACATCAAAATATACAATCAACTGCATCTACATATCCTACAGAGCCCTCACAGCATCAAAGTGGTCTTCATCCACCATGGAGTACCACGCCGTGCCGCCCGAGGAGCGCGCAAGAGATGAGAATGGCAACCTCCTTCCTTGGGGCTATGTTTACAAAGAGTGAGTGAAAGACCTACAAAGGCCTCTCCTTTCTAACTTCACATATGACTAACCTCCATGCCTAGTGAATCTCGCAACCCCCGCCGACCACCAGAGGAATCCGGACCCTTTGGCAAGAGGAGGAATGCCCGATACGAAGCCCGATCGCGAACACGCACCGGAACCCCAGCGAAGCGCGAGAACCCCAATGTCGCCGAGTTTGGCCGTCTCTTTGCCCAACAGCAAGAAGAAGAACGGCCAGTCGGTCTACCAAAATCGTCCTCCTCCGGCAGCCTCGACGGCGCGCGCAAGCAGACCGAGAAAGTGGCGACCGAGTGTATTCTCTACGGGTACAAGGCGAAGGACGTGGAGTGGAAGGTGATTGATAAATACGAACGTATCTCTCAGGGTATGATCTGTGAAGACTACCCGCGCAACGACCCCAACTCTGCGAGCCAGTATGGCCAGCTGCTCAGTGGCGGCGACGTCGTCATTCGCGCGAATCTGTCCGCCGATGCAAACCGCAAGTCCAAACGCTACGCTGGTGGATATCACTGGATCAAGGTTACTTTCGACTCGACGCAGGCCGCCGATCGGGCCTGCTTCTACTCGCCGCAAGAAGTTGATGGGCACTTGGTCTTTTGCGAGCTGTACAATGGCCATGGACCGGCCGAGGACAGTGCCATTCCCACCGACTCTGCAGCTGGTGCTAAGCTGCGCAATAAATCCACGCGCACCCTCACATCCACCCACTCGTCCGCATTCCTCTCCGGCGCCAGCATGGACGCGCAACAATCCTCCTTCACGCTGCCCCGGTCCTTTGGAATGAATAACCTCTCTAGCGTGGCCGAGCCCGAAAAAGAACCGTCGTTCGACTCGTCGACTACGACTGCTACCTCCGGCACCGCAACCGCGACGGGGGTCTCTACCAGCTTCGGATCGTCGGTACACCAGCGCAGCATGGCTGGCGCAGAACCAAAGCCCGAATCCGATTTCATGACGCACATCCCCACCGTTCGCCGGACGAAGCTACGCCCGCTGACCGAAGCTCTCCCACCCGGGCCCACGATGACCGAGCGTGTACTCCGATCGATTCCTATACTTAGTTGGTTCACGGGCGATATTGTGGGCGATGGGCCGCAGTTGAAGGAGGACGGGACCTTTGACCATGACAAGTCTGGAGTGTACTGGCGGTTTTGGTGGATGCTGGATCAGTTGCTGGGTACGGACGTATGTGGACTGAGGGAGGAGTCTTGAACGATGATTGATTGAGGGGCCTTTTTTCGAAAGAGGTCTGGGCATCTTCAATACTCAATTCGTCAGGTCTACACAACTACATCCGGCTACAGAGGCTTCCGGTACCCAAAATCGCGAGCAGCGCCGGCTTGAAGCGGGGACGCTAGGTTACTCCGGAAGGGTGTCCGTGGAGAAACGAAGAGCTTGATGGGAGGACCAAGCATAGCATTCATTAGGCGTCGTGGTTTTCTTTTCGGTGTATGATAGTCCCGCCGGCATATTCATGTCGACGTTATGAACCGTCCTAAATGGGACTTTACGCTCTACCAGTTTATCATCGTAGACTCTGAGACGTGTAGAGTTATAGGACTGATAGGTTCAAGGGAAGTCTGCCCCGAGAGCATGCGACAGATACTACGTTACTATACGGGTTGGACCAAACCAAGCTCCCAAGCTCTAGTTACAGCTCAGCTCAGCTCAGCTCAAGTGGGCTTCTACAGCTACAGCTTCAGCCTCAGATTCCAGACAAAAGCAACCATCCGGTATACCCAAAACCCCCCCACCATCCCAAGGAAACCGGGAACCAAAAAATGGATTGAATACACTTCATTGGATCATCACCCCCAAATTTTAATATTTCAAAGAAATTCCAATCAAGTTACCGAGTACGGGAGACCGTCCCGCATCATGGAGCATCATCAAAGCATTGAAATGCCGAATTTGTTTTTCGAGTTATACCAAAGAAACATAATTTCAAGCTGCAGCTCTTTACTCGACCTTGCTCTCGAAGTTCTCACCCTCGACGAGGTCGGGGATATCATCCTCATCGTCATCCTTCTTGTCGCCCTGGGCCTTCTGCATGTTCTGGTAGGACTCGGCGAGCTTGCGGAGGGAGGCGAGGCTGTCGGGGCCCAGCTGGTTGAGGATGCCGGGGACGAGCTCGGTGAGCTCCTTCTCCTCACCGTGGCCGTAGAGGGCGAAGGTGTTGGAGGGGACGGAGGCGTGGACTGGATGAAAGGGTGGGTTGTTAGTAAAGCTGTTAGGGGAGAGAGAGAGCAAGGGGTGTGTTGGTGTGGAATTGATGTCGGTGGTGGAGAATAATATGGTATGGTCATGGTTTGGGGAAGTAGGCTAATGTAGGCCAAGGCTTGGGCCTTAGCAGGACGGACATACCGCGGGGGTTACCGAAGTGGATGACGTTGCCGTCCTCCTTGAACATGTTGACCTCCTCAATACCCTGGATGGGCTGGACGTTCAGCTTCTTGAGGGCGGTCTGGAGCTTCTTGTCGTCGGCATCAGCAGTCCGGTGGACCTTCTTGACCTTGCGGCGGGGAGTGCCCTTGCCTCTGTAAATGGGAGAACAAAGAGCTTGTTAGTCGGGGTTTCTTCCATAGATCAAGTGAGTGATGTATGCTGTCTGTGGTGGAATCGAGATTGTGGAGTCCACATCGGTCGGGGGTTTGAATTGTGCGAGTGGTGTGTAATATCTCAATCTTCAATCGTGGAGCGCGGAGCTCAATCTTCGAGATATTTTGGTATTGCTTTTCAATCGGCCGTGTCGGTGTTCGAGTATTGAGAATATCGCACAATTCTTCCCGTGGAATTTGGGGGAGGTGGGGGGATAATTCGAGGTTGAAACGGACGGAAGATTCAAGGACAGAATGATACATACCCTATCCAAGACAAGTTAGTAAATCCGTTGAATATGATCGCTAAATGCAAGGAACGGGTCTGGTTCGAAGTAGCTCAACCCGTTGATAGAGATTCAGGATAGACCCAAGCCCAGCGCAAGATCCCACGCGATCCCACTAAGCTAAGCTCCGACCTTGACATCCCTCCAACTCTCCCAAACGGGGAAACCACCACGGACCCAGATCCGCCTCGAAGACATAAAAATAAAAAGGTGTATATCACGTACCAATCCGCACGCTCTGCTGCATCTTAGCCAACTTGGCGTGATCCATCTTGTCGGGTATGAGGGGGGGGGGTATGGGAGGTAAATCTGGAGATTGGAGCACAGCGAACGTGTTAGCCGAAAGTGCCCGGGAAAGAGAAGATCGAGATCTCTGGAGGAATTCCGTATTCCCACGAGATTTGACGGCAACGAGAATGTGTCGCAGTAGGATCAGGGAGGTGGGTGGGCGTACCGGGTTGGGGGTAGAGGTGGTTGGTGGAGGGGTTGCGGTTGAAAGGCTTGAGGTTTGAAGGGAAGGTTGATGATGCGCATCCCGCGAGTTTTGTGTGGGGTCGAGCCCGGATGTGGTCTTCTGTTTCGCTAATGCGCTGCGGCCAGTTGGCACCACAGGTTGATCCTACAATGAACTACGCTATTCTACAGATTTTTGGTAATAAATATTGGATTGATTGGGGAATGTTTTGGTCTGGGAGCAGTCCTGATGCTGGACCTGGTGGTGATGGCGATTTGGTTGTGGGCAAAAGAGAAGGAGAGTTCGCTGCTCGGCTAAACCCTAACCGCGTTGCGACCCTCCGTAGATGGTACAAGACACCATTCTGGATAGCATCACATTAAAACCACCAGCGACACCCCCTCACTGGTGAACTACTAACCGATATTCGGCCGTTACCACGACTTTCCACCTTTTCCACCTCTTCACGGAAGTTGCCTATTTTCCTCCGTCGCCACAGGTTTCCTGTCCCACAGGGTAAAATACTTACGCCACGGATGCTTCTCCTCAAACCCCAACATCCGCTTAATCTTCGCATTACTCACCGGCGCCTCGAACTTCTCCAATCGCCGCTCAATTGGCGTCTGTGGGAAACGCGAGCGCAAGAATTCCTCCGTATGCTGCAGATTCGTGATCGTATCATTCGTCGCATTAAACACTTGGAATCCCAACCCGTCGGTCCGCAACGCCGCCTCGCACATGCCCCCCAGATCCCGCGCATCCGTATACGACCACCCGTGTACTTTCCATTGACTCGGTTCGTGGACGTAGCCGTAGAAGACGTCCCCGTTGTAGTCGTCCGGTCCGATGACGTGTCCGATGCGCAGGGTGTAGATGTCCGTGCCATAGCGGGCTGCAAATCCACGGGCGACGCGCTCGCCACAGAGCTTTGCGAGGGCGCAGGTATCTGTCGGATTGACGTCCTGGTCCTCTTCGATGGGGAAGGATGCGTAGTTGACGTCGCCTTGGCCGAAAGATACCCCATAGACGGTGATGCTGCTGGCGATAATCACCTTGCGAATTCCTAATTTGCAGGCCGCGTCGATGATATTGTACGTTCCCTGTGTATTGGCTCGAAAGGTCTCGTTATCGGGCACGATCATATTACGTGCGTAGCCTGCGAGGTGAATGACAACGTCCGGGCGAGGTGGTAGACCCTCCGGGAAGGGCTCGGACAGGAACCATTGGCCGGACAGAGCATTGAAGACTTGTCCGCTGTCGGTGAGTTCGGTCTGGAGAGTGTGTACGGCTGAATGGGTCATTGGCTTCAGATCCAGGTTGAGGATGGTGTGTCCGGCTTCGAGAAGCTCGGCGATGACAATTCCACCAGCTTTGCCGGAGCCGCCCGTGACGACGATGCGGCCCATGCTGCGTTCTTGGAGCCTGTGAGGAATTGCAGTGTTATTTCGGGGATTCTGGCCAAGTCAGAGGGCCTTGCTTTATTGAAGCTGACGCAGTTGTGCTGGGATCAGTCAAGACCATCGAGGGCTGTGGCTGAAATGGGCTATCATTATGATGACATTTATCGAGTTTGCCTCCTTCCGGCTATAGCGATAGTGTGGAGTGTATCAATTGCTGGAAAGAACCAGCGAGGTAGGTAAGCGTGGTAGGTTGCTGGTGAGAGGAAGTGTATGATGTGTGTGAAAGGGGTTTAAGCTTGGTCGTTCAATCTGGTAAAGTCCGACAGGCGAATGCCTGCACTGGGAAGCGACATCCATGGGGAATCCTTCTAGCAGCGATATCTGGAGGTTCATTCTGCAGGAGTAAGAACTTCTGTCAAGAATGGCAAATCCAAAGTGATATGGCCATGATGAAGATCAGTCTCACTTGTAGGTCTAGACACGCAGTCAATATTAGGCGGCGATGGCTGCTGGACGAGAGGAGGATGCGCGATTTAACTGTACCTTTGCGTGTAATAAGAAACCCAACAGACACAAGACACGAATTGAAGAATCAAAAGGAATCTTGTGTAGTATGAAATTCTACCTGCTGGGATATCCGGTCTTTGAAAGCTCCATGTTCCGGGCGATCCAGCGGGTCGGTTCTTCAGCCCTTCAGCCCTAGGGCCTCGATGAATTACGTATGGTCCACGATAGGCGCGATACAAAGTTAAAGACATAGGTATTGTCCATGATAATTCAATTGTAAATGCTGGAGAGGCATACAATCTAGTTGGCTAAACAATGCCATGACCTCGGATTCCGATCCACTACCCACAGTCTAGCGCAGCAGTAAGACGGGACCCGGCTAATGTTTACTGTCGGACTTATCTTGTGATCAGATCTACAACGCAGTCCAACATAATTCATGTGTGAGGGCTACCTCTAGCAGACCACCATTTCCCCTCTTCTCCTCAGATCTGCCAAGCTATCTCTTTAGCCCCGAAAATTTCATGCTGGCCCCGCATTGCCAACTCCAATCTTTGTTCTCGTGGCCTGTTCAGCTGCAAATGCGTACCAATAAGACTAGCGACTGAAACTAGCCGAATAGCCCCCTGCATGTACCATCGCAACTATTGCACGGATCCGATTACCTCTTGCTGGATCTCGCATTTATATAGACCTGTCATCGCCCAAGGATCCTTCGAAGCTGGTCTTTCCTGCATAGGCTGACACGACCAACCCCTCTTACCTGCTCTTGGATTGAATTATTTCTGCTCTGGGTTCCTCGTTTCCAGTTTTCGGCATACCTATACCAGTCTTATTGAGTATACCCTCGTGTGACTTGCACAATACACCATAACTCTTACACTATGCGGTTCTTGTGTCTACATGGTGCTAGCACCAACTCCGAGGTACGTCCCCCTCCAACCTAGGAATGACTCCATCTAACCTCAAGGCCAGATCTTCCAGATCCAAACAGGCGGTCTACGGCAACCCCTCGAACGAAATGGCCATCAATTCACCTTTCTCGATGGCAATCTCCCCTCCGGCGTTGAAGAGGGTATATCCCCCATTCTCTATTGCATAGGCTTCTTCTACAAGGGTGAAACTTGCCCACTAACTCCCTCCAGGCCTCGAAGGCGTCGTCGACGGCCCCTTCTACAACCACTACCCCCGCGACCCCGCCCTACCACGGGCCCATCTAGCCGAAGCATTCGAACACGTCCAGCGCACACTCGACACGGACGGCCCCTTCGACGCAGTAATGGGCTTCTCCCAAGGCGCCGCCCTAGCAGCAGCTCTCATCGCACACCACGCCAAGACGAACCCCACCGCACCGCCTCTCTTCCGCGCCGCCGTCTTTCTATGCGGTGGGTTGCCGTGGGAGAGCTCGGGCATGGCGCGTATTGCGCCACAGCCGGATACGTGGCCGATTAATATCCCCACGGCGCATGTTGTTGGGAAGTTGGATCCGTTATATCCGGAGAGTATGAAGTTGTTTGCTATGTGTGAGCCATCGAAGGCGGCGTTTTGGGATACGGGGGCTAAGCATATGGTGCCGTTTGATCAGAAGAATACGGTGGAGATGGTGCGGGTCATCGAGGAGACGGTTGCGAAGGCGATGAGGGGGTGATTTGATAATTATTAGTATGGTTGGTGGACTGGGAATTGGGAAATCTGGGAAATCCATATCGCAGGAAACTCGGTCTGCGCGTGCATTAGTCTGTTCAGCGTTCTTCTATGCGATATATGCATTGATATATGCCTTCAAGTGTCCATGAAAAATAACAAAAAAACAAGGAATTCGTCTAATCAACGAAACGAAAGAAACTAGCGCTGCTTGTCCGAGGTCGGTGCCGGCTTCTGGGGCTGGTACTTTGCCCACATCATTGCAGTAAGCAGTACGACCAGTCCCAAGACTAGCGCGGGCCCCCATCCCGTACGTGCAGTGCTTTTCATGCCATGTGCGTCAAGTCATAATCCGGCCGTCGCCTTACCATCGCCCTCGGCAGGGATCGTCTTCTCCAGGAACTTCTCAAGATCGTCAATCTCGACTGGGTCCGCGCTGTGACCAAGACCGCTGCAGCGAGAAAAAAAAACAATCAGCATACTCGTTCAAATCATAATACCACCAGCTCCGAAAGACAGGTAACTTACGAGTAGACATTGAACGAAACATCCTCCAACCCAATCTCCTTCAACATATCAGCCGACTTCTCACCATACGCAAACTTAACAACCTCGTCATCCTCGCCGTGCGCCAGGAAGAAAGGCGTCTTCTTGTTCGGCCAGTCCTCGGGGATGAAGCTCTTGATACGGTCGCTCAGCAAGAGATAGCATGACAGACCAAACACTCCGCCGAGCTTCTCCTTGCCAGTAATACCGGAGAACACGGACATGGCGCCGCCCTGTGAGAATCCACCCAGCACAATGCGCGAGGGCTTGATGCCCTTGTCCATTTCCTGCTTGATCAGGGAGTTGAAGTAATCGCGCGATCGGAGGATACCAGGCTCATCTTGGTTTCGGGCGTTGTCTTGGAAGTCGAGCTAGAGAAAAAAAGGGACGGTTAGCCAAGGGTTTTCTTCAAGTTGAGAGCGAGATGGAGGGGACGGAGGGAGGTGTTTACATCGCGGCCCAGGTGAGCAATGTCGTACCAGCCGGGCATGGCCATACCGAAGTTCTGTCCCGAGTTAGCAAGTCCCTTTGCATATTCTTGAGAATCGACGTACCACCGTGATGGGGATGTTGGGCGCATTGGGGAAGATGAAAGCGACTTCGCTGAACTTGCCGCGCCGACGCCAGTTCTGTGCAAGGGCCATCCTATATCGGAGTCAAATGCTGGTTCCAATGGACCAAATCGATAGACAGTGTCTCTCACCATCCGGCACCACTGAAAGAAAAGAACTCATGTTAGTTCATGTTGTCTAGATCCGAGTTGCTTGTCTTCAGAGACGTACCTATCGCCGAGGCCATGGGCCATAATCACCGTTGCGGTGTGCTTGGTAAGCGCGGGAACCACATAGGGGTTGAGGGCAGCCATTGTCTTGAATTGGTGGTTGAATGGCAAAGTAAATCGACAAAGTTTCTCGCCGTAGATTGACCAAGACGATGAACCAAATATGGCCCCGGCGCTTTAGGAGCCGAAACGGTGGGGTCTCATTCTGACGGTTCAAAAGGGCGGTAGAAACCGGCGGTGAAGGTGAAGATTGGAGACATCGTGAGCTGGAACGCGCTAACCTGATTGGGAGGTTATCTCCCAATGTATTATCAACCTTCACCTTTCCAGCTTTGCCATGTCTTGCTAGTCGTGATGTATGATATGGAAAGGACCATCATGTGTAAAGGCTAATCCATGGAATTCAGAAATTATAGCATAACAGATCATAGGGGATCTTTGAGGTGGTTGCTCTTAATTTATATCACCTCTAGGGATGCCCTTCCAACTGGGATTAAGTGGTGTCCCTCTTTCACAGACTCTCTTATCCCTTCTAACACAGGGCTTACACTCTGTATGTTGAGGCAGCCAGCTCTGCCTAGCCGATTGGCCCAACATGAAATTCTTTGATCCGATCTAGTTCAGCTTCGAGCTGATGGTCGAGCACACGATCTGGCAGTTCAATCTCGATTCAATCTCTCTAAGTGAGCTCCATCCATGATTTTTCATTGTGCAACCTATCCGTGTAAACCACCATCCCAACGGATAAATGAGAATACATTCAAGCCTGAGCGAATATTCGGCTGGCTTCATCGAACCCGGCTGGGGCTCGGTCTCACACCACAAACTAGACGCCATAGTGGTCGGGGCTAGCCACGGTTGTTTCCAAGAAGAAATTGTAGTTAGAGACGCAAAGATATTCTCCATGGTATTTCCAGCCTCCTGTCTACCTTTTCAAAGCTTGCACTTGGAAGCATGAAGCTCGTGGAGGCTGGGAAAACGCCACAGCTATGAAAGTTCATCCTGTCTGCTAGCAATAGGTCTCGAAGGCTTTAATTTAGAAGTGCATGTTCCAAACACCGGTATACATATTCACTATTTGAAATTGATCGGCGTGCTTCCGAGGTCCGGGAATGCTGGCAGCTCTTCGGAGCAATTGCCGTCCATCCACTTGCGCATGGATCGGCGGCTATGCTGCGCTCGACGAACATTCCGTTGCTTTTTCCCGCCCTAGCAGCATTCTTGCCAGCCACGAGCCAACACGCGGGAGAGAAGGAGTTTTGCCTTCGTCCAGTCGCTTGGTGGTAGCTTTGGCGAGAAGCTAGGCACATCCATATCCTTGTTTCCGATCACGTCTTTTGTAAAATATCAGTATTATCGATACTGTGGCACGATCTGAGAAGAAGATGCGGACAGAGGAGTATTCCAATAGACAAAATACAGTAATATGACTTATTCCATGCTTCAGACTAAACGTTTGGTTTTTTTTTACTCTCGTTCCTATAACAGAATATCGATGACAGCTATCAACCCCAGACTTCCCTCCTTCAAACCCATGTGTAAGCCATGCCATAAATCATACGCACCAATGAAATCGAGTGGAGAACACCTGCAGATAGAAAAATTAGACCCAAGCATGCTCTAATGACACATATTTCCGCTTCCACTCCCGGACTGTTTCGACTTTGCCGAATGCGGTAAATTAAGTGGTCTCGACTCCTAGTCTGTAGACATGCCATAGCAAACCTTTCGACGGACACGGAAATACAAGACTAGTCTAACTAAACAACCAATTCGAGTAGAATGTTAATAATCTGCAAGCGACGTTGAGGGCATCATATATGAAGCTCTCGAAACCCCGGTCTGTATCTCGCTTTCCAACAACGATCCTCTTCCTCATCCAAGCTACAAGTTCTACAACTTTTCCAAGATCAATTGATCAACAATTTTAAACGTGATCTACCATCTACATCCCTCCTCAATTTCAAAATGCACTTCTCCAACGCCGCCGCGCTTACTTCTGCGCTCTTCTCCACTATTGCCTTTGCCGCACCCGCCGCCGAGTTTGGCTGGACGCCGTTGACTGCCACTGTGCAACTTGCCAATGATCAAACTGGCGCCAACGCAAATGTTGTCATTCCCATCGACGGTGTGAAGCGACCCGTTCAGGAGCTCTGGGGCAATACCGCCGTCGCTTACAATGGCCTCGTTTTCGCTTCGAGCGCTCAGCTCACGGGCTTCCAGCAGACCACCGTCTGCACCATCACCCAGGAGTGGCCTAACCTGATTGCATCTTTGGACGCCGAGATTACTTCGCTGTCCCTGGGCCGACCCGTCGACCTCTGCTCTGCTTATATTGTTTGCGAATGTGAGGGCATGGAGGACTTCTTTTAAGGAAATGATTTTTTGAGTATTGCATGTCGAAGGAAATAATTTGGGGCATTCTACAGTACATGTTCCTTGTTTTTGCATTGTTGGCAAGGGTTTGGAAATACCATATCTAGAATTTGTATCTATGTCATCTACCAAAACTTGACACCCCTCTTAGTCTATCTACAGAACAATTAATTCTTAATTATTGATTGAAATATCTTCAGCATTGCTTTGATACTTATGTACCGCTAACAAAATATGTACACCCATATGCTCCAATCCATGCAACTCGATCTTAGGCTGTGGTGTTCTTGCTCTCCTCCCGCTCTTTCAACACCTTTCGAACCTCGGGCAAGACGTAACGCCCGTAGTCGATAACATCATTGAGATTATCATAGCCACGGATGGAGATTAGCTCGGCCCCGAGATCAATGTAGTCCAAAATGGAATCGTTAATCGTCTTCGGCGATCCGACGAGCGCAGTCGATGCTCCACGCGCATTCGTCGCAGTAACTGTAGGATACCACAGGGCGCGATCTTGAACTTCGCCCTTGGCTGCAATATCTAACAGCCTCTGAGAGCCAACATTCTGCGGAGTCGGGTTATTTGCGGGGCCCCTTGCGGGGCCACTTGTCTCCCCCTTTGCACGGGTCTTGTTCAATATATCCAGAGTTCGGTGGGCCTTTGCCCAAGCGAGCTCCTCGGTTTCGGCAATGATAGGACGGAAAGTGACCCAAATTCGCGGTCGGTCATTCTCTGCGCGACCGGCCTTCGCTGCTTCAGCATAGATACGATCGATTTGTTCTTTAGTTTCCTTCAGTGGTTCACCCCAGAGTCCGAAGATATCGGCGAGCGAGCCACCAATACGGTAGGCTTCATCTGAGGAGCCGCCGACTGAGACTGGAATAGTACCGTTGAGGGGACGGACTTTGTTGCTGTATTGCTTGAATTGGTAGTATTTGCCGTCCCAGTCGAATGGATCCGCTGACTCCCAGGCACGGCGCACAATCTTGATGTATTCTTCAAGGCGTGCGTATCGCTCATCCTTGGTAAGAAAATCGCCTTCCCTGGCTTGCTCCGCATCACTGCCGCCAGCGATAAAGTGGACAACAGCTCGTCCAGAGCTGAGCTGGTCGAGAGTTGCGAGAGCTTTGGCTGCGACGGTTGGGTACAAAGTGTTTGGCCGAAGCGCGATAACTATCTTGAGATTCTTGGTCACCGACGCGATCGCGGAGCCGACTGTGAATGGATCAAAATAAGCCGAATCGTACGGCACTAGGGTGTAGTTGAAGCCATAGTCGTCCAGAGTCCGAGCATAGCGGGCGAGATACTCCGGGTCAATTGGAGCATTTGGAATTGGATTGACTTCCGTCGATGCATTGGGAAATGTCACACTGATGAATTCGGTAGGCATTTTGGAATTGATTCTTTTCCGTCCTTATTATCTTGAAGTGGTAAATTAATGAGTCTGGAGATCAACAAGCTACTTTATACCCGTGACAGGTGCGTCTATCATCTGCATGTAGCTGCAGCTAAAATGATGCCAGGTTCTACATGATTGCGCCTTATCACGAAAGTCTCAACATTATTAAGCATGACCAACTGAATTCCGCACTGTGGAAACATTAGTGTGAGCTCGATTGTACTTTATCTATTTTTCCGGCACATTATTCACTTCATAATGGAGCAGTTTCACATCACTCTGCGGGAAATCACGCAATCAACATCTTACGGCACGAGTGGTCGGCCAATGTCTTCACTGTTTTCGAAATAGACAGGAAGGTAAATTGTCAGAGATTCAGAGATAAGGAAATCATTCTACCCTATCTTGGGGTTTCATTAGCAGGGAATCAATGTTATTATTTCCCGACGATCCGACATTCACCGGGGAGAACACAAATAGTATTTATTACTATGGATGTTAGCGCAGGGTCATTTTTTTGAACTTAATCATGCTCTAAACAACGCTTAGACGCCTGTAGTTATCTTAGCTGACAAACATTGACTCGAAATATAAGAATACCCACAAGTCTGCTCTTTTCATAAAAATTTCAGGGCAGCTTCGTGCCCCTACTCTTTAAGCATACCATGTCTATGACATAGCTTCTCATATCTACCACCGAGCAGTGATAAATGAACCCATATTCGTCCATCCCGTGCTGATTAAAGAAGGCCGTCATGTAGCAGAGGTCGCTGGACAAGGAAATCGCGGTCGGCCCACATTTTTCTCTTGAAGGAAGGAAGTTTGGCATATCTCTGCTGTCAACTCATTTGTACTTTATGGAACCTTGGCCCTCATAGCTTCTTGATTGACGGACTATAATATCAGCATTTTTATAAATGATTCCTTGGATGTGGAGCTTCATTACATAGGTTTTATTGTGACATTGTCCACGGTGTGCTTCCATAATCGCGTTGATACGTCGACCCACTGCAATCATGAGTCGAGCTTTTCCTCCTAATCCAACGACAGCTTCAAGTTACCTCAAGCAGCTTGAACTGGGAACTCCAATTTTGCTTCCCCTTATATCAACTCAGTTTCCCCATATCCTCACCCTTGCTGCCCTTCCATCACTCTCTGTATTGCACCCAAACAGATTGTCCTGTGCACAGACAATCTTTACCATCACTGAAGTTGCACTTTTAGGCCTTTCATGATGGATGATTATCCTCGCGTAGCCGGAAGCTCATATAACGCGGTCGAGGCCATCTCTGAGCGCGGAGCATTCAACTCCAACTCACACGGAGGCAGCTTCTCCGATCGAGATTTGTAAAAAGCCTCATCTATCGCGGCTTGACGGCGCCGGCGCCGGCAAAAGAAAATGAGCCCCGCTATTCCTATGCAGACGGGGATGCCGACTCCTGCGCCGACTCCAGCAGCGATAGCGACGTTTGTACCGGAGCCATTGTTGTCATCCACTTGAACGCTATGCTGTATATTACTGGTAGTTGTTTTTTGATTTGTAGCTATCGCTGATGTGGATTGATTAGATATTGTCGTGGTAGTCTTGGTCGTTGGCACAGAGGTTGTCGATACTGAAGTTGAGGCTGAGGCTGAGGCAGAGGTGGAGGCAGAGGTAGAGGTAGAGGTCGACGAGGTTTTGGTTATGACGGTTCCAGATCCAAGGTGGAGAATGAGAGTCGAATTTCCACAGCACGAATTATCCGATCCGCAACAAAAGTAGCCTGATCCCAAGCTAGGACAAGATGACATCCAGTTGTCTAGTTGCTTTCCTAGATGATCATTGATTCCATCAGATATGGGTGAATTTCACAGCGCGAACTTCCTGGACGACGTACCGCTTGTGCAGAAATCTGGGCAATTGTCGCTCTTCCATGTGGAATCTGTGCATGTACCTCGAAAAAGATTCTGCCCTTGTTGACAGAGGCCATTAGTGAGGTAGGTGAAGCCTGGTCCACAGCATACACTGACGGAACCATTCTGGTAGCAGGGAGTATTATCTGTCGCCTGGATCCCATCCGGAAAATAACACGATTCAGAGACAGCGGTCCAGGCAAAGAAAGTTATCCACACAAGAACGAAAAGAAGGTGCGTATTCTTGAATAGGACCATGATGTTGTCCGCGATGTGGCCAAAGCCTAGGAGGCCCGAAGCACACTGCTGACAACTATAGGGACAGCAAAATTTTGGATGGGCCTGACTTTTATGGAATTTGAATCTCTCGTCCTGCAAAACAAGCCGCGGTGTCTCGACGCAGATACGGTGCAGTAGCGTCGAGGGCGTGGCTGTGATGCATTTTTGGTCGGCGCTAACGGGTCGAATCACCCTTCACCATGAAGGGTCCAACAGTCAAAGAAGAAAACGAGTACTCCTAATTTACATAGAAATGCCCCACAGATCTCCTAAAGTCCATGAATCAGTAGTTCGTGAGAAATACGAAACTCGACGAAAAAGTCCTTTCTCTAATCTGCGATTTTGGTTTCATAAAAGACAGGCAGACCGCAGGCCCCAAAAATGTCGTCTTACCTTTTGACCCTCTCCATAAGCAGGTTAGCGCAATTCGTCAGAAGAAGCAGGGAGCAGTAGAGGAAGAGAAAGGAAACATCCGCAATCAAGCGAAAATGTGGAACTGCTATCTGAGCAACTTAGGGAATATGGTCTCTACTGAACGGCAGGAAAGACGGCCAGTGATATTCTGTAGCTTACACCAACCGACCGCTGCCATAAGCCGTTCAAATCTCTACTCCCAATTAATTTTCGTAGCTAGATTGTCGATATTAACCAGGGCCAGCCTAAGCCAGCCACGGAGAGGCTTCGCCTGGACCTCCGGGGTGCGTTGGCGCAGGGTATTTGCGTCGCTTAGCGCCTTGTTCTTAGCCGCTATAGTATATTTTTGTACCTCTAGTGTGCCTAGAAATTGCATGAAACAATAATCATGTGTAGCTCAGGTTATATACATCCTATTAGTCGAGAGGAATCTCGCCCCCGTGCCCCTCGTGCTATGGGGTATCATTCTTCCCCCTCCCCCAAACTTGGCTCCAGATCCGTACGTGTACATACAATCTCAATAGATTGTTGTCATTAGATGATTTTATCCGGTAGGATTTTGACCAACCTTCTTGCTTGACGAGGAGTTGACGCAAAGAGAAGATGGCAGGTATCGGCTACCTCTAGAGCAGATTACTCTATTTGGTTTAAGCAAGTTTTAGCCGGGTGACTTCCATGTATATTCTACACCATAAAGCATAGTGATTTGAGAAATAAGATCTTTGCTGTAAATGTTTATCTGCAACAGGGATTCTCTTTGGTATACAGAACCTGGCGTTTGGAATATTCACATCAACAAATATACAATATTATAGACACGCTATCCCCGATTATTAAATCCCACTACTTCAACTCAACCAACCCTCTGAAATCCCCCCTCAAAAACCCAACAGCCCCCTCGATCAAACTCTCCTCGACAACACCATCCTGCCACGTAACCGCCAGCACCATACACCCATCACCCCCCGTTACAACAGAAACGCCAATCGCATTGCCAATAACACTCGCACACTGCGAAAACACCATCCCCTCAATCCGGGGCTTCCCAGGCAAAACCTCACACGACAAGACGCCGACATTCGAGACCTCAAAGCTCTTGTCGCGTTCACTGCCAACTTTGGACAGACACAGTTCCTGCTGGAAGTCGCTTACGTATTTCAGCAGGTTGGGGCCTGCATCGCGGCCTTGGCGCTTGACGGCAGCTTCGATTGTTTGCTTGGAGCGTCGGGCTTCGGTCCAAGGGAAGATATGGGTGTCATTGAAGGTTGTGGCGCTGCGGATATATGACTCTTCGAGATCCCCGACGTACACGCCCATGACCTCGTCGGTGATGATGTCTGGTAGCCAGCGGCGGCAGGAGATAGCGCCCGTGCAATTGAGACTCGTGTAGCGGGTTGGGAGATTGGTGAAGAGCGCGCGGGCAAAGGATGTCTGCAGGAGTGCTGTAATACTCGTTTGCTCCTGGCGACAGATATTGCGGAGCGAAGTCACCAGGGACTTGGAGAATGGGACGAGGCGGACGTGAGTCTTTCCTTCCTTCTGGATCTTGCCTCCGCTCCAGAGACCCGGGTCTCTAGGGGAGTAAATCTTTGCTTGGAAGATTTTCTTGGCGAGAAATAGGAATGAGAGTGGCATTGGGTGGATTTGCTCGATGTTGGGTAGCAGTGGTGTCGAAGGTGACTGGATGATGGACTTTGTTTCTCTGCCCTCGTTCTCGGCTAAGTCCAGCGCTCGCAGGAACGTTTGGTGGAAGGCTTTGCCTGAAGTGCCATCACCGAGGGCATGATGGAAAACAAATGCTGCCGTAAATTGTCGTTCATTATTGGGCTCTGTGAGGACGCAAAGTCTCCAGTAAGGATTTGGCGCTGTGAAGGGTATGTTGTGCTGTCTTTCCAGCAGAGTCTGCAGATCAAGGTCTGGAGTCGGCTCTTTATCTGTGGACTCGGTGGGAAAAAAGCCGTCTTTGCGTAGTTCGAACGAGACCACTTGGTCCAAGTTGATCTGCGGCAGTCGAACAAAGTATGGCTGTTGCGTATCATCCGCGGCTGGGATAGCGGACAGCGCCGGGTGCTCCGCAATTAACGTCTCACAGGCGCGGTATACATAATCTTTCACGGACAGTTTAAATCTGTCCGACAGGACATATGTGGCTGTCACTGCGACATTGAGGTAGAACCCAACCTGATGCCGGGCCGTGGAGTACTGCTCCAACCGGCCTAAAAGGGAAATGCGTCAGATGTGATTCGTCAAGGGAAAGGGGAAACGCCTGGCGAGTACTCACCAACGGGGCGCAGCTTTTCGAATTGTTCCATAATTGCAGTCCACCAGTCTCGATGTAGAAGTGGCTATGTGCAGCTATATACACCGGATTTTGTCCGCCGGGTGGGACTTTCCTGTCTGGCCTGCTGTCGCTTTAATGAGGGCAATTAGGTTCAGGCTCAGTGAGTAAATGTCAGCACGCGCTCATGCTCAGTGATTTGATCAATGCAGTCATGTGATCGTTCAGTGACCAATCAGCCCTGCTCAGTGATCGCTTGTGGTGGATCAGTGATTATCGGAGGTTCAACAACCTTCTTACTTGATTCTTAGTAGATAATGTTTTCTTAGCATCAGGAATGGTATAGCTCAACCAAAATATTCGGAATATGATTATCTACTCGTAATACCAAAGATATGCTACCACCGACCGATGTAGATAAATACCTTATATCTACATTATCACGCCCTAGAATATTTTCTGTATCCCGAAGAATACGTATCATACCATTTCAAATATCACGATATTTTAAGATAAGGTGATCAGCTTCGAGCGTTGAAATATTAAGTTGTGAAATATTACATTTAGTATGGTGTTTGGGGGTGGTTCGGTCGGTTAGATGGCCCGCTCGTTTATGAAAACGTTAGCATTCAGGGAAATTGAATACAGAGTATACGCGGTTTTAACCTGAAGGAGCAAGAACTAATGCTGTATCCTTTTATGCATCTTAAACCCTTGTGTACCCCTTATATCCCGGGTCAAACTTGGAATCTGACTAAACTTGATCAGAATGTCGGTTGACTGGGCAAACATAAGACTGGTTCCTCAACGATTTATCCATAGAGATAAGCGACGAAGGATGGCACATCTAATTTCTATATAGATCGGCAGTAAGGTTAAATACTTTAATTTCGAAATAGAATGCAATCTGGATACCGAACGTATAGGTCTCGCGGAGTTCTAGTAAAACTCCGCGACAATTAGTATCTACCGAGATCGCCCCCTAGCAGGAGAAGTCCGGGACTCCGCGATACTCGGTACATACCGAGCCCAGCCTTTAGCAGGCCATGGCGATAAGACCGGCGTATATATTGTCAAGTTCGACCATGACTTTGATTTTAAATGCAGCAAGAATGGCATCCAATCACACCAGGCCCTCTCTGCATTTCACGGCTGGCTTCTGGATCAATGATCCTTGTGCGCCCGGCTATGATCCGGTCACGGGCTTATACCATGTCTTCTATCAATGTAGGTGTTTCCGGTGCCGTGGGTGGATTCCACTGACATTACCCAGGCAATCCACATAGCACTGAATGGGGCTCTATGTCATGGGGTCATCTTACCAGCAAAAACCTCATTTCCTGGACACCCTCCAAATCTCCCGCTTTAGTTCCCGACCAGCCTTACGATCGTGATGGAGTCTTTACCGGTTGCATGGTACAACCTACAAATTCCCAAGATTCTCTTAAAGTTATTTACTCGTCTGTCCGTCGGTTGCCTTTTCACTGGAGCACACCGCCATATCCTCGCAACGCTGCTGGCCTAGCAATCGCCGAATCTAACGATAATGGAGAGACTTGGACGAAACTCTCTGAGAACCCTTTCTTGATGGGCGAACCCAAGGGGCTTCAAGTAACTGGTTTCCGTGATCCCTTCCTATCAGAATGGCCTGCTTTGGACCAACTCCGTGGTCAGAAGTCCCTCTACGGTCTTGTCTCGGGCGGAATCGACGGCTATGGACCGACGGCCTTCCTATATTCAGTGCCGCATGAGAACGTATCGGAATGGCACTATTTGTGTCCATTGGTCGATATGTCTGCGCGGTTTCAACCCTCACAGAAGTGGACTGGGAATTTCGGCGTCAACTGGGAATGCGCAAATTTTCTGACGCTTAGATCCGAGAGCACTAGCCGCGTGTGCCTCATTCTTGGTGCGGAGGGAGACGTGGAACGGGAACACATCCGGAATTTCAAACACCACCCACACGTTCCTCCAAGGACTATTCGTTCTCTACTGTGGATGTTTGGTGACCTGCGAGCTGGGAGAGACACCACTCGTGTTGACTTCACCCATGGGGGATATTTGGACTGCGGGTCGTTGTATGCGGCAAATTCGTTTTTCGATGCGTTATCCCAGAGACATATAATGCATGCATGGATTCCTGAAGAGGACATTACAGCCGAATACGCCAAACACAAAGGGTGGAATGGTGCGTTGGCTATTGCTCGCGAACTCTTTCTCCTTTCCATACCAAGTGTTACTCGAGCCCTTCACAGTCCTCTGTCCGAGATGGCATCTGTCGAGAAAGTTCCAGACAAAGACGGTTCAGTAACTATACGCACCCTCGGTATTCGGCCAGTTGAAGAGATTACTCAGCTCCGCAGGCACTGCGATAATGTTTGTAAACGCTATCGTATTCCACTCCCATCTTCGACAGCTCGAGAAACACAGGCACTTTGCTCCGCGTTATTCACTACCTGGGAGCTCGAGGCAACCATTGAAATTGACCCAAGCTGCTGCATTGAGGTAGGCTTCTCAATCTGCCACAATGGCGACCCGTCCATATGCATCACCATCGCCTTTTTGCTACAGGAAGAGACGATCAGGGTCAACAAGGGAAGATCAGCGTTCGATCCAAACATACGCAATTGCCCTGAGCAAGGTCCCTTTACACTCTTCTATAGAACCAATGATCAAGCAGCCAAACCCAGAGACAAATTGGAGGACTTACATATTCGCATTATCGCCGATGCAGACGTTTTGGAGATCTTTGCAAATGATCGATTTGCTCTTACAACGATGGTCTATTCTCCGAGTTGTATTAGTCCTGCCATCGTATCAGCATTTGCAGAGGGGGGCTCAGGGAGCGCTTTTATCAAGGATGTGACTGTTTGGAATGGTTTCTCGAGTACTCGGAAATAAGATGTAAATGATCTCGTGTCAAGGTGCTTTTAAGGTTATCTCACTATTTCATGGTACTACCGTTAATCGGTGCGTTTCCCTTACAAACTAGCCTCTGAAAGGCGCCCTTCCAGTACTTCTTGTATCATCATCAAGGACGGGCTCTGCTGCAATAATGTCTTGTCGACGCGACCTGGTGCTTGGTAACTTTGACGGAACTGGGGTGAACATAGCTCACTTAAACAAGGAGTATTTCCTGCGGTCATGGCGGCCACGGAAGTAATGAAAATACTATCGCCCATATTAGTAAAGCTATATTCTCCCAATCTTAGAGATACTTTCGACAAACCTAACGAATAATGTCCACCTGTTCACATGACAGTTATCAAACGCCGCAACAATGCTCGGTGTCAACAACACGTAAGAATCGAAAAATCTCCGGCAGTGATTCAGAAGGTGGGAGGAAACGGCTGCATCCTGCATCGCCTGATAAACGGCCGGCCAGTATATGGAAAGCTTGCAGCAGTAGTACTGGACTCGCAGAAAGTTTGACAGAGGGCAGGGCGGTATTTTAATCGATTCCAAGGACTGTGACACATCGCCTTTTTCAAAACGGATCATTTCGGGTAGGCAACGATACCACTCTTCCAGCTGGTGTTCCAGCTCCAGTGCGATACTCGGTGCATACACGTACTCTCCCGTGGATGTCGCCTGAACAGCTGTGTTGCATCGATGTAGCATACGCCTCATGGCAATCTCAGCTAGGAAATACGATCGCGTATTTCCCTCGTTTGAGAGAGTGGACAGTGCACTATCCGGGGAAGCAGGCGCAGTAACAGCTAGCGACGTGTTCTCTGGCTGAAAATGCCATGTCTCCTGGCATAGTGGCAGTGGGACATGTTCATCCAGACACCATATGCCACTCTTGGGGACATCCAATTGGCCAGCAATTTCGCTTCAATTAAAGTCAGCCATGAATAATACTTAGCAACGTTGGACTGCCTACTTCTCGAGTAGTAGTGCACTCCAATATGCACGTCGAGTTTGGTCAACGGTATCTGGATCATCACCTTCCAGCCCACTAGATTAGATACATCAGCACGGCATTAATATGGCTAGGGTGGGTGTATCACCTTTTGATGATATTCTGAATCTTGGAAGATGCAATCAAGCAATAGTCGTGTGCCTGGCATGGCTTTAACAGACAGCAATAATACAAACTGATCAACACTAAGCATTGAACACTGCGAACACTGCACTCGGAGATGATGATCGGCAGCAAGGCGACAGCGGTTTGAAAATACGGAATATCTGGGACTGCATCTTCTCCCTCGACAACAAGACCGACCGCGACCACAAGAAGGGAAAGGCAAGTTTCCGAAGAAGGAGGCAAGGGTCCAGAAAGTACCCGAAAGTACTCTTGTGAAAATCCCGAGGGCAGAATGGGATACCAGATGTGAACACGTGCGGAGAATGCAGCCAAGGCGCTAACGTGGTAATCAGTTGCCGATACCTTATTCACATTTGGCTCGACCTACCTCGCAATATGCCGATGACGAACAACAAGCATCCGTGTACCTGCGTTCGCGTTGGCCTCGAACGTGGTAGTCCGTTCCTCCCGTAGCAGGACCTGCGCGAAATCTGCGTCTAAGCCTAGCACATGCATGAGGGATGAATTACTAAGCAGCTTGGAAGGCAAGTCGAATGGCGAATCTTCTTGGCTTTGCCAGACTTCATAATCCGACCGGGACCCCCCAACATGAACGCTCGGGGATATGGGCTGTGTGGGAAGTATCACGCTGACAAGTAAATCGAGACGTTTATTGATGGCACTCAGTTCTTCCTCGACGCTGTCCCCAATGTTAGTGCTTTCTTCGTGGTGCGGAGAGAGTGGTCACGCACCGATCGGGGGGCTCCATTGGCGGCTCTTGGTAGATGCAGCGCACGCCGCGAGTTTGGCAATAGTGGCATGACGGCCTTTGCGAATCACACTTAGTTCTTCGTGTGCGACATGCATCGCATGCCAGGGTCGTGCGTTTCCTCTTGTTTGGGCGGCGTTCTTCCATAGTCAAGGGTACGGTTTGGAAGCATAGACGGAGGCGCTCGGTATAAATCGCGGAGGAGGACGTGGCCTCCGCCGATTGAGGGTGCGGTACCCCGCACTTGACCCGGCACCTGACTCGTTGGAGAATCAACGATGCTCCGCGGGCCAAATCTGGGTTTAGTAATCGGATAGTTAAAATCTACTACCTCCTTTCTCGAACATTTCGCAATGAGCTGTAGCTACTAGATGGGCCACCAAGAGTCAACTATTTCCAGGAACACTGCGCTACCGTAATCATGTGCATTTTCCGTAGACATATAAGGACTCTCATTCACACGCGCGCGCTTCGTCGCGACCAATTTCATACTGTTTTATCTTTAGCACTCTACACTTTACTATTCACCAAGATGACTCAAGCAGGCCCCACTCTGAAGCTGGGAAACTATGTGTAGAGAGCAGCTAATTTTGAGCGATCTGATTGATGGAGACAGAAGAGTGAAGGTAAACACCGAAGCTCCAGCACTTCTCCTTCTCTGTTCATTACAGTCTCAGTATTCGCTGTGGAATTCACTCTTTCACCGAAGAATAGGCTCTTCTCCAGTTCTGGTGGAGAAACGGAAACTATTTGACTATTCAGTCGAGAATAACGACTTTGGTCTCATTGATCTGAGAACATTATCTATAATCATCGCTGCGTTTTATTCCAGAGCAATAAATACAGTATCGGGTATGGGCGGGGATTCACCTAAGAAGATTTGACCGAACCCTTAATGCTGAAAATTCGTCGCATGGGTTTCTTAAGTTTCTACTAGGCTGGAAGTCATTGTCTTGGAAGGTTTAGCTGTCACAAGCATATACCATCACGATCAACCTACGGTCAGGGGCCAATAACGGCTACTAGGATACAGCTATACTGGAGGTGGGGCCTTCTCTTCTTAACGGCTAATTGGGTTTGGAGGTCATTTGTCACATAATTGGCAAAAGTAGAGGCTCAGTTTAGGTACGCGGAAACATTCATGAGACTCGAGTGCGAGACCTCTATTGACTCCATTTGCTCGCTACATGCCCAAGCCCTGTAAGAAGCGTCGCCGGATGTCTTTGCAAATCTCAACATTGTTCCGTGCACGCTCCTGAGAATCGCGTGCCCGCCTCGCCAGCCATTCATTCCGGTCCTGGATAAATGCCTCCATTCGCTCATCGCGCTGCTTAACCATAGCCTGCTTCTCGGCACTCATGCTGCTCACATCTGGCTCAGGTACATCATCCGAGGGCGGGAACTGAGGCTTGCGTGGGATACGCTTCTCCACGGGCAGGATGTCGAGCTTTGGACCGGGAAGGGTTTGGTACCAGTACGCGGTAGTACTCCAGTCATCCCGAAGATGGTTCGCATGCCCAGACTCCAGGGTCACTCTGATCTTTGTGTTGAAACGCACGGGGTCCGTCAGGTGCCAGCGGTAGCTAACCTGGTAGTTGGGTACGTCTTCTTCATGGATGATAGTGCCGCAAAACGGGTACGCATTCTTCTGCATGCCCCATCCCTGCGTAAAATAGTCCTCCCCACCAGTACCATGCATGCTAGGCGGCCAAGTGTCGTCGTCGATGAAGATCATGTCGTCGCCTTCACCCCACCAGGTTCCCTGGAAGTGTACGACGGAGTGGTTGCAGCCAATGTACTGCCCGCTGCCTTCTGTTTCCAAAATGACGTAGTTGTCCTTTCCGTCTAGGTTCGGCACTTGCGTTTCGAGGCTGTTGGTCTGAATGCGGGACGGTGCCCAGCCATTCGTGGGGTTCATCCGGCGCCAATGAGCGTGGAAATAAAGCGTATCCGCTGGCAAAGGCTCAGGGTACAGCTCATAGTCGATGTAGAAGTACTGGAAATACGCCTCGTCATTCTGGTTCTCGATCTCAATGCGTGCGCGTTTGTTGAACGGCATAGTCAGATAGCAGTTGAACGCAGCAGCACCGCCGAACCTCTTCTCCTCGGATGGCTTGACTGACACCGTAAAGGGGAGAGACTGAAAGTTGGCCGCCATGGAATGACCAAGACAGAAAAAATCACCGATGGGCGCGATAACGTTCGGAGTCTCGGAATCGTCCCAGTACATCTTGATGAGTACCTTACGGTAGTAGTCCGGGTCGCTGACTTCGTAGTTCAGGCCGAGGGCGTTGTGGATCTCCATCATCGCGACCCCAGACTTAGAATAGGGAATCAAACCCGGGCCTAAGATCTTGCGGCAGGTCTGCACAAACCACAAGTGCGTTATGGCGCCGGGTCCTTCGAGATCGGCGAGCACAATGGACTCCCCGGGTAGCACCACAAAGGCGTCTTCATTGAGGCCCGTATGGTCCCAACTAGCCACCCGAGCAGTGCGGGCGACTTTTCTCTTGGCCAGGCTGGCCAGCAGATCATTTCCGATAGGCATTTTGCGAAAAATCAGGGCTTTATCGAACTACCGATGTATTTTGATACAAGCAGGGTTTATGACACCGTCCTTGCGTTCTTTTATACCCTCAAGCTGCACTACCAAGCCATTAGATGGACAATCTTCTTTGGCCCGATCCTGAACCGAGACACGCGGAATAGACTGATACCTCCGCGGAGTAGTGTTCCTGGTGGGCTTGGATACAATTTAACTTTCGGTCCCAATCGAACTTTCAAGCAATACCTATGATTCATCTTAGATATTTGCATCAAAGGCCATGAACCCACAAGAAAATTATTGCTCACAGCCCCAAGCCCTTTTGACACCACATATTCGACTGTCGTTATAGATTCACGCCGATTGGCCGTTGGATGTTCAGGTGACCGAGAGGCATGAGCCTTCAATATACCTGAGTTTACCATCACCCAATAGGAAGCCAATCTCGTCAAAATTGCATGTATGCCTCAATGGGCCATCCTTGACTGGAAGACGAAGACCATGTAGCTAAATTCTGAGCTGTCCAACCTCATCTCACATTCAAATGCTTGCGACCGATTGGCCACTGCTCACATGCTGGAGATCTTCGACCAGCCATGCGGGGTAGCGGTAAACCCCACCCTTTGCAAGTAATATCGCTAGAAGCCTTTTGGACCAGTTTTGGTGGCCTCAGTGATGCGCGACCGTTGATGCGACCTGATGGGCGCTTGGAGTCCGTATCACCCTTTGGCAACCCCTTTGCCAAAAGTCTGATCCTTGGCTTATCGCGGTCGAAATAGGTAGGCATGCTCGGCCTCAAGGAGAGAATGAGAGGAGGCTCTTCTGTTACAGCTCTAATTTAACCATTTTGAGCCGCAAAATATTCGGCCTTAAACGCCAGCTTACGCTTTGATTCAACTCATCAAGATACAGGACAGGAGTTTCGTATCGCGGAGCATCGTGGGTTCTCCATTAAGTGCAGGTCAAGCGCGGGGTACCGAACCTTCAATAAGCGGAGGCCACGTCCTCGCAACTTTAGGCGAGCGTCTCCCAATGCTTCCACGCCGTACCCCTAGGTATGGGAGAACGCCGCCCAAACCAGAGCAAACGCACAATTCCGGTATATGACGCATGTTGCACACGGACACTGAAGTGCGATTCACAGAGATCGTCATGTCACTGGCTGCCACACTTGCGGCGTGCCGCTCCATTTGCCAGGCGCCGCCAGCGAAGCCCCCCGGTCAGTACCACGCAGACAACGCTGAAAGTTAGCACAGCGTTGAGGAAGCATTCAATGCCTTTGAAACAGCTTTCGCCTCGGTGCCGATCATCGTTTCGAGTGCAGGCTTCGTAGTGTTCAGTGTTCATTAATGATCAGTTTGTAGTATTACGGTCCATTGAACCTTCAGGTATGCAGAAAAATGCTGCATATTTGTTCTAGGGCTCAATGAATGATACATGGAGAAATGCTGGAAATAGCAGCGACGTATCGCGGAGCTACCAAATCGCTCCGCGCCCGAAGCCGGAGGGGCAAAAAAGAGCCAAACTCAATCAGTCCGTGTAAACTCGAGGCACATCCCCGGCTTTTCAATCCACTTTATGATTCCCCCATATTGCGTCCCCATGACTTGCCATTCGTTTTCAAAATCTTAACATCCCTGAAGACGTCTTCTCAGCGCTAAAGCCACTAGAATATGTCTATAAAACCCTCTGTGAACTCCCGGGCAATTGGGTTCCTAACTGCAAAGACCACTTCCCTTTCAATCACATATTTCCCAACGAGCGAAACTCTATGGCGGCCATGTATGAGTTCCCATGATGAAGTTAGCCCCTCCATCGGTGCAATCTGAATTTTCAGCTAATGGCTCGTCCCGCAGCGTAGACTACTCGGTCATCAACCCCGCCAATAAGTGGCGCATGCTGAGAGAACAATGGCGCTTCGCGTTGTGGTGTACGTGCCCTCTCCCCTGATATCCATTCATACAGTCAGCTTTGACTCACTAAGAACCAGCTCTTTGGATATCCAGTGGTGTGGTCATGCAGGGCTACGATCTCGTCGGTGGCGGTCAACTAGCTGCCTTGCCCCAATTCCAGAAGAAATTTGGCATTCTGGAGGTGGACGGCAGTTACTTGATTCCAGCCCATTATCTTTCTGCTTGGAGCTCCATTGCTCCAGCTTGTGAGATTGTCTCGACATTTATCTTCGCGCCCCTGCTCGAGAAGTTTGGACGGAAGCCTGGGATTCTGGTGGCTGCCTTCATCTCCGCGGGGGGTATCCTCCTCCAGCAGCTGGCAGGTGATTGGAGAGTACACCTTGCTGGTCGTGGCATAAATGGTACATCTTCCGATCACTTGCGCCCTCATTCAGCGTTACTGACATTCAAATAGGCATTGCCATTGGGATGATGTTCACCATCTCTCCTCTCTGGATTGGAGAGACCTGTCGGCCCGAACTTCGGGGATTCTTTCTCTGCTTTTTCAACACGAGTATTGTCTTTGGACAATTTGCAATGTGAGCAACCATCGTGATTATGGCGATCGATCTCGGCTAACAAATCATTGTTCGATTTAGTGTGGCTGTATCGAAAGGGAGCAGTTATCTGACAACTAAATGGTAAGATAAAAAGTCTTTGCTCGTATTCTCTTGCATTTCCGACCTATACTAACTTCACTTCTTAGGCAATGGTGGCTACCTGTTGTCTCCATGTACACGTTCCCTCGTGAGTCCTTTACTTCCACTTCCGTTTGGTAGATCCTTCTCTTTAACCAGTGTGCTTAGTTATTCTCGTGTCCGGGTGGTTCTTTTTCCCAGAATCGCCTTATTGGTTAATCCGTCAAGGCAAGACAGCCCAGGCCAGGAAATCTCTGAAGGATGTGTACGGATTCAAGGATGAATTATTTTATGACGCCGAAATCAATCGCATGCAATCAGAAATCCGTTTGACAAGAGATCTTCAAGGCGACATCGATGCGAAACACAGTGGCCGAATTTGTGGTATCAACTTCTCGGCCGAGGCCGAGTGCTTCCGAGGCACCAACCTCAAAAGGACACTGACGGCCATCTTTGCAGCGAGCGCTCAACAGATGATTGGTGCGACTTTCGTTATAGGCTACGCGACATACTTCCTTGAACTCATCGGCGTCAGTAACTACTTCAACGCCTCTGTAGCTCTATATGTTGTCATGCTTCTCGCGAGTATGGCTGCTTTTCCACTCACTGAAATTGTCGGTCGCCGCACTTTGATTGTCGGGCCTCAGTTTGCCCTTTGTTTTATGCTTCTGCTCATTGGGATCATGGGATGTATCCCCAATCGAGCCAAAGCCAGTTGGGGCATCGTTGCTTTTATATACGTCTGGGCTATCATTTACCAGCTTTCCATTGGGGCTACAGGATTTGTACTTGCATCGGAGCTTGCCACCATGCGCCTCCGCGGTGCGACTCAAGGCCTAGTCACTATTTCGAATGCTGCTTGGGGCCTTATCATGCAGTTCACTATTCCTTACATGGTATGTCTCCATTCCTTGCTACACTATCCAATATGTTTACCACCCCCCGGCCCGGCTCCTGCTAACATTCTTCCATGAAGATTAACCCTGATGCTGGAAACCTTGGAGGAAAAGTGGGATTCATTTTCTTGGGCACTGGCTTAATTGCTGCTGTTGGGGGATTCTTCCTGTATCCAGAGACCAAGGTAAGTCTAGACTCTACTTTGCAACGAACATATGCTGAAGTTCTCTTTAGGGAATATCATTCGAGAAACTTGACGAACTGTTCGCTCTGAAGGTGAAACCACGCCACTTCAAGCAAATGGCGCGGGATGCTCCTCATATTGCGATAGGAGAGGTAAAATTGGACACCACCACCGTCCATGTTGAGCGAATTGAGGCTTGATGCTACGAGAAGACCGGGACAGGCTGATTCTTTGAGGATTTTGAACTTTATTTTTTAGGCTTACTCTCATTGATAAATGTAATGCAACATACGAAGCCGCCGTGTCACTACCCCGTCGAAAGGCTGAAACTTTTCGATTATAAACGTCTAAGCTTCGTCAGGGCCCATGAATGGCCCGAAGTCCTCGACGACCACGGTTTAGTTGGGCCGCGATTAGGCCTCAAGGTCTGAACTGGGTCCTTAAGGCTCCTCCTTTGAGTCCTTGTCTGAATCTCTTCGGAATTCAATTTTGTATCAGCAATACATGACATTTTGGATAAGCCTTGTTCTGCCTCGATTATGTTACCCTTTTGCTACCAGACTCTCCAACTGATCAACTGGTATTGCGCTGCTAGATGGGATATGCCCTGATACTCTAGGTGTAAATAGTAGTGGCTCTACGAACTGGGATACCAGAGTATCGCAAATTCAGCCAGGGGCCATCCTAGCTTCGTATCATCCCAAGTCAGACGTATTAAGTGATAAGCGTGCAATAACTGCCATGTGGTTAAAAATTCACACTTAGTCCCTGACTCTCTTATGGTCCCCAATACTGCCTACCTAAATGGCTTATTAAATGCATGACACCCGGACCGGAACGCTTTTTTCACTCTTAGCCATGCCTCTGCACCTGGAAATATCCACTTGTTTCGATATGGTTGGCCTGCTCTGCATATTTCTAAGACTGTATAAATATGTCAGTATTGGGAACATATACTTAAAATACTCAGAATTGCAGTTTTCAATTCTGTTTGTATGATACGTCTAGTTTACTCTACATTTGCACTTCATCCTGTATACTTTAGGCATCTCAACCCACAGTTACTTTGCTTGCAGAGTGATATCATGATCGGGCAAGCTCAGAAAGCCATATTTGTCACATTTGCAATACCTCTAAATCAAGTCTCCTCGTTTGTGGAGCACTCGTCCAATCCTGACTATAGGCCCCACACCGAAGAAATCTTATTGATTCTAATTCGGACATTCTGGGTGCTTCCTCCCGTGGAGAAGATATGGGCGTAGGTTGCATTATCGCTCGGGAATAACTGCGCGGTCATTGCAGTCTCGCCCTCGCCTCCGAAGACCTCAACACTAGACCAGTCCAGATAAACCCGCAGGTTGATTTGACCTTCGGCGTTAGCAGCCAGTGGAGCGTAATACGTCGCGGGAAAAGTGCCGTCAAATGAAACATCACCGGAATGGCTTCGATCGACGAATATTTCCTTAGTTGTGAAGTCGTAGCCAACTCGTGTCTGTTGTTCATGGTCTGGGGTAGCCCGAACAATGATTCCGAACTGAGAAGCACCCACGGCAGCTGGATCTCGGTCAGAGAAACTAAGTTCAATCCGCAGTGCCTTTCCAACCGAGCCTAGTGACTTTGTGCCTTGATTCAAAGAAGACCAAGACTGATCGATGCCTTTACGGCTCAAGATGGAATCCCACTTCTCCTTGGGGGCCTGCACCAGAGTGGCTTTTCCATGGATCTTCTTTAGTGAAAGTTCTCGAGGGATTGACATTGCACTGCGCCACGGGCTAGTGGGGATCAGTCCACCGTATTGCCAGTTATTCATCCAGCCTATAGCGATGTGCTCGTCAGGAGACAATCCATTATAGCCCTGGGCCGCGTAGAAATCTGGGCCCCAGTCTACCCAGTTAGCCACTTGGTTTCGTGCCATGGAGTCCGAGAAGGAAATTTCGTCGACATTTATATGGCCCCAGCCGCCGGCTGCGGTGTCAACAATCTGAATCACGGCATTCTGGTTCAGCAGCGAGCCGACATCCCAACTGTTCCAGGAGAGGTTCTCGCTGTTTGTCCCTGTAGCGGACCGCACTATTTGACCATCCACCTTCAAGTACACAGCTGTGTTATTGAGGTCATGGCCGCCACTGATGAGAAAGTTGATATATCTCTTGGAGATCGCGAAGGATTGAGAGGTGAGTGTCCCAGTCGTGGCATCCCCATCTAGGAATGTATTGACGAGGCGCTTGCCTAAGTAGCCAGTCACAGGGTTCTGTCCAGACAACGTGCCGTTAACTGGTGACTGGCCTATGAAGTCTCCAGTGGGGGTCCAACCAAGATCGGCAAAGTTCCCTGTACCTTCGAAGTCTGCAAAAACGATGCTATCGCTTGGCGGGGGCGTGGTCCCTGAAAATAGACTGTCGGCATCGGCGGTGAACGTGGTTCCGTCGAAGCTTCCAACAACATACTGAGTGCCCGAGCCGATAGTTCCAGGGGGTCCGCCAGGGTTGAGTCCGATCATTACGACCCATTTCACGCTGTCGTTGCCACTGCCACCATCGACAGACATTGGGAAAAGATTCGGACACTCCCACACCCCGCCGACAGCGTTGACTGGCCCGAATTCGCTGGCAAAAGTCCAGTTCTTTAGGTCCTTGGATGTGTAAATCAGGAGCTTTTGGAGCTGTGCTAAAGAGATAACAGCAATCCACTTCTTCGTCGGTTTGTGCCAGAAAATATTCGGATCACGGAAGTTGAGGAATTGATCTGAATATGGGGCGGGAGGATCCAAGATGACTGGGTTCGCCGCATCATACGTGGTCCAAGTCATGCCATCATCCAGACTATAGGCGATGGACTGGGCTTGTTGGTTTGCTTGGACTGTCTTCCCGCTTGGCATGGTTTGTGCGTAAGGATACTTAAAGATGAGCGTTAGCCGCCCCGGTTCATAAAAGCATGATAGTATGTGTAAATAACCTACATAGGAAGTATACATGGCAACTAAAGGCGTCTTGCCACTATGGCCAAAACCACTTGTATTGCCAACATCAGCCACGGCAGATCCGGAGAAAAACATCTCAGTGATGTTGTGAGGATAGCCACGGGCGAGGAGGGCGATAGGCTGTTGCTCCCAGTGAGTCAAGTCTCGACTGGTGGCATGACCCCATGACATGGCACCCCACGTTGTTCCGCCCGGATTATACTGATAGAAAAGGTGGTAGATACCCTTGTAATACAGGAGGCCATTGGGGTCGTTCATCCAATTTTTGGGGGGAGTGAAGTGATACTGTGGACGGTAGAGCTCAGTGTGACTAGGCTTTTCCGCAGATACAGCTTGGAATGCGCCGAGCCCTAGAAGAAGGGCCTTGAGCATAACGATCATGGTGAGGTCCTAGGAGCAGCCGAGATGGTCTTGGGTAAAATAATTGTCATATTCAGCGTGGACATAGCGCTATTTATCTTTGCAAGCCCGGTCGTATGACAACTGTCTGGCTTCAAATGCCCCCTTCAATCGCATATGGGCTTGATGCTCACCGTATTAGGTGACGTACTGCGGAGACGTCGGAAGGACTGGCTAGTGCTGAGATGAAGACTTGAGAACATGGTGGATAGACGGACAAAGGCCCCTGCCAAGGAGTTCTGGATTCTTTTTGCCTGCAAGACAAGGTTCGTCATTCCGAGGTTCCTCCGAAGTAAACAAGTCTGCAGAATTTCATACTGAACTGAATCTCAATTCTGCGCCTTCGGGGAAATAGAAACCTAATTCAACAGGAGATTTCCAGAGCCATCGGGGAGTCTGCAGATGGTCCCCGCCTTTTGTGGCTCGAGCTATCATATAGAAAGAAAGTAATTGTAAATTGCGGGGTAACTTGTAAGCATGCACGAGCTGGATGCTGAATCCAGAACTCATCCCCGCTAATTTTCTGGAGTGTGGAGTTCGGTTACGGGCGCTATTGTGGTGGAAATGTATCGCGGAAGGGGTCCCAATCTCCGCGACTATTCCCCTTATTTTCTCTTCTCTAAATTTCCCATCTTTCCAATGCTTGTTTGACCTCTACAGTTACCCAGACTGGCGTAGTGCCATCTATGGAACCTAGGATTAATTCCTGTTTTTCTTTCTCGATCGCTTACCGCATAGTTATTTACCAGGTACTATTTCGGAGCTACCAAAAAAATTCCACATGATTTCCCAAACTCTCTACCAAAACAATTAAGTTATATTGTGCATTAATTCACATAATCAGCAGACCCTTGGAGCGCTAGTAGGAGATTTACAGAGTATGAACCCCGCTAAGCGAAATTTATAGCTAAACCCCGAATAGAACCAAACATAGCGAAACGTAGGACTAACTGGAATTGGACGACAGTGCGGGATATCAAAGAAGGATATATTTATGTATTCTTTGTTACGTTAGGTAGGAAGTGACACGTGGTCAACCAAGTTTTGTGTTGGGTTTCTGTATCATAGTCTGAATTTGCTAGTTCCATAATTTGCTCAAGTATTGCTCGTGGACTTTTAGGGCCATCGGATTTCATAAGCTGGACTTCTTGAACATGGAAAGGGTGTGATTGAATGTTAATAACAGAATGGTTTCCCCTATTATACATGGCAGCCTGACTAGAATTGAGATATCTGCATCAAGGAATGAGGAAGTTTGAACCATCGTTGGGAAGTGGGTTTCTATTGTATCCAACATCCGCCTATCACTCTTAAACATACTTTAGACGCAAACAGCTGCGGAAAGCTCCCATCTTGTAGTAAGCACCTTAGACTCCTGGCGATCAGTGGATGGCATGGCTGTTGGGTAAATATGTAAGTGTCATGGCAGCATTACGAATTTGTTCGTAGAATTTGGCGGAAACAGAGAAATTTCCGTTTCTGTTTTTGGCCAGGCTTGGGAGTTGGCCAGGGCAGTGATTTGAGCGCTCAAAGCGTGGACAGATTGCTGGAGTGAGTAATCGTGGATTCATCCGGGAGTATCGAAGCTCTGGAGAAAGCCGACTAGAATCTGAGAAGAGGCCGTATGTTGCTTAAACTCACATCCTGGGTCGGAGAGAGCATTATAAATATGCTCGAAATTATAATAGCCCCTACATGCCAGTCATAAGATTGACCTAAGTAGTAGTGTACACTCTTCTGATATATGTACGTATATAAGACCGATGTGGCTTAACATGGACATTGACGTTACATCCTTTAAGCGGATTTCTGGCTTTCGGTTAGCGTTTGTACAATGCTTAATAGCTATATTTCTGGTTTGAATTCTGAATTGTCATAGCATTCCTTTCTGGTTTATAGAAAAATTGCCCGCATATTCAATTTCAATACAGAGGGTGAGAGATAAACTACGCACAGGGACAAGAGAGCATGAACTTGGTTCGAGCTATCAGAAAGCAAGGGCACGAAAAAGGCGAAGAGAGAAACAGGAGAAACGTCAAGAAAAAGGCCTATATAGGCCGTGACAGGAAACATCCGTCGGAGGGAGAGGGAATCCCCATCAAAGGGAAGAAACGATGTTGCTTGTATGCCTGGCGCACACAAGCGCAGGGAAGAAGGGGACAAACCCCCACAGGCCCAATATGTGCTATAGGGGTCATAGAGAGAACCAAGACCGTCAGCTCAAATAGGAAGCAAAATACTGAGACATCTTCCTACTACCTACCCTCTTCCTTATAACCCCAACGCATCCGTCCGTACCTAACCGCCGCATATGAATGAATGTTATTCCCTTGCTGATCAAGCCAGCTCAGAGCGAAATCGTTCGCACGTCGACTGATTCCAGTACCACGTTTCCTTGAATAACGGACAAAGCAAGGCCGTCCGAGGAAATATCGGGAAATATCAAATCAGAAATTACCGCCTCCCCTTGCCCACCATAAACCTCAATGGAGCATTCATCGACCAATACCCGCAATTGCACCTTTCCATCTGCATCAGTCTGAAGAGTAGTCTTGTGGATACCGCCAGCAGCAGGATCGTATGAGGTGTTTCCACTTGCATTGCGATCGACCGAAAGTTGGTTGTTAGACTGAACATATTCAATTACCGTCTGTTGAGACCCTCCCTTGCGAACGGAGAGAGACAGCGTGGAGCCCTGCGCAGGAACAAAGGTAATACGAATATCCAATGACCTTGAATGGATGTTGGAGAGCAACGCTTGCCCAGGTGCAAGAGTCTGATTTGTGATAGTCGCAACTGAAGTACCGACCGCGTCCAGTTCGCTCACGGGCAGTTGGAGGAATTGCAGTTTGCCATTGAGTTTCTTGAGTTCCAGAGTGCGAGGGAATGAAAGCATTCCCTTCCACGTATCAGTTGGCGGGTTGACACCATAACTGTTCATAACTGCAGCAAGAACCCTGCGGCCGTCCGAAGCAGGTACATTCTCCCAACTCATGGCCCCATCCCAGTCGCGTCCATAATCGAGCCATAGAGTGGTAGGATCAACCGCATCTGCTGTAAACACGGAGCCGTCGAAAGACCCAGTGAGTGCAAAGACTCCATTACCGCCAGCGGGTGATCCAGCGGCGGGGGTCACAACTAACACCCATTTCTTTTGCGAAGTACCTTGAACCTGAAGTTCAAAAAAGTCTGGCACTTCCCAACCGTTGACACCACCTGGAAATCCCTCAACATTGCTCGCGGCGAAGTCACTTCCCCAGATCCAGTTCATTGCATCTGTAGACGTCCAAAACGTCACTTTGTTTTGTCCCCCGTGCGCCAGAATCATGACCCACCTGCTCGTCGGGCTGTGATAGAACACTTTTGGATCACGTATCTCTAGACCCTGGGTTGAATCGTGTGGTGCTTCTTGGCTTTGCGGTAAGATTGGATTCCCCTGGTACTTTGTCCAAGTCGCTCCCTGGTCTAAGCTATACGCAAGCCTTTGATCCTGTACGCCACTTGAGGGGGCGTAGCCAGTATAAAAGGCAAGGTATGGCGGGTTTGATGATGTCCCAAGCCCTGAGAGATTTTCTGCATCAAAGTATGAGGTTCCTGTGAAAGCCTGTATCCCATCTGCGCTCGAAATTGCAACCGGTTTATAATCCCAGGACACAAGGTCGGTGCTAGTGGCATGCCCCCAACTTAAGTTGCCCCAAAAGTTTCCAGTTGGGTTGTGTTGAAAGAAAAGGTGCCAGATGGAGCCGATTTTGATTAGTCCGTTGGGCTCATTCATCCAGTTCTCTTCTGGCACAAAATGAAAAATAGGACGAAAATCGTAAGGCGCCCTGGGCGTAGGGCTAGCGCTGGTGGTGGTTCTTATACTTTTAGTTAGGGTGCTACCGACCAATGTAGTGCTGGTGGTGCTGATGGTGGTTGCAGTATCGGTGGAGGTTGAGCTGATACTAAGGGAAGAGATCGGGGTGGATAAATCATAAGCTGAATCAAGCACCCTTGCGTCAATCGTCACACCATTTGTACTTCCTCCTTCGGAGAAAAGCCGGACATCAACACCATTGTCCTGAGGAAAGATTTGAGCGGATATTGTGACCTCACCCTGACCTCCAAAGACTTCAACGGAGGACCAGTCAAGAAGAATGCGCATTGTGACTTGGCCATCACCCGAGGGCATCAAAGGAGCAAAATAGGTCTCAGAAAATGTCCCATCAAAGCCAACATTCCCAGATTTTGTTCGATCAACAAAAAGCCTCTTTGTGCTAAAGTCATAGCCAATCCGTGTTTGTTGGGCTAAGTCAGAGGTTGCCCTGAGAATTATGCCGAAGTGAGATGAGGATGACGCTGCAACTCTGTCTGAAAAGGCCACTGTGATATCAAGTAATTTCCCGGAGAGCTGTACGAGCTGATTGCCTTCAGCCACTGTATCAAAGCTGTTAGAATACGCTGTTGTCCGTAAACTGGTCCAGTTTGCCGTAGGTTGCTGGATAAGTCTTGGCCTCTCGTCGATCGTCTTGAGCGAAAGCTTCCGGGAAACTGATAGCATGCTGCGCCATGGAGAAGTAGGAATCACACTAGCGTATTGCCAATTGTTCATCCACGCAATGTTGATTCGATTTGTGGATGGTAATCCATTGAATGTTGTTGCAGCGTAGAAGTCTGGCCCATAGTCCATCCAGTTGGGCCCGTATGGCTCAATTGATAGATTTGAGAAGGAAATTTCATCAATCAGAATGTGCCCCCAGCCAGTCGTACTAAGATCAACAATTTCGATAACCGCAGACTGTCCTATCAGGTCCGTGACATCCCAGGTTGTCGGTATGAGTTGTTCTGCATTAGCGCCAGTAGCCGTTCGTACAACCCGGCCTTGGACCTTTAGGTTGATGCATTCTGTGCCCGGAGAATTGCCACCACCGATGAGAAAGTTAATCTTCTTCTGCGTTATGGTGAAAGTGGGGGACGTGAGTGTTCCAGTGGTAGCATCTCCGCTCAAGAATGTGTTGACGAAGTTTCCCATATTCCCAGCCACAACCTGTTGTCCTGCAAGTGTGCCCTGGGCTGGCCCTTTTCCAACCAAATCTCCAGTAGCAGTCCAGCCATAGTCTGTAAAAGTGCTAGTACCATTGAAATCCCAAGTATCGCTAGAATCACTGCGTTTAGGGAGGTTATTGGTGCTGGTGCTGCCTGTGAAGGTAATCTGATCAATCAATATGTGTCCCCAGCCACCTGTTTGCTGATCCACGATCTCAAGTACAGCGGTCTGACCCATCAGGTCGTTGACATCCCAGGTCGTTGATATGAGTTGTTCTGTATTCGCGCCTGTAGCAGTCCGTACAACCTTGCCTTGGACCTTGAGGTTGATGCATTCTGTGCCCGGCGCATTCCCGCCACCAATAAGGAAATTGATATATGGAAGTGATATGGTGAAAGCCGGGGATGTAAGCGTGCCAGCTGTGGAGTCTCCACTTAAAAATGTATTGACCAACTGATTTCCTGCGTATCCAGCGACGGTTTGTTGTCCCGTAAGAGTCCCTTTAGCGGGAGCAGCCCCGAGTAAACCTCCAGTGGCAATCCAGCCGCGAGACACGAAGTCACTGGCGCCTTCAAAATCTTGAAATATGATTTCTCCAGTTGCAGTTGCAGTCGCAGCTGCTGTTGTTGTTGTGGACCTGATGGATACTGAGGTAGTGGTACTGGTGGATGTAGGTGTCGAAAGTGGAGATTTCGTATCCGCAACAAATTTTGTTCCATCAAAGATTCCCACAATATACTGCGTTCCTGAGCCAGTCACTCCAGGGGGCCCGCCAGGGTTGAGCCCGATTTGCATAACCCATTTCGTATTGGCGTCATCTCCGTCAACAGCAAGTGGAAAGAGGCTTGGACACTCCCAAACACCTCCTACTGCATTCCAAGGGCCAAATTCGCTGGCATATGTCCACTCCTTGAGGTTCGGGGAGGTGTAAATAACTAATTTGTGGAGTTGGGCCAGCGAAACCACAGCGATCCACTTCTGGCTAGCTTCGTGCCAGAACAGAAACGGATCCCGGAAGTCCCGCCATTGGTCTGTATATGGGGTAGGAGGGTTGAGAATGACAGGATTGGCGGCGTCGTAGGTTGTCCATGTCATACCTTCATCCAAACTGTAGGCAATAGATTGTGCTTGCTGCCCGCCGTTGACTGACTTCCCGCTGGGAAGTTTCTGGGATTCAGGGTACTAAGTCCCAAAAGCGTTAGAGTATCCAGCTACCAGGGCTTCATATACTCACATAAGAAGTGTACATTACGACAAATGGCACCTTTCCACCAGTACCAAAGGCACTTGTATTCTGGGTATCGGCGACAGCAGAACCAGAGAAGAACATCTCAGTGATATCACCTGGGTAGCCACGAGCGAGGAGGGCAACAGGTTGGTGATCCCAGTGTATTAGATCAGTGCTGGTGGCATGACCCCAAGACATAGCTCCCCAGGTGTTCCCTCCTGGATTGTACTGATAGTACAGATGGTAAACGCCATTGTAATATAAAAGCCCGTTGGGATCATTCATCCAGTTTTTCGCTGGAGTAAAGTGATACTGAGGACGGTAGAGCTCATTGTAGGTCTGAGCAAATGCTGCCTGGAACAAAAAGAGCCCACGAATCAAGGCTAGCGTAAGCCGGAAAGCCATCGCAAAAGGAGGAATTCAGAATCTGGGAAAGAAGGCCAGTTTCAAGGAGACTGGAGTCACTAATGCTAAAATATTCCCAGGTCGCGGGGCGAAATACTGGCTTTTATAATTTTTTGGTCGTCAGATTTCACATCGCCAAGATACATCTCGGTAGTTCCTGGGGTAAAAGACCAATTCCAGAACTTCCACGGAAACTTCCTCTTCTCTCATGCGAAAGCAAGTATTGGCCAGTAAGGCAAAACGTATTTCAACCCCAGTTTCCGTTTTAGACGGTTAGAACTCTGTCAGAAATAGTAGTGTTAATTACATTTCAACAGGGATGACCTTTGCCGTCACGACAATTCCGTATTGGGTAACTCTCCCGGAGTCTCCTCATGCTTGCTATATGCCATATCACCCTGTGATATGAGACTGGGAATTCAGAAGTCCCCGGTCCAATCACGATGAAATTGGCCAAACTTTGGGTGTCAAGAGGTTCTATACGAGGTGTGGGACTAAGGTGCGCTAACCGCAAATTTATCTTGAGCACGCCTTCAAAGAGATCTACAAGAAGTACATATATCTGGAAAAGAATGGCGAATCAATTAAGGGTGCCTACACGATACAAGGTAATCTGAAACAGCCGACAGAACTAAGCGAAAGGAGGAGGTGTTGCTGTCATAAAATGACAATGGTCGCGGTAAAGATCAACTACAGAGACTAGAATGATTTCTCCAGCTCTTACCATTGATAGGGCCTCTCCCTGGAGGGAGGTTCACCCCGCAAACATAGACCACTCACAGATCTTGATATGTTGGAAGGATGCGTCTTCTCCCGCAGGATTTCTTCATGACCAAAAATAAGGGTCACTGAATCAGACAGATTATTGTGGGGAGAGTTTGATGGCTGGATATCTCAGTTTCCTTTCGCGGAGAAGGATCAAAGCGCGCATTTCCGAGCAGCAGCGAGGATGGGTCTGTACTGAAAGTGTCTCGGGAAATCCTGAGGGCTTTTTCTCATTTTATTTACAAAACTGCGAGCCGCCAGTCAGCAGCAAGATTCCGGGGAATAGATTTCTTCGCTAAAGAGCCTCTGTCCTTGTATACCTACATCCTAATTCTGATACCCGCTTCTCCACGTAAGGCTAGTCGTTGCTGTTGACTATCGCTGTGGCTTCCGACGTCCGCGAAATTCTACACCAGTTTCAGATGGAATGAGTCTGTTAATAATGTAGAGCTTAAAACTGCTCACCGGTATCTTCTTCCGGAAGGCTAGGTTGAACTGGCCTGGTCTGCTGGGGTAACGACCAACTACCTTACTAAAGTCATGATCTCAGAGGTGCAGCATTAAGACAAATCAGACATGAAGAATTATTTTTTTTCTTCAAAGTGATGAAGTTGTGGTTGTTTCGGTCATGAGGATATGATTTTCATTACTGCGTGGTGTTCATTAACTAGGGTATATTTGGGGCAAGTGTGACGCTGGAACCAGTCAGCTCTCGGTTGCCAATCCCTTGTCTCTTGAGGTGAGGGCTGTTCAACCCCGAGAAATGTCATTATGAGCTGGTAGTCAATTTTAGAATCTTTCTTTTGGAGTATCAGAAGCAGATATCACAAAATACGAAATAAGAAACCCCTAGTCTTACTGGGAAAGTTTACGAGCATCCCGAGAGGAATGCGGGGGGATATTTGAACTGATACGCCGTGCCATTTCCCCAAGTTCATACCTCCAAGAATTATCGATGCGGGGTTGTAGAATCTCGCGGAACAGAAACGTGGTCCGCGGTGCTTCGAGATATTCCTCGTTTAGTTTCTCCGATTAAGTATGCAGGGGCGAATACGCAGGGGTAATATGCAGAGGAACTGCCGACATTTTCCCGAGTTACTCTATCTCAAGAGACCCGGAAAGTTGGGATGCCTTGGCCTGTTTGGAGAATGACGTCCTTGAGCGACGATCTTGAATGCCGGTTCTCTATAACGAGATCGTAAGTGACGATCGTGAAACCACCTTTTGGAGACAGAATACTTTGTCGTTAGAAGTGAAGCTGAATGTCAGCACACTGAATAGCTGCAGCAACCATGTTCCTCGCCTTGAAGGGGTATTCGCGCTCGTCACTCGGGTTTTCGCAAATGACTTCCGCCCGTTCTATCATTTGTCCCTGAGGAGAACTGGACGAACGAGCCCCACGGGTTGATGAAGAAAAAAAATCAAACTGGCACCTGTCCTACCAGCACAACACAACAGCAAATGTCTGGGGCATTTTAAAATAGGGCCACGCCTGGCCCACTGGTCTCACAAGCCCCTTACAATAACACGCGAGAAGCGCGTCCAAGCGTTCACTGGCACCAGCTATCATGCCAACAACATTCCAACTTTAGGATCTTCTACCAGTCCACCCTAACTGGCCTACTATACTGGGTATTTTCCCTCCAACGGGATCCAGGGCCAGCGCCTTGCCTCTCGCGTTGATGATGACGCGAACTCGACAGAGTATCAGGGTAACCTCATTATCTCAGCCGCTCAGGGGTCGCCGCATGATGAGACTAGGGGAAGGGGCCCTTGGCTGGAAAACCGGCGACCCTAAGGTATATTTCCACCAGATATCTAGGCAATGGGTCACTGTTCTTGCCCATATCGGAACGGGACAAGCTGACGTTTTGGGCATCATCGAACGCAAAGTCCTGGACGCGGGGGAGCGACCTCTCTGCTGACCAGATCGAGGGTCTACCCTCTGGAACTACTGGGTGGGAAATGCCTGATATGTTCGAGCTCCCTAACCAAGGTACCAACGTGACCAACTGGGCATTGATTAGGATCCCTGCAAATGGATCTCTTCTTGGTGTTAATGATGTCCTAGCCCTGACAGGTTGAGAGGAATAAGCGGAGCAAACTCGTGTCCAATGCCCTGCTAACAAGCTGGGTATCAACGAAATACCTAGCGAGTAGAGTTCTTTATGACTGTATTCAAATTAGTCTTTACGCAACGTCAAAAGGTTGGGCTGCAACAGTTATGAGGGCAATGTGCTCTAGTGACTGATATTTGAATCAAATGCCGGGACTCTAAAAGGATAAAATTCGCTGACAGTCGTCTATTGATGAGCCTCGGAGGACCCCTTGAATCCGAACTTTGAAGCTCAGTTCACTACGTATTTTAAGCGAGCATAGGCTGGTAATCTTTGCGATTCAAATTCAACCATTCAATGCTTAGAAAACAGAGAGTTACTACGAGTTTTTCCGAATATTCTCCTCCGGGCCCACTTAGGTAACAGGGGGGATGCTCCGGCGCCATCCGTGAAGGGGTCGGGCCCGGTTGTTGCTGCGATTGAAAGTTTCTGTATTACCAGCCGGCAGCCCAGTTGTGGCAACTGTCAATTTGCTACCTCTAATTACAATCATACTGCTGTACCCTTTCCTTCAGTATTGCACCCATTTCCGCCAGCGAGAGGCTGACCTCCGCGGCCTCGTCAAAAGCTTTGATCGCTAGTTCCAAACCAAACATAGCCTCTCGAGGAACAACCTCAACCAGACATGATTCTGTCATCCCTGCCAGCGCCGCCATCGAAATGGTAAACACACTACAGGCCAAAATGTTTAGCAAATTGTACCCCTGTGTACGGCGAAATATGGGAACCAGCACAGCTTACCTTGTACACAAAGTCCACAGATTTGGCTTACAGACGGCGATTGAAGCAACGGCACTGGGAACAAACTCGGCGAAACTGGTGAAAAATTTCGTACAATGGCGGCGGAGGTCGCTGTTTGCCTCTCCCGCAGCAATGGCTTCATAGACCGCTGGCCAATAGATCGATGCCTTAAATGCGTAGTATTGCGTGCGCAGAAACTCCACATGGGCCGAGCCTGAATCCCGCCGCAGGTGAGATCTGATGGCAGGGGAGCAACGGAACGATAGCTGCTGTGGGAGTAATCGTAGCCACTCGTCCAACTGGCGCTCGAGCTCAGCCGCGACGATGGGCGCATAGACATGGTTACCTTGCGCCAATCTACTCGTCGACCACGTGCAGCGCTGGAGCATTTTTCGCATCGCGATCTCTGCGACGAAATATGACAGATCGCTGCTTTCGAGGTAGAACTCGCTATTGCTATCGCTGGGTGCAGATGACTCGAATAATTGACTTAAATCTCCTGTCCAGTTCCCTGAGCTTGTTGGGACCGGGACAAATGAAGTCATCGTACGTATCCCACTGTCAACGAGGTCTAGCTGGACCAAAATCTCACTATAAACCTGTCAGTTTGCCTTCTTGTCTGTTGGTACAAGGGCAGATGAGAAATGGAACCTTTCAATCAGTAATGCTGACCAGAAGCAACTTTTGAGTATTGAAATTCGGGTGGCATCACTGTCGGCGTTGAGTTCGCTGGGGAGTCGATTGTCAGCTCTTGTATCCATCTGAGCTTAAACAGTACCGAGACGTCTCTACTGACTTTATGATATAATTCTGGAGTTTAAACGACGCCATTGCGACGAAATCGTAAGCTTGAAACGGCTGCCCATAGCATAGGTGATATATGGCGAACAATAACAGACACTGTGCGCTTCGTGGGCCACTGTGTGCAAATGCACACGGAAGCATTTTCATAGCTGCTTCGATGTATGGTGCTTCCGGGCGGTTCCGCATGGCATCAACAACGGAATTGCATTCCATGACGCAGCCAATGGCCAAGACAAGAAGAGTAACGCAGGATGTTATCGACATGGGAAAAGACAATGTCATTGCCTGGAGGAACTCCCTGATAAAATCTGCATGCAGGATCGGGTACCAGGTGTGGATCTGTTTGCGGAACGCATTCAAAAGACTATCGGAAGGTGAACCAGACGTCAGAATCACGGCGTCTGAGTGACAGAGAAACATATGCACAGCTCGCATTGACGTACATTGATGCCTTCCAGAGATCGATAATCACGATGTTCGCCCCACAGGCTTGGCCGGGGATTGCTTTTCTGCCACGCTCTACATGCTCGAGGAGAACAGGCACGGATGGCTCGAGACCAAGCAAATTCATGAATGCTTCACTCTGCAATACCATAAATGGAAACCCCAGCGACGCCCCAGAGGCCGTAAGAGTAAAAGATTCTTGTCGCTCATCATGTGAGGGAGAGCTCCGTGGCTTTTGGCCCCGGATTATGGCGGTGATATGGTCTACTTGTTCCCATAACCTCGAAATCTCCGCCTTCAGCCTAAGATCATATTAAAAATCAGAGAATCTCTTTCTATTGCTGGACATGGCACTCACGAAGCAGGGGGCAGGTCTGGCGTCGCCGGGTAGAAGCAGTCTTTCCCACGCTCAATGCAAAAGGAACATTTAGGGCGCCTGCCATCGCATTTTGTCCGTCTTTCCCGACATGTGTTGCATGCGAGAGCACTCCGGCGTCTCCGGGTGCCGTGACCCTGGAAGCAATCAAGGTCCATTGTTTGCGCGTAGGTTGCTGGGTGAAGTTCTTTTAAGGCTGGCTACGGTCCATAGTAAAATCATATCCTTGGGAATTGCGGACAGGTGGATTTCTGGTTTCAAGCTTGGAAACAGCAATAGGTAGCCGAGTCTCTTCTTTTGCAAGGTATGGCACACCACTGATGTGCCCCCAGAGGCCCAATGGTTTGCACAGGCCTTCCTGACTATCCCGCTCCATGAAAAATGTTTCTAGAACAAACGAAGAATATCTCTGTCTCACGTAGCGCAGGGAAAGGAAACGAGGGGAAAAAGACAACCGTCGAATCATGATACAGAATCTCCGCCCGATGGCTTCGGGCACGAGTAGGCTCTGACGCCATTCTGCATGGGACAAGCCGCGGCCACTAAAACCGCGGGCTAGGAAGATTCTGCGGCAACACAGACCGAAAAATAGTGTGACATCTAGTTAATTGACTTTCTTGTGTTGAGCTTCTTATACCAGAATGGCATGGATTGCCCCAGGGAGTGGCTCGATCATGACCAGTAAGCCATCCCTGTACCATCCGGAGGGGAGGAGTCCGAAGGGTGGCTTATGGATGTTGTCCAACCCTTCTCGGGATACGGATCATACTATCTCGCTTCGTCAGCACAGCTCCGTGCATGGTAAGTGCAGTTTCTTCAGGCGGCGAAGTCTAAATCAGGCAAAGGCCAATGCCTAATAACGCGTTCTCCTGATTACCCAGACAGGGGAGGACAGGCAATATTCTTGGGCTGTGGCAAATTCTGGACAATATGACCGGAAATTCCATTGTTTTGTGCAGCTTTTTCTTAGCACCCATATACATAGTGCTCCATCCCGCCCCCAGTTCCGTGTCATGGAAATGGTTGTTTGTTATACTAAATCGTCTATCGTCCGTCTTATATTTCCAAAGGCGGAGGCTAGTCATAATATTCCCCTTCACTCAATATGTACAGCGCTCACTGGGCGTTTCAAGGAGATAATATCTCCCATGCGCGGCGTTACTCGCTCATCAGTAAAGGTCGGGTGGCTTCTGAAATCTAAGAATACACGATACGTCAGGACTTCATCGCATGAATGGAATGGAAGGGCGATCGAAGGAGTTGCCGACCTAGTGTGTGGAATCCTTCGATTCCTTGCCTCGCGAGCCATCTAGCACTAAGCCTGTCAAGCGCAGTCTTGAAATCATCCAGAATCACGGTATCGCAGAGGCACTTGAACATGAAACATAGCTAAAGGATAAAACGCCCGTCAGCGCGGGATATAAGAGGTACTAAATGCTTCCAGTGGAAACTGAATGGGAGCATACTTTCCAAAAAGGATTGATGCCCAGCGGCATGGCGGATCTGAGTGCCCCTGTCACGCTTATAATGTCGAGGGGAATGAAGACAACCGAGAGACACATTGAGACCAGCATGAGGCCAAATCGAGGACATTCTCGTACTAACTCGAGGATGCCAAAGTTGTAGTGTGTCTTGACCACCCAAAAGAGGTTGCACGTTGTATAAATCCACCATGGATCGCTAAGTCAAGGGTTAATTAGTTGACGCAGCCAAGGATGAGAAATACGACACCACTCAAACAGTCCTACCGAAATAGTGCTTCCCAGGGGCGGATCTTTTCGTAAACAGTATGGTTTGCGTTGTTGAAATAAGCGAAGTTGGCGTAAATCTCAGTTGCCCAGTATGGCTGAGCCAGGACGATCGTGCCGACATAGAAGAGCGAAAGTTTGCGGCCCATGAACGGCCTGTTCTTCATCCATGCGATCACATTGTGCAAAGACCAGGATATAATCAATCCAATCGCGGATGCAGCCAGATACCAGCCGTACACAGGGTCCGGGGCAAATATGAATGTCCCGTGGGCTAGAGCCAGAATCAACTATCAGGAAGTGGCGACGTGAGTGCGTATATTCCACATCAATGACGGCAGGCCTACCTCTAATAAGATTAACTTATGCAGCAAAACACCTGGTCGCATGTTTGCATACGTGACTGCAGCCATGATGAGGAGAGAGCCCGTCATGAGGCCTTGCGACCAGGCTTCCAGGATTAGAGCGGCAGGATCATCCACTGGGCGTTGAATTGTTCTTTTCGCATGATCAGAATGCTGCACTGAAAGTGTGAATGAGCCGATACTATTTGAGCCTGTCATAGCCGCAATCACATTGTCGGAACAGTATTGCATGCGGCGAGACAAAGTAACAAAACACGCCCTGTCTGTCGACTTTGACGTAGAAAATATGTAGCTTTTCTTTTCCTGTCATAGACGAGAAGGGATAGATGAACACTCTCCCCGCAATCCTGAGTGTGGGGAATCTGGAGATTTGTCTAAGGAAATGGAGCTGCGGGGGATTGAGAATTAGCAGTTGGGTCGAACAAAGCGTATCGCGGAGAGGAGGAGCGGCTCCGCGATGGCTAACATCGTCCGCTCCGACGAGAGCCTTTCGGGGAGGCTTAAGCCCAGTCTAACCATATTGCAGCTAGACAATGCGGCTAAACAGGGGGCAGGATCCCATTCCACGGCCCCCACCCCCACCCTCAGTCATACATAGTCCACGACAAAGTACTTACTACGAGGAGAACCTCGCTACCAGCATTTAAGCTACTTTCTCCCTTAATTGTAGCTGGAACAGAGAGTGCCGCCATATCAGCCCGGGACAAATCTTCGATATTCATGAGCGTCCCCCCGATAATGCTCCCATATATAACGGCATCAGTCTGCGACCACTGTCGCCTCCGCAGGAGGCGATGTGACCGAAACAGGCCCAGGTGCTCATTCTGTGTCTCCCAAGGCGTAGAGTGTGTTTATGGGCAAACTCCTGACTCTCGGCCCCCACAGTATGTTGGCCTTTTTCACATAACGACATCTAGCATTGCTTATATTACTGCGGTAGATTGGTACAGGAGCTCATGGGGATTCGAGAAAAGCTGGAATTTATCACCCCACTACTGGAATCTCGATTAAAGTCGTCACCAAGATGTGACAATGCCCCTCCACAGAGTTGCCCGCCGCTCGTCCTCAAGTCTCCTCATCTCATGCAGGTTCTTGGCTTGCCGTCCGATCTAGCATCCGCTTTATACCGCTTAGAAACTGCAGTTCCCAGGGTACTCTCGCCTGCGACTGAATTTACGTGTGTCGAATCTACTGACCTGTAGGTTCTCCACAATGAAAGTCAACAAACCAATGGCCACTCAACTGACTTTACCACCAGTATGTTCCGCCGGTTTCAGGATCAGGTTCATCAGTGGTACCCAATCCTGCATTCAGATTTCACGCCCCAATTCATTGATTCCAATGCTGCCGGCTTTCCTTGCTCTACAATATCGTGCCTATCCCTCCTCGTTACAGCGATTGCAAGTCTAGTGGATGATCGACCTCACTCCACACACTACGAAGCTGCCTTGTCCATGATGCCAATAGCGATGCAGGAATACAGCATTACGAGTGTTCAATGTTTGCTCCTTTTTAGTATATACTTCTGTTGTCTCCTCCAGCCAATACAGGCATATGACTATATACAAGCAGCCTTTCTGAAATTTCGGCCGTTTCTGAAAAGGTGCGCTATTATCTGCATCAGAAAAATAACTCCAAGTCTTGCCATTGCTAATTTGGCCTGTGTTGATGGAATAAGTTACTTGTCTTCCTCTGAGGGCTCGCCTGAGTCACCCCTTGTCACGCGCTTGTACTGGACAATTCACCTAATAATGAGGTCTGCACCTCCCAGTTTCCGCCTACTTTCCGAACTAACAAGCACCCAGTGAGATATCCATGCATTTTAATCTACCGGGCTTCAGCAAAGAGCTACGCAGCGGGCTGACAACTATTCCAATGATGCCAACAAGCAAATACATGTGGGATCATTTGGGCTGTCCAAATACACCCTCGCGCTCGTCTTTGTCGTCCTCGTCCGGGATCCCTCAAAATACCGAAGCTTATTCACCAAATGAGACACTGCAGTCATTATTCGACTTTTTTACAGAGATCAATCTGCAACAAGAGCTGACTGGCCATGTTACCATACCAACGGATGTGTTGAGTACATATGACGATGGCTCTCCTCATGCGGAGAGGACGGCAAATTCAAGTCACGTACCGGACTGTTCAGCAGAGAGATTGTCTCCAGACAATAGCCTCGACTCTCAGAATATCGGTGGTCCTATTTGTCGAACTAAGTATCAAATGTATGAAGTCTCAATCTACTGGCCGGCGATCTACCGTATCATACTCGATGGAGTCGCAGACGCCGAGTTGCTACCATACGGACCCCTGTTCTTTGAATCGGTGACCAGCTTCCTTGGTGCAGCGAAAATTGCCATTGGGGTATGTCTCCCGAAGGCCTGGTTCCTGTATGCGAGGTTTGTGCTTGAAGTTCCTCTTTCCTCTTTTGAAACCTATGTTTACCCGTTGCCACCAGTATATACACAATCTCCTTTGCCGCACTCAGAGCTTTAGAAGTGCGGTGTCTTCGGTTTCTCGCAGAGCCGCAGCTTTGGGAATCCCTTAAGGGGTCGGTGGATGCTCTGCACAGACCAAGCGAGCTAAGTCCATTCGTACGGTATATGCGCGATACTTTAAAAGATCGACTGCAAATAGTCAACGATCAGAGGGGGGGTTAAAAGTCCTTGTTGGGCGTCCAAAATCCCGATAAACTATAAAGGTATTCCCTCCGTAGAGTACCAGTCATAGAATTCCTTATTTATTACCTATTTTCAAGGTTAAATCTAGTAGGTTAGTTCCGGAGAGAAATATGATAATTATCGATATATGCACCTATATTCACCGGTTTTGTCCGCCGGGTGGGGCTATCCTATCTGGGCTGCCGCTTTAATGAGGGCGATCAGGCGTAGGCTCACTGAGTAGTTAACTTAGTTAGTTAATTGTCTCGATCAGTGACTAATCATGGATGCTCAGTGATCGGTTGGTGGTGAATCAGTGATTTTCGAGAGGTGCTCCGTGATCACTCCGTGAGTACTCAGCCACTGCTTACTTACTAACGTGATTCCCAGCCGATCTGGAGACCCGGCCGTCCTGGCCACTCCAAAACACCATACTAAATGCAATATTTCACAAATTCTCATTTCAAAGCTCAAAGCTGATTACCTTGTCTGCAGATGTCTTAGTGTTTAAAATACCATAATAGGTATTCTCCTTAATGCGAGAAACAATTCAGGGTTTGACAATGTGGATACAGTGGTGTCCCATCAAATCTTTACTTTTTTCTCCGTGTGATACGGAACCACTAGCGAATATATGGGTCAAGTGTTAGGGACCGAAATGCATGTCCAATAGGTAGTGGATGTAGGGTGCAGGTACTAGTACATACCCCCGCAACCGATCGGGCATCATGGTTCAGCTGGAGTGTCGATCGTAGTTGTTGTTATTGTATCCCGGACTTCATTTTAAGGATTTATTTAGATTTTCTTCAGGTCGCCTTTACTTAAATTTTCTGAACTCCCTTCTATAATAACAATAGTCAGCTAGCTAGTAGGTCAATTAGTATTACTAGACCCTATTACCCTACTATGAGATAACTCTATCTAGTTACTAGGCAGGGCAAGTATTTGTTGTCAATGCACATGTGGCGCCGGCAGTACTAATGAAATACACGGAACCTAACCCTGAGCTTTGGAAGAAAGACGCCCCGTCCCGTGTCAGGGTCTACATCTAATCATAATAATATTAAAGAGGGGCAAGTGGGAAAAGGGAAGTCGATCTAGTGTTCCCGCGGACGATCGGCGGGTGCTATTGGTGATAGTCCCGAGCCGATCTATACTCCACTCCGAGCCACATTGAAGATCAAGAGATTCGAGGAGAGGTAGGAAACAAATAACTGGACTATAAATGCCATGTTATTCAAGGAGAGGGCTCAACCTTCTTTGTCAAACATTCATTGTCATTCATTTTCTTTCTTGTCGTTCATTCATTAATCAAGTCACTCATTTATCATGGCCATGCGCCTCAAAGGCATCTTCGCCCTCTTGGGCATAGCGGCCACTACATCTGCCATTGGTCTTCACAAGGCGGTGGACGGTCTGCTACAAGTCACTCCTTCCTTTACTGGCGATGATATAGCATTGCATCCTGGGTTGAACCCCAGCCACAATCCGCTTGACCTGGAGCATCTCTCTGCAGGCCTGGAGAAGGTCCTGCATTACAGCCAAGAGGGCCATCGTCGTAAGTCTAATGCATTCCAAGAATACGAGCTCCTTATGTTAATCAAAGCGTCATAGCCGCGCTTCATGGGGCAAAACACGCTTCCCTTGAGGCGAAATTTGTCCGGAATACGGTTGTCTTAGATCAGTCCGATCTCGTCAGTAGCGTTACCTGTGATGACAATGACATGCACATCTGCTTCAACAACCCCCTTGCAATGGCGACAGTTGAGGCCTCTTGGTTGATCCAAGGTGGAATCAACCTGGCAACTTACCATCAAGGCTGTGGAGATGAGATCTCGGGGAAGCGTAGCTTCTTCCATGCGACTCAGCCCTCCATCAATCTAGCGGACATGTGCATTGTGATGTCAGTTACTCCTATCCAGGAGTCAGATGCCTTGGACTCGGGTGTCCTAACCTGGGGTACATACAAAGACCCACAGCAGAGAAAGAGATCCCCTACCAAGGGCCACGTTCGTGTCACCAAGCCAGCCTACTCTTCCAACGGAGGCAGGCCCGATTCCCCAGCAGCGCGCAATGTGTCCGATAGATATGCCAGCAATGCCACTATGGATGTCGCGTTAAACCCTTGGGCATTGAAGAACTTTTTCAACAGCTCTGATATCGATACGACACATATGGGTGAGAAGATTGACCCCATGAACTTTGTAGATATGGAAGATCTTGACGTCCCCGAGTCACCTACAAACATGACTCGACGGTCAACCACGCGTCTTCGTGCTGAAAGAACCAAGAGAACTATGACCGAAGTTTCAAAACGCTCTTCAAACGCGCTTGCTAGACGAGATATTTTCTCTGATATTTGGAATGGCCTCAAAGATCTAGGACGGGTAAGAGACTTTTTTTTCCCGCAGAGACATTTCGGAATGCAGGCTAATTGTCCTATTTTACTTTCTCAAAAGCGAATTGGGAATTTTTTCAGGAGTGCAGCCACCTTCATTAAAAAGGCTGGCGACGCGCTTATTGAGATCGCAGTCATCACTGCAAAGCTGGTGCTAGTGCCTTTCGGTGTCCCATTTGACCACACATATCACAACGATATCAAGATCGATGAATACCTCAAGAGCAATATTGGAAACCGGCCACCAGAAATATTCGGCATCAAAGATGGTTTCAAGCTCGCCAGCTCTGACAACTACAACAATCCAACCGAGTTCCACTGGACGGTACAGTGCGCGAAATGTGGTGTCCACGTCAACATCGACATAGATGGCCGGTTAGCATTCAGCATCAAAAGCGGTATCACGGAAGGGAGTATCTCGTTTGTCAACAACGATCCTTTGACCCTGGATGCTCAGTTTGGAATAAGCGCAGACGCCTCAAAGAGCGCATCCAAGAGCAAATCGAAGACTATCAAGGCAAAGAAGACAAAGGATCTCAAAAGCATTCCCTTCGGTGGCTTAGCCATTCCGGGCATTCTCAATCTGGGCCCTCAGGTGACCTTCGGGGTAGCAGTCGGCCTTGAGGCTTCTGGCAAGGTCGAAATACTGGCTGGAGGCAGTGTCTCTATTGGAGCAGGACACGCCATCGCCAGCTTGAGAGGCAAAAATGAAGTCAAAGGGTTTGAGCCAAGTTTCGATCCCGTATTTCGTGCAAAGGGTGAATTCTCCCTTACTGGTGATATTGGGTTGCCCGTGGCGCTTGAAGTTGGACTCACCGTTCTTGATGGGAAGTTCAAGGAAACTGTCGGGCTGGTCAACACCCCGTCCGTCTATGTGAAGGCAACTGCAAATTTGGAACTCCAAGCACGTGAAGAAAGTATGGATCTACAGACCCGCGACGAGAGCACTTGTAAGAACGGTGTTCAGTTGAAGGTTGGTGCGAAGAATCGCATCCACGTTGCGGGATTCGACGTGCTCGAATACGAGATCGCCAATATCCCAATTTTCGAAAAGGACCTTGGCTGTGTCAAGTAAGCTATTTCGTTCATATTACACCAGAGACTCAAAACACTAATATCTTATAGCGCGGACGGATTCAATCCTGGAACTGAAAAACCAGCAGATGGGCTTATCAAGGAGGTTACCGACAAGAGCGGCGACTCTGGAGCAGGAAAGCCTTACATTGCCGATGCCACTCAAAACTTTAAGAAGGTTGAAGGTGCTCAAGGTTTCAAGATTGTTATGGCCGCTGACAGTGGAAGTATTATGGTTACTGGAACCAACGGCGGTCTCTACCTGGTTGACAAGGACGAAGGATACGATGTCAGTGCCCCATGGGGCACTCTTGACACCAAAGCCAAGCCACTGACACTTGATGTCTTTGGACGAGTTCTGTCATACAAGCTTCTGAAGTCTTATGACAAGAATTATTATCTCGGCCAGAACGCTCCGATGCTGGCCGATCTTATGGTGTCAGATCCACAGAGTGTTCCTGTGGGGTACAAAGCTACGTAAGTCATTCGAAACATCCGCCTTACTATCATAGGTAAGAAATCGGGCTAACACTTCACGATGATCAGGGCGATGAAAGAGTTGGAAACATCCGAATCTAGGAAGACATATGGTATACCCTTGGTCTATGACAACGCTTTGAAGGCCATCACCAAGCCCGTTTACTATCCCACTGCTTGCAAAACTCCCCTGGGAACAATTATTATTGCAACTCGCGAAATTATCACCAAGGATGGGCAGGTCCAGTCGATTTGGAGCCCTAACTCAAAATTCGGACCGAGAATGGACCGTGAGCTCATGGACCATTACGGTCTTTACAGAAAGGATTGCAAGACAATTCAGTTGATTGCAAACTAGGTCGGGCACATGCATGTATCTCAGCTAGTTGTGTTGAATATAAACATAATATTAATTACCTCAGTATAATAATCAATGATGAGACAGATATAGCTATCGTATCACGATTTATTAATACAAGTTTATGGGTCCAATCCAATACAAGGAAGTAAAAATCCTATAGGGCTAAGACTTTTATTACCACTGATTCCAATGATAGAGCCTACTAGTAATGATACTTAAAGTCCACGGCGCCATCTCCGGTGTGAATACGCCGAGTATCTTCCTTCTCCCCGCGCTCAATCTGTCTGATCTTCCAATTTGCTGCTTTTTTCTGGGCTTGTTATGATTCACGCACGGTAAGACGGGATGCTTTCAAATATTGACAGTATTAGCTTTGAACCAGGGTCCGTTTTGCGGTCAGCCTTGTTCTAGGTATTCCGTGTAGTTCTTAGGTTTCCCGGTACCTTTTTACAAATGTGAAGGCTATACCAATAGTCAATTTTGGAAGTCTATTGATATAGTTATCCTGTCAATTTATAGGGAGATGGGTGAACTTCTTCCTATCAACTACCTAATGGAGAGTCGACTTACGTCTCAATATAGAGTTAAATGCATTATTCTTGTAAGTTTTCAATCAGAAGAGCCCCCGTTCTTAGAGACCGTCCAGTAGTTACTGTTTCGACCACTTGATCTTCGTGGGAGAATATGAAAAATGGAAAGGTATGATATAATAATATCTTGTAATACACATGTACATCATATAGTAGTAGGCATACGCTCGTAAAAGATCATGAACATGCTCATAATGCAACAATCCGCATCATTAAATCATGAATCCCCAACTCCGCCCGAATTTGGAACGCAACTTTTCCCCGTTATCAGTCTGGCAGGCTTCTGCTCTACAACACGGCCATACCACCCGCAAAGGCCGCACCGAGCAACCCCCACGCGGCAGTCTGCAGCGGCACGGCAGCACCCTTGGAAGTAGTAGAAGTAGTGTTTGACGAGGACGAGGACGAGGACGAGCTGGAGCTTTGAGCACTACCGGTGGACGTAGACTCATTGGCGTTACGCTGAGCAGCAGCGCCGGAGAATGCAGATGCAACGACGTTGGTGTTGTTTGTGCAGGACGAGGGCTCGGAGTACGTGACGCTAGAGGAGAATTGAACATCGGCGCACTAGACAAGCCCAATTAGCAAACTTCATCTAACAAGAACCCAAGGATTTCGATCCATGATTTGTTGTAAAACTTACAGCGTAGAGACCACCGCTGGGATCACCATTGCTCTGCACCTGCAGAGTAGCGTTCAGACCATCGGTGATATTCACACCGAGAATATCATCGCTAAACTCCACATGCGGGAGACAGAACGCGCCGAGCCCGGTCACCTGGAAAGTATGCACGAGGGTGATGTTATAGTTGTCACCAGGGTTGGAGCCGAGCGCGAGCAGGACCTCGACGGCGGTTTGACTGTGGCCCATTTTCAGGGCGACGGGGAAGGAGCCGGAGATGGGGATTTGAGTGCGGTTGGAAGATTGGCTCATGCCGCCGCAGGGGAAATCGGGCATGGTGTCTTCGTCGAAGCCGCGGGAGGTGGGGTATTGGAGTTGGAAGTGGGCGGCGGCCAAGGGGGCCAGGGCGAGGGTGAGGAGGGGGAACTTCATGTTTGAGACTGGTGGAGGGAGGAATTGGGGTGAAGAGAGAGGAGGAGAGGTTCAATTGGAAGATGTACAAGATCGTGAAGTAGAAGACTGCACCAGGCCTCGTCTGCAGGGTCCCCCCTTTTGTATCTATAAGTTTTTGTGGGAGACGGACCCTGTTCTCCACTGGATCCATTCAATCATGTTGATTGTCCTAACCGTGAAAGACCGGGAAACGGATGTCCCTTCACATAGATCGAGTGCTGGGCATCGACCTGCCTTTCCGAGCTCAGGTTCAAGGCGTGTCTTGGTTGGGTTTAGTGGACTGCACGCTTAGACGGTACCGCTTCCGACACTAGACTCGAATAAGGTAATTTGCTCATTCCTTCTCATGGTTGTTTTAAACTGAGCACGGAGTAGTGTTGATGAGAATCAACCATGACGATGCTTCTCCATAGATGAGATTGAAAATAGCTCAGACGATTAAATTGATTGAGGATTCCAGGGTTGAACGCCTGTCCAGAAAGCTGTGCGATCCGTGGGGTACACGGATGGGGTAATACGGAGTATTCAGACCAACTAACACCATTCTGTCGGGCATCACTCTTTCTTGTTATCGCTAGCGAATACAAGAGCCATGAATGATCTATCTACGGCCTCTAAGTACGCACAAACTCAATATCTTGCGATATCGACGTCGATTGCCAACTGGATTTGCCGCAATGCGGATTGGTTTCCCGCAACCGGTTTAGCGGGGCGGGTGGAACCTTGACGGGCGCGTGGATTTTACCCGACGAACTATTCCGAAAGCGGTTAGGAAATCTGCTCATTTCTGCTCAACACGCATGCAGCCACAGGGTTTAACTTGATCTGCATGTGCGATTACATTGGGAATACATTGGGAATCAAGAAAACGGACGAAATGCGCGAGTCTTAGCGACAGAGAGAAAGCCAAACGCCATACAAATGCAAAATCAAAGAAAGAGCTGGTAAAATGCAAGAACCCCAAATATAGTCATCAGTTCGTAGTCGTGGATCCGTGTGTACGTATCGAGAGACACACTCAGTGTGCATGCTCGTTCCAGTGGATGTATCGGCCAACGGCCAATTCGCCCAAGAACGCGCCCGCCAACACCGAACAGAAGTATCCCACGTTCAGCGTCATGACGGCCAACATCCTAGAATCGAACAATTTAGCTTTCCATCCACAATTCATAAAACCAAATCATCCGACACGTACAGTAGATAGGACACTCCCGCAATGCACAGAAACAGCGCCGCCCGCGGCACGTCCACGCTAAACCGCCAGGGAATGGGGCCATGGGAGATATTGCGCACGACCTTGACATTCTCCTCGACCCCCTGCGCCGTAATCAGCGACGCAGTCTTCGCATCCGGGTCCGCATCAATGCGTCCAGCCTCGCTGGTCTTGCCGGCAATCGCGACGTAGCGACGATTCAAGTGCGCTGCGAGCCAGTGGCGTTCCATGATGGCTTTGAAGGCGATCAAGCAGCGGTCGATAATGGCGAGGACGATCAGGAAAATGCATGTGCCGGCGTATACTCCCGAGGAGGAGGGTGTCCAGGCGGAGGAGTAGAGTGGCGTGTCGTGGGCATTGGTGAAGACCATAGACATCGTCATTGAGGAGCTCGATGAGGAGCTGGAATCGCTCATGCTGCTCATATCCATTGTGCTCATAGAGTGATGGTCCATCTAGGGCTGGGGTGGTGGTGGTGATGGCTGGTATAGAGAGCGAGCGTGATGAAAGTGAGTAGAGGATGAAGAAAGATAACAAGTCAAAAAGCAATGGCAACAAGAAGAACACCGCAAGGACCTACTCGAAACAGGGCAAGTCGTGTGGAGTATGAATGAGCAGATTAATCGCGAAATTTAATCGCAGTCAACGTAAAATGCGGGACAAGCGGGGCCCGTCCAGACTTTCCGCTTCCACCAAATGAGCACTTTATTGATAAGCGATGATTCCGGGTTTTTGCCAATGCCGACTTTGACATTCTAACCTTTGGAGATACTCCAATTTCTTCGTTGATCTTGTGAGTCGCGTTTGATCTTCTTCTACAAGCAGGTTAGGGAGAAAGCGCATCTTCAACGCACTATGCGAAATCGCTCCGCCTAATCCCATTCACCACCCAACATGGATATGATGAGCGACATGCCCATGGGCTCAATGTCCATGGGCGACGGCGCTCCCAGCCTCTTGACTCTGCAACGGATGTACTGGGCCGTTGTCGGCAGTGCCATCGGTGCAGCAACACTCGTCAACATCTTGAACAGGGCTTTGGCGCAGCATCGGTATGGTCATCTCATGAAGAATACCTCGAGACCACCCCCACTAACCACCATGACCAGACTACGGGACTCTTCTTTGACTCCCGCCAAACCCAAATCCCTATTCTTCAACACTTACGCCACCCTCACCGCAATCGTTCGCGAAATCAGCTACGCAACGATTCACCCACTCACCGTGGGAAACTACACGATCCACTTCCCTCCTCTCGGACCCGTCCTCATCATCCTTGCAAACCTAATCACCATCCTCGTCCTCTCTTTTTACAAACTAGACACCACCGACGTCTGGAAATGGGAAGATGTCGGTTACAGCACCGGCTTCATGGCCATCTGCCAACTTCCCCTGATCTTCCTGCTGGCAGGGAGACAGAATATCATCGGCTTCCTGGCCGGTATGAGCTACGCCAATCTGAACTGGTTTCATCGATGGGCTGCGCGTACGCTCTGGCTTACGGCGACGATCCACATGTGTTTCTGGTTCCGTGACTGGGCTCGGTACGACTATATCAAGTACGAGCTGTACAATGATGAGCTTACGAAGCGTGGGTTTGCGGCGTGGTGTATCTTGACCTTCATCGTGGTCACCTCGATCCGGCCTATTCGAGGTCTCAGCTACGAGGTGTTCGTTTTGCAACATGTGGTCACCTTTGTCGGGTTCATCGTTGCCGTGTGGATGCACGCACCCAACGAGGTCAGGATCTGGGTGTGGATCCCGATCGGACTGGTGGTGTTTGACCGTGTGGTACGATATGTCTGGGGTGCATATGCCAATCTGGCCGTATTTCACCGGAACAAGAGTGGCAAGGGGAGTCGAGTGTGGAATCACTCGGCGACTTTCACCCCGATGGCGGGCAACATTACCCGGGTGACTGTGGATAACCCGGGGATTCATTGGCAGGCCGGACAGCATGTCTTCCTCACTTGCCACACGATCGTACCATTGCAAAGTCACCCGTTCACTATTGCCTCACTGCCCGATGATGGAAAGTTGGAATTCTTCATCCGCGCAGAGAATGGAGGAACGAGGCGTTTCTTCCGATATGCCTCGAAGAATGACAAGGTCCTCGGAGTGGAACCTGCAGCCGCTGCACGAGGCCGAACTGTATTTGTCGAGGGCCCGTATGGAACTATCCGATCCCTGCGCCAATTCGATAGCGTCGTTCTCCTAGCCGGAGGCATGGGCGCAACGTTCACAATGCCTTTACTACGGGATATTGTATCGGTCTGGACGAACGAAAGCAACGGCCAGATCGGCCAGGGATCCTTCCAAGCCAAGCGTTTGGCAGCGACAAAACGCATTCGATTTGTCTGGGTAATCAAATCCCGGGCTCAACTGAGTCTCTTCGAAACCCAACTACATTCCGTCTTGGCAGACGTGGGCGAGTGCCGTCTCCGACAGCCCGATTTCCAAAAAGAACTCGAAATCAGCATCTACATCACCTGTGACGAGAAACTGGAAGCTCCTACCACGGCACCACCATCCCTCCCACCACCTCCCCAAGCCCTTGTCACCAGAAACCTGGATTACTCAGACGAAAAGGGCCTTTCCGCTGAAAAGGACCATATTTCTATCCACTCCATTTCCGCAGAATCATCATCAACCGCTGAACCCCCGGCGGCGGTTGGCAAAGGCTGCCTCCCCGGCGGCGGATGCTGCTGCACCACACAAATCGAAGACGAAGATCAAATCAATACTTGCGCGTGTACCTGTTCTGGACCGGTACAGTCCGAAGAGATGATTCCGACTCCCAACGCAGTCGATGAGAAACCCGCCCTTTCAAAGGCGTCAACCCCATCGCCTTCTCCCACAGTGCTATCTGGCCGCCCCTACCCGCGAACGATCATCCGCAAAGTGCTCGAGAAAGCCGAGGGCGAGAGTGCCGTTGTCGTTTGCGGTCCACCTGGACTGAGTGATGATGTCCGTCGCAGTGTGGTTTATCTTAGTGACGAACGGGCGGTGCATAAGGGGACGGGGGCGCAGGGTATCTATTTGCATGTCGAGAATTTTGGGTATTAGGAGGATTATGCTGTATGGCTGGTGTTTATATTTTTAGGTGCATGGTACATATGAGACGAATTCATGAACATTTGATGAGCATTGACATTGTTTTGTAGAAGGGCGTTGCGTCAAGTAGGTCGTCGGTAATGTTTGGTAGACGGGGGAAAGGTACCTAGACTTTGTGTCGTCTAATTGGTGTTCTATCAACTGTGAATCGAAGAATAGTACTTTTGTTGCTATTGTAGCAGAGATATTTCGAATTTACAAGTTCAAAGGGATTCAAGTATTATTGCCTAGACTAGATTCACACTCTGTTGATAATATTTACCCAACAAGTACCATATTAACCAGCCATCAACACAAAATTTCACAACCTAGATAAATTTCTCTCCGAAGACAATTCCAATCCGAATTCCATGCTCTACCACTCAAAACCTGAAATACCAAAAAAAGACCCTTCTACAGTAAAGATAGTCCCTAAATGACGAACTCACGCTAAACAAACCCGCGCCAACCCGATCGAGATCCCGGCACATGACATCATCCCATGGAACCTCCAACCTCCCGCAAAAGCTCTCAGCTTCCCTTCTCAGCATCACTCTTCAACCTTCACCCTTCACCTCCCAACCCAACCTCTCTCATCCACCATCTCATACAACCAATCTCAATCCGCGTCTACCTCTACCAAACACCCTCAAAATGTTCCGCTTCGTACGCTCCCCCTCCCCCCCTCCTTCCCACCCTTTCCGCCCACCTCATGAGTCCCTCTGACTAACCAACCCACCAATCTCTCCCAGAGCAAAACCCTCGACCCAATAACCCTCTTCCACTCCCCCTCCCTCGCCCCCTCAACCCGAGTCCTCAACATCCTCAAACAAGCCTCGATCGCCGCCTCCGAAACCGCCACCGAAGACCAAGCGTCCGACCACTCCGCCCACAACAAGCAGCAGCGCGGCGAGTTCGAGCTCGAGGTGACCACCTCGGCGCCGACGACCGACCAGCTGCACAGTATCCTGGAGTATATCAGTCCGGTCAGCGGGACGGGCGGGCAGGGCGGGAAGGCGGTTTATGGAGTTGGCGAGTTGGTGAAGGGGGCCAAGGATGCGGAGGATGCGGTGAAGAAGTTTAAGGAGGATCAGGAGCGGTTTGTTAGGCCTGTGGTATGTATGCTTCTTTTTTTTTTTTGGTGGATTGTGGGGGGAGGCAATGGGTCTTACGGTATGAGCTATTTTTTGCTAATTGGGTTTTCTTTCGGTGGTAGACTGTTGATTGGGTGAATGGTCGCGCTGTGATTGGCGATAATGAGTCCGAGATTTTGCGCATGGTGCGCCAGCTTCCTGAGAACTAGACGACTGATAGGTCTTTGTGTTCGAGCGGGGAAGTCATCGAGGAATTACTACCGAGTCGCGACTACATTACTCAAGAATCGGGGATGAGCAATCATAGAAGCAGGATATCATGGATACTGGCTGACGGAAACCCGTCAACCTAGTTCTATGTATGTATGATACAAAGTCATTTTGCAAACACTCCAACCACACGTAAAACAAACAAAGCAATAAGAGTGTAAAAGACATGTCACGTTGGCGGTTGCACGTAGCAAATGCAGATAATAAACGAGTCAGACGGACTTGACAAGGGAAAACAAAGAATGCGCCATTAAACTCATACAGACAGCTATCACCAGGAATACAACCCCAAAACCAAGAACCAGCTCGGCGGAGGGAGATATCCAGCGTGACGAAGCAAAAGACATAAGGACGAATGCGGTAGACGGGTAATAAACAGCGACATCTCCAAGTCAGCACTAGAACATCGTTCCGAAAGAACCATCCGTGGCAATCGGCTTGCGAGGCGAACTACGCCCGGCACTGTCGACGGCTGGTTTACGGTGTCTGCAGAGAGAAAAACACGTTAGTAAAAACTCAAAACGACCACGAGCCAGACGAATCAAAGCCATCACATACCGGAAAGTAAACCCGACAAACAACCCCTTGTTCATCTTCTCATCACGCTCGGCCATCTCCTCCAACGCCCGCTGCTTATCATGCACCTCCTTGTACTTGGCCATATCCGCCTCGTTGCTAAAGTCATCGAAATACCCCGCATCCGTCTCCGAATCCAACTCTGGCACAAAGGGCGCCCGCTGCTCCCGCAATCGCGAAAAGTCCACCTCGGCAAAGTAATCGTGCGCATGAATCTCCTGGATATTCTTGAATCGGGTCTCCTTCGCTGCTACCAGGGTCGTGATCAAGTCCCAGGTTCGCCGGGACAGGAAGTAATTCGGATCCTCGTAGACTGGCTTCCGCAACACCTTTTGCCAGCGCTTCAGGTTCTGCCATGTCTCGTCGACGGTAGCACCTGCGAATGGTGGGTACCCGGCCAGCGCTTCGAAAAGCATACATCCCAGACTCCAGTAATCAACGGTGAAATCGTATTCCTCGCCCTTGAGCACTTCGGGAGCCATGTAATCGGGAGAACCAACAATAGACTTGGCGTAGTTGACCTCGCGCTCGCGCAGGGAGCGATAACCCTGCCGACGCTCGGCCATGGTCCGTTGTTCCATGGGGCGGCCAAAGGGGACCGGCGTGTTACCGACTTCCTCGAGCTTGACGCGCATTGACTCGATCTTGCCCGGACTCAGCATGCCGGCTGCCAGACCAAAGTCGGTCAGCTTAACGTGACCGGTAGAGTCGATCAGGAAATTCTCGGGCTTAAGATCGCGGTGAATATAGCCAAGCACGTGCAGCGCATCGATACAGCTAAACATCTCGGCAATGTAGAACCGCGCATGCCGATTATGCAGCACGCCCGTATTATTGAGAAGCGTGCGGAAATCGCCACCCGGCACGTACTCCATTGCCAGATAAATCTGTTCATCGTCCTGGAAGGCATAGAGCAGTCGCACGAGCCACTCGCTCTTGGCGGCAGTCAAAATATCGCGCTCCGTGAGAATATGCCGGATCTCATCCAGCTTGAACAAGAGCCGTTTACTCATGACCTTGAGTGCGCAGACCTCGCGCGTATCCTTCTTCTGTGCGAGATACACCTGTCCATAACCACCCTGACCGACCTGGGTCAAGATCTGGAAATCATGTTGGCGCAGACGGGTGCGACGCTTGCGCAGGTGTGCGCGCTCGCGTCCCAGATATTTCAACAGCGCGGGCTCGTATTCCTCGTTGGGGGTGGCAGGGGGTTCGGGGTATGCGGATTTGAATTGTGTGTGCCGGGTTTGCCGGTTATGGACGTAGCTGAGGAGATCGAAGTAGTGGTCGAGGAAATCTACTCGCGATTTGTTAGTATAAACCACCTTTTCTCGCCTGGATTCTTTCCATTTTTGTTCTCGTCACGTACAGAGTTGCGTCACGTTCACCAGGCGCTTAACCCGGGGTTGTTGTAGCTTCTCCATCTCCTCCGGGGTCAGCCCGCGCAACTGGACTTGGCGCTTCGACGTGTCGGCATCCCGCTGCTGATATAGCTCATGGCGCGAGAGGGCAGCGGCAGTCGGTCTGGATCCTAGATCCTTGGGAAGGCGTGTGCTGGTCGGAGGTGTATTTTCTTTATTCGCCCGGCTGCTGCGCGTGGGACTTGAAGGTCGCTGGTGGATGACGCTCTCGTTCAAGTCTTCAATGTTGCTCCTGTCGGAGGTAAACATGGGATGATTGAAGTGGTTATGAGTGGATTTGGAAGGCGAAGAAGGCGTCAACTTCAAGGCTTTATCGAAGACATTGGGTAGATCGAGGGATCCGGGAGGTGGTCTCGATTTGCTGGGACTACCCTGAGGAGTTTGTGTGGGACTGGTGAAGCCATGCTCGGCGGGGGTGGAGGGGCGGTCGAAGGCCTCGCCGCGGGTATGTAGTAATGGCGGGGGATTGGGGAGTCGCAGACCAAGACGGTCGGGGTCGGATGCGACGTCGACAGCCATGGTGTGTGTGTGTGAGAGAGAGAGAGAGAGAGAGTTGTGTGGAGGACTGAGGAAGGGGAGGTTTCGGTGGTTGAGAGGGAAAGAAGAGAGGAAGAGGTGTTGGGCACGGAGGGAGGAGTGATCGTCGAGGGGTCGGTTTGATGTGGCCCCCCCTTGATAAGGTGACTAGCCTGAGGCTGAGCTGGGGGACTGGGCGGGCTGAGAAAAGCTGAAGAAATCCGTCTCAACCTGGAAAATGACCTTCGGCGCTCAGACACGAATACAATGCCGAAGCCGAAGAATCACAAGTACCTTCCAAGTCAGACACACAAAGAACGAATCGACATTCCTACAGAAAGGCCTTTGTTGCAGAGTCCCCGTGTTTACTCCTGGGCTACGGAGTGCATCTAGAGAGGAAATAATATCCCACGCCTTGCGAGTCCCCCCCCAGTCGATCAGCTCCACTACGATCGATGGGATCTTGATTTGACCGTTCCCGCAGCCAAGAATAACATGAACATGCAAATAATCTCATCCACCTTGAACCTTCCGGAATCCCACTTTTTTTTTCCAAGGATTTGGATATCACAACTCCTCCCTGGTGTTGCCCTGGCAACATCTTTCCTCCCGCACGTCATTCACAGCCCGCCCATGTCCATCCCCGGCTGACTACCAATGGTGGCGCACGATGTAATTTCCAGGTGCCTTGCGAAGCTCCAATATCCCCCCACTCGGAGGGATCCTAGTGTGAATTGAGTTTTGTCGACGCCAGCTGAGCTCGATCCTCCACCCACGGAGTGCAGTAGTACTAACTGTGGGATCGGAGTTGTTCTGCTCGCCCCTGCAGGTCATTCTCCTCACGCGTCCGGCTTTGGATGTGGATGTGGCTTTTCTGGCCCCCATGTGATGAGACTTGTGAAACTGGCCCAGCCGTGATTCTAAGGTCCGGGCAGGAATTGGCTGGTAACTGTTCCTGGCAGCCGTGGTCCATGGCGTCGTTAGTCGGGCTCATATTCCTTGTTAGTTCCCCCGGAGCTTTGACCGCACTACGTGGTGGAATTGGGGTTACAGGGCCCGTTCTCCGACTTGATTGAAGTTATTTACAATGAAGCAGGTGGGGGGGTTCTCCAAGGCAGGACTATCCTTGCGATACGCACGGGGGTAAACAGGCAGCATGCGAGGAGATGGCAGGGATCAGGACGGTGACTACAGTACTTGGTGCAGTCCGTCCATCTCCACCGAGTAAGCAAACTACCGAATTGGGAATGGCTCGGACCCGTCGGCGCCGTTGCCATTTCCATGGGTCTGTCGCTTCACGGAGTCCCCGACTCGAATCCTAATGGAGTCAAGAGTCGGATCGCCGTATTGCGAGATTTTCATGGTTGATTTATGGCTACCGTGCGAAGATCATTGGGAATCCGAGAGTTTCAATTCTAGGGCTAGGATATGTCACATTTCTATTGCCTTTCACATCTTCTCCCGCTGGCCAGTCTGCGATATCGATTAGAACCATCCACGTCTCTATACGGCATCTCGTCTCGTCCTCGAAGATTTGGATTCACTCACATAGAATGCCAATCCGTACGTCTCAGTCGTAAAAGTAATCTTCGCTCCCTTGGGGAAATAAAACACGTCCCCCGGCAACGCAGTCACCTTCTGGCCCGTCTCGTCGGAAATCTCAAATTGTCCCTCGAGAATAATCTTCATCTCATCGTAGGTATAAGTATATTCGAGCGGGGTTCCTTTCTCCAGACGATAGAAGCCGGCTGACATGGGCTTTTCGGCATTATCCTTCTCGCTGCAGGAAATAAGTATGTAAGTGGGGTCTGTTCCGTGCTGCGGGACTCTCGAGTTTTATTCTCCGAGAGATGGCGTACCTGGAGACGATATCGCCCAAGTAGGCGTTCTCGTTGGCGAGGAGGGGAGGCTTAAAGGTGGATTGAGCCTTGGAGTGGTAGGTGAATGGGACTGCCATTGCGAAGAGTATTGCGACGATGATGTGGTTTTCCGTGGAAGGGGTGGATATGGGGTAGAGCTGCAAGCAATAATAGTGAGATCCCTACCGGTCGCTGGAACTCCTTCTTGTCTTATATTCGAGTCTTTGATCACGGTCGATTGGTAGACCCCCGCTCGAGTGAGGGGGTTGCGCGCGATGAGCTCTACCTTGAGCTTGAAGACAAGGCAACTGGATCCTGGTCAGTAGTACTGCCGGGCTTCTATCTCCCGACTAGGCAGGCCGGAAGGCCAGTCATGGATGGGCTGATAACGAGGCACTCTTTGAACATGGAACGCAATGAGGGGGTCCAGATCCGAGCGAGGGGAAGCTTTGAAGCTTGAGATAACAGTCTAAAGGCGCTCAGCTTGGAGCTTCCGAATGCCCCGAGTGGTGGCCAATGTGGGGATCATATTGTATTGACTGGAAGCCCTGGTTTCTCAATTATTCCTGCCATCGCCATAGCTCTAAGAATATTACAGAGGTTCCTCAAGGTCACGGCAAAGTATCTGTGATAGTTGCTGGACGGATGATGATGATGATGCTTCCCCGCGATACTGAGGATCTTTTTTCCCGAAGCGGCTAGTACTTCCCTGCTATACTCCCTTACAAATCACCTGGTCCTCCACATCTACCTACTTCGACTACCCATTATGCCCCCAATTCGCTCTGAATCTTCACAGACATGGGCGTTCATTGCTTTCTATCTTATAATTGTATAGGGCGCGAGAGATAAAATCGGTAATGATGCTAGTAGCCTCTTCTAATCGGTCCCGTTCTATAAGCTAACACGTATTTGGATTATCGGACAGCTGTCTGATTCTGAGATACTCAAGTGCGCTGCCGGAAAATAGCCCTGGATGACGAGATCTAAATCTCTAAATGGTGTAATTGTGTGCTTGTAGTATCAGTCTGTTATTTTAGTTACCTTAGAATTGAGCGGAAATAGTACTGTTGCACCTTCCGAGCAACAGGATAATTTCATATCTATCTTTGCCTCGGATGCGCCGTTTACCGGGGCGTGTCATCGTCCAACTCCATATGGAAACCTGCCTCAGGACCATGACCACAAAGGAAGAGTGAGATCAGCCTTTTCAGATCCTGTGGTATCTTGTGGCATCGGTTTTAATGTACATGTCTTTACAAACGCGAAGGATGAATCAGATAGAAAAAGTGTCTCCCATCATGAGAGCCTGCTCTGTCGCCGATAAAATCTACAACACGACTACAACAGAATGAACCTTGAAATCAACCTTGTCGAATAGAAGAACGTGTTTCTGTACTACTGTACAACTCATAGTTCGGCTCCCCACAAGCGGCGGCTCACTGACAAGTAGCCGCGCGGAGAAACTGTATTTTCCGACCCAGCGTGGTTCACACCGGCGCCGATGCCGAGTCTCGGCTCGTGTAGCCATCCATGCTTGACAGAGCCGACACGCTTAAAAACCTTCACACTATCCATGGTTTTTTGGGCAAGTCGCCTTGACCATTTCCTCGATCTACACCGGGAAATGCTGTCTGAAACCTTTCTCCGACCATCATCGGCGTCTCGGCTTCGTCAGTAGCAGACATGCCAGCGCGAAGAAGCCGAGCGCCAGCGGCTTGTCTTTTCTGTCGCTCCAAAAAGGTAATTCCGGATGTAATCGCGCCCGTAGGTGGAGACTCTTCGCTAATATCTAGGAAATTATATGATCAGTTGAAATGCGACTCACAGAAACCAAGTTGTGGTAATTGCGTGGCAAAAGGTGTAGATTGCCAGCAAAGCGCTGCCAGGCATAAACCAAGGTCGATATTCAATCCTGCGATTCAGCGCACGCCTACTGACTTCATTCGACAGGCCAACAAACCAGCGCATCAAGCAACTAGAACAAGAAAACGCCATCCTTCGCCAACAATGTAGTCAGCAAACTCCGGACCTTGGAGTCCTGGAGCGATCTTCTTTGATTCCAACAGAAGCTTCTTTGGCGGCGCTCAGTCCGGCACGGAGCAGGCTCACAGGCTCAATCTCACACCATGCTGAGCCCTCACCGAGCGATAATCAATCAAACAGGGGTCGAGATACGTCTCATCCAGAGGTACCAGATAGCGAAAACCATCGCCACAGTTCTTCATTGTATCACGGCCCGACCAGCACTGTCTATGACGACACTGCACATTCTGGAGTTGATGAAGAAGAGTCAGAGACGTTTGGTTCACCCGTTAGTGAAGAGTGGGCTCGTCACCTGCTCTTTGCTCAAACGGCAAGGCAGAGTAGGTACTAGGTCCAAACTAGCTGAATAGTAGCTAACCGACCACCTCAGGGCAACTGGAGCCTTTGAACCTAGCAGCAGGGAAGCTCGACTTTGATGGTCTCGATCCAGAACTCGGCATGCATCTACTATCGATCTATTGGAGCCGTCAACTATACACCGCCCAGATCACATACCGTCCAGTATTCATGCGAGACATGGCCTGTAACGGGCCTTATTTCTCGAAACTACTACTGAATGCAATCTTATTCACCGTTTCCAAGCATTGCTCTCGGCCTGAACTACGCTCTGACCCGGATGACATTACCACTGCAGGATGGAGCTTTCGTCAGCGGTTCACTGAGCTTCTGCGAGAGTCTTTCGATAAGAGCGAGATCACCACATTACAAGCATTAATCATCATGTCCAACGCGCTATTCTCAAGATGTGACGAACGTAGTCTGTCTTGGCTGTATGCTGGAAATGCGTTCAATATGATCATTGATCTTGGTCTACATGTCCTTCCCTCTCCAAACAAGATGTCCGCAGAGGAACTTGAAGTTCGAAAGCGTGTCTTGTGGGGTGCTTACAGTAAGTCCGTTTTATGTTTGAAATCTAGAGATATGTACTGATCTCGCTTAGCAATCGACAAGATCCAGTGTCTCCTCCAGGGAAGACCCCCATTGCTTCGCCAAATAAACTTCAAAGCATCTCTCAATTTCTTGGACGAGTACGATGAGCTCGACACATTCAAAGATCTCACATACAGTGCAACTGAACACCAGTCCGTGATACCTTCTCTCAACGTCTCTCTCCTGACAAAACTATGCGAGCTGTCCATAATTTCCGAGCGCATTCTATGCGAGCTCTACTCTGAATCGCAAAACATGAGCCAGGGTCAAAGCCAGGAGATCTCGGCGGATATAAGCTCTGCTCTCAGCAAGTGGCGCTCAAGTCTGCCTCCCCAGCTCGACTATATCTCCTATCCAAGGGAGTCGGTCCTTTTGCCTCAAGCCTTCTGCCTCTTGTATGCTCCGCCAAAATTGACAACTTTGACCTCGGCTAACTCCTGTTAGGGCACTGTCAAACGTTCTCATCATCCTCTCTCAGCGCCCATTGTTCACAGGTAGTACTCACGGCCACGCTCGAAATCCAGCCACTGCCTATGAAGCTGTCAGTATGTGCACTGCGGCTGCAAATCAAATCGTTCAAATCTTGCGCGACTACTCCGCGCACTTCTCCATCACGTCTGCCCCCTACATGCTTTCTTACGCAACGTACATCAGCGCCACCATCCACGTCCGGATAGTTGCACAAAAGGGACGCGGGTCTAATTCCTTCCAGTGCCTCCTACTTTGTCGCGATGTCCTACGACAACACTTACGGCTCTACGCGGCAGCAGGCAAAGCCATGGCCAATCTTGACAAACTCGTGGCTCATCTTGGCATTGTGATTACTGAAGGGGATGAGGTGGGCACTGAAGTGATTGACCCTGCAGATGATTTGCCAGCACAGGAAAGTATATCTGCACCCAACATTTCGAATGCTTCCGAACAGACGATCGATATCGGATCTCCACAGTTGAATTGGGGACTATCAGATCTTGACCTCGAGGCGATCGCTCAAAGCTTCCGGCTTGACGGGGAACTTCAATATCTGATGCACCCTGTTGGGATCTGAAGCTGACTATGTACAATACCATCTAACCATCGAAAATGATCCATTGTTTCGAACTCGCATGTCCTAGCAGTCCTTATTTACAATCATCCTCATAGTATGTCTGCCAGGGGTGTTTCTGCCGGAACCCGAGCATCTCCTTGATCTTCTTATTGGAAATCGGGGCATCTCGCGGTCCCATTTCCCTGGTAAAGGGTACATTTGGAGTTACTCGTTTGAGAAACTCGGTTGTCGAAGCGGTGTAATTGGTGATCTCATCGTTCACAGCGTTGAATATTTGAAATCCCAGACCATCCTTCTGTACAGCGAGATCACACATCTGCCCAAGATCCCGCGTGTCGGTATACGACCAAGCATGTCCTGCCCACGCTTCCGGGTTCTTGACATAATCAATGAACATGTCCTCCCTATATTCTTCAGGTGCGACCACTCTGCCAATACGAAGCACATAAATGTCGTTCCCAAATCGACGGGCAAAGCCACGGGCCACCCGCTCGCCGCAGATCTTCGAGATGGCGTATGTATCCATCGGATTGGCATCGACATCTTCGTCCACCGGGTATGACGGATAGTCGACATCTCCCTCTGCAAAGCTCACGCCATAGACGGTAATAGAGCTAGCAGTGATGATCTTCTTGATGTTCAGTCGAGACGCGGCTTCGATCACATTATAGGTTGACAAAGTGTTTCCGCGAAACGTCTCGTTATCCGGAGCAATCATGTTGCGAGAGTAACCAGCCAGATGAATGACTGCATCGGGGAGAAGACGTAATGGCTCACGGAAAGGCTCCGTTAGATGGAAGTGCGAGGTAAATGCACTATAGACTTGGCCGCTATCTGTCAAGTCGACAATGAGGGTATGAACACGTTTCCCCAGGTCGCCCGTCAAAGGCATCAAATCGAGGTTGAGAATATCATGGCCTTTGTCCAGAAGGTAGGAGATGATATGTTGCCCGGCCTTTCCGGAGCCACCAGTCACGATGATTCGTTTGCCCATTTGTATTGTAGGGGAGGTCCTGGTCACTTTGCTCTGAAAGTAGAATGTAATTTCGAACGCACAAGTTGCTGAGAGGTAAGATATTGGAGTACGAGAAGAAACCTGTTAACAAGGCCAACAGTATTCGAAAAGATGACGTGAAGCCATCCCCGTAATGTCGGCCAACATGCGGGGAGATGCTCGGGATATGACTTGCCGACTGGATCAAAACCACCCGACAGCTCTTAGCCGTTGACAACCGAGGATGTCAGGAGCGCAATCAGATGTTTGACTCACATATGATAGACAAAAAGAACAAATATTGTATATGATCTTAATTGCATGACCAAAATGCCATGGCAGATTTCATCTTTTTGCGTTATTGTCTCGTACTGGGCAGCAATTCACATAAACTAAGATACTAAGATACTTACTTGGCTCGGAGCATAACTTTCCGGAAATCACCAGTTCGGCTAAAGCCCATGAAAGTGCCGAAAAAGCCAATTTCTGATTGGCCCGTGAGTGTCTCAACTACCCCAGGACTCAATCTTCACCAATGGGAAATTGACATCCCGGTCCAAAGTGAGTAATATCCTTAAGACTGGTTGGACCCCTCGCGTGACATAAAAAGGACCTTGGCAACTAGCTATCTCGTCTTTCGAATCTCAAACAGCAAGAATTCATATTCTCCAGGTCAGGGAATCCTCCGAGCCATGTCTTGCTCCAAGAAATCCTGTGATGGCTGCTCATGCAGCAGCAATACGCAGCAACCTATCGAAATCGAAGACTGCATTAGCGAGCTTCAAGCTCTTCGACGACGCAATCAAGAACTAGAGACTCGACTCGGCCTCAATTCCGAGCAAGATGTACCAAAAGTCACAAAGAAGCCCGGTCGCACTCTACGGTCGGCGGCATGGTTCGACTGTCGCAGTGATCCCGGCATGACGGCCATTTACATGGAGCGGTATTTCAACTTCGGCATCACCCGTGAGGAGTTGATGTCCGGCAAGCCGATGATCGGAATTGCGCAGTCTGGATCGGACATTGCACCTTGTAATCGACACCACATCGAACTGGCTAAGCGGGTCCGCGAGGGTATTCGCACAGCCGGAGGTATCGCCATTGAATTCCCCACTCACCCTATTCAAGAGACGTCAAGACGACCTACGGCCACGTTGGACCGGAATTTGGCTTATCTCACTCTTGTGGAGATTTTGACTGGTTATTTCCTCGATGGTGTCGTTCTTTTGACGGGATGTGACAAGACGACCCCAGCATGCTTGATGGCTGCTGCCACCGTGGTAGGTTCCGCTCCGCGAGTTGCAGTTTGATGATTAATGGCTAATATGAACATAGAACATCCCAGCAATCTGTATGAACGTTGGTCCTATGCTGAATGGCTACGCCAATGGCACTCTCGTAGGATCTGGTGCTGTTTTGTGGAAGGGACGTGAGATGTATGCCACGGGCGAAATTGACGAAAACCAGTTTATGGATTACATCTCTCAGAGGTGAGCTCCTAATTTACTTGGTCCTCAACTATCTGGACTAACGAATGCTATAGCACTCCATCCGTTGGACACTGCAATACTATGGGAACGGCATCCACAATGAACGCCCTCGCAGAAGCTCTCGGAATGGCCCTTCCGGGATCTGCGGCTATTCCTGCTGCGTATCGCCACAGAGCTCAGTGTGCCTACGAGACCGGTAAACGGATCGTGGAAATGGTCAATATTGACATGAAACCTAGCGACCTGATGACCCGCGAAGCATTCGAGAATGCGATCGTGGCAAACGGCGCCATCGGTGGCAGTACCAATGCCCCTATTCATCTCAACGCAATTGCCCAACACATGGGTGTTGAGCTGTCCATGGACGATTGGGACACAATTGGATCTTCCATCCCTCTGCTATTGAACATGCAGCCTTCAGGTGAATACCTCGGAGAAGAATATTTCCGCGCAGGAGGTCTCCCCGCTATCATGGCAGAGCTCCTAGACGCAGGCAAATTGAACGGAGATGCGTTGACTTGCAACGGTCGCACGATCGCTGAGAATGTTCGTGACCAGCATTCCTGGGACCGCCGTGTCATTCGTCCATATGACGATCCCTTGATGAAGGATGCAGGCTTCGTCCACCTCAAGGGCACGCTATTCGACTCCGCCATCATGAAAACCTGTGCCATCTCACCTGCCTTCCGCGAACGCTACCTATCCAACCCCGACGATCCCGACGCATTCGAGGGCCCGGTCGTCGTATTCGACGGACCTGAAGAATTCCACAAACGTATTGATAATATGCCAGAGATCGATGACAAGACGGTCTTGATCATGCGTGGCGTTGGTCCACTTGGGTACCCCGGTGCGGCGGAGGTCGTCAACATGCACCCACCCGGTCGACTACTGAAGCAAGGAGTCGATGCCCTGTTCTGCATTGGTGATGGACGCCAGTCAGGCACGTCGGGTTCGCCCTCCATTCTCAATGCTAGCCCCGAAGCTGCCGCGGGGGGTAACCTTGCCATTCTTCAAAATGGCGATAAAATTCGCATCGACTTGCCGAAACGACGGGTCGATATTCTCATTAGTGACGAGGAAATTGCACGGCGGAGGGAGGAGGTATTCTCGAAGGAGTATCCCTTGGTTCCCAGTGGCACGCCCTGGCAGGAGATTTTCCGCCAGGAGACGGATCAATTATCCAATGGCATGGTGCTGAAGAAGGCTGTCAAATATCAGCGCTTGGCGCAGACGAATGGTCCGCCCAGACACAACCACTGATTATTCTTGTTATGCGTTACATTACACAATGAATATATAATGATACACTACTAGTTGAATACCAATGGACATGACTTTCTTCATTCACAGTACGAATATCTGTATCGACCCTATCGTATATATCAAGTCGGTGTCGATGGATGTATATTCATTATTGGTGATCGGAGAATTGATGGCCAACACGCCCTTGTCTACCTTATCCTTGCTAGAGAAAGAAGGTCTTTTGTCTGAGTGTCTTGTAGCGATCTGGAATTACGGACGTGTTGTGATGACAATTTTTATAAACTACCGAGATAGTATTTGCTAATTAATGGGTACTATTTTCCCTTGAGAAGTTGTCATGAATAGGTCGAAGTGCAATCAATTTGTGAATGATCTATCTTGTGACATATAACACATTGCTCGGAAAAACTAACAATCAAGCGAGTTTGGCCGAGTGGTTATGGCGTGACGTTTAGGTAATAAACATTACGACCGTCATGGGTACGCCCGCGCGCGTTCGAATCGCGTAGCTCGCATTTTTTTGGCCCCCGTTCATACGCCGGCTACAACTCTGATATGCACCAAGGCTTTCCTTTATTTTGTTACTTGTTATTCAAAAACAGCTCTACGGGTTGGAGACCTGAAAGTTGACAGAATTGGTCGTCAATCTCCGGCAGTTACAGTGCTATAAAGTAGACAAGGTCTCTGCAAGAGATTTTCTAATTAAATCGAGTTGTATCGCTGGAAGGAGAAAGCAATGCTTATGGCAAAGGACGAGGGAACATGACGCATATGTCAATTGAAATGAGCGTCTCTGAGCCTATCTATCTGAAACTTCCAGAGCTACCGGTTGGAAAGAGGGGTGGGTTTAGCTTCTCGTATGACCTTATCAATTTGAGTTTGTTTTGGTAGGAATACACCCAGTAGAGATTCTGGATCAATATCTTTTAGCTGCAGTATCCAGGCCCAGATCATCCTGAAAAGCGCGCGTTGGGCAACAAGATGTATCTATGGATATGACGTGCGCTCGTAAAAACCCATCAATGGCCCGCATCAACGCAGGCGCTATCAATCTTCCCTACGCAACATCAAGCGCAGTGGAAGTTTGCCGCAAGATTTAATGAGCCCCGTAGACGAGGATGGCAAATCCAAGAAGTACAACTGAAAGGCGCACGTGGCTTCAAATAAGGGAGTAAAAGGGTGGAAAGTGATGCTGTAGGGTTCGCAAGCTTATGTATCCTGCATTGCCACTGGGAGACGAAGGCATGTTTACAGGTTGTGCAATGTTGAAGATAAGTCAGGTATTGCAAGGCTGCACGGCGTGTCTGGGAGTCGAGAATGATCAAACTTGAATGGTGCTTGATGGGTTTTATTGGGAGGCTTTTCATTGTAGCGAATATTGGATTCAGATTGGTACGCATCGGGTGATTGGGATAGGTGCAGTGGATGAATAGGGTGATATAATTCATCATCAGCCAAGACTGAGTGGCTATTAGTACCTAGATCATAGGTCTGCAGTCAGATAAACAGAGTCGTAGAGGTAGAAACAAAGTCAACCCTTTATGCAAAACACTATCATCATAAGATCACATCTGTGGAACGAAAAGGTAGAACAAAATAAAAAGTAGCAGCAAGACCCGAGAACGCCGCGCTGACTGCCAAATTTGCAGGAAACCAAAAAAAAATTGAAAAAGAGATTTCAAGACAAATACTCGCAATAAGAAAGCGCTCGGACTGTTTCGTGAATCGTAATTAGTGTGTTCGAAAAAGTTTCGAGGAACTGAGCTGATCTTGACCTTGGCGGCTTTGCATTGTCAAAGCAGAGGAGTCAGGTCGAGAGTAATATCATTTTAACTTCGAGTCCAAGTAGACCAGGGGAAATTGTTTTAACCAAGGAACACTGTCTGAAATCAGCAGGATGTTCTCATGGCCAAAGTCCTCGGCAGATAATTTTCTTACCTTCCCACCCCCATTCTCCCATAATATTCACCCAATGCAACCTGCTTCGAATCGTTCTTTCGAACTCAATGTTCTCCAGCGAAGAGAGGGCAGATCCTCTCCTTGGCTGACCAGTCTTACTTGCAGTAGATACCGACTGTCTTCGCATGGATCTGTCAGAATGATCACCCGAGTTGACGCGCCTATGGAAGGCTCTGCCGTTATCGGTCGATCGTTGCAACGGAGAGGTAACCTTGCCCTTATTTTCGCTTGAAAAGGAGGCGGTTCTCCGAGTAGCCAACATCTCTTGCTGTTGCTGCTCCCGCTGTTCAGCCTTGAGCTTGTCCCGTCGAGCCCAGACTTCTCGAATGACATCCAGACAGCGATCGACACCGCCAATCATGAGGCGCGACTGGACAACAGCCCATCGCTCCAGAACCCACTTGCGGTCTTCTTCCGAGTCCACTTCAGCACCGGCAGCCAAAAGAGGGAACATCTGGATAATGGTGGTGCGCGAGGTAGGTGGCACGGTAGCCAACAAGATCAGAACACGCTTGGCGAGTTCTTCAGCCGGCTCGGACGGCAACTCTGGAACTGCTTGATGCAGATACAGCAGAGTTGCCCAGCGATAGGCATACGCCATCTGGATGCTGTGCTGCACTTCGGACGTAGGATCTTCTGGTGGTTCAAACCAACGCGGAGGCTCCCACTCTTCAACGAGAGCCTTGAGCTCCATGGCTTGGGAGACGATGGACAACGAGTTGGTGGAAGTCTTTCGAACGCGCTGAACCAATCTTCCAACTTTGCCAATCAGTGGGAACAGTGTAGCGGCACATCCCATCAACGGGTCAATCTCATGCACCGCATCGGTTGGTAAATGGAAGATGGAAGGATTGAAATCCTGAGGACCTGACTCATCAAGCGAGGTCAACCGTGCGATAACATCCATGTAGGTCCAAGTATTGTACAAAAATCGGATACGATCAAGTTCTTCTGGTTGAAGACCGCCCTGGAGACCGGCATTCAAGACCTGCAACATCAAGGCCTTTGCACCTCGTAGATGCTGGATACACGTGCGAGTATTCTGGTCCCAGGTATCAGCAAACGCCAAAGCGAGACTAGTCGCCAATGCCGTGTCCGCTCGCATGCTCTGAATTTGCTGCCGTAGACAAAGGATGCTCTGTCGCATGTGCTTCACACCTTGAACGCGCATTGATGGATTCTCCTTGGCAGCGTGGAAGGCAGACAAGGAGAGGATGGCATGGTGTAAAGCGGGGGTGCTTTTTGCCAAAGGCCAGATAAGAGTTCGCCATGGGTTTTCCATCATACCATCTTTGATAGATAGTATCCCACACGTCAGTTGATCGAATCGCATTGTCAGCATCTCTTGGCTTTCCGGTGGTAGGGAGGGCTGATTGGGGAATCGTGACAAATGAAACGGATTGTCGGCTGAGCCCGAGAAGCTCATGCTCCAAGGCCCTTCACCGGGATCAGACTGTCGGATAATCTCCTCGATATCCTCACTGTCATCCTCCAGCAGCCGGGAGAAACTGAGCTCCTCATTCCCAGTGCCAGGTGCAGGCTGAAACTCCTGAGGGCCAAATAGAAATGCTCCCGGGTCTGACGTCAAATCATCAGAAAAAGGCACCGAGTGTTCGAATGGTTCCAGAAAAGAAAGAAAATCCAATGGATCCGAGTCTACCGGCATCGAAACGCCGCCAATCGGGGTGTTCTCGTCGCCCGTGGATCCTTCATCCTTGAGGACGCCAAAGTCATCTACAGAATGGGCATCTGCAGACAAGTGGCTTTTGATACTTCTAGGCGAGCTATGCAAGGAGGAATCTGGTGGTGAATTGTTGAAGGCAACGGATTGTGGAATGGTCGGCGAGGCTGGTTGGACGGTCGTCGGGGGTGAGGGAAAGTTTTCCGGATCTCCGACCGAAACGCGTCGTTGAGAAGAAGGATTCGCTATATGTAGGGCATATAGTGTCAGTCGGCAAAGAAAGTCGATTGTTCAAGGATTCGCCATCACTCCGTCCGGTACCTTTCTTACCCTTGGTCGCGGTCGGCCGTCCAATCGCCACGTTAGTCTCCTCGAAGGGCCGCCATTTAAAATCCTTCTTGTATCCACCACATGGAACCTTTCGCCGGTGGCACTGGTGACAGGTCGGCTTGGTCTCGTCGCACTTTAACCGCTTCGCCTTGCAGGTGATGCAACCTGGGCGTAGCGGATAGAGATCGGGTCAGCGATTCTGCGCAGACAACTTGGGGAGGTCCACCCGTTGTGACGGGGCCTCTAGGCCCCCCCTATGGGTGGGTGAATGTATTCATTTTTTATTTTGGATTCACGATGAGATGGGATTCTCATCCAGAGACGAGATCGTACCATTGCGACTCTTGGTTTGCTTGGGTTTGTTGGAGGCCGTAGTAATCTGCTTGGTCCTTTTCGGAGGCGAAGCAGGCTTGCCCCGCGTGGACACCGGGAGGGGGTCGGGCGAGTCTAGAATCGTCGAGGGAGATGGGATTTTGATCGTGTCCATGCCCAGGCAATATTGGGTGAATCCGGGAGCAGGTAGTAGGAGAGATGATAGAGGAGTATGGATGAATGGGGATCCGAACAAAGACCTCAAGGAAGCGGCTCTGACAAAGAGCGGGGGGAGGTTCAAAAGGCCGAAGATAAGACGGCGAGAACAGCGAATGATGAAAGGCTGATCTTGATCGTTGATAGGATGATAGGGTGATAGGGAAGCGACCAGCTCGGAGAACGGGAGGTGGACTGGATGATAAGGCGCATCTGCGGGGGAATTTTGGGTTTGGCTCTGCCGTTTGCCGTTTGCCGTGGTGCCGATCTTTGGAGAATCCTTGCTAGCGCTGCTGAGGGGTCTTAAGCTGGTATCAGTTCTCCCATCGGTAGGGTTCGTTGGCCAAAGCTATCAGGGGCGTTGTAGTCAAGTCAGAGGATGAACGTTGTACGGTGGAAGCAGATGCCAAGACTTGGCTATCACCTCCTGTTTCTCCACGAGCAGGGCGAATGGCGATAGATTGGTATCCGAGCGGAGACCGTTTGCTCGTGCGGGGGAGAAAAGAGTATACTTGGTACGACTCGGAGCTCACTTGCTATTGGCGGTTGATCCGGAACAGGCCCGTGCCCGTGGTCCAAGGGGCTGGAACACGCCCCGATATGAACGTTTTCTGTCCTCGTGACCGGCTGCAAGACTCCATCTGGAATCTGAAATTCTAGAACGGGTCGCCACGTTAACTTCTACCCGAGGAGGCCTCTTGATCGCTGAAACCCGTCTCTAATACACTCGCATCGAGCCTATTTACGAGGATTCCGTCCCACTTTCAATGAGTGAACCCTGAAGAGTCAAGAGTGGGGAGATATGCCAGATTTTTGGTTGACATGCGGGGAACCCCACCGAGTCCTCGGAATCCACACATAAGTTGTGCTTTATGTCAATATCAAGAGTTAACATTGATTTGTCGTAGACCATTATAGGTAGTGAGCACATACATGTAATCAACTCAGGTAAATTCATGAATACCAAATACTAAACTAGGACATAAAAAACATTGGAACCAAAATACACAGTATAAGAGAACCCTTCGGAAAGAAGTATACCCCTCCTAGTATGTAAACTGAATCAAAAAGTCGATTTGCCAATAGCAACCTCTGCCAACTGCAGTCCTCCCACCAAATCATTCGCTGCACCCATCACCAAAATAGCAATCAGCCGCGAATCCGGCTCCTCATCATTGACTGCAAACGCATAGGCAAGACGCGAGGCGATCGAGGCTAGGGTCGACACTTCCCCGACAATGGCCGCATCGCGTGTATTACTCTTGGACTTCTGACTAAGTTCATAGAAGTGCCAGATCGACACGATGGTGCCATGGATGCAGAGGACGCTGTCCAAAAAGGCACCGACTCCGCGCGCGTCCTCGACAACAAGGGACCCGAGCTTGATCTTGGGGAATACCCGCTGGCCGAGGCTTGAGAAGACCACCAGACAAGTGACGACAGCGACGGAGGTGATGCCGGAGAATATCCGGATGGGTAAGCTTTCGACACCATCCATGGGCACGAGGAGGTCGCCAGCTGCAGTAGCAGCAGCGCAGGTGAGACCGATGATTGTCGCTGGGATGCCAATCAGCTTACTGTCTGTTTGGTCCTCCGCCTCCAAGGCCTTCTGGAGATTTCCAACCAGACAGAGGATACCGCTAAACATGTGTAGACCTTCAAAGACGGCTTTCTGGATATCGGTTGGCATGGAGATCGGACCCTTGTGCTCGTCGGCACGGGAGGAAGAGGCGGATGATTGGAGGAGCAATGATCCAAGGGTCTGCTGGCCGAATAAGCCCGCCATGTCCTCCCAGCTGCTTGCAGAAACCATGGCCTGAACAGAACTGTCACCACTGGGGAACGGGGCACGCCCCTCGACGACCTTGTAGACAAGAGTCACTGCCACTGCTCCAACCCAGGTGAAAAGGTCTAGGATGGAGAGATCCGGCACCCCGATGTCATTCAGGATGTCGGAAATGACAGGAATATGTATCTTCGTGTCGAGGACATCAATGGCGGACTGCGCCAGTTGGGATAGCACAGTTAGGAGAGCGTCTACCACCACCTGTGTGCTAGAAAGCGTTGTATCAACCAGGATAGCTGCAATGCGCTTGAGAATGTCTGTGACTGACAAGGAGGAGAATTGCTTGACGAGATCTTGCAGCTGGGTGAAAGTCGCCTCCAGTACTTGTCCTTCATTGGAAATAGCTGTGACCAAAGTGTCAAGGAGCCCCTCTGCACCTGATACAGAGGGAGAGTCTCCCACGATCGTCAACTGGCCGCTGTGATCTCTGTACTTGTCGGCCAGGAATTTCGAGCTGGAGGTCTGATTCTTGGATGGGTTAGAGCTGCTGCCCGAGGGGGGTTGCCCAGCTACATCCCCCAGGCCCGGAGCCCAGTTATCAATGTTTGCCCATTTATTGATGTCCTTCTCAGCAGCGGCGATGGCCCCATCAAAGGCCTTCTGCGCTTTCGAGATGTTGTTGACCTGATCCTGCAGCCACAGCTTGGAAACATTATGCAGCACGTCCTTGCTCCGACGGATATCGTCCCATTCGAATAAAAACTCAGCAAAGCGGATGATATCCTCGATGGCGGTTTTCACAGCCTTGAACACCCACTCCATCGCACCCACGACTGCATCGACTGTATCCAGCACGGCGCGGTAGGCTTGACCGGCAATAGTGACCACAAAGTGCAGGCTATCACTGACCTCATCGTAAACCACCTTCGCAACATGCTCCACCGTATCGACAACATCGTCCCATGCGCTCTTTAACCAATTAAAAAGATCACCCGCTGCCGCAGCGAGACCATCGAAGAGTCCAGTATTAGATACCCGGATGTTTCCCTTGCTGAACAGAGCCGCGGGCACGACCCCATTATGACGACGCACGAAAGCTTGAACGGACGAAGCTTTGCTTTCGTTTGACGCATTGGCATAGCTTTCCTTCATTAGACCGAGATGCTGAGATAGCGTGTCGACATCATCTTGACTTGTTGACGATGGTATAAGAGGTTGGCTCCCAGGCGACCCAACCACGCCCCCAGCAGTTGTCTGAGCTGGGAACTGCGCGCTAGTTAACTTATCCGAGGAATCAAGCGCTGTAAATTTGCCAAAGGTATGGTCCATGGGGTTCAGGATTACAGCTTGATCGTCGTCTCCGTCAACGGCGATGGTCAGCGTGGTTCCGTTGATGCCTTCCACCGCCTCAACCACGGTGATTGAACCCGTCGCATCGGTGGATATCTGGGTAGGAGTGGACGACAAAACGTAATAGAGGCCATTGATGTACACCGGAGCACGACTATTAGCAGATATATTAACCGCAACATTGGGCGCCGGTGAATCATTGTCACTCTGGGTAACATGGATCGACGTGGTATATGACTTGAAACTAAGAGATTTCTGCTTTGGCTGTGAAGCCAGCATAATCTCCTGTGCTCGCCATATCCGTCCAGCAGAAGCTGGCGCCTGGATGATCTTCTGGAGTCGTCCATTGCCGGAGGCAAAAACAGTGTTACCACCATCCGCGCGGTTAATGAAAGCAGAGAGGCGCTCGATACCGGAAAGAATCAGGATAGGAGTACTCCAGGCGTCAGGTTGCGCCAACTTCTTCACTGGGCAGGAAACGTAGTAGACTTGGTACTTGTCGTTTCTCCCCCAGAGGGTTGTCACTCCGCCGTGGATCATTGCTCGGAGTGTGTCAGTCCCGGAGAAGAGGTCATTTGTAATGACTGCTATTGGTGCTACGTTCTCTGTCTGCTTGTCTGCCGGGTACAAGTACAAAGTGGAGCCACTGACTGCGTAAAGATCAGTAGTATGGTCTTTATTGCGAGATGTGGTGATGGCCGAGGGAGCGGACCCTCCTGGAAGAGACAGCCGACGTGGTGTGGGAGGGCCACGGCCAAAGTAGTTGACGATGGGCTCATAAACAAACTGTGGTTGTCCTCCTGTTGTCCCGGCAGTGTAAATCCCATCACCAAAACCGTTCTTCACTTGTCCTACACAGCTTTGATAGTTCCCAGCCGAGATATCGATGCTAACATCGTGTTTGACCCAGTAATGGCCAGTCTCACGATTCGGGTAGTCGATATGGTACCGGGTGATGTGCGGATCGGCCGCGTTTCCTGAAGGGCGATCGATATCAACGACCAGGTACTGCGTGCCACCCTGAGCCTCGGCGATCATTGTGCCAGTGATGGTGATTTTTTGATTTTGCTCATCAGCTGCATCAAAGGACACTGCTATCCATGCCGGCTTTGCCAGCCAAGATGTATCTTTGCTTGAGTTACCCAGCGAAAGCAAGAGAAGATCATCGCCATCTAAGTTGACGACCATCATCATGCTGATGTTACCATCCAAGCTCTGGGCGACGTCAAAGGTGATCACCGGGACGGGAGGTTCATGGCCAGGAAACTGGGCTTGGATGGCGGCTGTGGAAAGGTCGTGAACCTCCCATCCAGTATGTGAGCTGCCACTTTGCTCCTCAATAACATGCAAGACTCCAGATGAGTCGATAGCAAAGAGCAGGGCATGGCCATCACTACTTTGCAGGCCTTCGAACTTGCCAGCGGGTGCGATGACTTCTCCCTGGACGTAGTTTTGCATGAGCTCTGTAGCGACGGACAGTTGCCCAGGAGAGCCTTTAGACGCTTTAGAGGCTTTCTGCCCAAACGAGGCAAGATTCCCCCGGCGCCTGACGGAATTCCCCTCAAGAGGGTCCAGATAGGTAATCTCACAGACCAGATCTTGGTAATCAGAGAAGGAAGGGTTCTTGTAGGTGTAGACCTTGGCTCCAGGGAAGACAAAATTCTGCATTTGGCTAATTTGCAGGTCGTCGATCCCGCCGGACATCATGGGTTTGAGCTGGTCGCTAATCATGTTGATGGCCAGGATCAAGAACGAGTGCACATAGTTGTCGTCCTGCGGAGGCGCCTTTTCGGAGTGATCCTGAGGGTCACTTTCGATACTTGTCAGCTGCAGGTCTCCATTCATGGTCACTGAAATACTGTATACTTCGGTCAGGGTCTGGTCCAACATGTTCAGCTCATCCCCATACTCGCCCGAGTAGGGTACATCTTTGCCGAGCTTTACCCCGACCCGGAGCAAAAGATGCTGCTCGACGCGAATTTCCTGCTGCTCAAAGTAGACATCGCAGGTATAACTGGGCGTCATTTTGATCCAAGGGGCGTCCGGCAAAATATCAGCATTATGATCTCCTCCAAATCCCTCGCCAAAGTTGTTGTATTCAATGTGAATGACATGATTCCCCTCCGAGAGAACCTCGGCGATCTGCGGATCCGCTCCAGGCGTAACCCCAAAATCCCATTTGGGATGGATATAGGGCGTATAGCAGCAGGCATTGGCCGCTGGGCGAAGAGTGTCGAACACGTACTGAGCTAGGATATTGCGATTGATGGCGATCATGCCACTTTTTTCGTCAATATCGCGTGGTAGCACCCAGTTCCAGCCAAAGGTTGCGATTGATGGAAGCCGGTTGTTCTGAACCATACAGATATGGTTTAACGTCGTTACCCCCTGCTCGTCCGCGCTAGGGTGGGTAATTGGATCCCCCTCATAGTCCTTCAGGGGGCTCACGATCCGCTCGAATGCCGTCATCTGTAATGAGGAGGGATCAGGCTCCGTCGGAACCGCTGTGACGGACACAAGGGGAAAGCCATATTTCTTGGCATTTGCACTGTAGATATTGACAAAGGACTGCTCCAAGACCACGAGCGCGCTCGAACCAGGGGGGATCCCAGGGAATGTTGGGGTTGTCTCCAGAACCGCGTTATCTAGATCAAAGAACAACTGTTGAAGACTGAAGGCAGTGCCAGACGTATTGTCCAAGGCTCGCAGCAGCTGGTCTCGGATCTCTGGATGGCTCTGAAAGTAGGGAGTATCCAGCTCCCTGGCCAAATCGCCCATGACGAGATCAACGCGTGTCTGTACATTCCAGGGCTGGTCGGTGGAGCTGGAAGGGTAGGGCTGGTTCCAGACTCTCCAATGTCCATCTTTCTTATGGAACCCTGATGGGGGCGAGTTCTGGATGACTGTGATGTCCGAGCAATATAGATTAAAATTCACATTACTGGCACTGTTACCGAAGTCGACAATGGGCGGCAGGTTCTTCGGCAGGTAACCGGGGGGGATTCCAATTTGCATCTTGATCCCGACCACAAAGCCGGCATTGGTGAGAGCGGTGATGTCGGGGTCATCGTACGGAGTGTCCTCGTCAATGTCAAAGGGGTTCACTCCATTGGTCAATTTCAGTAGATCTTGCAGGCTTATCTGTGATCCCGGGTTGTCCGAGTCGTCGTCCACCAAGAAGCAGATATACTCCGGCTCCTGGGTCGATTCGGCTAGGAACTCCCAAAGATCGGAGTTGATGCTGGCCTGGGTGGTAGCGATGACGAAGTCACACTGATATTGAGGACTGGAGAGACAGGAGGCGCTGCTATCCATCGTTGAGGTATGATATGTGAGCTTGAAGAATGAGGAGGGTTGGAAAAAAAGGACAGGAGGATGTCCCTGTCAGCTCAATATTTCTCCTCTCCATGACCAAGTAGAATCGTCTGGTGTTTCCTTCTCCAGAGAGCGCCAGCTCTCTGCCAGCCACGTTTGATACAGTTCGCCTATAACCCTGTCGACCTCCCAAAGGGGATCATGATGCATCTGTGGCTCTCCCTCAGCCATTTAGCTCCCTTTACCGTCTTATGACAGCGCCATATCTGGCGCGGCAGCTCATCTTTGGGTCGAGGAGCGAAGGGCCATTGGTCACAAGTGTCAAGAAGTCGAGTACCTCATGCTATAGCCAGTAAGGTCGGTGGGCCGAGCTGCTGGGATGCAGAAATTGGTGGGCAAACATGGTCAGCCAGCCACGTAGGCATGAGGGGCACTGCTAGTATAATACGCGGGCCAGCTCTTGCGAAGGAGGGGTGGGCACCACAACGGCAGACAACCCCAACTTGGATTGCTATGCCCACAGCTTGGTCAGCGTCGAGCACCCAATATTTCTCAAAGAGAAAGAGACGAGGACGGGCATTATAGCTAGGAACAGCGATAATATCGTATGAAGAAATGATGGTTAGTTTCCCCTGTTGGCGGAGAGAGGGACCTGCGAACTTAACTTCATCGGAAGTCGAGAACACCCCTCAGCCAGCCTCCAACTGGTGGTAGCGGGTCTCATGATACGCTAGCTAAACCAGGCCTAGTGTGTTGTCCTCCGTGACGAACTCCAGCTCCCCACTATTGTTATCTCTCACTCCTTAGTGGACTGGGCGATTAGTGCGATGCAGCCGTAGTCCCCGTGACTCGCATGACTGCCAGTAACGTAAATCCTAGCCTATTCGGCCACCCCAAAACACCATGCTAAACGCGATAAATTACAGCTTCATATCTCAAAAGCCACAGGCTCATTTCTGTCGGAATTTTAGAATATAAAATTTTAAGGCATTAGAAGAGAATAGATAGACTTTCGACCTTTCAGACTAATATTTTAAAACTTTCCCATAACATACAGCGTAATTTCGACGTTTTATCCTTAGATATATAAAACTCTGCTAATACTCGAAGTACTTTTTATATACTTTACCAGTATCTTAGAAACACTACTAAGATTACATGTACTTGTTATCTTATCTTAAATAGAGATGTTTGTTGAGATATGAAGTTGTAATTTATCGCATTCATTATGGTGTTTTGGGGTGGCCGAGACGACGGGGTGGCCGAATCGGCTAGGACCTACGTTATATCTCCTACTCCACTCTTGGCAAGAAGGAAGGGGGTGGTTGAAATTGTAATAAATAGCCGTGACGGGCTTCGCAGAAATGAAACAGAAATTAAACAGCAATTAAACAGAAATTAAGTAATTTAGGCAGAAAAGTAGTGCCACCGGAATTTTGGGGTAGTGCCCCCAGAACTACCCTTGATATATTACTATTGTTATATAGCGTCGAACGCGCTCTTTCGCGCGCTGGCTAGACGAAAAAGAAAGCACAACAAAAATCTAAAGAACAGAACCCTTAATTACAAGATTTCTACCAGGATAGTTATCTAAATTTCGGTTATATTATCTCGTGTTTAATCAATCCGGATGCGATAAAAGGGTTGGATATAGGCAACTAGCTAGACACCACTCGGCGTAACACCAGTCTAAGTGTCAAAATTCTATCGCGGCTAAAGTTTCCAGATACTACCAGGGCTATATATGCTCAAGACAGTGTCATATTGTCTCGTAACTTCAACAGTTTAACAGATGCCGCCTTTTTCGAATCATTTATCGGGCAGCTTCTCCAGCACTATAGAAGGTGACAGGAGCTAAAATCCGTGCTTATTATGGATAACGCATCATTCCATCATTCAGGTCAAATTTAGACCTTATATATTAAGGTAGGAGTCAAGTTGATATGCCTCCCGTCGTATTCGCCGGATTTCAACCCCATCGAGGAATTCTTTGCCAAGCTGAAGGCTCATATCAAAAAACGCTTGGCCAGCATACGAAAAGAATCCTGACCAAGTGTAATCCCGAGGTCCGCGACAACCAGGGAAACATAGACCAACCGGCTTTAGACGGGTAGAAGTCTACTAACTAAAGGTCCACTAAGACTTCTGATCATTCAGAAGTCTTGATTCGCGGTTTATATACTATAGATCCGCTCACGGATCTCACAATGGTTCATTACCTTCTTTCGGCGATGCGTGTATATAGTAAGTGTGGGATAAGATAGCGCCGAAGGCCATTTCCGACATTCAGGTATTTGGATAGAGAACCTATGACAGAGCATCGTGTCTGCGCACTATCCGTTTCACGTTCTCACATTGTGCCAGTTTGGTCTGTTCGTGTTTGTGGCTTGTTATTTAGTAATGTTTTTATATTGGATGAAAGGCCCTGTCTCTTGTCGTTATAATGGTTGATTTTGTCAGTTGCTGTTATGATGATTGAGTAAAGGAAGCTATACAAACTAGAAGATGGCCCGAGCCGAAAGCCGTCCTGGTTATGGATAACGTATCTTTCCATCACTCAGGAGTGAGGCTGGTATTCCTTACTCCCCTGACTTGAATCCTATCGAGGAGCTCTTCTCATAATCAAAGTAGTCTTCGAAATCGGTTATACTTCCATACATATCGCCGGAAGATAGATGGTATAACAGCTGTTTCGTAATATGCTGGCTAAAAATAGAAATTTAGTGGGGTATAAAGAAAGGGGGTTCTCCGTGATGCAGAAGTTTCACCCACTCATCGTCAAGCTTAACACAAGTCTTTGCTTCTAAACACGACCAGTTTCAACGGAACTTATACATAGGGATCACCTCTTTCTTTTAATTCAAGCTCCATTTCTTATATTCGTCAATTGCCACCGCGGACAGAATGGCTCAGATCCAAGGCCACTGCGAAGCCCGGTTTTCTAAGCTACGCGATTTAATGCAAGAGTTCATCGCGTCCGGACAAGACATCGGTGCCAGTCTGTGTATCAACATCGACGGCGATAATGTGGTGGATATATGGGGGGGCTACGCCGACGCATCGACCAAGAAACCATGGGAAAAGGATACGGTAGTAAATGTTTTCTCGACCACGAAACTAGTCACCAACCTGGCGGCTCTAATGCTCATCTCGCGTGGTTTGCTTGCCCCCGAGGATAAGGTGGCCCAGCACTGGCCTGAGTTTGCAGCAAACGGGAAGTCGGAGGTCACTGTCGGCCAAATTCTAGCCCACACGGCGGGTCTCAGCGCCTGGAAGGACAATATGAAGCTGGAGGACCTATACGACGTCGAGGCGGCAACCGACAAGCTAGCGCGCCAGGCACCGCTGTGGCCTCCCGGAACCGCCATGGGATATCACGGCATAACGCAGGGATTCCTCATCGGAGAGCTGGTGCGAAGGAAAACGGGGATGTCGATCAACAAGTTCGTCATGGAGGAGATTTGCCAGCCCCTGGGCGATGGGGCCGACTTCCAGCTTGGGTGTCGCAAAGAGGACTGGAACCGGGTGGCTCCCGTCATACCTCCACCAGGGCCTTCTATCCAGCAGGTGCTTAGCCAACAGGCGGGATGTGAGCAGGACTCGATCGTAATGCGCACGCTTTGCAACCCCGAGCCCAAGGCCGAGGACGCTAACACTGAGCTCTGGCGGTCCAGCACGTTGGGCTCAGTCAATGGCCACACAAACGCTCGAGCGTTAGTCAAGATCCTCTCTTGTTTCTCGCTCGGTGGCACATGTGCGGAAGGAGGCCATCGCCTGCTGTCATCCGAGACAGTGAAAGTGGCGCTTGCAGAGCATGCGACAGGAATAGACTTGGTAACGGGGCGGAGCGGGAGGCGTGGACTTGGGATTTACCTCACCGGGCCTGGGTCGGGAACCGTCGAAGGCAAGCTGCCGGAGGGTAATGTTGGATGGGGTAGCGGATGGGGGGGTTCGATCGTGGTCATGGATAGCGACAGGAGGCTCACAATCGCATATGCTATGAACAGGATGCTGAGCACGGAACATCCTTCCCCGGCGGCATATATCAAGGCGGTTTATGAGATACTTGGAGCTACCCAAGCTGCCTAGGATATGGACGAGCTTGGCTCAGAAACTGCATAATTCTGGGTCTGACAGATGTAGATCATACTAGGCGTGCAGTGTCAAGGTATACTCATTCAGAAAGTTTCAGGCCCTGCTTTCTTTCCAGTAAATCAGACGACGCATGCTATAATTTCGGTATTAACGACATATGCAAATTCATCCTTTAAGCTGATAGTCGCAATACAAAATATTAAGGCACCATCCAATAGATAAAACGAACTTCAGCTCCCCATTATTGGTATTTCTTTCTCTCTTAGTGGGCCGGCAGCCGTAACTGCTAGTATATCTCCTGCTCCACTCTTGACCTTATTGAGCGGCGACAACTACATCTTACCTACACCCTGTCTGAAAAACAGATTTCTAGTAATCGAAGGCGCACGAACGCATGGGCATGAAACTTGCAAAAGAGGAAAACGCATGCTGGATTGAAGGTCCTTTGAGAAGTCGTCACAGATTCACGAAATAAACCACGAGATGTCCAGAAATTCCCACAATTCTTATGGTCAGCATGAGAAACGGACTTCTCGTACAGCTCGTTTCGCAGTATCTATCTACCAGACAAAGAATCCCTCTCTCTGTCTCTCCTCCTCTCTTCCTCCAGTTCATTCTCCGAGCTCCTCCTCTCCCCTCCACTAGTATCTCCACTGCTTGCGGGGTACCTCCAGTCCATCTCGACCGGTAATTCGCACGCCGCCCCCATAGTGAGGGTCATTGTTAGGTGGCGGCGGCGGCATCATGGGAATACTGTCTATCATGAAGGTCTCCGGGACGTCGGCGCAGGCCGGAGGGATGACGGGGCCCATTTTGATTATCGCGGCGGGCGAACCCTCGGGGGGCCCGAGGTATCCGAACAGGCTATTCTGGAGTGCCATCCACTCGTTTTCGAAGTGGAGGCTGCCGATGGACAGCACCCCCGAAGTCAGAGGTGAGTGAAGGATGGCGTCTTCCAGGAATCGGGCGTAGACTGCTAGCGGGACTAGAAGATCAAATATAAGTGTCAGTTCTTTCGCTTCGTATACTCGACAGATAAGATGAAAATCATGGGAAGGTGGGCGTCAGTAGACTTACTTGCCACGCCGAGTGGGACAGCGTGAAAGCCCAGCCAGATAAAGTCGGGCGTCACGATGATCCGCAGGATCAATGCATCCGGAGAGTTGACATTAATAACGCAGACCAGCTGCGCCGCAAGCTCGTCGATCGCCCAGTCGATGGTGTGTATATGAGGGTCCTGCCCGAGAACCTGCGTGAGCAGGCCCACTTGCCCCCATTGCTGGAGGTTGTCACGCGCATATCCCCTGACCAGCAGTAGGATATCCCGACCAGCGATGAGCGGGCTGGTGGCGGTAGCGGAAGCGGACATCGTGAATGGAGTATGAGGATCTTGAGGAGGGAGAGAAAACGTGGCAATGGGCTGGTATACAGGTATATACATATGTGAGAGAATGTCCTAGGTCGCAACTAGAAGGTTCACAATAATATCTGCCTTGAGTCTTTGCAGCCTACCAATCCCCAGAGGCACCAACCTGTTGCCATATCTGCCTTCTCCTCCTGCTCCTCCACGAGAGGAGCATTTGCATGTGAATACTACCACGCTCATCCACGATTTTCTTCCCCTGTCACCTCCTTTCTCCTCCTATCTCCAAGATCAACTGACATGTCCGACGCCTCTACCAACGTCCCTTCATTCTCCCGGTCTGATATTCGGCTGCTGGTCAGCGGATACACCCGGGTGGGCCTCCGTCAATGGGGGCAGATTGAAATCTTCGCCCAGGTTCTGGGGCAGGGCCCCATGAACGACAGGTCTCTTGCTGTGATAGCATGGGAGCTCAATGAGCTCACGGGAAATGTAGTCTGCGTCGTTGATCCTTGCTCCACGGCGCCTTGGTTCCTGCGCGTAGTCATTACGCCGGACTTCGTCTTCCTCGGCCTTTACTGGGCTGGTGTCGACTCAATTGGTAAGTGTCCACTCACAATACCATCCTTGCGTTTAAATTGCCTGGACTGGACTGACGTTGTATCTCGCTCTTCGTCATATCAGCTTCGCTTGCCGACTACGACCGCTTCCTAGTGGATGCCTTCTGCTATCGTCCCCTGATAACAGGGGCGATCGCATGCCATTCCCTCAACAACCAGGAGTGGTTCGACCTCCTTTGCGGGCTGAACACACATCTGGGCAGTCAGGTTGGTAGCATCGGCCGCCTTCCACCCAGTGCGCCAATCATCCCCGCCGCGCCGCTGATGCCCGCTGCTACTGCCACCATTATCCCTGCTGCCGTCCCTTCCATTCCTGTCGCCACTGTCGCCACAACTTTTCCAAGCGTCATGCCTGCCATCTGCGCAGGCGACTTGCCGATGAAGGATGTAGGGAAGAAAGCTTCCGAGGATGGAGTTGGGGGGCCCGCCTTGCCCCAAATTGTCACCAAGGATGGCCGGGTGATCACCCCGCAGTGGACGGCAATCTTCCCGCCGCCACCACCGGGTGTTCCTCGGAAGTAGGGAAGGAGAAGGGGAGAGGGAGGAGGAATGTGTTTAGACCCTGGGCTCTGGATGCGCTAGTCCCGCACTAAACGGAGAGTTATACAGATGGTCTTGACATGCGATACTATTCTTATTGAATTCTTTGCCCGCCATTGCACATTCATTTTTGTAACAAGGGTCCGTCAGGAGTCTCTCTCGAGGAGAGTATTCAATGCCAGCTGAATGTGTAGCCTTTTGCGGGGTACATTGGCTTCAATACCATTTGGACGCCGTACACAATTACCAATGTTGTCCTGAAGATCCCAAGGTCGTCTCAATCAGGTCTGCAGGAATTCAAGTACTCGAAACATTCGTTCACTTGGTGAAGGTACATAAACATGCTGGGGCATCGATTTGCAGACAATGGTGCTACCGGCCGACATGTATAAAGAATTTGGATGTTCGATGCCTAGTGTCAGTGAATGACACCAGGCAATGACAGCGTTCTAATAGCAATCCATTGACTGATGTGGCTGTTGATATCACGAGAGGAAGGGTTTTGAGAGAAATATTCGACGTCGTGATGTTGATTGATGCCAAGCTTTCCTCGGGGCCGCCATCCTCGGCCAGCCGGAGATTGCTTAGTCACCTCTAATGCTGATCCACTGTGCTTGATTGATCTATGAAATCACGGATAAACAGTCCTGACTGAGATTGCTGGAAGAGTCTATCGGAATTTATACATCATCCGATAATTCTCAGAAGCGATCACGATCCATGAATCCAAGAGACCATACTTCTTCTCCCGCAACAGCCGTTCTCGCCGCAAATCCCAGCCATTCAGAAACCAGGGCCTCGGGGCCCTTGCTTAGTCAAGTGGCGGTTATCGGAGGCGTGGGGAAACCCCAGAGTTGTCTCACGGCCCGAGGTTGAGGGCAGCACCGTGCAGTAAACATCCCCCCCCATCTTTTAAAACCACTCCTCCTTTCCCTCTCCTCAACTCGACCCATACGGCTCAATTGCAATCACACACAGAATGTTTCGTTCGATCCCGCGACGACTCCCGCGGCAGCTCCCCCTTACAACTGCGCCAAAACGCCTTGCCCTGCGCTCCTTCACGTGCGGTTACCCTCGGATGTCATCACCGCCCGCCGTACACCCACCTGTGTCAACGGCACTGCCCTCCGACGCATACCAGCTTCTGTCCACGGCAGACAAGGCCGGTCCTGCGGAAGATGCGCTGTATGAGCAGCAAGTGCGCGACGTGCAAGCTTGGTGGAGCTCGCCTCGATACGAGGGTATCAAGCGGCCTTATTCTGCCGAGGATGTCGTGAGCAAGCGCGGCTCGTTGCAGCAAACATATCCCAGCTCGCTGATGGCGCGGAAATTGTTCAATTTGTTGAATGAGCGGGCGGCAGCTGGAGAGCCAGTCCATACGAGTGAGTATCTTACCTCTGCGAGCCTCCCCAGGCCAGGCTAACCATTGTATCGCGACTAGTGGGCGCCATTGACCCCGTCCAGATGACCCAGCAAGCTCCTAACCAGGAGATTCTCTATATTTCCGGTTGGGCATGCTCATCACTACTGACCACTACCAACGAGGTTTCCCCGGATTTCGGAGACTACCCTTACAACACTGTGCCGAACCAGGTGCAGCGCTTGTTCAAGGCGCAGCAGATGCACGATCGGAAGCAGTGGGATACGCGACGAAAGTTGACCCCCGAGCAGCGCAAGGATACCCCCTATGTGGACTATATGCGCCCAATTGTTGCGGATGGTGACACCGGGTGAGATTTATGCTCAGAAATGAAACGAGTTGCAGCACTGACTCGTTCAATCACAGACACGGTGGTTTGTCGGCAGTCCTAAAATTGGCCAAGCTCTTCGCTGAGAATGGCGCCGCGGCTGTACATTTTGAGGACCAGCTTCACGGTGGTAAGAAGTGTGGCCATCTGGCTGGCAAGGTCCTCGTTCCTATGGGAGAGCACATTAACCGCCTGGTGGCTGCGCGCTTCCAGTGGGATTTGATGGGCTGCGAGAACCTGGTCATTGCTCGTACCGACTCAGAGAGCGGCAAGCTGATCAGCAGTGCCATCGATGTGCGCGACCACGAGTTCATCCTCGGTGTTGCAGAGGATGTGGAGCCTCTGGCCGAGACTCTCCAGGCAATGGAGCGCGAAGGTGCTTCACCTGCCGAGATTGACACTTTCGAGGTGAATTGGGTCAAGGAGCACAAGCTCGTTACATTTGATGAGGGTAAGTAGACAAATACCTCTCTTTTCGTAGCCTCAACTAACATGCTCTAGCTGTCGACGCACACCTTGCGGCCGAGGGTGCCTCCCAGTCCGCCCGCGAGGCCTACAAGTCTCACGTCCAGAAGAACCCCGATCTCTCCATCTCCCGCCGTCGTGCCCTGGCCAACGACTACACCAAGTCTCCCGTCGTCTGGTCGTGTGACAGCCCCCGCACCCGTGAAGGATACTATCACTACCGCGCCGGCTTCCCCGCAGCGACCAAGCGCGCCAAGGAGTTCGCCCCATACGCCGATCTCCTCTGGGTCGAGACGGGCGACCCCAACGTCGAGAAGGCAGGCAATCTCGCCGCCAAGGTGCACGCCGTGTACCCCGGCAAGAAGCTGGTGTACAACCTCAGCCCATCATTCAACTGGATGGGCCAGGGCTTCGACGAAGCTTCGCTGAAGTCGTTCATCTGGGATCTCGCCAAGCATGGGTAAGCAAATCACGTTCTCTCCGCCTTCACACAAATCAGGTAACTGACAAATATAGATTCGTCCTGCAACTCATCTCCCTAGCTGGTCTCCACACCAACGCCACCATCACGACGGAGCTCTCCCGCGCATTCAAGGATGAGGGCATGCTTGCCTACGTGCGCTTGGTCCAGTCTCGCGAGAAGGAGATGGGCGTCGATGTCCTCACTCACCAGAAGTGGAGTGGTGCCCCCTATATCGATGGTATTCTGGGTGCTATCCAGAGTGGAAGTAGCAGCAGCAAGAGTATGGGAGAGGGTAACACGGAGAAGGGTGATTTCCTTTTCCTGACTTCTGGTGGTTATGATGTATGAAGCTAATCCTGTGTTTCCTAGGTTTCTAAATTGCGATTTGATAAAATTCCTGTAATGATTTGCGTTATACTATAGATGAGCTTGCATGCAAAATGATCATATTTTCAGTCTGTAATTGGTGAATTGCCTGAACTCCCTACGCGTTCGCATCGCCTCTTGTCGTCTCCTTCGATTGGCGGGGATGCCGAGAGAGCGCTAGCCATTTTATTCTATGAAGCACTTTACAATCAAATTTTGATTGAGAGCAACAATTCCTCGAGTTAAGGTTCTACGTTTCCAGCACGTCCAGTCATCGAAAGGAGTCCCACTGTGCACGGACCTGGTGCACAGGGCTACTTCTCATAATTCTTACTCCTGATATTCTTTCATGCTCATGCTCTGCAGGTGTGACGTACAAAAGCATTTTCTGTAGTATTCAAAAACAACGCTAGACGTATCATATTGCACAACGTTCTCTCGAATCAAGCAAGCAAGCGCTGTACGATTGTTTCTACTAGGCTTACAGGATAGATCAACATAAATCCTCCTCGAAATGGCCTCAGCTTCCACGCCGACTCAGCATGCACAGCCTTAAAGTGCCACCATCAGGGAGCCCGTGACTGCAGCCACAACGAAAGAGGCCATCGCAAACCAGCCATTTACAAACACGGCAGCGGGGCTGACCATATGAGAAGCAGCTCCCTTGGAAGTAGAAGTACTAGCAGCACCTCCACCGGAGGCAGCAGTGCCCGTTCCAGCACTACCACCAGCCTGGCTAACAAGGGACTTGCAATCTCCCGAAGCAGACTGCGCAGACTGGACCTTCGCCGCACCATTGAAATTACACGCAGACTTGTCGCTGTTCTGACTCTTGTAGTAAGCGTTGAATGCAACGGACAGTTGATCCTTGCTATTGCAGACACTGTATGCACCATAAGTTCCGGTCGTAGCGTTGTGAGCAATGCCTTCGCAGATGGTGGCGCCATAGCCACAGACTTCTGCGAAGAGGGCGCTGTAGTCCTTCGAGTCTACGGAGTCACTGACGACGCAGGACAAGGTGTCCACGACGCACGAGCAGAGCTGCTGGTTCGGGGTTGGTGGGAGGGGGCTGGATTTCGCCAGCCAATTCTCGCCGTCGACGGTAGGGCATGCGCGAGGGGAGTTGGTGGGGGTGTAGCTGGCGCTGTTGGTTCCAGTGGCAGTTGCGCTCTGGATCTCCTTGGAGTAGTAGCTGAAATCGACTTCGGTGGAAACGGAGCTACCGCTCACGGAAACGAGACCGTAGTCATTGTCGGTCTCGAAGTACATGTAAACGATACCGCCGCTCCAGACGTCGTTCATCTGGGGTCCGAAGAGCACGGGTACATCGGTGAACTTGCGAGGCTTCACGGTATTGCAGCCGTACTCCGAGAAGAAAACGGGGATAGAGTAATTGCTGTATTCGTTGGTGCGATCTTCGTATCCGGAGGCCTGGTAGGTCTGGTCTCCGCACCACTCGTAAATATTGTAACCGAAGAAGTCAATTGCACTTGACTGGTCTCCGCAGTTGAGATAGTTTGACACCGAGGTCCTGATATCTTCCTGGTCTGTTGTGGCGTAGCCAATAGAGAGTGTATCACGATATCCTTTACTCTTGATGTAGGACTTCATGTCTCTAGCAGCGGCTTTGACAAAGGCTGCGGCAATCGTCTGGTTGGGGGTGTTGACAACCTCGTTTCCGGCAAAAAAGCCAATCATGTTATCATATTTCTGGAAGGTATCGATCACGCTGGTATACCGCTCATACTGGTCGACCGTCCAAACGGGCGAGTTGGATTCGATCGATGCGTTTGGCGATGCCAGATCAGCGATGACATAGATACCGGCATCAGCCAGCTGCTGCATGCAGTCGTCATGATTCTGGGTAGGGTCAACCGCGTAGGTTCGGATAACGTTCGTGCGCAGCTGGGTCAGGTAAGGAATATCGCGCGAGCAGCTGGTGGCATCGGCCAGGGGATCGGTGTAGCCCGTAGTGCTGGTCTGGCCAGTTCCGTTGGATCCGCCACCATTGTAGTTCTCTGTGTAATCCTGTCAGTATTGAGGATGCGAAGGTCGGTGTGCAATGAAGTTACCCTGATAGGCAATGCCTCGAATGTAGCTAGTATCTCAGTGAATAATGAGGCCATGCGATGGACGTGGGGAAATTCTCACAATTCAGTTCCGTTGTTGGCATAAAAGAACTTGGAACCCTATAAGAGAATGCAATTAGCGACCGATTCACCTTCGCGTGGAGTCGACGTACCTGCCTTAATGACAACATTCGGGGTACTAGCAAGAGTACCTCGTGCTAGCAGGGAAGCTGCTACGAAAGCAGTCAACTTCATGGTGAAAGGTGAACGAGTGTGGGGGAGTGGTGTAGTGGGAAGCGAACAAAAACTGCGGAGAAAAGAGGCGAAGGACAAGAGGAAATCCAGGGAAACACTGCCTTGTTTAAAGCGTGAGGCAACAACCAAGAACGATACAACGCGATGGCACACCGTGTGCGTAAGCGAAAGCCATGTTTAGCTCCAGTCCAATAATTGTCTCACTCTATCGCCTCGTCGTTATTGGAAGCACCCGGAAGCCACGGCTCGAGCGTCCAGTCTATGAACCTCGATGAGCTGCCCAAGTGGGGCTCCGCTTACACCCTGAACACCCTGACTGGAGGGTCTGATCGAATGAGGCTAGTCTAGGTTTCTATTTATTGATTAGCGTGCCTAACTGGGTAATGAGAAAGAGCTTAGCCTTGTTGTTTCCACTCGCGAAACCATGGACGATTGGAGGGGCATCTCAGTCAAAAACCCAGACTGCTTCGGCTTACGGCTGGCAAGTTCTGGCACTAAGACATACAGCGGAGAATTATGGCTTGATTATGCATTTCAGATTGAGTTCAGTCTGCTTCTACTTATATTATTGAGGTGTCCCGTTAATAATTTACACAATATCCACACTATTATGTGTACCCGGTTTTGCGGATAGACCCGAGAACTACTAGCCGCAATAATAACCAGGAAGTAGTCCCATGAAGGATCACAACCCCGGGTCGTATGATTGAAGAGACAGCACTGGCCTATACTCATTCATCTGAAGCATGAGTATGCCATGTCATTTTCGCAGAAGGTTCCAGCAACACCGCAGCCATTGGACGCAGAGCCTTAAGCTTAATATCAATTGGGATATCTTACCTTAACGTCATTCGAGTGATTTAATATTTTCTTGTCTGAAGAAGTGTGGCATATTTGACTGCTACCTATGTCTTGTCTATTGTCTAAGTGTCTCTTGTTATATTCGTAATCGTGATCATGATCTGATAATTAGCTTCACGATGAAGACTGCGTTGATATATATGCGTCAGGGCTACCGCGTAAGGGTCAGCACGAAAGCTATCCGAGGAGAGGAAGAGTGAAAAACAAATGCTATAAATTCAGACTAAATCTATGGAAAAAGGCGCCTCAATTTTTTTGTACACGAAAATCTAGAAACCAGCTTCATGTTCGCTTTTCAGACGACTCGATGCAACTCGACGGGATTTTCTGCTTTACCTTGAATTGAATGCAGAGTCACAGTAGACTCGGACCTCCCATCTCCAATGGAAGGACTAGGAGGGTTTGAATCCAGCCGTAGCAGCTCAAGATGATGATCAGACTCCAGAGGCTGATCCATGTTGGCTTGGGGTACAAAAAAGGTGGTAACCAGACCAAGCCCCGCCAAGCATGTAAGTGCCACGAATACTCCTCGAAGACCGTGCACATAAGCCTCCATAATAACTTCTGCCTGGGCTGTGCCCACGGCTAGACCCTCAGAGGGTCCAATGTGGGACGATATGTCCTGTGCTTGCTCTGCCGGGAAGCCATGATCTTTCAGGTAATCAGCCAGGACATTCTCTAGCGTCGTACCTCCAACGACGACGCCGACAGCGTATCCCATGGTACGGAAGAACGTGTAGAGAGTGGCGGCATATGCAACGTTCTTGGCTGGCACGACAGCTTGTGCAGCAAACAGGATGCTGTTGAAGAGAATTCCATGTCCGAGTCCTAGGAGCACCATGGCTCCGATCCAGAATCCCTTTTTCGTCTTTTCATCCAGAAGGCAGAGAAGGCCAGTAGCCAGAGCAGCCACGACCCAACCTTTCCACTGGGCCCATTTGTATTTTCCGAATTTCGAGATCAGCATGGCAGTGATGAGACCGGATGGAACCATTGTTGCCGAGAGCGCTAAAATTTCAGTTCCAGTTTTGGTCGGCGAGAGTTTCTGCACTACCTCGAGGTAGAAGGTGATATAGTAAAGTATACCGAACATCTGGGGGTTGATGAGATGTTAGAGATCATGAAACCGTGCAGCTTCGTCATTGGTGAACTTACCGATATTCCTTGAACGAGCGATGACAAATATACTGCAATTGATGCACGGCTTTTGAGGACCGATAGAGGCAAAAACGGCCAGCGTGCCCCGTAACACTCCCATATGATAGTGCAGACAATTCCGACGGCCCCCAGCAACAGGGGAAGCAATGTACGGTAGCTGTCCCACTTATAGAGAGTGCCGCCCCAAGAGAGACCCATCAAAAAGCAGACCATGCTTGATGTGAAGAAGAACGAGCCAAGCCAATCAATGTGACGGTAGCTTTCGCGGGTGACCTTCATCTTCCGGAGCGCGAAGAACAGCGCAAGAAAGGCGATCAGACAGAAGGGAAAGTTGACGTAGAAGACCCAGCGCCATCCACCGTGATTAGCAGCGTGCTGAGTGAAAAGACCTCCCATGACAGGACCAATGATGATACCAATGGCCGAGAATAGCTGGATGTAAGCGGTATACTTGGGTCTCTCCCGCAGTGGGAAGATATCGGTCATCACGATCATCGGAAGAGGGATGAGGCCACCACCACCGATTCCCTGAATAGTCCGACCGGCTAGAATTGTCGCCATGTTCTGGGCGACTGCTCCGACCACTGAGCCGATTGCAAACAAAGTGATCGAAGAGAGAAGAATAAACCGTCTGCCGTATACATCGGATAAAGCGCACAGAAACGGTTGAAGAGCTGCACACGGGAGCAAGTAGGCAGTTCCTACCCAGAATGTATCGGTCGCATTGCCATGTAAGTCTTTCGCGATAGTCTAAATCTCGTTAGCTGGAAGATCAAATTTTGTGAGGCGATGGGCCATTCTTACTGGCAAAACCGGGGGAAACACTGTCGAATCGAAAGCACTCAGAAAGCTCACGATTGACAAGGAAATTATCACCACCAGCCGGTGTCGACCAAGATGTCCACCGGGCGCTTTCGAGTCCATGGTGAGCTTGGTAGGTCGGCAATCGAAAATGAATCCGAACGAAGGCCAAAGGACAGTACTTTGTCGAGACAGATGTTATCACAAGTGACCAGCGCCATCTGCCCCTAGCTGAGTGAACTGTGACTTTTGGTGGAGTTTCTCATTACAGGATTGCTGGAAACTTTCAAGCGCATACTTCTACTCTGCCTATCAAGATCTGGAACGAACCCACCATGTTAGCCCCTAGTGCAGGGGTGTTTGCCACTACGCGATGCCGTGAGGGGAACCCCCAGCAAGGGGCTTGGGGCGGGGAAGATCCTCGGAAACCTTGCCAGGCACGAACAAGTAAGATGTAGTGTAGAGGGCGTTGATCATGCTTCGCATAAGTCTTATTGCTAAGAATGCGGAGGACCGAGCTGATAGGTCAGATACCATTTAGGGCCCCCTTGCTGAGACTCCGCCTGCCGCGCGGACGGTGAATGGTTCCTGGCATCACAACCCGAGTTTCAAGATTCAAGAATGTTTTCACGGCTGGTGGTTGCCACACGCTGTCTCTATGCAATGATCTAGGGGGTTGATGTTTCGCTTTGATCGCTGTAAACTATCAAGGCAGGCCGCACGCAAACTCTCCCTTCTCTACCTAGTATACATCATAAATCCGAGATCATAGTACGAATCACCTTCGCAATTTCGGTCACCGTTTGCGCATCTCGGGGAATAATGTGGCCTCCGCCATGGTCAAACAGGTCTGCGGTGTCAGGGTCACAGACATTGTACAGCGCCATGACGCCGCTAATCATAGCATCCTGGGATCCCATGATGTGGAAGGTCGGTATGGAAATCAATTCGCCAACTTCGTCTTGCAAAAGATAGCGGCCAGTGGATGAATCCATCGGAGGCATCCCCGACATGAACACGGCACATTTGAGACGAGGTATCCTTCCGGTTGCTTTTTGTCGCCTGGTCTCCTCAACAACGAGAGATGCCGCAATGCCTGCTCCTTCCGAGAACCCAATGATGCCTTCAATCTCAGGATCTTGATCAATGTAATCAAGTAGAGGATCCAGCACGGAGCTTGGCTTTTTGTGCTTCCAAAGACCGGCAGCGTCATAGAACTTCCTTATCGCATCTTCAGGGCTCCCTCCCCGGCCAAGCGTGCGAATTGGATAGGAAGCAACTTTGGGGTCGCCATCAATGAAGGTGAAGTTGGGAGGAGGACCAAAGAACCCTTCGAATTCGGGAGGTATTATGACAGGATTTTGGCCCTGTGTGTACACGAAGGAAATTCTTCCTTCTTCCCGGTTGAGCTCTGACAACATTGGCTCTATAATAAGTTCCAATCAGTGACAAATGCCCAGGAAGTCAAGTCGAAGAGGTACAATTAAGCTTACCCAGCTGGACTTCCAATGTCTTTGCTTTTCCAAAAAAAATTGCACGTCAGTTCAAGGATATGGTCGAGCTAAAGAAGGATCATACACTGACTTTGGCATTGCAAAGACCTCCCGGTAAACAAAAAAATCGCATGATGTTTCTCTGACCTAAGAACTGAAGCGTGAGGTAAAGCAAGAGGTCGCCGTCGCTCTTTCTTTGTGTTTAAGTATATTTCGCGTAGACCAGAAGAATAGATAAGAATATCTTCGCTACAATCACCTTCCAGACCACGCCTTCCTTACGTCTCGAACTCACAGGTTGATTTGTATTATGCTTACGCTAGCCCTGCAGGGGGCACATACTCTATTTGCACTAGCCCAGCCATGATTTGGTGTGGGACATTACGGTAATAAATTTCACTGGTGCAGGGCAAAGACGTGGCTTGCTCTCTCTCTCTCATGCCCATCGACTGTACAGAAGTCCAGCGCGTCTCACATACCGATCTTTTGCTTTCGCGCCTTAACGCAAAATGCCAGGTCATAGACCTGTGACCCCCTTCGCCCCTCTCAGCGCCCACCTTGTAAATCAGATCCAGTTGATGTGTCCGAAACAAGCGGCTAGTGGGCTTTGCATGTCCAGGAAGTAGTCCCTTTATTCCCCGATCGTTGTAAACCCCCTCGCACTTTAGTAGTTAGGGTCGCCCTGCCTGCTACCTAAGTTCTCCATTTTCAACAACCGTCACTCCTTTCTCGACAGATTTTTTGTCTCTCTCTTATTTTGCACATATCGAAGGAAAGGGAACCCTCAACCTCAAAATGTCGACTGAAAATGGGGCCAAACCTACGCCCGTTGCCATCGTGGGAATGGCGTGCAGGCTACCTGGTCAGGTAAGCAGCTTGGAATCATTCTGGGAATTGTGCTCGCGCGGCCGAAGTGGATGGTCAGAGATGCCCAAGAGTCGGTTCAATGCAGCCGGTTTTTATCATCCAAATCCAGACCGAACTGGGTGCTTCAACCCCAAAGGCGGCCACTTTCTAGACGAAGATGTCGCATTCTTCGACGCTCCTTTCTTCAACATCACTGTACAGGAAGCGCGCTCCCTCGACCCGCAGCAACGACTACTTCTCGAATGTTCATATGAAGCGCTGGAAAATGGTGGAATCACCAAACAATATCTTCAAGGTCGTGATGTCGGTGTTTTCGTCGGCGGTTCTCCGTCAGACTACGAAGTTAACAATCTCCGCGATGTGGCGACAATTCCTATGCATCAAACTACCGGCTGTGCGACATCTTTGCAATCGAATCGTATCTCATATTACTTCGATCTGAAGGGTCCTAGCATGACCGTAGAGACGGCGTGTTCATCTAGCTTGACTGCTTTACACCTGGCATGTCAGAGCCTCCGATCCAAGGAATGTTCGACTGCGCTGGTCGGCGGGTGTCATATTAACTTGCTCCCCGATACATTTGCCTCTATGTCTTTGTCCAGGTAAGTGAATCCCACGCAATAATGATGATTGGAAGACTCGTCCTGACCGTCGAAATCGGCGCAGACTTTTCTCCGAAAGTGGAAAGAGTTATCCTTTCGACCAGCAATCCAAGTCACAGACGGTGAACGGGTACGGTCGAGGCGAAGGTGTGGGATGTATAGTATTGAAACCACTGCAAGACGCTATTGATGCGGGCGATGCGATCCGAGCGGTTATTTGGAATACCGGCGTGAATCAGGATGGTCGAACCCGGGGCATCACCATGCCCAACAGCGCATCCCAGGAGGAGCTAATCCGCACTGTTTATCGTCAGGCGCAAATCGATCCCGCTGACACCGGTTATGTCGAGGCCCATGGAACGGGAACTACTGTTGGCGATCCAGCCGAGGCGCGCGCACTATCTGCCGTGTTCTGTCATGGGAAGGATCGGAAAAGTCCACTCTTGATAGGTTCAGTCAAATCGAACATTGGGCATGCTGAGGGGGCAAGTGGAATTGTTGCTATCATTAAGACCGCATTGATGTTGGAAAGAGGGTTCATTCTTCCCAACTGCGGTGTAACCGAGCCCAACAGTGATATCCCGATGAAGGAATGGAACATGAAGGTAAATGCTCCCAGTATGTCAACAAGTAGCATCGAAGCTAATAATTCTATCAGGTCCCCAAAAAGGTCGCCCCGTGGCCCAGAGGGAAAGAGTATGCCAGTGTCAATAATTTCGGCTACGGAGGAACGAACGCTCATGTTATTATGGGCAAACCACCTGCCCTTCAATCTCCGAAGATGACATCCGAATTACCATTGCAAAACGGCTCGATCGATAAAATAAGAGAGCGACATACGGCACGCTACGTGTACGCAATTTCGGGGCCGAACAAACGAGCCGTTGGAGCACTGGCTAAGAACGTTGCCACGTACCTTGAGAAACACCCGGACGCTTTTGACGCATTCGTGATGAGCAACCTAGCCTATACTCTCGGTCAGAGGCGCAGCTTGTTCTCATGGAGAACAGCCGTTTCTGCTTCTACGAGCAAAGAACTGATTGCGCTTTTGTCTGCCGATTTGGAACCCTTCAATGTTTCGGATGATCCATCCATTTCCCTTGTGATCACCGGCCAGGGTGCTCAATGGTATGGTATGGGTCGAGAACTTCTTGAAGCGTCACCCGTCTTTTATCGAGCAATGCAGGATGTTGATAACGTTTTGAAGGCTCTGAAGAGTGGCTTATCGATCATAGGTAAGTGGCCGACCTGAGGGATAATCTGCAGGTGCAGATTAGGCTGACTTTGCAACAGATGAACTACAAAAGGACGCATCTAACAGCTCGCTCTATGAGCCTTCTTTGAGTCAGCCGGCATGCACTGCTCTCCAGATTGCTCTCATTAATCTCCTTCGCTCCTGGGGTGTCTCACCCGTCTCAGTTATCGGTCATTCCAGTGGAGAGATCGCAGCTGCCTACGCCGCAGGTATTCTCACTGTTGAGCAATGTGTCCGTATTGCATATTCTCGAGGAGCAGCAGCACAGGCTCTAAAGGACGACCCATCTCAAACCGAAGGAATGATGATGGTCGCCGGTGCTAGCCCGATACGACTACAGCCCTTTATCGATGAGATATCCAATGGAAGTGCTGTGATTGCATGCGTAAACAGTGAATCAAGTGTGACGATATCTGGTGACGCGGCTTCAATCACCAAGCTAGATGCGGTTTTGAGCCAACAAGATATTTTCACTCGAAAGCTTCGCACTGGCGTCGCATACCACTCGCCTCATATGAAGCAGATCGCTGGCAGCTACAGGAAGCTCATGGGTAAAATTGTGCCCCAAAGCTCGACAGTTCCATTCCATTCGACTGTTCGTGGCCAAGTCATTGATGCCTCCTGTTTGACCGAGGATTACTGGATTGAGAACCTCACTTCACCAGTTCTATTCTCACAGGGCCTACAAAGTCTAGTTTCGGAGAGCGAGATTGGAGCTGGAAAACGGAGTCATCTTCTCATTGAGATTGGGCCTCATCCTGCCCTGCAATCCCCTTGCCAAAGCATTACTCGACAGGCGTCTAAAGACGTCGATTTTCAGTACCTGCCAAGCATTATACGTGACAAAAATTGCGTTGAAGCTATTCAAACCCTTGCCGGGGCGCTATTTTCAAGAGGAGTTTCGATCGACCTAGGAGCTGTCAATGCCTTTGCTGCTTTTGGAAAACACCCACAACTATTGACAAACCTGCTCAACTATCCATGGGATCATTCTACTCGTCTTTGGCATGATTCTCGCATATCAAACAACTCAAGTCACCCTCAATTCCCCCGCAATGACATATTGGGCAGCTTCTCGGTGGAGAACATTGACCTTGAGCCGCGGTGGAGAAATATCATCCGAGCTGATGACCTTCCCTGGGTTAGACAGCACAAGGTGCACGGTAATTCTGTCTACCCCATGACAGGCTTCTTGTCAATGGCAGTAGAAGGTGTTGCGCAGCTAGCACAGCTGCAAAATATCCAGCTTGACTGTGTGGAATTACGTGATGTCAAGATGCAGCGGATGCTTGTCCTGCCTGACACTTCTCCAGTGGAAGTCATGCTGTCGATGAAAATTCAAAATGGAACCTCCATGGCGCACGGAGCCTGGTATGAATTCTGGACATACTCCTGGGCGGAGGGCAGGGGATGGGATGAACATTGTCACGGATTCATCATCGCAAGAGGCCCCGAGCGATCAAACCCGGTGACTGAGGCAAAACTTGCTCTCGCTCAAAACCTCTCTGCTTTCACTGCCGAATGTACCCAAGATGTCAACTTGACAGAGACTTATGCCAATATCGCAGCCACCGTGTTGACATACGGACCTCTGTTCCGTGAATTTTCCCGCATTGCTCTGAGTGGAGACGGCAAATCGATAGCCAAAGCACGAGTGCCAGACACCAAGAGCTGCATGCCCTTCGGATATGAAACAGGGTGTCTGGCACACCCCGTAACACTGGATATGTTCCTTCAGCAGTTCTGGTTCTTCAGTGGATTTGATAAGGCGGGACCTAACTTTTCCTACCTCGCGGACTCCGTCAAGCACATGCTCATTCCAGTCAATGATGCCGTTGACATCGGGACTAAGTTCAATCTCTTTACAACTCAAGATCGCAGGCCGACCAATGGGGAGAATGTGAGCTACAGTGTTCTTGGAGTCATCGAGGAGACCGGTGAGCCCTGGGTGACCGTCAACGGATTTACTGCGACACGCATCAATGACCAATCTGAGGCATTTGACGCTCACGCCCAGAGGTCCGTTTGCTATAAGGAGCAATTAGAGCCATGTTTTGATTTCATGGAGACTTCCGGGGCTACTCTACTACAACATTCAAAGGCCAGCGTGAGGTGTTCCGTTGAGCAGATGCGACTTCTAGAACAAGTGTCCCATTACTACATTGGTCGTGCGCTCCTCGAAATTCCCAAGCAGCTTGACAGCTTCCAACCTCACCACAAGTTGCTTTACCAGTGGATGCAGCGGGTTTGCCCACGGCCTCTTGAGTCAGTCAAGAAGTGTCAGAGTCAGACTATTGAATTGGTCCGTACCATGAGCGCTGCCGGCCAATTATCCTGCAAGATTGGTGAGAATCTCCCGAGCATCCTGCAGGGCCATCAAGAAGCACTGTCTATCATGGTCGAGGATGATCTGTTGAATCAGTATTATGAGAGCCTCGATGGCTACCGCCAGAGCTATCGCAATGCTGTCCTCTGTGTTGAAAAGATGGCCCACCAGAATCCTCACATGGATATTCTGGAGATTGGTGCTGGTACCGGGTCGGCAACTTTGCCCATCTTGGAAAGCTTCGGTGGGAAGGATGGAGAAAGCACACCGCGGTTCCACCACTTCAAGTACACGGATATCTCAACCGGGTTCTTTGAGAAGGCGAAGGAGAAGTTCCATGACTGGGACTCACTCATGTCCTACCAGAGCCTTGATGTCACGAAAGATCCTATGGATCAAGGATACACTGCCCAATCATACGACCTGATAATTGCCTGTAACGTTCTGCATGCAACCCCTCGCATTGGCGAGACTGTTGCCAACGCGCGGAAGCTTTTGAAGCCCGGTGGGAAGCTCCTGTTGATTGAAGAGACCATCATGCATCAAAGACTGTTCTTGTTCGCTTGTCTTCCAGGATGGTGGGCCAGCCAAGATGGAAGGCATGTAAATGGTCCTCTTCAGTCACCTGAGGAATGGGAATCTGTTCTCAAAGCAAACGGCTTCTCGGGAGTCGATGTTTGCCTGCAAGATTTCCCAGGAGCCTTCGAAGCCTCTAATTGTATGATTGTCGCAACTGCAGCTGGGGACGTGACCCCAATGCAACAAGAAGTTGTCGTCGTGGAGCACGGAACGCTGAATACCATTCCCACTGGAGCCTTGATGGATGGTTTCAAAGAAGTAACGGGACGGGCTCCGAGTATCACGACCCTGGATCAGGTGGATGCAACCGGCAAGATTTGCGTCTTCATTGGCGAAATTGGTCAAAATCTATTGTCCGATATGACTAAGGATGTTTTCTCGAAAGTCCAGCAGCTAGTCACCACTGCGAAGGGCGTGCTTTGGGTCACCGGTCACAAGGACTCGCCTTCTCAACAAGCTAACCAGAACATGGTCCTCGGTCTAGCACGGACTGTGAGGAATGAAACCGGCCTTCCATTTGCCACATTAGATCTCGGCAATCTCGAAAACGTCTCGGGCAAAGATACGGTGCGCCATATCAAGAATGTCTTCAGAGGAGTCTTCGATCCTTCCTCACAGTCCGTCCTCATGAAGGGAGACATGGAGTTCACTCTCCGCGACGGAGAAATTTGTGTCTCCCGCCTGATGGAGGATTCGGCAATGAACTTGAGTATGCTCCAGGAAACAGGAAAGGCTCCTCCGCAACTCCAACAGTTTCAGCAAGACGGAAGGCCCCTCGCGCTTCAGCTGACCGATGTCGGTGCCTTGGATGGCTTCTATTTCACCGATGATGACTCCAAGAACAAACCTCTACGGGAGGGCTTCATTGAGATACAGATATGCTACTCGGGTCTAAATTTCCGTGATATCATGACCGTTATGGGAGAGGTTCCGGGAACTGAGATTGGTGCCGAGTGCAGTGGTATCGTAACTGCCGTTGGCGCTGGTGTTCACGACATTAATGTCGGTGATCGGGTGTGTGCTATGTTTAGTGGATGCTTCTCAAACTACATACACTGTCCTGCGACAAACGCTTGGAAAGTACCATCGGGCATTCCTCTGAACGTGGCTGCCACTATTCCTGTGACTTTCTGCACAGCCTACTACTCAATGGTTGACGTGGCCCGAGTCGAGCCGGGTGAAAATGTCCTGATTCACTCTGCAGCTGGAGGACTTGGACAGGCTGCCATCCTTCTTGCCCAATCCATCGGTGCCAATATATTCGCCACGGTCAGCACCCAAGAGAAGAAGGAATTCCTCAAGAAGACGTACGGCCTGAAAGAAGACCAGATTTTCTACAGCCGAGACACTGGCTTTGGACAAGCTATCCGTCATGCGACGCAAGGCCACGGCGTCGATGTTGTCCTTAACTCGCTCAGTGGAGATTTCCTGCGAGTTTCCTTCGAAACTTTGGCTCCTTTCGGTCGCTTTGTTGAGCTTGGCAAGAGAGACTTCTTGCAGAACTCTCGACTTGAGATGTCTCATTTCCTGAACAACGTCTCTGTTTCCTCTGTAGACCTTGTTCTCGTGATGCAACGCAAGCCAAAGCTTTTGAAGAGACTTCTTGGAGATGTGTTCCGAGAGTTTGGTGGGGACGTATTTTGCCGACCACCCTGGCCCATTACCTCTTACTCTGTCTCAGACACGGAGCATGCTTTCCGCGAGATGCGGACCGGTCGTCAGATTGGCAAGATTGTCATTGAAATGAAGCCAGATGCCTTGGTCAAGGTAAGTTCTTCCAGATCAAACTTTTTCAATCCCTACTTTTTCGATCCTTCAACCGGTAATTTTCAAAATCTGTTAACTAACAAATCTTGCGACTAGGTTCACCCTCCTACCAGGTCAGACAAGCTTGTCCGCCAAGATGGGACATACATCGTTGTTGGTGGTAACCGAGGCATTGGTCTCGATATCACCTGCTGGCTAGCAGAGAAGGGAGCCCGGCACTTGGTGATCGTGTCTCGCTCAGGTCTTGTAGGCGAAGAAGCACAGAACGCGATAATTGGACTCATCAACAAAGGAGTCACAATCAAAGTGTGCCAGTGTAATGTCGGTGTCAAAGAGGAGGTTGAAGCTCAACTAAAGAGTTCCTTGTCAGGTGTACCACCTGTCCGTGGAGTGATATACGGTGCCATGATTCTGCGGGTAAGAACTCAATTTGTCACGATAAGTTTGCTCATTGTATATCTAACCTATTTTACCAGGACGTTCCATTTGAGAAAATGCAATATGTGGATTACAATGCAGTTGTCCAAACTCGTGTGCAGGGGCTCTGGAACTTGCACAACACTTTGAAATCCCTAAATCAGGATCTTGATTTCCTCATCAATCTGTCCTCGGTGGCTGGCGTCATCGGTAACCTCACGCAAGCAGCATACGCAGCCAGTGGAACATTCATGGACGGCTTTGCAGAGTCCATGAACTCCCTTGGTCTGCCCTGTACCACCATTGACCTTGCTCCCGTTCGTGATGTGGGATACCTAGCAAACGATCAAAAGACCCAGGACGTGGTCCAGGGTACTTTCGGCGGAATGTGGCTCAACGCAGAGGATATCCACGGCCTGCTCGCCAGTGCAATCAAGGGTGTGATGAAGAATTCCTGTAATAACCATTGCATCACTGGTCTGGATTCAATTCAGACAGAGAGCGTGAGTGCGGGTCAGGCCTGGACACAGGATCCCAGGTTTTCGCAGTTGGTTCGTGCAGCGGCTGTCTCTGCGTCTTCGAAATCGGGCGATCAAGTAAATGGTCTTACATCGGAAAGTCCCGCAAAGGCTCTTCAGCAGGCGCAAGATCTCACACAAGCGCAGGATATTATCGCACAGGCTCTGCTGAAGAAGCTGTGCAGTCTTCTCATGCTCTCATTGGAGGATGTTGACGTGTCCAAGTCAATCTCGGCCTTTGGACTGGACTCTTTGGTGGCTATCGAGGTGCGACACTGGATTTCACGTGAATTTGACGCTGGGCTTCAGCTCTTGGAGATTCTGGCCAGTGACTCAGTCAGTGGATTGGCCGGGACAATTATGCACAAGTCTGGTGTTCTTCCGGAAGGTTTGAAGTCCTCCAACACGAACGGGACATCTTGATTCTTTTTAGGACGAAATTGTCTTATGTTGATGCCCGCTATGCTGTATATGGCATTATTTGGAGTTTTTCAATTTTAAATTTTTTTGAGTTTAATGTAAAGCAGTCTTTCAGTCTAAAAACTTCATGAATTGTAAGCACAACGAATGAAACACTAAGCAATTATCTCGGTGTTGCTATATACTACCCTATTTCTTCCTCCGTAGACTCCTTCTGCTCCAATATTTCCGTCGCCCATCGATGACCAAAATCTTGAGCAATTAGCAAAGGCGTCTGGCCGAGATTATTCACCTGATCCACCAGCTCAGGAGCCTTCTCAACGAACAAGGCCATCGTTCGCCGGAACTCGTCTTGGGCAAACTTCTCCTCGTTCTTCAGACCAGCCAAATTATGCAGAACATTATTGCCTTGGTGATCCACTGCAGTCAAATTTGCACCCCGCTCATACAGAGTCATAGCGCGCGTTGGATCACCCTCTACCCAATAAGTTGGTTGGATGCGTCCACCACGGTGGGGAAAGAGAGGCACTTGACAAGCATATGCGTTGGTACCAATATTGGACCTTGAGGCAGCCAACAACAATGTCTGTCCACGAGGGTCACGTTTCTCAAGATCAAGATCAGGAAGCTCTAGCCATGGCTGAATAATCCCACCATCCGCAAAGATCTCATGGAGAATGGAGTTGCTCTTGTTGTGGAGGAATGGATCTGCTCCGTGTTCCAGCAGAAGGTGAATCATTCTGATTGAGTGGTGGCGACTGTTGGCCTCGTTGAATGGCATCATGGAAATGTATTGAAGAGGCTGGAGAACATATCCCTTAACCTGATGGATCTTCTGTACTCTTTGGGTATGCCAGTGAGTCTGGGCATCGGACAGAGTCGTCGTGTTGGCGTCGAGATCCATACCTAAGAGGGCAGTAACCACGTCCTCATTGAAGTCGGCCAGCGCTGAGAATAATTCCATGGGGTGGTGCTCAGATGGATAGGCCCCGTTATCAATTAGAAGCCGGAATAGCTGGAAATTGTGAGTCGACATGGCAAGCGCAGTATAGCCACATGTTGCAGCGAGGTTAGGGTCGGCACCACCATCAAGCAAGATTTGAACAATCTCGTTCTGTCGATGGCCTGCTAGTTCACCTCTGGACACTGCCACGCATAAAGGAGTTTTCCCCTGAGCGTCGCGGGCATTGGGATCGGCACCATGCTGCAGAAGGTATTTGATCGCCGTCTCATGCCACCAGTGTATACCCTGGGCCAGGTAATGAAGAACAGTATCGCCTGGTTTGAACTGTCTCCTCTGAGCCATTGTGGATTGGTAATAGACCTTCGGGATCACTTCCATGCCTTCTTGGAATTGAACATTGACATCCGCATTGAACTTCTCGACCATGACCTTGACGACTTCCAAGTTTGGAAGATCACGCTGAGCAGCAGCCAAGAGTGATGGAGACATCCCACCACCCAAGAAGACTTTACCACTTTTGTTGATCCATTCAGGATCCACATCCTGCATGAGGCGTCCAATCCGCTCGAAGATTTCAGGATATCCCCATCTCGCAAGCAAGATCAGGAGTCCCTGAAGGGCAGACTTGTTTTCAATAGTGTTTACATTTTCCTCCAAAGCCTGTGCCACCTCTTGGTCGTGACCGAGAAGTACCATCTCCATAATATCTTTGTCGATGATGTAGGACTTGAACCGCTCCTTGAAGAGCTCTGGGATGTGCTTTGAGCGCAACAAACAACGCTCAGCTTGGACAGATCGATTTCTTTCAAGTTCAATCCCCAGTGCCTTAGTCAATTTGTCAAGCTCTGCGGCCATCTCTTCATTTCCTTCTGATACCGCATGCCATAAGGGACTAGTTCGGTGCCCACTCTCATCTTTCGGTTCAAGGGCGCCATGCTGTGCCAGTAGCCGAACGATCCGCCCTACTCCAAGGGTGGCACTTTCGGAGGTAATCTCTCCCTTCCATCCGAACTTCTTGTGATCCTCGCGTTTTTGATTCTTCCGAGTGGGTATCTTTGGGCGCTCATAGTCATCGGCCAGGATTCCGGCGGCAGACATCGTGTGAAACAGGTTGCCATGGTCGTCGGCCTTTTGCCAACGTTGATCCTCCTCAACCGACAGAGCACAGATATCCAAAGGGAGCCATTTTTTCTTGTCTTCAATATGTATATCTGCACCGTTTGCGATGAGAAGGCTCACTGACTCTATTCTTCCAGAAATACAGGCCAGATGGAGGGGTGTTCGGCCGTCTTCCGACTTGGCATTGATCAAAGATGTCAAATTATTGGTGGAAAAGTGATCCAACAGCATCCCAAGGGTGTTACTCTGGCGAGCCATTGACGCAATGTGCAACAGATTTCGCCCATCCTTGGTGGCCACAGATACATCAGCTCCATGCGAAATAAGTCTGCCAACCAGAATCTCCGAGACTGAAGCTGCCAGATGTATGGGACGAATGCCTTGATGATCGGGAATATTCAGGGCTTTGCAAAGACCTGCATCCAAGAGAAGGTCTATCGCATATTTGTCTCCTTCATTGGATGCAGCGAAAAGGTGATCAGAGACATGGCTGCACAATACATGCAGCGGTGTTTGACCCTTGTGATTTGTCAGGTTTGGAGATGTCCCCGTTTCAAGAAGTTTCATCATGGTCTGGATAGCTGTATCCGATTCTTGCCCAGATAAGCAGGCTGCCATCTTGTGCAGAAAAGTGTCACCTTCATAGTTGACCGCGGTCGGATCCGCTCCTTGCTCCAGGAGGAAATCCACGTACTCGGATCGAAAGTCATATTGCTCAATTATGTAGCTTAAGAGTGTATCGCCTTTGTGGTCCTGCGCATTGATGTTGGCCCCACGTTTGACAAGTTCGGTAATTAATTCACGGGCATTATGATGAGGATGACCGTACATAGTCTTGGTGAGCAGTGTACGTCCGTCATAGTCTGTGGCGTCCAGGTCCCCACCAGCGGCGCGAAGGATATCCAGTATATCGCGCAGATTTTCACCGAATCCTTCGACCATATGAATTGGCTGCTGGCCTGCATGGTTCCTTTGGTTCACGTCTAAACCAAGCTTCAGAAGCTCGCTCACGGTTACACTACCACGGCGGTGTACTTTGGCCGCGGCGTGGAGGAGCGTGTTGCCGTTGGCGTCGGTGAGGTTCCAATCCGAGACATAAGGTTTGAACAAGGACAAATCTCCGAGTTGGCTCTTAGACGCGTAGGCGTGTAAGCATGTCCCGTATTGGCTGTTCACTCCAACATCCAGACGGGCCCCGTGCTCCATGAGAGCCTTGAACCATTCTGGATATTGCAGAGGCTTGTGAAGATATGACATGGTATTGGTTCCGTTGTTAATCACAACATTAGGGTCTGCGCCTTGCTGAAGAAGAAACTCGACAAGTGCTACCTCTTGGGTCAGACAGGATAGAAGCACTGTCTGTCCATGGAAATCCTGGGCGTTGATATCACACCCAGCATCTAAGAGCATCTGCATCAACTCTTCCAAACGGGACACATCCGCCTCTCCTCGGTGGTGATACAGTTCATCCACCACTCCATGAAGAGGAGTATATGCTGGAGGCTTTTCTGCCGCAGCTGGACTCCTGGATTGGTTCAAGGAGTTCACCGTAACATCGGCACCATTTTGGAGCAGAAGCCGGACCATTGTGGGCTCAAGCTTCTTCGCAGCCAGGAACAAAGGTGTATCGCCATTTGCAGCCGCATTGAGATTGCATTGACCAGATTCAATCAGAGTCTGAGCAGCTGCAATCTTGCCGTGCTGGCAAGATCGACATAGAGCCGCAGTGAGATCGGCAGGTTCTGCTTGGGACACTAGTTCACGAATGGTATCCACTGCATCATCATCCACCGCGGAATGGAGCAGTGAAATCGGTTCTGCTGGCCTGTTTCCCCGGCCCACGTCGTCTTTTCCCATGCCGAAGAGGTTGAACATGGCTGTTTGACGCGTTTTCAAAAACTGAAACGAAAGCTCCGATCGGGAAAAAAATGACGGTCTAGGGGCACAAGGAGGAAAAGCACGGGTCTTAAGTGTCCGTTAGCGCATCCTGGGTGTCCCGGCCAAACGCATCAGGGACCCTGCCAAGCCGCACTATCAGCCTCTTAGGTCTCTTAGTCTAGGCAGCTCCTCGGCTAGACGGGGTTCTGCCTGGTTAAGCGGCAAATCAAATCAAGAGAGTGGTCACTTTGGGGAAATTACAAGAGCATCGTCTATTACCATAGTGTCACTTCGATCGTGACGAAATTAGAATTATTCGGTTTCCACGGAGAACTCGGCCTTCGGAAAAAAACAAGCGTTGCGTCCTGAGCCGCGGCTGTCTTGATTTAACTCTTAAACAATTTCAGCAGAATAAGCTACGGCGGACTATAGGGAGGAGAGGGCCATAACCCTTTGTCCGCAATTTAAGAATCGGCACAATCTCATTTTCAGGATCGTTTATCCCATATAATCTACTCATATCCTATATACCCTTTGTTAAGTGCGATTTCCCGCACCGAAACAATCGAACTCGACTCAGATTAAATGACTAATGATATTACTAGAGCTAACATATTGATATAATCCGTAATCTGATGTTATAATCCTCTTGCGGCCTAACGTCTTTACCTATCCTATTATTATTACGATCGTAACTAAGATAGAGGGGTAGTTTCCTAGACGGTTTCCTAGACGGGTTTCTAGACGTTTTTTTAGACGGTTTCTTAGTTAATCTCTACGTTGATCTCCTAGTGATGTAGCAAGCATGAAACGTATTTGGGGTGGAAGAGAAGCGTGAATGGTCTTTGAATAAATCCAGGGTTATGGCCTTCTCCCCCCTATAGTCCGCCGTAATAAGCTCGTATTGATCATAGCAATCTTTTTTCCCTTCTGTTCCTTTCAATTTCAAATCCAACTTCCACGATCACGGGGTTTATAAAAGGAGTAACCACGTCTCGTACGTCTACACCAGTGCCGATAATCACAGGCCACAGAGTCCCATAGGTCAACAATGCAATGAGCAACTACCCCTCGCCAATCAATAAGCTGACCTAGAGCGACTGCCATGACTTCGCAGCAAATCAAAAGTTTCCAGCAATACTTCAGATATTTCATGAGCTCTTCCTTGTTGGAAGGATGGAAAGGGTCGTTGGGAATCACTTGTCTTCATTTTCCTTGGTAGTCCATAAAACGCAGAACTCTGATGGCAACCTCAACTGGGAGTCCCTTCGAAATGAGAATGTCCCGGACACGAAACGCTTCCGTCACGGTTGGTCTATCAATGGCCGATCTCGTAAGGTTCAAGAACTGATTGATCGGGAGCGTCCCCGTGCCCCGGTGTTGAGATAGGTGGTGACGGCTGATACCAAAGAACAGGCGATGCGGATACTTTACAACCCAAGGCTCATCAACCCAAGGTTCGGATTTATCAATAACATATCTTTCAAGCATAGTTTGATAAGCCTTGCTGTTGCGGTAGTCGTTGTCTTCGGTTCTACCGGCGGCCCCGTCCCATATCTCTGGAAAACAATACAGCACGTTCAGGCATATATATACTTCCACGGTCGTTATGTAAATACGGTCCCACCCGAAATGGCAGCTCTGTGCAAGTCAGCAATTTTGAAAATAGCAGATTCCAAATTGGTTGCTTCCACAAGGCAAGAGCGCGCAAAAATATAGCTTGTTTGCCATTCCTTGAAACACGCATGAGCATGAGCACAAAGTCGAAGGATTGTATCCATTTCCTCATAGACCAGTAAAGTTTTGAAAAGTTGCAAAGAGTAGTAGAAGCCTTTTCCGTCGAAATAAGCATCATATGAGTGCCTAGAAATCCCCTCCTGTGTTGGAAGTCCTTCCAGAAACGATGCCATAAGTTTGTTCTTCTCGGGGATGGATGTGCACTTGCAATACTCCGGACCGACTCGCCCCCTTCTACATCCACTTTTGCCACAATGCCGAATGGATGAGCGACGAGCGCGCCATCGTTGCGCAGTAGGGGTGATCCTTCTGACGACAGCCTCATCGAGTACCACATCTGAACTTTCGGGCTGGTTATATGTCTCTGGGTATTTCTCGCGCTCGTGGAGAGCTTCCAATTTGAGGATTCTCGCAAACTCTCTGGCAAATAAATTGAATTCTTTCCCCTGGGCAGGTTTCATGCAGGGATGCAGGTTTGTGGCCTTGCACTTGCATGAATCGCGTAAAACCCAGTGGAGATTTGAAGCCAGGAGATGCCATGGCATGTTGCTTGGGTGGTGCGCCATTATAGAGGATCATGTGTGGAGGAAATGAGCAAAGAAGAGGTTAGGTTTATTTTTCCAATTGGTTTTATTGGAGTCATGATATCAGTGCTGCCTCATCAAGTACCGACGGTGGTAGATGTGCCACAATGTCAGGTGGGGAAGTCGACATTATCGCAAATAAGCAAGCTTATGATGCCCCAGCAATCTTTCCCAGTTGCTCTTGTTGTTGTTCTGGCTCCATATAGATTATGTGGACTGTTAACTTTAAATTATCGTTCCGAGTAGTACTACGAGCTATACTCGAGGCAAATGATACTCTTGTAGTTTTGTCAATGAGATAAGACTGATTTCCTATGCATATTAAGAAGTCTATATTCATACAAGTTGGTAAGATGGCCGAGTTGGTCTAAGGCGTCAGGTTAAGGTCCACCTTAACATAAAATCCTGATCTCGTTTACGGGGCGTGAGTTCGAATCTCACTCTTATCACTCATCTTCTTTTTTGGTTTTTTGTCTTCATCCTTACGTGCTCGCAGAAAACCCTTCTTTCTTTTCCGGTTGAATAAAAAATCTGTCAAGAGCGTTTCTATGTATCTTGTTTTATCTTTAATCAACGATGTCCGCGGTCCTTCCCACCATCAACACGTGCTGTTCTGGGAGGTTGGCGGCAGAAGCCTTCGGGCGGCCAGCTACTGTATACCCATTCCTAGAACCACCCAACCAACCTTACCACTATCAGACAATAATCTGATCCGTTTAGGATCAATTCAATTTTATTTTGTTCTTAGCTCATTTTCGATGGATAATCAATCAATCTTTAATCTGCGAAATACCTTCGATGTGACCACATCCGCGACCGAACGTCAAATTATATACTCGTCACGCCCCCCAGCATAAGCATCTACAAAAGAAGCAAATAAAACCGATCAAAATCTCGTAGGTGAACGATCTATACAGACAGATACCTAATATACACTCCTTCTCACCCACACAGTATACCTAAATGCAGCAATACAAAATATACTCCCCCCGTAAATATACCAGGTACAAAACCCCAACGTAAAGGGCCCGGTATGGAGTACCAAGTATCTCGTAGCGTATGTACTACCCTATACGAGTGAACCGAACTACCCAAATCCCCGCCGGCAGCAAGCCGCCCGATTAGATAAACCAGGTCACGTCGATCCGTGGACGGCAGGCCGAGTGTGGATTACGGAGTACACGGCGTAAGAGATGTACGGAAAGCGGGAAATCAAATGCAAAGCCATGTTTTTCTTTCAAGCAAACAAAACATATCGTCTATACGTATTAAGTACTATGTATTGACCTACAGTACTACTCTGGACTAAGTATTACTGCTAAGTAAAGCCGGTCGGTATTAGCGTGCTAGTGATCGGCTCTGCGCTCTGCAGGTGGGCGGGGTAGATACTGTACCGAGTCCGGGGTAAAGTGCGGATTACCGGTGTACGCTGCTTGGTTACGAAACGGGAGGTACCAAAACGGTGTTTTGGAACTAATATATAGTAGATTACTGTACCTGAATACATGTAGACTGGAAAGGTACGAATATAACGAGTCATTTAAGCTTAACTCAGTCATGGACTACTAGAAACGCAAAAATACCAGAACACACAAGTTCAAGACGGTTAACCATACTATCTGTCAAGCAATACTCGGGCTTCTGGCCCTGAACAAATCACGAAGAAGTCAGATAAGAGGTACATCAGAAAGAGATAAACGGAGAAGAGATTTGCAGAATTGGTAATAGGCATAAATGGCCGAAACAAAACATAGGCAGCCTCGCCTGGCAAAGGCAAGGACCAGCATCTCGTGAGCAGACCAAAATACACGCTGCATCCGTGAAGAAAGCAGGAATCATCAGAGAACTGCGCTTGGAATAATAGAAAACAACCAAGAAAAGGAACACCATTTTCCAATCACATAAAACAAAATAGACATCGCTTAAGAACGGCAAAACAGTGGACGTGAACCCTGGAGTCGTTTAGTTCACACGGAATGCATCGAAGATAACTGCGCATAAATTAGTATCAATCGCTCCCTCTTGAAACCAACGAACCGGGGGAGACAAACCTTCTTGCCCGCGGCGGCATCCACTGCCTACCCACATCAGGGTATTCAAGAATGTGTATCGCTCATCACCAGTCTCCATAGACAAGTTGATACGATACTTGTAGCTGCTGGGGTTGATACCATCAGCCATGGCGGGGTCATTGACTTTCTCAAGAACATCCTTGGCTCCGGTGAGCCATCCCTCGGCCCGGACAATCACGTATGCAGGTGGCTCGTCGGCAGTTTGCAACATGTAGCTTGCGCGCAGGTTAGTAGTAAAGTCCTTGGTGACAATCTGAGTATCTTGGCCACCGGGCTGTTTTCAACGGCATTAGTATCGACGTTATCAAGAAGAAGCGATGGAGATAAGAAATGACAAGTCACTCACCAGAACGATACCCTTTCCCCAGCGACCAGCCCACTGACCACCGAGGAACGAAACCCATTCCCGACCACCCCAGATGCTCTGACCCACGGTAACCTTGGGGTTCATCTTGATGCTCATGCGGAAGTCCAGCTCCAGCGTCGGGGCAGGGATCTGCAGTGATCGCGCGACGTCACCCTCGGGGAAAGTGTGCAGCAAGTTGTTGGCGGGGATCGAGTCCTTCATCACACTGAGGTAGGTGGGGCACTCGAGCAGGTGCTGGCGCTGACGGCTGGTGTTCTTTGCGCGGACTTGTTGGCAGTAGATACACTGGACAGACAGACACTGTGTTGTTCAAAATGTCAGCTCACACATCCCCAGCTTGATTTTCTGTTCTCATGTTCTTACCTTGTCCTCCTCCTTGGCGCGGAACTCGACAAAGGCCGCGTGCACATCGTCCAGCGGCGGCGCGGGAAGATTGGAGCCGGCGCTCTTAGCTTTCGGCTTCGGAGTAGGACGCGACGGCGCGGCGGAGGGCGGAGCGGATCCGGGAGGTCCAGTTGGCGGGCCCGGGGTGGCCATGGGCGGACGGTTCAAGTTCTGCAGCGGAGTCTGCAACGGGGTGGCATGAGGATTGACGCCGTTGGTCATCATGGCACCATTGGGGGTTGGCATGGTCGGGGGACCACCAGGGCCGCCTGGAGTAGCTGTTGGGCCATTGGGGGTGCCGGGGTAGCCGTTGGTAGGGCCGATGCCATTGGGAGCCTGGGAGGGTTGATTCGGCTGGGGAGCGTTGGGATGACCACGAAGACCAGGGCACTCGAGGAGATGCTGTTTCTGACGCGAAGTATTCTTTGCACGAATCTGTTGACAATAGATACACTGGACGGAGAGGCACTAGAAGGCAGAAATGACCGAAACGGGTCCCCGTATGTTAGTGACTGAACGTGTTGTGGTGGGTTTGAAATATTACGAAATACGCAAGTCACGCACCTTGTCATCTTCCTTGGCGCGGAACTCGACAAACGCCGCGTGCACCTCCTGGTCGACGGTGCGACCCATTATGGGCAAGAGAGGAGGTAGATTGAGTACCTCGAGTGTCGATGGCGAAAAGATTTTGGGGGTGCGTAAAACGCGACGAAGGGGAGGTTTTTTTTCGGGGGAGCTTTGAAGACTGATGGGTGGACGCGGGTGAGTGGGGGTTCTGATGGTGTTTTCGAAGAGGAGAGAGAAGTGAAAGGGAAAGAAATGGAAAGACCAAGACGAGATTACGGGGGGCGGTCGTGTACGAGTAACGAGGCCCTGCGTAATTTGGAGACCGGGCGTAATCTGGGTAATCGGTAATTTCACGTGTACCGAGTTACCGACAAAGAAATTGTACAGTATGCACTACTCCGTAGAGATCAACGATAGAGGAACATTATCATTTAGTCTAGTAGCAATTGATTTATCCTCCTCAAACTCTGCAATTTGTGAATTGCTCTTTCATTCACCTGCTTCAGCATACCGCGTGGCTCCCGACTCGCCTTGCCACTAGGCCTCCCCTCCTGACACAAAACGCGCTGACCAATAGACGATTACGCGCTTCAGGCTGCTCCCGAACAGACACGAGGACAAAGGTAATGGCTGACACCAGTGCGAATTCATGATGAAACACCTTATCGGCACATATATGTAGAGCGGCAGATCCTCCTAATTTACTATAGCTGTCTGCCTAGCCACTCTCACGCCAAGCAAGCTATCTCTGAGCAGATGTGCTCGGTTAGAACGCGCCCTGGGCCGTACACCGGCGAGCCTGATGAGAGGGCAAAGCGAAAAGAAGCGATAGGCGCGTGAATGCGAACCTTCATGGAAGAGAGAGACTAAATCTATAAGTCCACCGAGAACCTACGGAATTAAAAGTAACCTGCACATTCATCAATGTCTTCAAGGTCTATACTTTCTATCCTTCTCTCGTTCTTAGGGCAGGTATTGTTACCTCTCATACTGAAGCCAGCGGTATCGTTCCAGAAGTTTGCCCCTGTTCCCGTATCCCATACGCGATACTGTTCACGTCCCGGTTCCTGGTAAGATTGCCAGTAACGCGATGCCGGTATCATCGAATCTATAGATCGGGCTTGCATTAAATCTAGATCTTGTCAATCAACTTGCCATTGAGCTCGTGCTGTTAAAGCTATCGATCTGAAAGCACCTCAATTGCATCTCTCCTCGGTCCCCCCAGCCCCCGTGATCCACCGTCTGCTAAAAATATCTGCCAGCGCACCAGCACCTCCGCCGTAGCTGGATAAGTATTCCGTACTTGTTCTCCGTATCGCTCTCTGCACCTATAAAAATAACGAACCATTCCACGATCCCATCTCGGCTCTGGGGAGCAGCCGATTCGCCGAGATCTTGATAAGATCTTGCAAATCACCAGCCACGAATGATCAATCACACCGAGATGTCAGCACGAAGCACCGAAATGGGTGTAAAGAATATGGCTAGCAAAAAATAAATAAAAAAATCAGGAGCGTAAAAAGCAAGAAAAAAAGCAAGATCGTCCCAGGAGATCACATGGCCCCGTAAAAGAGTAAATGATCGATCGACCGACCACGCCAAATGCGTGTTGCACCTGAAATAAGCCCTCACATTCCACTCTCAGCCATTCCCAGCAGAATATCGCCATGCTGGAAGCGAATGCCCCAACTGGAAGCTCCCAGATCAGTGCATAAATCCTGCGACACGACCAGAGCACCCTTTGTCGCGAGCGTGAGCACATTCATGAACCCATGCGCGGCAACGGTGCACGTGGTCTCGGACGGCGGGAGGAGTGTCGAGAATGTAATGCGCCCTGGCGTCATAGAGGCGAATTTATTTTCATCGAGTTTCATCTGAATGAAATCGAAAAAGTTCAGACTCTCAGTGTCCAGAGCCGACGTGACCCAGTTGAGCATGGATCTGCGTCGCGCGGTGATCGTGCTAATATCTTCGTTGTCCGGGGCTAGTTCGCCTTCCAAGTATTGCGTGATATCTAGTTGCTCGAGCTCGTCTAGGTCGTCCCCTGCATTAGGGAACGATAGGCTGCTGTGGCGCTCGCGCCCGTCAGGATAGCTTCGTCCGGCAAGCGGGCTGGCGCTGGTTAGACGACCGCGAGGTCGAGCTGAGGATCCGGAGACGCTGCCGAAGCGCTGGCCTCGGAGTGAACCTTGGAGGGAGGCTGAGACGTTCCAAGGCATTTGCGAAGACCTATCATCGTACGCGCTGGATGGAGCGTGTCGACCGAGTTCCACGTCGAGACTCTGCGCTTGGCCGGACTGGCCGAGCGCTCGGTGTGCCTGTTGTTCTTCGTCGGTTTCATCGTTTTCAATTCGGTGAGTACCTTTCTTTCCAGATAGAAGGCTGTATAGTGCATCACCCGAGTATTCCTTGAGCGGGCCGTCTTCGTGATGCTTACCAAGCCCCATACCAACAGACCCAATACCCACGCCAAAGACCCAGAAAGCCGCGTTCTTCTTTGCTAAAGTTGGCAATTTGTTCTGCCTTTTCTGCTTTAGGGACTGGGCCATGTTAGCTGCATAGTCGTCGTTCCACTTGGCCAGGTCGGTGTTGCGCAACGTCGTACTGTCATCCGATATGATGGCTTTAGCTTGTCGGATTCGCTGCTGGGCGCGTGCTTCCCCGGTACGCTCAAGCTCTCCATCTGCCATCAAACGGTCTTCTGCGGGCACGATGTTGGTATCCTCAGTGTACTGTGGACCGGGCCGAGCATTCACGTCCGTTGCCTCGATTCCCGGCAGCGGGACCTCGTCATTGATGTCCGCCAACTGTACGAATTGTCAGTAAGAGGCAGACTGCATTGAATGTCTTTTGAATTAACTCACTCCTTCCTCTTGCCCCCCTTCACTCGCAGGCCCTTCCCCTATTTCTGACCGCGGGATCGTCTTCCTTCTCTTCCGAGGCGACATATTGCTCGTATCAAATTCGATGATGTTCCCATCCTCGTCAAACTCAAAGTCTGGCTGAAGCAGAATACCCTCATCCTCGAGGTCTAGTCGCGCATCTCTACCAAAGATCCCTCTCTTCTTTCCCGAGGGAATGGTATCCGCACTTGGATCCTGCACATCCCTATCTCTGAGGAAATCGTCCGCCGGCAGATCAAGCTGGATGTTGCCAACCTGCGAATTGCCGGACTGGCTGGTAGCAGGTGATGTAGTCCAGCTACCAGACCGCTGCGTCAAGCTATCGTCCGTCGACTCATCGAATAGGGAGAAGTTGATGTCTAATCCGGGAAGGCCTGTCTCGGGTATGAAGGTCGGGTCGTACGGGAGGATGAGATTGGTAGGTCTTGGTCGAAGTTAGCAAGTCGACAGAAATGGAATTTCCTTCAACGGGTAGTCTGCTCGGTTGATCGACTTACTTGGTCTTTCCAGCGCTGGGATCCAAGCCTCCACCTGGTAGCTGCTTCAACATGGAGACCATCTTGTCCCGCATTGTCTGCGCGTCGAGCAGAGTATATCCACATTGCTGGTCGTATACCCTCGAGACTCCGTATCTGTTTGAGAGACCGTGAGAAGACAAGTCCATCAGCCAAGGTCAGTTTCAGCTTACAGCAAGCTTCCCTGCAGTCTTAGGGCCATGGGAGCTTCAGGGTTTACGATGACATTGCAGGCACCAGGCACATCCACGTCGAGGATAGCCTTGCGATTGAGTCTCCGAGTAATCGACCGCGAGCCGAGAGTCGCGACGAGCCTGGAGCTGTTAGTTGAGTTGGTCTCAAATTTGTCTTTATTAAGTTGATACGCACCATATCGTAGCCACGCCGTGCTCAGGCGACGTGAGGACTATCACGGGCTGTCAGGTTAAAAGAAAGATCCACGTTGACAAGTTACGACTCACTTTCATGGCTGTAAAACATCTTGAGGGGAGCGTGATGGCTTCACGGAGGCCGTGGAAATACCCCAGTCGCCGAGAGAGGTGTGGTAGAGGAAGACTGTTCCCAGAGTTGCGTGAAGGCTGTCAGTTAGATCACTGATTGTGGGGAAAGGAAGGGTGGGGGAGGGTAAGTGAAGTCTGGTAGGATGAGAAAGGGCGTTGCGAGTGGAGGGTTTGAGATGAAGATGGGCCACGGAGACGCAGAATGGTGACCAACCTTCATACTGTGATCCCAAACGGTCGTCCTTCAAGGCAAAGTTGTTCACCTCATGATCCGGGCAATACCCCAGATCATGATACCCCTGTGTGATGTCTGACCTTCACTACTTCTCGGAACGCTGAACTCATACGAATCAGATAGCCGAGCCTGCATGGAGGCGACGACATATTATCATTGTGAGCACGATAGAGCAAAGAGTCTTGTCTGCTAGGAAAAGACTTTGGCGTTCTCTGCATGTCTAGTTGATTTTGTGTGCATAGCAACGAGCCTCAGCATCATTGAACGTACTTCACTGACACAGATACAACTCAAGGATGAAATTTACTTTTGTGTTCTGAAACTCTAGCACCGCATCTGAACGACACGTACGACACGAGTATGAAAATCCCCAAAGCGCAAAGGGAAAGGCGAGAGTGGGATGGCGATATAAAGAAAAAGGAAAACCGCAGTCAAATGGAATCTAGAAACGAAATAGAGATTGGACAGTAGGACAGATACAGACACCGACATCCACGAAAACTCTTTGATCGGGAGATAAGAAAAAAATAAAATAAACAACAGGGCCTGGGAAAGGACATCCGGGACAGGAAGTGATAAATAATGTAGGTAGCTCCAACAGAAGCGCAAACGACAACATCCGTTACAAAGCAGCATACCATAGTGACCATATAAGATGTACGCGGGGTATGAGACAAATGATATGCGAGGATGACGCGCATAGAACGACCTTATAGCTTTATTTCGAAATCGATGGCGACGTCGATGCCAACGTTGACGTCAGATCGAGATCAAGGGCGAAGCGATTTACTCCAAGGGGATGCCCTCGTACTCGGAGTAACCAAGTGCCAGGTTCATGTTCTCTGTGAAGAGAGTTAGCGAGGAGTTTCAATCAGAGAGAGAGGGCTCGAGGGATTCTTACGCAGGCACTGGGTAGCGGCACCCTTGAGAAGGTTGTCGATGGTGGCGCAAACGACAACGCGCTTGCCGCTAGAATGAACGGCGAAACCACCAATCTCAACACCGTGACGACCAGCAATGTCCTTGACGAGGGGAGCCTCGCCAGTGATCTTGACGAGCTTCTCACCAGCGTAGCGGTCCTGGTAGATGTTGCGGATGTCACGGGAGGTCATCTCCTTGTTCAAGGGGATGCTGATCGTGTGCTGAAGAATATTGTCAGTATCGCGTTTGCAATTCGGTGGTGGAGATTAAACTTACGGAGATACCCTGGAACCAGACGGCAACGTGGGGGATGAAAGCAATGCTGGTACCCAGCTGAGCACTGATCTCACGCTCGTGGATGTGGTCCGTCAAGCTGTAGGGGATAAGGTTGTTGGTGAGGTACTGGACGTCGTTCTTGGGGCTCGGCTTGGTGCCGGCACCGGAGTAACCAGAGACACCAAAGGTGGTGGGCTGACCACCCAAGAAGGGCACCAGGGGAGCAATACCGAGCTGGGCAGCCGTGGCATAGCAGCCGGGATTGGCGATGCGAGAGGCACGAGCAATCTTGGAACGGTCAACGAGCTCGGGCAGACCATAGGTCCAGTTGGAGTCGAAGCGGTAATCGGCACTCAGATCGACGATGACGTTGCCAGTAGTGGAGCCCTGGTCAACGGCCTCGACGAAAGGCTTGCAGACACCATTGGGGAGAGCCATGACCCAGCAGTCAATGTCGCCGTTGGCGGACATGCGGCGGACGTCCTCGGGGCTCAGGTTCTCGTAGATGATCTCACGCTTGTCGTAGCCCTGGAGCTTCTTGCCAGCGAGCTCGCGAGAGGAGACATGGCGAAGATCCATGTTGGGGTGGGCATTGAGCAGGTTGATCAGAGCCTGGCCAGTGTAACCACGGGCACCGATAAGGGCGACCTTGGCGGGCTGGGGGTTGGAGGCGTTCTTCTCACCAAGGGGAGGGTTGGGGTTGGTGGTGGAGTAGGTGCGGGAAGCGTTGACGGCAGCGGTGGGACGCTTCATGCGAGAGGTACGCAGAGCGTTGGAGGCGGAGGAGAAGGCGCGCTTCTGCTCGGCAGAGGCACCGCTGGCACCAAAGCCCTTGTTGATGTTGATGGCGGCTTGGTGAGCACGATGAAGACGGTGCTCAAGGTTGATGTCGCCGAACATCTGACGGCCGTGCTTGGTGAACTCCTGGACGAGCTGCTTGACCTCGTCGCCGTTCTCAGCACCGTACCAGAAGAGAACCTCACCGTCGTGGCTGAGGCTGCCCTCGGCCTTGTCGAAGAACCAGGTCAGGTTCTCGTCGTCCTCCTTGACAGTCCAGGCCAGCTTGGGGAAGTCCTTCTTCAGGCTAGAAAACACGTTGTCAGCCACGTTGGTCAACCAGCCAGACTTGGTGATGGTGAAGGTAGCCAGGTGGGCCATCGAAGAGCCCTCCTGGGGAGGCAGAACGACGGCCAGAGCGTCCATGGGATCATCGTAGTAGATCTTAAAGTCACGCTCCTTCATGCCCTCGACGTAGCGGTCGACAACGGCGCGAGCATCGAGGCCCTCGCGGTCACGAACCAGCACATCCTTCAGACGCTCAAGGTCGCCGAACTCAGACAGAGAAGTCTGTACGTTGATCTTGTTACCGCGGCGAATCAGGGTACCGGCGCCGGAGTCGGTGAACAGCTCCTTCTGGAGATCGGCAGGGTGGATGATAGCCACGCTGGACGAGCGGGGCAGGTCGCTCAGGAGCTCCTTCATCTCCTTGATCTTCAGACGAGTGCCGTGACGAACCCACCACTGGGTCATCAGGTGGTCGTACTCCTCATCAAGGTTGATGGCGGAGATCTTCTCGCCAGTGTCACCATTGAACAGACCACCCTTCTCGGCAAGGTAGACAATCTTCAATGGCTGCAGAGCGCGGGCCAGCTCACCAGCAGCGACATCGGCGTTGACGTTGAGCACCTGGCCATCGGGGGTCTCGGCCATGGAGGTCAGGATGGGCAGGCAGCCAGCGGCAATGGCCGACTCAATGGGCTTCTTGTCCACGCCATTGATCTTACCAACCAGGTTATACTTGGGCTTGTCCAGGTAATCGGCCGAAAACACACCGGCGGTGATGGGCCGAGCACGGACACCCATGCGCTCCAGCTCCTCCACCAGCTTCATGTTCTCCTCCAGGAAGAGCTTGCGCGCCAGAGACAGAGTCTTGCCATCGGTAACACGGATTCCATCCTCAAACTGGGGCTCGACACCGGCAGCCTCCAACATGCGGTTAAGCTGGGGACCGGCACCGTGGACGACGATCGGGTAAAGACCGACATGGTTGAGGAAAGCGAGGGCGGACGACAGGGTCTGGAGATGCTCGGTGATGATAGCGCCACCAACCTTGATAACGGCGAACTGCTGGGAGGAAACGGAGGTGAAGTGGGACAGGTACTGTTGGACCTCGCGCTTGGAGCCAATGTTGCTCAGCAACTGCACGACGGTGCTGCGGGTGTTGCTGGGCTGAGAGTCGGTACCACGCGAGTAGGATCGGCTCTGGCGCAGAGGAGTCGAAGCCGTACGGGCCACGATACCGGCTCGCAGAGGCGAGACGGCGTTAGGTGCGGAGAGCGATCGGAGGGGCTTGGTGGAAGCTCTCCGCACAGCGGAGCGAAGGGACAGCATCTTGGTCACCAACATGCGGCAGCTTCAATTGGAACTTCGCAGGTCGCCGGGGGAAACGTCCCCTTGTGTAGAAATGGTTGAGAGGAGCGGAGAGAGGTGTTGAAGGGGGGAAAAGCAGAAGAGCAGGAAGGAAGAGATAGTAGTGGAGGGGAGGGTGAGAAGTCCGGGCGATAGTGTGACTAACACCTTTCTCGCAAGATTTTACGGCGGCCGGGCCTCGGAGTGTCCACTCGCCCAATGACCGATGACGGGGACTGGGCGGTGTCGAGTGGACTTGCGGGTTTTTTTGTGGGGAGAGCGATTTATCGGACGCCATCCATTCTGTATGGGAGATAGATAATTATGCGAATCAGATCTGATAAAATCATATCGCCTATTTTTTTCTAAACTTGAACAATATCTCAGAATGCTCACATTTCCCCCGGCTGTGCCCTTGTCCGTCCATCGACGCATAGATCCCGATTCTCCTTGCCGGATCTCTCGTCCCGTTGGGACGAAAGTTTAAGTTACCGATTTTTCTTCTCTTCTTTTCTTCTTTTCACCGATCGTCGTTGTCAAATCTCGGAAATTCGAAGCGAATGTAGCCCCGAAAAAAAAAAAGAGTCCACTATCCGCACGAACTTTGTCGGAGATACACTTGCAACGTCATCCGGCTTCGGTCTAGTGTGACTTATCTGATCCTCTCCGCGCCTCTTACTCGCTCATTGCGCCAGGCCGCTATCCACTTCCTCCACCTTCGTGTCTTAGTGTCTGTCTTTGCCGGGCCCCTTTGCGCTTTCTTCCGACAGCTCACGCTCAAGCTGTGCTTCCGAGAGCCTGCTCGGGTCCTCTATGCGTTAAGCGGTGGTCTGACTCGTGGCTTTTTTGCCAAGATTCTTCTGCAAGGAGCGGGTCACACCGCGAGTTGAATCCTGGATTTGAACTGGCGCGAGTCCGTATATGGAGTGGTTCTCCGTCCTGAGGAGGAAAGGTGGGTGCATAGGGCTGCGATAGAATCAATTGGATCGGAATGCTGTTATAAAAATGTACTAGGCACGATGGGTAGGTTAACAGGTTCATTGGCCCTAAAAACAGTGCATGCCAAAGCGCAAAAGAAAACCAAAGACTAAACAAAACACACTCGACATCGCAAATCGTACTGATCACATCAAGCAGCAGTCAAAAACCACGGCATCACAGCAGTATCATTTACATCTTCAACCCGCCACAGCATAGCAGAGGGGCAGGGCTCTCTCATCTCAAATACAAGTCGAACCCTTGGGAATTTCGAGATCTCGTTTCGTCGCAGGCGCAAGAGAAATCAAGAGAAGTTGGTCATTCAGAACACGCCCAAAACAAAACAGCAGGAGGTATTAGTGGCTGGGAAGAAAACGACGGAGCTCCATGGCCTCTCAACGACAGTAAAAACCCGGTAAAGACAACTCAAGATTCTCCCATGAATTCTCCATTCCAAAAAAAGCACAAAAAAGTCGTGGAGCGATGCAGGTGCTCGTTTAATGGTATTTTACAGCAACTAGATCATCCGGCAAATCAAATTAGCGTTCCACTCCGTATGAGAATCCAATCTCGTTCGTCTTCTTGTCTTTTCCTCATTTCCCGTCTTTCTGTTTCATGGAGGGTCTTACCGGGCACGATGATAACAACCAGAAGCACGACGACGCAAATAGCGAGGCATACGCGCATCTTCATGTCCTTCCACCACATCTGCTTGCGTACACGGTTGGCACCCCGACGGAAACCCTGGGCTGATACGGCCAGGTTGTCGGTCTTGTCTTGGAGAGAGTCGAGGCGCTCACCACGCTGGGAGACCTTGTTGATGTTCTCGCGCATCACGCCGACAGTGTCGTCAATTTGCTAAAGGAAGAGACGGAGACTTATGTTAGTTTTCTAGGTCGCCACATCAACCTACTGAGGAGAGCGCTCTCTGGAAATCAGTGATCGACATGGCATCGCCCGACATTCATTCATGAAAGCGGCAATGCCTGTGCGTCTCTAATTCCATCGAGAGCCACCTCGATGATGAAAAAAGGAGAGAACTAACCGCCTGCAATGCGGCCGTGCGCTGGTTGCCATTTTGTTGCGCGGAAGCGCCACCGGCAGCACCGCTGGAACCGGCGGGAATATAAGGGTCGTAGGGGGCTTCGGAAGACATCATGAAAGTGCGAGTTGATGTGAAAGATCTTAGATAAGGAGTCGTAGAACGTCAGCGGAAGACCGGGCTACCTCGTGGGTGCTGTGAAGGTCGCTTTGTTTGGAAACAGGGGAACCCCGGAAGTTGGTCGCCTGGGAGACAGTGATGGGACAGAGATCGAGGGTGCGAGACAAGATTTCGAAGCAGTTCACTGAGAGATCGAGAGGAGAAGACCGTGCGAAGAGAAAGGGAGGAGGGACGAGGTGGATGTGATGGATGGGAGGAGTTGTGGCGTGGATGGCCGCCTCTTGCTGACACTCCTCCTCCGCGCACGTGATCCCGGGGACAAAAGGGTAGCCTGCCAAGTCCTTTGACTCGTGGCGGGAGAATTATCGAGGCTGAGTTGAGAATTACTGGAATTTTGACAGGCTAATTGGATAGATCGGAAGCTGCAAATCCGGAAATTTGAGCAAATTTAAATGCCAATGCAGTCGCTAGAGGGGAAATAAAGGCTAATTAACTACAAACACCTTTTGTCGCAACCTGATAGAGATGGCCGCGCAAGATGCTTTATCTGTATGGCATGAAATAATTGTTCCTTTGCTCGAGAACGTCTTCTTGTATCTAAATTATGCCACTTCATAAATCTCTTTCTGCATCACTTGATCTGCGCTATTGATGACTTTATTTGGCTGCCTATTCGGCGTGGCCACCACGTAGCCGCGAGTTGCTGAAGGAACGGTCTATTCATAGTAACATGCTCCGTGGTGGCCTCAGGCAGCGCGGCAATGTTAATCCGTGGACCCTTCTACGGAACCCGACGGCCTGGCTGCCGGTTACCCTGATTGCCTAAATGGGGGGGGGGGGGGAGTATTTTTGCCTGAGAGAATATGAATTTCTAACTTACTAAAAGTGTTCTTTAACCTATGACTTGGCTCATACTGCGTACACTTCTGGCTATCTAATGTTGTTGCCCGAGCCTTAAGGCAAAATGCTGTCATACGGTACTTGACCGGGAAGGTACCAGGTTGTCATGACATGCCTGGCCATCCAAGCAGGCATGGGTACATGCAAGAAGACTGAGAATTATTCTATACCAATTCAATGGGAGTACTGGCTAATCATATCGCCCTTTCTCTAAAACATAACTGATTTTCACATCATGGACGTACCCTGTCCGTCTCCTTCGAGAATGAAGTTGCTGTTCGTGATAGGTGAAAGCTTGCGTCCGGAGGGGTTATGCTCCTTTGGATACTTATTCCAAGATCTAGTGGCAGGACACGGTTTCCACGCTGTGTACTGAAGCCTCCCCATCCTGCGGTCTCCGTCTTGCCTGAGCGGTAGCAATACGGAGAGGCGTGAACCATGAGAATGCATTGATCCAGAGTAGGGATTAAAATTTTACCTTGTTCTCAAGGCTGATCATATGATACGTGAATTAGTTCAAACCTAGTGCTCTTTTCATACGGCACGATGTAGAAACAAGACCCGGGATATCAGTAGGAACCCCACTGCTATCAAAGTAAAACGCCATTCCTTCCCCAGTGTCGTCGGATATAAAAAACCAATGATCCTTCAGAAAGAGGGATCTTATTATCTCCCATAGCCCGAGGACATATTATTTGAGTTGGTAAGTTGCGTGCATGACGTGAAAAGTCCAAAGTAGGTCAAAGTGATCGTGTCGATGCGAAAAGGACCTTCCAGGAAGGTGTAACTCGATTAATCAATCTCAAAGCCTTGGGATACCTTGTGTTGAGCTTAGATGGAGGCGTCAGAGGTGGCTTCGTGGGGCACCAGCTCCTTCAGGTGGTTGAGGATTTTGTGGATATCTTCGAAGGATCTGCGAAGGATGACAAATTCATCCTGAATCTTGGACAGATTATCCTTCATGAATTCCATTCTTTTCGCCATGGAGTCGATTTCTTGTGCCAGTTCTTTGGTCCAGCATTCGTTGTTGCTTTCTGATACGCTGGCGCTGTCATGGGGTCTGCCGTTGCTGGCCGGGTTATTGGTTGTGGGCTCAGGTTCTGTGGAGGATGAAGCCATAGCGAGTGTTTGAAATGGAAAGGTACGGAGAGTTCTGGACTGCAGTTACCGAAATCGATGCTGGGTGGGACTCGCCAGAGCTGCGAAAGTTGACGCGGTGGTTGGTTATTGGTATCAAGCAGGAAGGATCGCGTGCACGAGATAATCAATCAGGTGCTCACTTCATGGAAACTCCCACCTCAAGTAGAGAAAGGAGCCCTTGTGGTAAATAAAAGGCCCATATTCTATTTCATCGAATCCCGAATGAAAAGGCCACCTCTATACTCTCATCCGGCTTTACTTATAGCTTACACGCTATACAAAAAGCAGATACCCGTTCAACCCAATTCAAAGCTTTCCATCAGACTACCACTCAATATTGCTGCAGCATTGAACTCTTTCTGGAATTTCAGCTATGCGAGATCTTGACTCAGTGACCACGTCGACTCGTCTTCCCCTCTTCTTACGCTTGAAAGCCTGTCTTTTCCAATGAATTTGAACAAAAGTCAACCTGTCTGCCTAGATTGCATTGTCAAGAACTACCTTTCAAGCAATCCTCGCTCAGCCCAGATGTGTCAAAGACCGAATGCGCAAAAATCAACCCAGGACATCCCTCGTTGAATGACGAGAAATGATATTCTAGCGTCGACAAGAATCAACGCTAGTACTCCGAGATGATTATATAGATATGGGCGTAAGCCGATTCCCCTTCCTCGGTGGGGTTATGCCAGAGCAGGCCCTTGGGAAGATTGATTTATTACAGGAAAGCGCTGACATTCGCTGCCACTATAGATGGAGCGAAGCTTCAGAGAGATGTCAAATTAAAAGAAGGCTTTTCATCATATGAACATTGCAAGAAGTTTTCTGGAATACAATGTCAACCCTGCACTCGCTGTTGATGCAGTAATAAGCTCAAAGCGAGCAAGGAAAAAGGTTGAAACTTTGAAGGAGAATGTGATGTAGACATGACTTTACTAATTCCCAAGTTCAACTATTGCAAAGAGCCAGTGCTGAAGCTATGGCAGCTGTCACCAAGGATGAAGAGCCCCAAGGACACCCGTTATTGTCATACGGAAGTGGAGTCATTGCCATCCTGGTCGGTCTGCTGAAATATTGCAAGTCAAAAGTCTTCCAATCAGGTGGTTGTTGGAGATGATTATACATTTTCCGAGTTACGTTCTTCATCCAGGTATCAAACCGCCATCGTGAGAATCGTAGGCACCTCCAAAAGAGCCAATAAAACCGAGTGATGACGTTGGAGTAAGACATAAACCATCTTGTGAGCTCGTTTGCTCGCTTCATCAATTCATAGGGAGGCAGAAGAAGGATGGAGTGGATCAGGTGTGGCTGTGGTCAATATGGCTGTGGCCTTTTTGTCTCGGAGGTGCTGGCTTCGAAAAGTGTTCTTTTCCCCACAATACACTGGATTGCGGGCCGACCGGTAGTCTCTCCTGGTCCCTGGTGCGTTTTTGTTTCACAATCTGGAAGGGATCCATGGTCGCAATACAAGAGGTTGACTGGGACCCTTGACCTGTGGAATGCAAAGACTCCATTGTTCGTCATCCCATGGATCTGATCAGCATGTAATTTCCCATTGTAAAAGATCGCGATGAGCACTCAGAATGCCGAAAGAGTCGGCGAGTCCCGTTGGGCAGAAAACCTTGCCAGGGTTTTTCAGGAAAGAGTGGAGACGGACCACTCACAAGTGTAAAGTTGGCCATTGGGGAATGCGGATTGGCGGTCGGGACCCTGGAAATCCAATTGCATGAATGTATGAATTCGATGTATCCGATGGGATCATTGGAATGGCCTCAAAACCCTTGCCAAGACGGTCGGAAACACGTCTATAACATCCGCTGCGACACAAATGAATTGGAAAATTGGCCGCCTAAAAGGTGACGGGCATGCATTGGCCCCCATTCCTGCAGAGTCTTGCAACCTCCGGTGGTCTTGGGGGTCCCCCCCTGATCGTCAGGTACCGGGTCAGCATAACCGCGCGCCCTTAGCCTTGTCTCGTCTGTCTTACCAGTCAAAAGGCGAAGCTGTCCGGAGAGAAGGAGAGAGTCGGAGAGAGGGGGGGGATGAATGTCTCAATTCCACCAGGCAAACAAGCGAATCGTAGCCGTGGACTGCACTGGTGATTTGCGCCACAACGGGGGAGAGACGAAGAGCCCTTTTGGTGGAAGTTCGATGACGGCAGGCGTTCCTGGCCGTGTGTGGGTCGGCCTTTTATTAAAGTGTGCCGGTCTCCTTCAAACTCGCCCGACCGCCCTCAACCCCCTCAAATCTCCCATTCCCCGCGCCCGGTGAATCGCAGACTTGAAGGATTGGGTTTTCTTTCTTGTTTTTGGCTCTGTTGATGAGGCTCGGTTGATCGTGGTGAGTCTCACATTCTTTTGCGTTCCCATCTGATTTTTTGGCCTGTTTGGGCACGTGGTACCGTCCCGTGCGGAGAGCAGGAGGAAGTGCGCTCGTGTGCGAATGTGCTGACCTCATTTCGACCAGCAACTGGGAATTCTCCTTGCATGCGTTATTAACCGACCTGCGCGATCGCGAAAATATTGCCCGTCGACTCGGGCCGCACTTCTGTCTTGCCCCGTAACCCGAAGCCATGGCATATCCACAGCGCCCGGCGCAGCGACCACCTCCTATGAGGCAGTATGACAGCCAGACTCCGGTGTCGCCTGCTTCGGGAGCCGGGTATGCCCCTGATGCTGGATTCGGCGGTGGCTATGGAGAAGGAGGATATGACTACCGGGAGGGCGGAGGTGGAGGAGGGTATGAAGATCCAGCCTACAGTTATCAGGCTGGTCCTCCAGGAGCCCCGCCGTACGGCTCGTCGCAACAACCACGCTCGATGCGCCCGCCTCCTGGACCGGGTGCTCCAGATTCTAGACGTCCTTCGGCGGGATATGATGACCGGCGCGGATATTCTGGGGAACGCCCCCCGGGATCGAGTCGGTCTCGGCCTCGTAAGTACTACCGCGGGGACTGTCTTCGTCAGTACGCTCTTTCCTAACTGAGATTTTAGCGGGTGGACGGCCACCTCCAGGGAATTTCGATAGTCCCTTCCCTGCCGTTCCTGGTGGGAGAGATCCTCGTGACCGACGCGCTCCTCCGCCTCGCGGCGGCCTCGAAAAAGGCATGGCGGCAATGGACATCAACGGCCGAGGTCCTCCACCTCGGCCACACACATCCAACTCCAACGGACGACGACCAGATATGCGACAGCCGCCCCCACGAGGACCACTTCCGAGTCGTGGCCGTGGCGGTTACCCTCCAGGTCCTTCTCGCGCAGCCAGCTCTGGCCGAATGGATCGTCCTGATCGAGCCTACACCGATCCCAATGGACCTCCCATGGGTCCACCAGGTCGAAGCGCAACTATGCCTCTTGCAACGGGGCCGCCCATGTATCCCGGTCAATCATCCTATCAAGAACCCGATTATAAATCCGGTCCTATGAGCGACATGCCTCCAGCTCGGCCCAATACTGCTGGTGGCATGCGACCTCCTCGCCGTCCTACCAACGAGATGGATGGTGGGCTTGGTGCTGGCCTGATGATCCCACCGGATCCAGGAAGCCGCATTTCTTACGCACCTAGAGAATTCTTGGATAGCTACTACGAGGGTAATGATGACGAACCTGATATGCCTAATTTCGATGCGATGCCGTCGCAAATTAAAGGCCCCCTTGACGAGATGGGACTCGACACTCCGAAGCCGATGCAAACACCGACTTCCCCATCTTCCTCGGCTGGCGGCCAATATGCGGCCTACACTCCTGATTCAAGCCAGGGGACTACACGATCTCAGTCTCAGCCTGATCTCCGACACCCTACCACGCCCAATCAGTTTGACTTCCAGTTCGATATTCCCGGCGAAGGGCCCCCAATGCCGATGCATGGGGGTCATGTTGGGTACGCGCCGAACGGCTATGAAGACCATGGTTATCCCCCGAATGGCCATGCCCCGTATGGGAATCAAGGGCATCCCATGGAACAGCCATCGCCCCATGAAGAAAATCCAAACCCGGATACTCTTCCACACCATCCGATGCCGGTTCCATTCCGACCAGGGCACGACCAAGCTGCCAAACCAGCACCAGTTCGCCAATACGGTGCTCCTGCACCTGCGGGCCCAGCACCAGGTCCCGGCGCGGGACCTGGCCCGGCCGCTCCACAGTCTTTGCCAGCAGAGGAAGCGGGACCCAAACCTGTCACGCACGAGGAGCTTCAGCAGCTACAAATGAAAGTACGAGGCAACCCCGGGGATCAAAAGACGCAGCTACTGCTTGCCAAGAAACTGGTTGAGGCGTCAACCGTGCTTGTGGCCGACAACAACCGACTTGACCCCAAGATGAAAGCCAAGGCCAAAGAAAAGTACGTGATGGATGCGTACAAGATCGTGAAGAAACTCGTTTCGACAGGGTACCCGGACGCGCAGTTCTACCTGGCAGACTGTTATGGCGAGGGCCAACTGGGACTTGAAGTCGATGCAAAGGAGGCATTTGCCTTGTACCAGTCTGCTGCCAAGGCCGGTCATGCCCAGTCCGCATATCGAGTAGCCGTTTGCTGCGAGATTGGCGCCGAAGAAGGTGGCGGTACTAAGCGGGACCCGTTCAAGGCTGTGCAGTGGTACAAGCGTGCTGCATCAATGGGCGACACGCCCGCCATGTACAAGATGGGTATGATCAACTTGAAGGGACTGCTCGGTCAAGCCCGGAGTCCGCGTGAGGGTGTCTCATGGCTGAAGCGTGCTGCCGAGCGCGCTGATGAGGAAAACCCGCACGCTCTGCATGAATTGGCGCTCATGTATCAGAATGCAAGCGGTAACGATATCATTGTGCGAGACGAAGCCTACGCCTCGCAGCTGTTCCACCAGGCGGCCGAGCTTGGTTACAAGTTCTCGCAATTCCGTCTCGGTACGGCGTACGAGTACGGTTTATTGGGCTGCCCGGTCGACAACCGGACGAGTATCATCTGGTATACTCGTGCTGCCGCGCAGGGCGAGCATCAAAGTGAGCTGGCTCTGAGTGGTTGGTATCTGACCGGGTCGGAGGGTATTCTTCAGCAGAATGATACTGAGGCGTATCTATGGGCGCGGAAGGCTGCAACGGCTGGTCTTGCTAAAGCCGAATATGCGATGGGATACTTCAGCGAGGTTGGAATCGGTGTCACGGCCAACTTGGAAGACGCAAAGCGGTGGTACTGGCGTGCTGCGGGTAAGTCATTCATGTCTTGGGGATTACCTAGGACAACCCTACTAATCTTCCTTCTTCTCTTCAGCACAAGGATTCCCCAAGGCCCGGGAGCGTCTGGAAGACCTCAAAAAGGGCGGCAGTCGCATGCAAAAGACGCGCATCTCCCGCTCAGCCGTCAACAAGCAGAGCGACGGAGACTGCGTGGTTATGTAATTTTCTTATCTGTTTTATTGCCATGCTCGAATATCTCGACTTTCTCGACTCTATTGTATGGAACTGGCTTCTGTCCATTCGCAGATCGGCATGCATGTATCTTCTTAATGACCCCTCCGGCGCTTGATGCATTTTTCTTTTCCTGTCTTGGTGTGATTGTGGCTTTTACACTTCTGCTAGTTTCAGTTGGATAGGGCTCTCTCATCTCGGGGTTTGGGCTGTACAATTTTCCCCACTTTTGTTTAAGGCTTTCTTCGCTTTTCTTATTACTCTCATGTTGCCCGAGTACATTGGCACCGTTTTATCTTCGTCTGGCTTCTTTGGATCTGTTTTTGTGCATACTCCGCTTCCTCGGACGACGTCATGACTGGTGGACATGATTGATACCCTTAGTCAAGGGCGTGGATACCCTGGGGCTAGGCCTATCTGCATTTATATTGAATAGAATGGCATCACAGAAATAACCCACCCGTCCACGAACTTGTATTTCATGCCATATCGCTCTATATCACATTGTTTGGCGGGGCGCTTCTACAAGTTACCGCGCGGGCCCATTCCGCGCTTACACAACAATCGGATCGGCTTATGCCGTCGGCACTCCCGTACATCCGACGCCTGCTTAGTATTTCTACCAAGTCGCTCTCTGACTGATTATACCATAGTCAATTAAGCTTCCTTGCTAATCCGGCAAAGAACTCGTCTCTCATCGCTTGATCCCTGGCATTGGGAATTAATTGAAGTATAAGGCTTTTGCTGTGGCCATTGCGTGCGACCCTCACTTCAGCTGCCGGAGATACATATATGTCGTCAGAAGTACGCCAGCAGAACACGCCATCAACGAGTGATTCTGCGAATCTTCACACGAGTAATCGTCGTCTCTTCCTGCTTTCCGTGGTAACCGTCATTTTCGCAGCGCTGGTTGCCCTTTTTTGGCGCGAAACCACCAATCTGTTCCTTTTCCGACGCTTTTTCGGATCCTCCTCGGGGGTTGCTGCTAGCTCGTTGACTAAGTCAGTGTCTGCGCCCGTGGTAACATCGTCGTCAATTGCGGAACAACCGGGTTACAAGATGAAGACGCCTGTTTATTTCTTCAGCCATGGCGGGGTGAGTTTTGTCATCCTTCACGAGGGTCGTTTACGGTTGCGAGTCTTGCAAGGCTTCGTGCTAATTGTTATAGCCTAACATCATGTTTGATGTGGAGCACCCGGCGCACAAGAAGCTGGGTCAAATTGGACGCGAGATTACGACCAAGGTGAAGCCGCGTGCCGTGGTGGTGTTCTCGGCGCATTGGCAGGGTGGTCGAGATACCGTTTATGTGAACACGGCTGAAAATACGGATCTGATTTATGAGTACGTTGCGAGAGTGGAAGTCAGATGATCGAATCAGGCTAATGAGTTGCGCAGTTTCTATGGGTTCCCGGGCCATTACTACAAGGAGCAGTATCCCAACGTTGGTAGCAAAGAGGTCTCGCATAAAGTGCTCGATGCGCTGAAGGAAGCTGGCATTGACGCCAAGGGTGTGAAGCGTGGTCTGGACCACGGTGTATGGGTGAGCTTCAAGTGTGGTACGTATCACAAACTAAAGCTGCATTGATATTCTACGTGGAAAGAAACTGATAGCGATGCAGCATTCGAGCCCGACTCGAACCCATTGAATGTCCCGGTCGTGCAGGTCTCCCTCTTCGATACCGAGGACCCGAATCAGCACTACCGCCTCGGCCAAGCCGTGGCCCGCCTGCGTGAGGAGAATATCCTCATCATCGTCTCCGGCATGGCTGTGCATAACTTGCGTGATTTGCGATTTACATTTGGTGACCCGCGCCCCATGCCGTACTCCGTCAGCTTCGACGAGGCCCTCAAGGATGCTGCGACGAAACCACCGGCCGAGCGGCAACAGGCTCTGGCAGACCTTCTGAAGCGTCCGGATGCTCGACAGGCTCACCCAACCTTTGACCACCTACTACCCATCCACATTGGCGCAGGTGCGGCGCAAGAGGACGTGGGCAAGAGAATCTGGACATTCCCGGAGGGCAGCATGAGCTGGGCGCAGTTCCGGTTCGGGGAGCTGAATAATGCTAGTACATCGTTATAGCATGTAGTGACACACAATATTTTGGAATAGAAAGCATAGCAAAGCGTGAGAATGAGAAATGAGAAGCTGTTGAGAATTTTGATGAGGTTCGATTTCATCTATAGATACAAGGTACATGTAACTTTGGGACGGGATAACGCGGGAGAGAGAACTTGGAAGGGACGATGCGTGGGAAGGTTATACTGGGAGAGGAATTCGTTATGAAGTCTGCTTCACCAGGGTCGTGATGCGCTCTTCGATCTGCGAGTCAGACAGGCCTGTGCAAAGTCAGCAATTGGTATTTACGTCCGTTCACGCGCTTGGGAACTCACCGGACAGGGCTTCTTGGGTCTCCTTGCCAAGCTCTATATTCAATGGATTCAATTGATTAGTTCTTCTATCATCAATGCTGCGAATGGAGGGTTGCACGTCGTGCGAATCGGGTGTGAGGTGTACCGTATCTGGCAAAGACTCGGGGCTCGGTGCCGGAGGCCTCGCGCATCAGGATGGGAGTGTGGGGGTTGTGCTTCTTCATGGTAGGGTAGGCGCGGTTAAGGAAGGACCTATTTGAGCAAGAGCTTGTTAGTCAATTGTATCCTTTACCATGCGTAAATAGCCCGTTGAAGTGGCCTGGAGACGGCAACGGGAGGGTTGTTGCAACATGCCTTGTGGCAGCGCTCTGCTCGGAGGACTGGCAGAAGAGGAAGCGGAGCTCCTTCAGGCCCTTGGAGAAGACGTATTTGCCCGACATGGTGAATGGTAGTCAGGAGATATGGGAGGGAGATGCGTAGTGGCCGAGGGGTATCACGAAGCAGGACGAGGCCGGAGGTGCATTATTCACAGCGGCGGTGATTCGCCCAGCAAAGAGAGACTGACGCTAGTCTTTTTTCGGATTAGCGGGACATGATTACCTCAGCCGTAAGGCACTGGCCGCGTGAAGATGAACGACGATGAAGAGATGGGTTGAGATAATCTCAATTGGATATTAGAGAATATTTGCGAATATTATCTGATCATTTCCTACCTTTCTTAATTTTCTATTCTGGTGGTGGTAATCATATCAATCTCGACTCGTCTGGCGGAAAACTCGCTGATCCCGACTCACCGGCCGATTCCGCCCTTCCTCACAACCCCAACCTTTCTGGGAATCCTCTTGAACCTCGACCCTCGACCCTCGACCCTCGACCTCTCCATCTCCCCTCCTCGTCCACCACCCATATACAATGTCGTCGTCTCGCGTGGGCTTCCGCTTCCTCAACAACGCCCGCTTTGCGTTCCGCAATGCCTCTGCGCCATTCCGCCGGCCGGGTGCTCAGGGTTTCCGGTTCCAGAGCTCCGAGGCCGGCGCCGCAGAGCAGCAGAGCGTTTTCCAGCGCATGTGGAATAGCCCTGTTGGTGTGAAGACTGTGCACTTCTGGTATGGTTAATCTCGAGGATTTTCAAATCTGTCTACGGCCATTTGAGATGGATGCTAACATTGGTGTTTTATAGGGCCCCCGTTATGAAGGTACGATTTACAACTCGATCGATCCCTCGTCTTGATAAGCGCATTCTTCCCTTGATACACCCTTTCACCATTGTCGCACGACGAGCCTGTGTCGAACACGCGTGTTTGGGATCTTGAGATAACAGAGGAAGGACATGGCTGATCTTTGATTGTGAACAGTGGGCTCTTGTCATCGCCGGTATCTCCGACTTCAACCGCCCAGCTGAGAAGCTGTCTCTGACCCAGAACTGTGCCCTTATGGCCACCGGTGCCATCTGGACTCGCTGGTGTTTGATTATCAAGCCCCGTAACGTCCTGTACGTTTTGCTTCCACCCGCCCCGTTTCGTTGATCTCCAGCTAACTCCACACCTTTCTAGCCTTGCCGCCGTTAACTTCTTCCTCGGATGCGTTGGTGTCGTTCAGGTTTCCCGTATCGTCCTGTGGCAGCGCAGCCAGAAGGGTTCTTCCCTTGAGGCCGCTAAGGAGCTCGAGCACGAAGTTGCCGACTCTGCCAAGGCTGTCGTGGACCAGGCTGAAAACGCCGTGAAGGCTGCTGGTGAGAAGACCGCTTAAGCGAATATTGAACGAGGTTGTTGGGGTTGTTGTTGTGGGTAGTGGGGGTCGGAAAGATCTGGATTGATATTTGCTTCGCATCTATAGAGACCTCGTGGGAAAAGCCCTGAGACGGGCACGATCCATCTGGGATCCGATCGAGAGTCTTATCACCATTTGCGCGGACATATATTGTGTCTATTGGGGACCCGCTGTACATATAAACCATGCCAGTGATTGTTTCTGTTTGTCACATTGAGAATAGTTCCAAAAGCAGGTCGTAGGATCGAGTCTTCAGCAGTGCCCGATCCACTGGTGTCCATCTACCGGTAATATTCTCCGAGTCAAGGCCGAGACAACCTATCAATGCCATTCTCTTATTCGATCACAAGAGACATGATTTCTGCAAGACTGCCCACGGACCACGCAAACATGCGCAGGTCCCCAAATGCTTGCCCCAACCACCCCAGTTGATTTACCCGGGATTTTTCCTCCCAATCGGCGGAATCTGCCCCAGATCTTCCTCCAACCGGACCCCCGCAATCATCTCAGCGACGGAATCCAAACTCCTCCAATCTCCGAATACTTCGCTAACGCGACGCCCATACCAGCTTCACTCTCCAGCTTCCCCACAGTCCGCACGCCCGGTTCCCCGGATGAAGTCCTCAACGTGGGTATGCCCCACCGAACCGCGACACCAGGGGGGTAATTTAGCGCCAGTGCACGTCTCCCCATGAATGCGATTTTGGGAAAAGCCAATTTATCAATTGAAGTTGCGGAGAATATATAAAGAGGGAGCTGCCACGCGGGAAGCTGTAGTCGTGGTTCCTGGTCGATCCCTCTTCCAATCCCAATTCAAAATCAAAATCGCAAGCAAGATCCCGGATCTGACCTGGATTGTTGTTGCTCGTCACAATGAAGGTGTCCAATGTTTTGACACAAGCTATTGGCCTCGTTTTATCTCTCAGTGCTGCCGCTGAGGCCAATGGATTCTCTCGTACCGATGCGTGCCATCCTCATCGGCCATTCCACCCTCTCCCTGCTAGCCAGGTTCGTCATAAGACTTGCCATGTTCCCAGCCATGGCAACGGTGCCGATGACTCGGCCAATATTCTATCGACCCTGAAGAAGTGCAACAATGGCGGCAAGGTCGTGTTTGATGCAGGCAAGACCTATACCGTGGGCAAGGCCCTGGATATGACCTTTCTCAAGCACGTGGATCTTGGTATGTGCCAACACCGAAGAACGAAGCGCTTCAAATAATGCTGTAGCTAACTCGCTTCCTTCTAGAAATCCTCGGCACAATCCAATTCACGAACGACACCGACTACTGGCAAGCCAATGCCTTCAAGCAAGTCTATCAGAATGCGACGACTTTCTTCCAGCTCGGTGGAACCGACGTCAACGTCTACGGAGACGGTACTCTCGATGGCAATGGTCAGGTGTGGTACGACCTGTACGCTTCGGACGCTCTGATTCTACGTCCTATTCTTGTCGGTATTATCGGGCTGCAAGGCGGTACTATCGGCCCTCTCAAGCTGCGATACTCCCCGCAGTGGTATCACTTTGTCGCCAACTCGTCGAATGTCCTGTTCGAGGGTATCGATATTACCGGCTACAGCAAGAGCAGTAACACCGCCAAAAACACCGATGGATGGTGAGTTCCAACCGAGACGATGTTTGACAAAGTGTAAACTAATCAACGTCGGAATAGGGACATCTACCGTTCCGATAATATTGTTATTCAGGACTCGGTGATCAACAACGGTGATGGTATGTGATAATTTCCAGAGGCTGAATGTCACAGGCAAAGCTGATCTATTTCCTAGACTGCGTTTCCTTCAAGCCCAACAGCACCAACGTCATTGTTCAGAACCTCCACTGCAACGGCTCGCACGGTATCTCCGTTGGTTCTCTGGGCCAGTACAAGGACGAAGTCGACATTGTGGAGAACATCCTTGTCTATAACATTTCGATGTTCAACGCATCGGTACGTGTCTTGAGGGATCAATGATTCAACCGGTGTAGAGGAAACGCTAATACAATATCTAGGACGGTGCTCGCATCAAGGTCTGGCCCGGTGTGGCCTCTGCCCTTTCTACCGACTTGCAGGGTGGAGGTGGCTCTGGCAGCGTCAAGAACATCACCTACGACACCATGACCATCGAGAACGTTGATTATGCTATTGAAGTCACCCAGTGCTACGGACAGAAAAACCTCACTCTGTGCAATGAGTACCCCGTACGCCTTACCCATGTTCTTGACCATCCATGTTTCATTCTGGCAATGCTAATCAGATGTTTTCGTATTTTACAGAGCAGCATGACCATCTCTGATGTTTACTTCACCAACATCAAGGGTACCACCTCTGGAAAATACGACCCCAAGGTCGGAACCATTGTCTGCTCCAGCCCGACAGTAAGTCGAACGATGTTCTTGAACTAACGAGACATAGCTAACTTTCCTAGGTTTGCTCGGATATCTACGCCAGTGAGATTGAGGTTACGAGCCCTGAGGGATACAATGCATTCACCTGCACTAATGTAAGTTGCATAAAAATGTACTGTCCAACTGCGAGACAGAGTGCTAATCTCTTCTCACTCAAACAGGTCGATGACAGCCTGCTGGCCGTGAACTGTACCTCCAGCTAGACAAAAGTCGATGGGAGATGATTAGTTTTGGAATTTGGTTATTTAGAAGCCGTCGCAAACCTAATAGGAGTGAATTTTACCCTAGTTACTCATCTCATTTTGGCATCCAGGAGTCTTAGCGTACGTAAATTTGGATGCTATCGTCTACTACTGTGATATCTCACGATCGAGAAAAAAAAGGTCACAGACGGGTATCCTGAGAGGAGTATGATTACAGCTTGACATAGCTACTCTGTGACTGCAAATACCGAGATAGGCGGATGTAGCCGAGCCTTGGCTCTCCAATGCGAGCTCAACTTCCAATGAGCAGGTCGTGAACCTGTCGCTTGGCGGCTCCCCAAATAAAGACTAAGTTTTTGGATCCTATTTAAGCTCTCACCCAAGCTACGCCGTGTATTCTCTTCGGATCGAACTATTCGCTTGTTTCGGCGACATGATTCAGTGGCGTGGCGCTTGTGACTTCACCATTCTGATCTGCCCCAAGATTCCAACGGCACGGTTTTCTCCTTCAACAAGGTTGCCTATTCCTTTTCAGCCCGTGTAGTCTTTTGAGTTTAATCGTGGAAATATCTCGAGCATTTGAGGGTATTTTTACCCGGCCTCGATCGCACGTTTATAAGATGGCTAGTTCAAGCCAAGAAAGCCCACCGCATTCAATTAATTCAGCTCAACCCAAACCATCCCACATTGACTACAAGCAAGAATATCTTATCTAGTTCTGCTCCATCAAAAACAATGGAAAAGGAAGAAATTGAAGACCTCATCAGACTCACAAACTCTAATGAATTGACCAATTTCGTTCCAACAACCCATCACGATACCTATCCCTTCATCATACCGACAGGAACAGAACTCGCCTCAAAATCCATTCTCATCACGGGTGCATCCCGAGGTCTTGGTCGTGCCACGGCTATTCAATGCGTCAAAGCAGGCTGTGCGAAAATCGCACTTGCAGCTCGTTCTTCGCTAGAAGGCGTCGTGAAAGAAATCGAAGAAACCGCCCGCGAGGCCGGTGTCACACCTCCCAAGGTTCTCCCCTTGCAGATGGACGTCACTTCGAATGAATCCGTTCGGGATGCTGCAAAGGCAGTAGACGAAGCGTTTGGACGACTGGATATCCTGGTCAATAATGCCGGGCGTCTAGTTGAATTCAACAAACCCGTACACGAAATTGACCCGGCGGAATGGTGGAGGGCGTGGGAAGTCAACGTCAAGGGAACATTTCTCTGCTGTCACTACTGCATCCCGCTGCTCTTGAAGGCAGAGACCAGGATTGTTATCAATATGTCTTCTCTGGCAGCCAACTGCTTGACGTATGGCGCATCGGCGTACCAGGTATCACGTTTTGCTAATTGCCGACTTACCGAGTTCATCACTCGGGACTATGAGAGTCAGAGTCTCATCTGTATCACTTTGCATCCTGGCACCGTGAAGACAGATATGGCTGACAATTTCCCGGAGTATCTGCAATTTTTGTTGATTGATAAGGCGAATCTTTCTGCTGATACGATTGTTTGGTTATGTTCGCAACGAAGGGAGTGGTTGAATGGTCGATTTGTTGTTGGCAATTGGGATATGAAGGAGCTGGAGGGGAAGAAGGATGAAATTGTCGAAAGGGATCTTTTCAAATATCGTATAACTATATAAGTTTATACAAGACTCTGATTGACCGTCGGATTGCACTACTAGTCGTCGAGATCATCCCCTTGAATCTATCCTCTACAGACGATCCGCGATTCCATGTCTATGGACCCAGCTTCGTGCGCGCTTTCCAAAGATGTACCTGGTGGAACTAAGTTAATGGCCGATAAAGACGCGACGTTAATGGAGTAGATCTTACATGGGAATAGTAAAGAGGGTAACACCCATCGTGATCCCACCAATAGTGAAGAAGCAGTCGCGAACACCTTGCTGATCGATCCAATCGTTGATGTAGAACGACAACCCGAATGCGAATAGGTTCTTGATGAAGTTCATTGCAGCAAAGGCTTCACCCGCCTTTTCACGATGGCAGTCAACAACGTAGGTGACGACACCCGTAGTACCCAGCTGGACGCCGAAGTTGATCAAGCCTAGGCATACAACAACGGGAACGGGCCACGGGTCCTGCGCATACGAGGATTGACCCCAAGCAAAGAAGCCGGTCGAAGTGAACAGAAGATAGGTTACCATGATAGGGAGACGGAACTCGGGCTCTGCGTATGTGGTTTTTAGCATAGCTCGGACGCAGATTTGTAGAAAAGATAAGAAGGTTCATACCGAATATACCCCGGTTCATCTTCGACATTCGAGTTACCAGTCCATCAATCAGGGGGCCAGCGGCGAGAGTTCCAAGCACCGATGCAACAAAAGCAGACAGATTTGTTGCACCAACTCCGACAACAGAAAAGTTGTACGGTGGTGCCGAGAAAATCTGGGACAGAGTGAGGGATATGCCCACTAGCCACGAGATGCATGTGGTGAAAAGCAGGATGGCCCAAAGAACTGGCGGTGATGCTACCAGATAGAATGGCCGGATAATGGTATTCCAGAACGAGACATGGTTGACATAGCCGCTGTATGGAAGCAGTTCCTGTTTGTAGGAGATTCGAGGCTCGGATGGCTGGATTCCAGCGCTCGGGGTGTTTTCGAGTTGTTCCATTGTTCCCTTCCCTTCAACAACGACCTGCAAGACATCAGCATAGAGGAAACGGAGTTGAAGGCAGGGGGAGTAGTTACATTTGTGTCGCCAGTGTCGATATTCAACGCCTCTCGTGAGTACGCTGATTCGGGCATCCAGAAGAAGATCAGGATGAGTGCGAGAGCAAAGGCCCCACCCATTGCATGTAAGGCGATTCGGTAGGAGCTGTACTCGATAATTGCGGCAGCTATATGAAGAAATTCTCAGCATAGCCATGTTAATAATCCCGAAAGTAGACTCACCAATTGGTACAGCAAGATTGATTCCACCAAGAACACCAAGGTTAAAGATAGCCGTCCGGAACCCACGTTCGTGTACGAACCTAACGAGCCAGTCAGCAATGAACGAATTCCCATCGTGAAAGCCCAAATACCAGATATCAGAAATAGACGCCGGAACCAACGCTTCCATAGGCGCCATGCAAAGTCCACACACGACACGAGCAGCAACGAAAGAATGGAAACTCCCAGCCTCGGCCGCCCAAAAACACGACACCATCAGACCAACAGTTGTCCCAAGATAGACCGGGCGCTTCCCGTATTTCACTGCCAGAGAATTGAATATCAAACTTCCTACCGCGATCGCGGCGATGGTGCCTCCCTGAACGGCAGAGACAAATGTCGACAAGGAGACGCCGAACTCCTTTGCGAGGGGAACGAATGCTCCTCCGAGTAGCGGACCGACAGCTAATTGGCAAGACGGAAAGTCAGTAAGCTTTTGAGTGAATAATGTAGCTGGCATCGTAGGGTAGATACCTCCAACGCATCCACAGCCCCATGCAAAGGTAAGGGTGAAAAGCTCCTTCTTCATTCGAGGCCAGTTGTATGGATCGTTTGGCGAGTCGGATGGCTGGGGGACCAGGACAATCTGTCCGGTAGGATCATGTTTCAAGAGGCCAGGATCAACCCCTGAATAATCATGAGTGTTTTGAAGACCATTGAGAGGTGCGGTTCCTGGAATATGTTCCAGCTTGTCATCGTCTAGAATACCGAGCGGCATATTGGAGATTTCGGTAGTTTGAACAGTGAGATGAATGGAGAATTTGACAAGAAACGGCAAAGAAGTGCCAGACACTAGTGACTTAGAGAAACGAAGAGAGCTAAGGAAGTTGCCAAGCTCTGGTAGGCAAATGGGGAGGTCGATCGATTATGATCGTGCATGTATGCTCATTGCAGGGCGATCGCCCCCTGTTTATACAGTCTACTTTTCTCAATCGCGGATAATCTTTAAGTTTCAAATGATCTATCGTCCTAGCTGTACTGCTGCAAGGATTCGGTGGAGGATCCTTGAGCTCGCTTGCGTATACAAACCTAAAAGGCGATTGTCGTCTAGGAGAATATGGGGCTGTAGGCCCCATCGTGGGGAAACCCCGGCTATCTGACCTGGGGATCCCCGCGGGGTTTTGCCGTTATGGTAGACCTGAATTGTCTATTTGGGATTATGATTCTTGGAATCGATTATAAGGTTTAGGTGGTCCTTGATAGGCGAGCCAATGAGTCAAAAGAAGCCACAACTCGAATCATGACATTTAGACGCTGACTGAGAATGAGTAATACGGCAAATGGTTAATCTTAAGTTCGAGGTCTCAAATCGATAGAATGCCGCGAGACGAGGAACTAACTGTCGCTTTGGGTGACACGGAGAGCTCCATTTCGGCAAATTTTCCACAAAACTAACCGACAAGATCAGTATCCCTACAGGAGGAACGCAATAGACTTCCCAGGTCCCAAAGGCATATGCTATGTAGTATAGTAAGATGTTTAGGCTGCATAATAATTCCGGATTAGTATTCTTGTCAACGATCACTCCCTGACGGAATATCAGTTTCTTTCAAATTGTTTCCACCAGAGAGCTAATAATGAGGGCTCCCTTTGATTAGCTGCCCACAACATACTCCTCATAAATTACATACCGTATTCTAGTATACACATGACTGAAAATGAAGGCATAATTCCGCGCTTACACTACCTCGGCATACGGGGAGCCCGCAGTTGTTCAGCACCAGCACGCAGGGACTTAGCCCGAAACCCGGCCGAGAAGAACTTGATTTGAGAAGGATAAGATTCTAAACGGGCATTGGACGCTCAGCTATCTCTCCTTCGTATGAAGGGAAACCAAAAGTATGTACCGTCGCTGGTGGCTGTAAACTGTGGATCAGTGGCTTGCTCGGACACCGGAAAACCCCCTGCTCCACAACAGTCGAACAATGCGGGGAAAAACGAGGAGGGGCAATTTGAAAAGAACAGGCATCTTCTGCCGATGCGGAGAGGGATTTCATAGATTATAGGCAAATCTAGCCCTACATTTCAGTTGGGAATCTCGGACAGACCAGTTTATTGGAAAATGAGAAGTGTCGTTGTCACCGGTGAGTATTCCAGATTATCATTTTACAGAACTAGTAATAGGGACTGCCATTGACTTCCTGGCTAGGAGGGGCCTCGGGCATTGGCCTAGGTATAACCCGACACTTTATCACGCAGCCAGACACTCATATTACCATACTTGATGTCAACATGACTTCTGGTGCTCAAGTCCTGCAACAACTTCAGACCGAGTATCCCTCCGCGAGCGTGTCCTTTGAAGAGTGTGATGTATCCTCTTGGGACAGTCAAGCTGCCGCCTTTGAGAAAATATACGCCCAGCAAGGCCGGGTTGATATTGTATTCGCCAATGCCGGAATCTCAAGAGAAGGGAACTTGCTACCCGCAAAGGGAGATGCTGGCCCTGTCAAGCCGAATCTCAAGACTCTGGATGTGAATCTGGTGGGGGTTATATACAGTAAGCGAGCATTCAATCATGCAGGGAAATTTGCTAATATCTATATACTAGCTGTCCACCTTGCGACTTACTATATGTATAAAAATGCGAAGACCGATCCATCGGCATCCTCGAATGGGTTGATCGTTTGCACTGCGTCGAATGCTGGTCTCTACCCCTTCCCAGTCGCCCCGTTATACGCAAGCACAAAATCCGGTGTAATCGGACTGGTGCGCTCCTTGGCTCGTAGACTCGAGCAAGACAAGATTCGCATCAATGCTTTAGCTCCAGCTGTCATCGGTAAGTCATCCTTGAGTTCTAGCATGGAAACGTCGACTTACCAGGATAGAAACGAATATTGCACCAAGCTCTGATTTGTTCAAGCCGATGATTATTACGCCAATGTCAACGGCTACCAAGGCCGTGGCTCAGTTTGTGAAGGATGAATCGTTGTCTGGTAAGATTGCTGAAGTACATGGTGAACATGTCACCTTTGCGGAGCCTCAAGCGTATGTGGATGAGGACACTGGCAAGAACATAGAGACATTCTGGAATTTGGGATACGCATGATGGAAGAAGGAAAGTAGCATATTTGTACTTTAGATTCATTATGGAGTGAACATAGTGAATAAAACGTGAATAAATCGCCCTGTTGCATCTGAATGACGCTGTATATATGAGATCCGATAGCGGTCGAAATATATGCGACAGCCAAAGAGTCGGTTGTAGGACACGTAAAGATTAGAGAGTACAGAATGTTGACAATGCAACAACAAGGGCACACATGTGAACAAAGATTGAAAGAGCCCAGGATATCAGTTAATGTCATAAACGCCGGGACTTGAACCGGGCCAAGCACCATCCCAAATAAAAGCAAAGCACACAAGGCGAAGAAGCAAGCCGATGAACGCCTTCCGCTGGATCATCGTCCATATCTACCGAACTCCTAAAACCCATACACCGAATCTATGTTATTCATCCTGCAACAAAACCTTTAACTTTTCAAGTTTATCCTCGCAATGCACTTCCATTTGCATAATCACATCGACGGCGTCCTTTTTTGTGATGAGCAGCTGAGACACGAGCCAAAAATTGTACCCGTTCTTGTAGAAGCCCATCGACGCCCATTCATCATTAGAGACTTGATTGCGCAAGGCAACCCAGTAGTCACGCCAGCGAGTCAAAGCCGTTCGGATCGAACTCAGAAGCGAGTCCGCGGGAATCATGCTCTTGCCCCAGTTGCCTTCAGTTTGGGCAGATTGAATGACAAGGGCTTGGCGTTTGAGTAGCCCCACAAGCGTCATGTGTGTATTGATAAAAGCGAACAGAACTGCAAAGATTATTTTTAGCGCTCGGCCACAGAAAGACCTAAAGATCCTTGCGTACCATGAATGAGAATGAACATGTCCAAAACTGTGAGATCCATCTTCGTAGATGGTGGCGACGCCCGAGAGTCATCTTGTGTAGATGACTCGAACATATGTTGGAATGCCTGATATATGGTGATATCACGAGAAAAGCGAAACTTGGGATCTTGAAATGGATGTGGCGATCGAAAAAGTGCCTCTTCACAAGGTAGCTCGGACTCTATCTCCGCATGCGTCAAGCGACATGGATAATTTTGGTAGAAGAAGAACGCGCAGTCCAGTAGTGATATAATACCAATCGTTCTGTAAACAGTTAGATAGAAGATTGCAGATAGGCCTCAAATATTACGTACCGAATACGACACTCTCTTTGAATCCATAAGAGCTCTTCAAATTGCTCCTCATTGGGGTTATGCCGGGCCTTGACAAGGTTAAGACGGCGGGCTACCTGTGATGATGGTGAGGGTGTATATTAGGCTTTATGAGACTTGTATATGCGTACCTTGACAACCTCACTGAACCGATTCTCCATCGCACGGTTTTTGGATGATCGGCTTCCTGCCCAGTATTGAACGACTGTAATTATGAAGCCAGCCTGAAAGTTCTGAAACTTCATCCAATCAGTTGATTCGTCATCGGCACTTTGAAGTCCAGTGAAAATGCTGGCTACTTCGGTCTCTGGCGAGTATATGTGGCTTGAAAAGATAAACAGTTCAGCAAAATCGAGCAGTCGCTTTGCCACGTACGCCTCCCTTTGGTCAGGGCTATACATGGCGCCGAAGAATGTGACTGCAGCTAGCAGAGGCAGTGCAGTTGCTTCTAGGTCAAATGTGGGAATATGGATCATCGCGCAGCTTGGCTGCCAGTACTTGAAATAAAGCGACACAAATTTGCGTATGCGCGTCGTGGTCAGCAGGAAGCTGAGGTTCGTTGATATCTCCTCTTGTGCCTTAGGATCCAGGGGGACCGTCCACGCTCGTGCCAGAATTGATTGGATCAAAGCCATTGCGAATGGCCGCTCGGGTTCAAAAACCCCTTCTTCGGCTGGCAAGGCCATGCTGCTGTCTTGCCCTGGTGCAAATGCCGCTGGATATGCGACCTGGTCTGGATATGGGGGCTCCGCCGACTTCTGACTGTCGCCGAAAGGCCCATTGAAGAAATCCAGAAACGTGTCTTGGAAGAATTGTAAATTCGCCGGGTCGGACTCTGCAAAACCAGGTGAGAAGTCGGCCCGATCGCCTGGCATCTCGAACGATGGGTAAATTTCCCCATTTGAGTCTGCTTCCTCCAGCGCCGTCTGATTGTGATATGCCATGCCTCGTTCGCGATCGCTACGAGGGGGGAGCCTGAAGCCTTCGGTAAATGAGTCGGTCCCGCCGTTTAAGAGGAATTTGATCGAGCCGCGATCCGAAGGTTGTCTGTAGATTGGAGGCATTTGAGGGTTCGGCGAGTTTTTTCCTAGATCGGATCAGCCCTGATTGCAATCCCAATGTTCATCGCATCCCTTACCATCCTCGATACTGGCACTTGGACTCCCTTTGGGGTTTGTGCACATAAAGCCTCGTTTGACACAAGACTCGCACGGGGTATTACCATCGCAGCGGAGTTTCATCGCAGTACACTATGGGTGGAGATCAATCTATTAGTCAGGAAAAGGTCGATTATGGGGTTCGGAAGCTGTGAACCGGCTTACTGATTGACATGCATGTCGCCGCCGGCCTCGTTGACCCGTCTCCGGGATCTTGCGATCCCCGCGCTGGCTGCAATCAGTGTAGTGATCTCGCAAATTATCGCTGGTAGCTATAGGTAAGCTTGAGATTGTTCCATGGCGACGGGCGATCGTGGACGTACCAGCGCGCAAAGGACTCGTTGCAAAAGATGCAGGAGTAGGGCTTCTGGCCGGAATCTGGCTAGATTAAGCAACGAATTGGAGGGGAGAACCTGCAGGAGGCGGGGCAACATACGCCTGAGGTGATGTCGCTTCAAATGATCAATGCGCGTGAAGCCCCGCTGACAGACAGTGCAGCGAAAGTGCTTCTCGGCGGGCTTCATGTTGGTCCATCGGGGAGGAAGGGGAGATCCGGGGTAAACGAGGGTGGTGAGGAGCGAAAGAGTCTGGGGGGAGGAGAAGAAAGAGACAAGGGCGATCATTCGGGGGCGCGGTATTGCGCATGTATTTGTATCGGTAGTCTCGAGCACGGGTTAGTGCCGAAGTGGTGTCTTTGACGCGGCCGGTGCAATGGGCGCACTTGGCACGTGTAATCTATAAGGTACGGTACTGTAACCTGATGATATCACCACCCCGTTATGGAGCCTCCTCCACTCGGCGGCTCCACCAGCACGGATCCAGAATCCAGATCGAGAGCTACGAGGAGTTTGGTACGCCACAAGACTAGGGCTTGTACGAAACGATACCCACCATCACCGTACTCTTTGTTATTTGAAGGAAGGAATATCCCCCGAACCTATATTGGGCTCTGTGATGAACCACGGGGAGTTTTTCATCCCGATTACTACGACATTCTCATCCTTGCTCCTTACTATTAGGTAGGGCGAGCTTTCTGAAAAAAGACATATCGAAAGATATCTCAAAAGACTTATCATAATCTCTTGAAAGAAATCAATAGCTGAGGCATGTATGGCTAGGTCTGTTCTTGCATCTTATATTTCGAACAACTGAACTGCCATTCTGGACCAATGAGACAAGATCCCTTTCTCGCGACTCATTCTGTACACCCCGAATATCCCTAGCACCATGCTGACCAAAATCTGTACTCTACTCGGTCTTCAATCGTGCAGCAGGGACCGATGTACGAATAATGGTATCCCTGGCATCTGATTACCCACAAGTCTTTGCCGTGGTGGTTAATGCTATGGATAGATCGACTCGCGAGTTCAATGAGATATGAGATATTGTAAACAGCCATGAACCCGAATTCCTGATGCGTTCCAACTGGTACTAGATTACAGAAACCTCAATTCGAAAGAAAGCGATTGCTGCGTGGTAGAAAGATTACGATAATCAAGCAATACTGTTTAGATGATTATCCACGCGCCAACCTTAGATGACTAGCGGAATTCTCCCGCGGCCATGTTAGGAATTCAAGCTTCGGTTTGCCTTGAACTTCAGGTATGCAGTTCCTTTTACTGTGTTGACATATCACAATGATTCGTGACACTAATATTCTTCAAGAATCTAGATCTGCGTGTTATCAATTACGCCTTGGTCAAGACATTGCAGTGAAGAAAGAAGGCAAAAAGAAAGACAAAACACATCTCGCCGAATGGGAGGCAGCCAGCCGAAAATTAATTGCCCTCAACTATCACGGCATCCCCTGACCGAGGGCTCTACCACGTTAACCGAATCATCTATCTAAATACCCCGGAGTTTCCTTGCGGACTGTATCCCTGCTTTCTCTCCGAGATCCTTCTATACCTTGACAGGCTGGGGGAAATCAATTTGATCATCGTCGAGATAATTCACGTTGATCTTGTCATGTTTCTCATTCTCGGTCCAGCCATCTCCAAACCACCCGGTCGGATTGTCGTTGACATACTCATAGTCAAAGTCTTCCCAGCGGGGATTTGCGAATACCTTCATTGCATGAAGGGATGACCCTGATTATGGTTAGTAAACGCAGAGATGAGATTTGCCCAGGATTGTTATCATACCAGGCCATAGTGCAACAATGCGTCCGTTCTCAGTACCACCCTTATACCAACTCCGACATTTGCCGGCAAACACGGTGCCTGCGAAATATTCATCGCAGTACTGCGTGAAGCGCCGAACTGCGTTGGCTTTCACTGACAGAGCGCGGATATTGTCGCGTTGCATTTTCTTGACACATTCCGTGAAGTAGTCTATCTCCTTTTCAATCAAAATGAGCAGATTGCCCTCTCCAAGACCGGAGTTAGGACCAAGGGAGATGAAGTAATTGGGGAATCCGTCGGTTGCGACCGCGAGATAGGTCTCGGGAGTCTTTTTCCATCGCTCCGCAAGAGTGATTCCCCCTCGTCCTTTGATCGAGAACCGCGGAGTATGGGTTGTATCAAATCCGGTAGCACAAACAATTGCATCGACCTCCCTGTGCTGACCGTCCGCCGTGAAGATGCCTGTCGCGTCGACCTTGACAATATCCGACTTGATCATATTGACCCTCTCATCCGTTAAAGCCTCGAGGTAGCCTGGGCCTGGCGTCAAACGTCTACAAGCTGGCGGAAATGAAGGGATAAGGTCATCCAATATCTCGGGCTTCTTCATTAAGCGGCGCTTCATGTTCTCCACAAACATGCCATGGGCCCCTACTTGCATGGGGTGACCGGTAAGTGTAGCCCCATGGATAGACTGCAACTCGAGCTCCACCTCTGATCATCAAGTTAGACAGCTGCATGACTGTGGCTCAGATAGAGCTCTACGTACCTTTACGGAATTCTTGGTATGCTTGATGATCATTCTTGAATGTCTCGATCTCCTCCGGGCTGAAGGTATCTGAAACCCAAAGTTAGGCAATCGCAAAACGACTGACAGAGGAGTGTCAACTTACAGTTTTCCAGTCCCTTGCCTCCTCGCTTGTCGATTTGGTCTCTAGCAAATGTCGGGGCAATCCACGTCCGGCTGCGTATATAATGGTCGATATAGGTCACTTTCGGCAGCATTCCAGGCACAATTTGAATGCCACTGGAACCGTTTCCGATGACAGCTACCCGTTTATTCTATGCTCAGGTCAGTCTCAGCTGCCAGTTGTTCATCTCAACCAAGCACAAACTTACCGAATAGTCGTACTCTTCATCCCACGAGGCACTGTGAAGAAGCTTGCCCTTGTAGTCCTGAAGACCAGGGATATTTGGCCATTTCCAGTTGTTAAGAGCACCAGTCGCTTGGATGAGAACATCGGCTTGGTCACTGTACGTCGATCCACTTTCCAAGTCTTGAATCTGATACGAGCTAAGTTAGTTATTTTTCTGTCGCTTAATGACAAATCTGACTAACTTGGACATTCCACTTTGAAGTCACTTCATCCCAGGTTGCCCCTTCAACTTGCTGCCTCAACTTGATGTATTTCATGCATCCATACTTGTCAACGACACGTTTCCAGTATCGGTGGATCTCTGGCGCAGTGGCATAGAATGAAGTCCACTCCTTGTTGGGCTCGAAGGTGGCCTGGTAGGTGTGTGCGGGAATATCTGAACCAGAAGCAGTCGAGTCAGCATTGAATTCGAGAAGGCAGAATTCAAGACATTGATTGCATCCACAATCTTGGACCACATACCACATGCACAGCCTGGATATCGATTCTAGAAGTCACAAAAACGTCAGTTAAGCTCTAAAAAGGACATTCTGGACTCGTTTCCTGCGGGGAGAAAGCAAAAACGCAATAAAGACTGACCTCGACCCAAGTACCTCCGATATCCGCGTTCTTGTCATAGATGCACAGATCGACATTTGGAATTCTCTGGTTGAATCGAATACATGAGATAATACCTGAGATACCCGCACCGATAACAACCACTCTCAATGGCCGGCCTTCATCGACCGACCGCTGCTCAATGATGGATCTGGCGGCTGGTTGAGGGGCTTCCTTTGCGTGCACCACAGGCTTAGGGCTGCCACTAAAGACTCGGGACAGTCGCTTCATGGCTGTTATAAATGTCGAACGATGTCTAAGCAGAAAGAGCCGTGGTATGGAGACAATTAAAAGATAGGAATTCTCGCTCAACCCGTCAATGATCTTGCTAAAGGTCTCTTGGAACTTAACGGGCGGACCATTACCGAGTTATAAGTCATTCAGGCCATTGCTAGCGCCCAATACTACGATAGTCTCCAGCCTAGCCGTCTTCTCCAACCGAATATCGACTCCGTTACGGAGCCATACTCCACCCGTGCCCAATCTAGTCTTTGGCCAGGAAATCAAAGCATATCGAAGCTTCCTCCCCGGTCTCACCCATTGTGAGTATGTTTCGGTTCTCTTCGGTAACAGGAAATCTCCCTTCGAGGATCCACAGTGCTCAACAAATATAATCTCGCTGCATGGACGAATCCCATCGTATCCACAATTCTAGAGCCGGAGGGGGGAGCACGAAGCGCCTCCCTGATGTGAATGGCTTCCCGGGAATCCCCCGTGGAGTTTTGACCCCCACATGGACCGAAACGCGGGGGAGATGGGGAAGGGGGTCAATCCCGCCTATTGAGCCTAGCGACAGGTCTAGCAAATCACGGACTGTAGCTGTCGGCTCAAGCGGAATTATCCTGACGTCTGTCTGACCCGTTCACGAGGGCGGATGATAAATACATCCGTTTACTACTTCCGTTTACTGTCTGATTCTGGGGACTTGAGCTAGACCGGCAGTGAGATTGACCACACTGCCGATCCACAAAACTGATTGGCGACATACCTAGATTTGGGTTTGGCCGATATCACTACGGTAAAAGAACGGTAAACTTGCTACCGTCCCGGAATTTACTCCGCACTGATGACCATGCTGAGGACTTGGACCCTTAAAAGTGAAATCAACGATGCCCGGGAAGATCATAATAAAAAAGGGGATCAGGGAATTGAGACCCTTTTACCAGACCGCGGGAGATAAATTAGACATCACGTTCTCAAGAAGCACTTCCGCCCATTCCCTTAGGCTGATCTGGACAACCCATATGGTAAACGGCAGCATTTGTCTTTGAACTCTCGGAGTTCGTACGTGAGCGCCCTTTGTCAGCCATCTCCGCCAGTGCGTTTTACACAGGTTATCATTTAGCACTCGCTTAGACGATCGTCGCGGCGCCTAAGGTGGAGGAGATACTCCTCCCCGGCGATGACGACGCACGGCCGATTCCAACTTTTCCGGGAAAAGCAGTTGCGGTCACCATTTAGAGAGTCAATTCCGACGAAGTGCCACTATAGAGACATGAATCTTTTGCTTTCAGTAAATGGTTCCACGCGTAGTTGAATGACGAGAAGTGTGTGCTTTTTCCGAGGATCGAGTCTCCGAATTCATAGTATGACAGACATAGGTCTCACAAAGATTTTCCGAGCCACGTGCCGCTGCCCCGGATTTTGTGTTCACGTATCTAAAGAATATTTCTACCACATCATGGTCGCAGTCAATCTTCTACAAACTGATTACTTTGGATAATACATGAATGCTATTGTTTAAGCACATTGGCAGTATAATTCTGCCAGGGAGCGGAACGCACGCCCCTTAAGGATTTATAAATCCGAGTTCCGGCCTTTCAACCAATCCGGGCGATCGGACTGGTTCAACGGGTATTACTGAAGGATTACTTGAAGCTCACCAATCCACTGCAATCACCAGCGTGCAGATCATCCTCCACTTCTTATTGGCTTCTCCCCGTACATTCTGATCCATGAGGATCCATGCGACCCATCGATTATTTGCAAAAACGCATCATGTCCACCCACATGAGACCGCTCCCCTCCATTCCCCGCCATTTGTACGGAGGAGAATACGCCCACCGTACAGTCTGCTATAGAATCAAATAAATGGTCCATCCTGCCCATAGGAAGACATCATCAACATTCTCTCTCCAGTAACTGCAAGCGCTTTTCCTTTCATCACTCCCAGTGGATCGTCAATTGCGCCCAATTTCCACGGGCCGCCATGCCCGTTTTCACCGAATACGCCGCCGCGTCGCGCGAGCTACGCGTTCTTCCTTCTTTCGCTCCCCCGCTACCACGTCTCACTCCGAAACCACAGCCAGGTGGCAAGAACGAGAGATATGAGGTGGTTATCGTCGGAGCTGGTCCGGCAGGACTCATGCTTGAGCTCTTACTCGCTCGATATGGACTGAGCGACGAGTCATTGCTGTGTGTGGACGCCAAGCCGACCACGCTGAAGTCAGGCCAGGCCGATGGCCTACAACCACGGACTTTGGAGACACTGAAATCGCTAGGATTGGCCGATGAGATTCTCACCGAGGGTTGTCAGATGTGGCAGGTTAGATTTTACTCACTGCGCTTCATACGCGACCTTGAATTAACGTGTCCCTACAACAGGTCGCATTCTGGAACCCTTCAAACGACAAAGACAAGATCATCGAGCGTACTTCTATCGTGCAAGACGTCGCCGTACCCGCACGATTCCCCCACGAAGTCACAATTCACCAAGGTCGCATTGAGCGGATTCTGGAAACGGATCTGCTGCGCTACTCGAAACGCGGCGTGCAGCGAAATACCAAACTGATCGATGTGAAGATTGACGAGGCAGGGGATGCAGAGTTCCCCGTGGTTGCCGAGATAGAAACCGAGGGCCAACGTCGGACCGTGCGCACAAAATACTTGGTGGGAGCTGATGGTGCTCACTCCGTCGTAAGACGCTCCATGGGACTCAAGTTGGAGGGCGAATCCCTGGATCACATCTGGGGCGTCGTCGACTTAATCGTTGACACGGACTTCCCTGATATTCGGCGTCGCTGTGCGATTCACTCGCCCGCGGGTTCAGTCATGGTGATTCCTCGCGAGCGCATTGCTACTGGTGACTATTTGACGCGGTTGTATGTGCAAGTACCGGGCGATGTCAAGCCCGACAGTGATCAACAAACGACGGAGAGCTCCACTGCCGCCCCGACGGCGGATGCAAGAGCTCGCCGCAGCCAGGTAACAGAAAAAACCATATTCGACAACGCGGCAGCGGCATTCAAGCCTTACTATATTCGTCCGAAGACGGATGGGGCTGTGGATTGGTGGGCAGCATACCAGATCGGCCAACGTGTGACCGACAAGTTCTCCGTCAAGGATTCAAAGGGTGTGAACCGAATTTTTATTGCTGGTGATGGTATGTAAACCCCGGTCGAGCAACGCGAGAGATTACTAATATCAAATTCTTCCAGCCTGTCACACGCATAGCCCCAAGGTATGTATCAGAGACCATATTCAAGTGTGGATGAAATAACTAACAGTACACAGGCTGGTCAAGGCATGAACGTATCAATGATGGACTCTTATAATCTGGCCTGGAAACTAGCTTACTGCATTCACGGGCTCACTCCAGAGAGCGCTCTCGCCCAGCCTGACCCGATTCTTGACACCTATCATACAGAGCGCCACACCATTGCACAGGAATTGATTGAGTTTGACCGTGCATTCTCGTCAATGTTCTCCGGAAAGATTGGCGCCTCCAAAGATGGCGTTGAAACATTGACACATGAAGAGTTCCTTGAAGTATTCAGTCGAGGAAACGGCTTCACCAGCGGCTGCGGAATCGAATATCCGGAGAATATGGCCGTGGATCGGACCCTGGATGGTGAGAAGAATCCGGTCAGCGGCACGGATTATCTGTCTGGAATCCTGCGACCGGGACGGAGACTGTTGAATGTGCGTCTTGTTCGACATGCAGATGGCTATCGCCGTGATCTTCAAGACGGTATGAACGAGTATCCCCTCATGAAAACATGATGCACGGCTGACAAACTGCTAGACTTTGCATCCACTGGCCGCTTCCGAATCTTATGCCTCACATCCTCAGACTTCCTAGACCAGCAAGGAACCTCATATAAGACTCTGACATCACTGGGCTCAATTATTTCTCAATTCCCGCAATCAATGCTGGAGCAGGTGGTTATTCATCCTCGTCTACCGAGAGAGTTCATGTGGAATGATATCCCACACGAGGTGAAACGATATTCGGAAATGTCGTTCTACAGCGGGTATGAGATAGATGATTGTTATGGTATTTACGGGGTTAACCCGAGCAAGGGTGCGCTTGCTGTCGTCAGGCCTGATGGATATGTTGGTGTTTTGGCCGAGCTGGGCGATGTAAAGCGTATCGACGAATATCTGGGCAGAATGATTCGTCGAAACTAGGTAGAGATAATTCGAAATGAAACCTGGCACGTCAACAAGAGAGCTCAACTCTCGCATGAGGCTAGTGATTAATCGAAAGCCTAGAGCTCCCGATCGTGAGCGCATTGCTAGGCGTGCTGAAGGGAAATCCCAAATTGACGAATTCACCGAACCCCTCGACAATGTCCGTCCCATATTGGCTGTTAATTTCCCGATTATACAGCGAATGACCTTCCGATGAAGTTCGGTGAATGATTCAAGTACTCTTCTGGTCTGTCTATATAATGAGGTACTTGAGATCAAAACTTGACATACTTAGCTACTTTGCTTTGTAGATATCCTGCTTTGGCGGTTTGGGCAGAAGCTGAGAGTGGCGAGTCCGTTTGCTGCAGGAGGTTGATTAAGTGATTTCTGTGAGGTGCAATAAGTTACTTTAGATCGGGCCGTCAGGAGCAGTGAGGTCTTTCTATAGTCACCAGTCGCTATCTATGCATGTTGTTTAATTCTTGCATTAACGCGATCTGATCCAGACGCAAAGACAATTTTACAATGACCAGTTGCCTTGGTCAGCTCATGTGCCCGGTCATCCTTGAAAGGATTAAAACAAAGAAGTAATATGTACATCACAGAGTGTAGCGGAAGCTAGGTATCTCCTTGTCAGTCTTGTTGGTCTGCTCCTCGATAAGATCGTGAGCATCAACAATCTCGGATGCCACCCCATTCTTCCGATCCCGTCTTTTGTTCTCCCAGGCATAGTAAACGAGCAAACACCCCAAGAAGAACACGCCGAGTGCAAGTCCACACAGCGATGCTTCAATACCACTCTATTTGGGTAAAGAGTTAGAATGAGTCAAAGCGCAATGAATGAATGAATGAGAGAAACATACTGAGTACACCGGCTCCTGCGAGGCATAGAAGAATTGAGGTCCTACGATATTGCCCACGCAGTAAGCGGCGAACATAGCAACACTGATTGTGCTTCGCTTTGTGGTTCCGGCGACGTTAGAGGTAATGATACTCAGGGAGAGTGGGATGTTGGCTGCAAATGCGGCAACAAAGGCCAAGCCAACTAATTTGACAACTTTGTGGAAGTCATCAAGCGTGTAGATCAAAACGACACCGATAACGGCGACCGTCACATTCAGCATCATGGCCATAATGCGTGATGATGGGATGTATGTCGCGATGGCGGCGGTGATGATGAGAAACACTAGCTGGGAAAGTCCCATTGGCATCTGAAGCAAGAGTGACTTGAAATTCGAGTATCCAAAGCCTGCGATAATGATGGCGGAGAACTATATCCAGGTCAGTGAAAAGTTACCAATGTCAGCATAGAATCTACGTACGCTAGTCAGCCCGCCATTAGCAAGATTGACGCAGAAAGTGTAAAGCACCAGGCACCAGCCCTGCGGGTCTTTCGCAGCATCGGCAACTTGACTCCATTTGAATGCTTCCGTCACCTGATTTGAGCCTGTCTTGTTCTTCAGTGTTCGCTGCACCGCAATCCTCCGTTCGGATTCGGTCAGGAAAGAAGCTTTGGCGGGAGAATCGGGAAGAATGAAGAACAGGATGACGGCATAACCACAGGTGATTGCTCCAAGAGCGAGGAACAAGAGGCGCCAGCTTTGGATTCCCGATGCGGAGTTTCCAATACCATACGCGATCAAACCACCAAAGATGTTAGCAACGCAATTACCGATAAACCATGCTGCTTGGCTGAAGAAAGAGAAAAATCAGTTTGCTGAACCTCGCTGTCCTATTTTCGGTGTCTCGGGAAAGGATCCTTACCGAGCGGGTTGCTCTTCTCTCTTGTAGAACATTCCAGTAATGAGACCAAATCCTGGTGCCACAGCGGCTTCGCCAACACCAAGGAAAAACCGAGCAGTGACTAAACCGGCATAATTCTGGCAGGCAGCATGGCACATGAGAACTCCACCCCACAAGAATCTGCACATATACACACGAGTTAGCGTGGGAACAAGGGATGATGATTCGCTCGACATACACAGAGACAGCTAGATATTTGCCTAGGGGAAGGCGAACAATCAGATAGGAAGTGGGTCCACTCCATGCGAGATAACCAAAATAAAAGATGGCAGAGCACCAAGTATATTCCTGGCCAACCAGGTGCTGTATAATGCGAAAAAGATTAGTATATTGCAGGAGAAAGGACGCTATGGTGCCACTAACAAGATCGGCTCGTATACCCATGAGAGTTGTCTGGCTAAGCGCAAGTTTATCCATGTACTGCAACATGTAGCAAAGGCCCATCGTTGGGATCATACTATGAGGAGTCTCAGATCGTGATACACTAAACACATGTTTCTGTTGATAGAATCGCGGCATTACTTACAACAAATCCAACTTCCATAGAAGTCGTCGCTCCTCTTCAGGAGAGGGTTGATAGTCAGTATGTTCGCCGACAATGACATCCTGCCCTGTTTCATCTGTGGCATTGACAGTCTTCTCGTCGTACGTGTACGGCGTTTGTGCTGTCCCCATTGTAGAGGAGGTTGTCATAAATTGGAAAGTAAAAGATTTTGATATTTGATGGATAATATGGTTCTCAGAATGTCCAAAGAGGCCTAGAGATGGATTAATTGGTGAACTTATATTCGACTCTTCAAATCTATTTAAACGATAAGTGCTTAATGCTGTGCACCCGGTTATCTTTGATCTGGCGTAATTGAACCTCGCCACAAGACGCCAATCTACGGCAGACTCATGCCTCCACGCCTGCGACATCCGCGACACATAGTGTAGATAGTATGTAAAAGTGATAAGATTAGATATAAATCGGCTTCTTGTCTTATCCAAGGAGATTTCCTATCAGATGAGCCTGGGCAGCCTTGGGAGCCTCAGTTTCCCGCGGGAAATTTCCTGCTGCGAGAAGAATGAAAGAATGTTTCAACTCGCGGATACAGGGTCGGCAAATTTGCAGCTGTTGATTGGATTTAAAAGAGGCGAGCTTGAGAGGGGTATGGTTTAAATTCCTCGGGCTTGGAAACTATTAGCTAGGTCGGCAAATTTAGAGTTGCTGATTGGTGGGTACCACCCAAACGTCAACATATGGACTTCGGCAATCCAGAACTCTATCGTCGCCCCCGCATTGGTCATTGTTATCTTATGCCATACCAGTGGCGCATAACGATAAGATTATGAGCATACTGTAGTCAGATCGAGCTGATCAAAGTATTATGAATCAGTAGATAACCAATAAACTTATGAAAATTGACGTAATTCTTAGCCTGCATCCATTAATTATGCGAACTTATGCGAATTCGTATACGGCGGCCGAGAACGGCCACCAAGGGCAAGTGGCGTTTTACATACCGTTTTAGAGACCGCCCTGCCTATATACCTTTTCAATCAGGCATTAATGCATGAAGTAATCCGTGCGGCCCCCTACATCGTTCTCTCTGCAATCTTCTTCCTACCTCCAAGGTCTTCATAATCTTTCAGGGTTTCAGGCACTCGCCTAGCCTAATCGGGATTTCTGCCGCTCAAATCAATGCAAAACGCTACTTGTCCTCCGTGGCCGTTATCGGCCTCCGTAATTCCTATTCAGGATCGAGTCATCGATGCGGTCCCCTTTAGCGGTTAAATCAGAGAAGATGATGGAATGAGGGGGATATAAAAGCCAAACACCCGCATGAACATCAAAAATTATCTTCATTTCAACGATTCATGTGACAAGATCACAATAATAATTCTATCTTCTACCCTAACCGAGCGCTTTCATTGGAGTGATTACAATTTCGCTATTCACAAGATGGCAATCAGCTCTACTATCCCAATCTCTTCCGAGGAAGCACGGGCGGCTATGGACAAAGTACTTGAAAAAGTGGCCAAGCAGCTTCGTGAACTGAACAACTACGTATGATTTATCCCTCTCCAGAGAACCAGATCCTCGACGACGTCGGCCGAGCCAGCGCTTACTTACCATTCATAGATTTGGTCGAACCCAGAACTGGCATATGAAGAGCACAAAGCGCATGACGCTATCTGTGACTTTCTTGAAGGCCAGGGATTCACAGTCACTCGGCATGCCTATGGAGTGGATACGTCGTTCGAATGTGTCAGCGGCAGTGAAGGCCGACTCATCAACTTCAACGCCGAGTACGATGCGTTGCCGGACATTGGCCATGCGTGTGGCCACAACCTTATTGCCACCAGCAGCATCGCGGCCTTTTTGGCATTGAGCCATCTACAGAAGGAGTTCGGAACTAAAGGCAGAATTCAATTGCTCGGTACTCCCGCCGAAGAGAATGGTGGTGGCAAGGCAAAGTTGATCGATGCTGGTGCTTACAAGGGCGTCGATATTTCTTTGATGGCGTAAGTTTAGATTTGAATAATCCTTCAACTTTGATGGAATAATTCTAATTTTCTCATCTAGCCACGGTGGACCGACGAATTTGCTTGGTGTTTCCAACGATGGAGTCGCAGGAGTCTTGATGAATGCTCGAAAAGAGCTCCATGTGGAGTACTTTGGCAAGAATGCCCACGCCGGAGGTAACCCATGGGACGGTGTCAATGCACTGGATGCGCTGGTCCAGGCGTACAACGGAATTTCGACCCTGAGACAGCATATCCTGCCCGAGGAACGAATTCACGGAGCTTTCCTGGACGTGCCAAAGGTTGCCAATGTGATTCCTGCCTACACAAAGTCCTATTGGCAGATTCGAAGCCCTACTCTTCAAGGACTCAACAAGCTTATTGCGAAGGTTCGGCAATGCATTGAGGGTGCGGCTATCACTACTGGCTGTACAGTCAAGATTGTAGAGTGAGTCTCCAAGCAGATTGCACTATATAATTGATACTAATGCGGGAATTGTGTTACAGGGAGGGCCTCTACACTGATATTGTTCTGAATGAGACTCTCTGTGAGCGATACTCAAGCCACTTAGCAGGTTATGGAAAGAAGGTCATCTCAAAGCACGAGCAGGTGCTTACCGGATCTTCCGATATTGGTGAGTTGAACCCCGATACTCTCAATCTTTGAGCTTTAGATTACTGACATCCCGTAAGGTAACGTAAGCTACGTTGCACCGACACTTCATTCGATGTTCTCCATTCCCACTCCTGAAGGGTCTTTCCCGCATCACCCGTCTTTCGCGGCTTGCGCTGGAACTGATGAAGCCCACGAGCAGGCTATAATTACTGGAAAGGGATTGGCTCTTACCGGATGGGATATGATGACCGATGACGCACTTTTTGAGTCGGCGAAAGCGCAGTGGGAGGGACAGCTTCCTGCGCCTGTGAAATAGTGAAAGTATACTATAAATTCTCAACGTTTCAATTTAACAATCCAATGAGTTTTGATGATGATCATCTGAGTATTGCACAATGAAGTCCTTATAATAAAGTCAAGGGTATGAATGCGGGAACTTTGTGCAACTGTATCTAGACAAAAAGCCTCTCTTATTCATCACAAGATTATACCGACTGAAGGTGAAGCGCTATCTAATGTATATTGGGGGTGATGATCCCGCTTTCTAGAACCTACTAGCTCATTAAACGCTCCATAAATATGTTCACCAAAGTGGAAAATTTCAAGGGCAGAGCGTAACGCTAGCTAATGGGGAATATCCGGATCTCGACGGTGCCCGTTTGTGCGGGAATGGTCAAATCATGCTCAGCGTCCTCCGTATGGCGATCGCGTCCTTCGTGTCGTGGAAGCTCCCGTTACGATGTGCAACGAACGAGCCCGAGGAGATGATATTTGAACTTTGAATCATTAAGAAAGTTTGACAGATTTTGGGTAAGAAAGAAACACATGCTAATATAAAGGGATGGCGATCAAATGTAGAATGGCGTACTGAGACTTTTTTGGTCTGGCTAGCTTAATATAATTCGCTTTAGATGACGGTGAATGTGGACGTCCGATCGAACCAAGGCCCCACGGTTCCTGCCGGCAGACACCCAGCAGCACGTATTTCGAGGAAATGCGCAGGAGGCTGGCTATGTCCACGTCAAGGATGTCCTTCCAAAGGAAGATGTGCAGAAAATTCGCGAGGAGTAAATCTCAACAAAACGTCCAGGGCTGTTAAATAAGACGTGGAGGCTAATCTTATCTGGCATAAGTACTTTTAAGATATACGAGGCGACCGGAATAATCAAGCCCAGCTCGGCACTTGAAGCGGGGATATTTAACGATTCGAATGATCCACTCGAGAATGGTGGAACAGGAGCCGGAGAGCTTCCGCCAACACCTGATTAAGTCCACACTATGATCGATGCGAACACACAGCCAAAATACCTACAACTTCTGGAACATCCTAACCTACGATCACATGTCAAGGAAATAATGGATTGGAAGAAAGAAATCCTGCTGGAGCGCATCATAATCAGACACAATGCCCCACACTCAGCACCGGGGTACAATATGACAAGCTGTTTGTACGAAAGAGAGAGGCTGAATTCATAACGGCGGGGGTACCTATTGGTAAGATGTCGGATATGTCTCCTATTTGGATGCGTTAACCGTGGCTAATTGAGGCTCACAGGGGATATTAGGGCTGACGGGGACGGCCTGATGTATCTTGGCGATTCCGTCAAAGTGGGCCGTCAGATTGAGGCAGATTCCGCCCGTCGTGCCAAGGGCCTTTCTGAAAAAGAGCGTCTGAGCGCATTCAACGTGCATATGGGGAAATATGGACAATTTTTTCACAGAGTGCCCGCGAGTTTGGCAGGGTTCATGAGACAAACGGCGGGGTCAGTGATCGGCACTGGCTTGTGGCTAATTACGAGGCCGGCGATATGGTAATGAATACATGACCCGTATATCGTGCATGCGAGCTCGAAGAACGAGGGTCACGACGGACGGATTCGCCTCAGCACAGACCTCCGGTGTTGCGAGGAGGGGAGTGACATGGATGACCAGTGGATGGAATGATGGACAGTCGGGGACGGGCTGTAAGGCTGGTGAAGTGTGGCACCAATGTGGGCTGAGTAGCCTAAGTTAATCTATTTTTCTGCTGGACTTTGGCCACGGCCCCTTCCTTTGGCCGGTGTGGCTTTAGTAGGATCGCCCGGAACCAAGGGAGCGGGTTAGTAGGAGTAGTTTGGGTTGCCATTAGAATACAAATGTTTTCTTGAGAGTTCATGCAATTTCTGTAGTTAGGAGAATGAATCGAACTGCATGACATGAATGGTGTTTCAAGTTGAGGTTTGGGATCGAGTCCACATAATTCCAAGGTGTAACTAAGAGTTCATCTATTTTCTAGACAGGGGGATGGCCAGAGACTCCGTGCTGACATCTACCACACCACGTTGTCGGTGCAGCCGGGCCAATAGAAATTGATCAAGTACCGTGCTGACTGCATTGTTGAAGGGTTGTAGTTACTGAGTGGAACTAGACGTGCGAAAGGACCCAGCGTCTTTGAGCGTTGTGGATGTACATCTGTGACGAAGGGGCTGCGATTCATCAAAGAGCCTCCGACTCGAGGTTTCTTTCACAGGATACTCGAAACAGCCCAGATATATGGATCAACTTGGACTGAGAATTAGACCAAATGCAGTTTTTAGGATTGCGACCGTGTTATATAGCGTTTCAAGTACGAATTACATCCTACCGAGGGTGATATTAAATGCTTGCTTTTCGGTATTGAAGTAACCTTTCAAGGCGTCCTGTTGCTTTTCGGTCGCATTATTCTTCACTATTATTGGGGGCCACGAGGGCTAAATAAGCCAGCAAATCATCACCGCTAGTAAAGGAGACCCTCGGACCCAGAGGACACTAAAAGCGCCCCCAAGTGGATCACTAGCGGGGGCCGACAAACACTCAACATGGCTAGGGCCTAGGAACCCGATGATTACGATACATACACTTGTCGGTCGGGCGAAGACAAAAAAGAAAAGAATGAGGCTTGGAGACAAAAGCATCTTGTGCTCCTCAGCCGTGTCCTATTTGCTCAGCCCCTAACCCAGACTGGAGACCCTTCTTGCCCTGTCACCTTCTGGTCTTTTTCGTGCTGCAGGACCTTTTCTTCTTTCCTGCACATCCCCCTCTCGGTGAACCGACGGTGCAATTTACAAACATTCCCACAGTCATCTTCACCTTCCAAAATGCTGTTTGCACGGCAGGTGCTGGGGCCACTTCTGGCCTCGATCGCTTTGGCGACTCTAGGATCCGCTGCGGACAGTTCTTACACTGGCTCGGCGACGGCAACAACTGCGAGCAATTCGATAACTACAACGTTCTCCACGTCCACGACGACAACCACCGGCAGTGTGACACATACAGTCCAAGTCGGACCGGATTCGAGTCCGCATGCCTACGTTCCTCATAATCTCACGGCCAATATTGGCGATGTTGTTGTCTTTGAATTCTACCCGACAAACCACTCTGTCGTACAGGCAGACTATGGGGCGCCCTGTCGCTATCCGTCTCGTGGTGCCTACTTCTATTCGGGGATTTTTAACACTTTCAACGAGAACAATGGTCAACTCGTCGGTCCGGTAAGTCCAAGCATCCTGCGATGCGAGCGTGAGATAGCCCCGATCGACTGACATTTTTGATGATCGAAGCCGCCCACCTGGTCAGTCGTTATCAATGACACTAAGGTAAGACAAAAACCTTCTTCGAAGCTCGAGGGAAAAAGACCAACGGAAATTCTCACTAGCCAACGTTCTTCTACTGCACTGCAATCGGCTCATGCCTGCAAAACGGAATGGTGGGCGTCATCAACCCGGTAAGTCTACCTCTCTCCCGTCTTCCCCGTTCAGGAAATTGTCTAACAATGCGCACTTAGAACTCGACCGAAACCTTCGAATCGCAATACAAGAGAGCTCTCACCTATGAGTACATGCTAGTACCTGGCCAATCTGCGCCCGCCGAGGGCGGCGGGTCAACGTCCGGGGACTCGACCTCGACAACCACGAGCGCAAGCCCCAGCGCCACAACCAGCAGTGCCTCTTCCGGCGGAGGAGGAGGAGGGTTGAGTGGCGGAGCGATTGCCGGCATTGTGGTCGCAGCTGTGGCGTTCGTTGCTATTTTAGTCACACTCTTCTTTGTCCTCGGTCGCAATCGAGTATACTCCCAATGGATGTCCTCCCAAGACGGGCGGACCGAGCGCACGGCTAGATGGGCTTTATTCAACAATACGGGCGGCTCAACTGGAAATCGCAAGAGTGAACTCGACAGCAGTACTGCCAGGGCAACGGCTACCGAAGTTACCTCTGTGGGTAGTCCAGACCCAACTATGCAACAGTTTTCGCCAGCTCCAGAGTCGGTATCAGGGTTTGGGGGCTCAACGCCTCGTCATAATTCTGGCCAATGGAATTGGGACGTTCCGCAGAGTTCACGCAGTCCCCGTGGTCCAACCGAGTTGGAAGCAAACACTATCGTTCATCAGCTCCCAGAGCGGAGGGGTTCATAATTTTGTTCTAAATTGAGAATAAGACGCAGGTGATGTGGCTTTTGTTACCTGGCGCAGATGAATCTACTCGCTCTTTGCAAAACTGTGGGGTTAAGGGACCGGTGGGTGGAAGCAAGGCTGGTCTTAAGCTTATTTCTAATTTTCTCACTTCTTTGGTGTTGCAATCCGCGTTTTTGGATTTGGTCAAGGCTTGATTTATGGTTTACACACACGTTATATATCATTGATACACTCTTCGTTTAGCAGCTCTCCTTCTCCTATGAAGTACCAAATCTAATGACCATCCATTTTCCCTTTTGGAAAATACACCCAATCCCATCACATGACCTGTATGTAACCACGTTCGGGTCTCGCCCCGGACTCCACGGCGAAGCTTATTCCAGCTGTCACTGTATCCACATTCCTCTTACATGGCCACACGACGTCAAGAGACAAGATCGAGGTGGGGATGTATGAACTGGTAATGGCCTCCCCCAAGACGCCCCCAATGTCGATATGTGGGGTGAGTGTGCTAACAATGCTCGAGCAGCCGCAAACGCCGCAAGAAATGCAGCGAAGGCCGACCTAGCTGTCAACTCTGTACAGAGCGGGGTGTGGAATGTATCTACCCCGACTGGACCGTAGTCAAATATGCTCGGACTCGACAACGGAGGATACAGCTTCAAGAAGCCAATATCGGTCGGCCATCTGCACGGCCAACATTGCTTCCAGCGCAACCAAGCAACCCCGAATCGCGATTTATCTTTCATTTCAACACCATCTTAGCCGGCCTGATCAGTTTCTCGTTTCCACAGATGGGTGCTCAAAATCCGTTTTTACAGCATGTTCTACCGCGAACATCCAATGCTGCCCAGGTCCGGTACGCCGTAGAAGCCGTTGCTGCGGGTCATCTCTATCATCTTGGTGCCGAGTCTGGAGATCGAGCGACCCAGCTACATTCAAGAGCGTTGAATCTCCTCGCTGTGGAATTGTCGCGCCCGCAGCTCGAGGAGACCTCACGTATGAACTTGCTTGCGAGTAGTCTCCTCTTGATATACTTTGAGGTACCCTATTAACCCGGAGTCAGTATTTACCGATTTTTTAGAAAGATCTACTGACTTGATGTTATATATCAGATTGTACTGGGAAACTCCGCAAGCAACGCATGGTGTCACCTCCGGGGCGCAAAGGTGTTATTAGAATGCAACCGTGCCGACCCCGAATCCCCATGCATGTTATTCTTCCGGAAGATCTTCCAGTACTTCAACGTGATGCTCGCGCTTTCCCTGGAAATACGTCCTCTTCAGATTAACGCAGACTCTGGGTCCGACTTCAGCGACAACGTGGACACAGTCTTTGGTTGTACTGCTAGCCTTTGGCCACTCATGCATCATCTAGCCGATCTTATGGGTCGCGCCCGCCTAGGAGATGACATAACCGAAGATAGTAAACATTTGATGGCCGAATTACATGCGTGGTCGATTGAATCGTCGTTTGGCACTGACGCCTATGCCGAGGCAATGGTTCAGATTGCACGATCCTACAAATTCTGTGGACTTTTGATGCTTCGTCAGGCTGTTCATGGCCAAAAACCTAAGCACCACAAAAACTCTACCCTTCAAGGCGACGAAGAGTATAGGTCAGCTTTTGACAGTGTCCTCCGCGTGTGCGTTTTGTCTCTACCGATGGCTACGTTGACTTGGCCGCTGTATGTGGTTGGAAAGCTAGCCTCTTCGACTAGTGATCGTACTGTCATTCTGCATATATTTTCGCATTTTCTGGAGAAACATCATATGAAGGTGGTCGATGGAGCTCGGGCTGCTGTACAGGCACATTGGGAGGGACGGAGGCCTAGTTGGCACCAATCGGCGCCTGTGCTGCTTGGTTGATTTAGGTCGTGTACATATGATCATGCTAGCATTTCGGAGCCATCTATCGTTCTTTGCAAGTATGCTCTTTTCCACCTTATATAATCGCGGTGTTTGTTAACGTTAAGGCAAATAGACTCAATTTTCAAGGGGTATCTGGCTTCATCTTATCAAAATAATCGAAAATGTAGGTACAAGAGGAGATGATACCCAGCTAAATACCTTCCCTTGATTCCAGCGCATGCAATTACAAATTAACGGGGTGTTGCTGCATTTCGTCTGATTATGCTTGAATCGAAGATTGTTGATAAGTGAGGAGAGATGTGAGCTAAAATATCAGCTTCTTCAATCTAGATATTAGTATGAATATTTCCTAATTGGGCTCTTTTAAAATTGAGAGAAATGATGTAGTTGTAAAGAGAAATACAGGTTTGAGATGATATTCGTAGAAAGCATAGAAATAGTTCGGACTGATTCGGTCGCTCATTCCAGATAACAGTAGTGTCCTGTAGTGATACCGCCCAGTCAGTTAAGCCTTGCAATTGGTCAGTTGTGACCCGCTTGTCCAATCCTACCTTTTTCCGACCCCGAATTATCCTACAATCGAGAATCACCGATGTTCTCTGTCGGGCCCCACACCTTTCACTATTCCACTCATTGGTGCTAACTACTGGCGAGAGCCAACCGCAAGCCATGAGTGATAACACTCCACAACCTGCCCGAACCAGATCCCGTGCGGGCATCCCTGAAGATCAGAGAAAAGCTCTACGTGCCTGGTGTCGGTCGCAAGAGTCTCGGCCGACACATGCAGCCAGTGTGGCATGGTTTCAACGGACCTTTGGTCGACGCCTGCCTCAATCCACTGTCTCTGTGATCTTATCTTCAAAGTACGAGTATCTTGACAGAGGCCCGGCGACGGGCTCTTTCCGACAGCAACCCCCACAATGGCCTATCCTGGAGGCTCGACTATTCGAATGGTTGAAAAGGGCCCGTGAAACTGGTGAATTATCAACGGGTGACGCCATCTTCAACAAGGCCCATCTGGCCTCAGATCACAGAATATGCTAACCGCCCCCCGCCAGCGTTCAGCCACGGGTGGTTAGCAAAATTCAGGAAGCGATTCGAAGCCAGTTTATCCAAGGGTCAACAGGATGGCGTTCTCCCAGCGCCTCCTCGGAATCAGCGTAAAGAGCTGCAAGCACTACGTACCTTAGCTGGAGAGTTCAAGGAAGAAGATGTTTACAACGTGGGCGAGACTGGTTTGCTTTGGCGCAAAGCCCCATTTGACAGCTTGCCTAGCGGGCCAGATGAACCGAAAAAGGATCGAGCACACATCTGCTTGATTGTGTGTACCAATGCCACCGGATCTGATAGGATTCCACTTTGGGTGATTGGTCACAAGGAGATGCCCGGGGCTCTTCGCGGTGTCAATCTAAAAGCTATGGATTGCCAATGGCGCCATAATCCGCAAGCTTGGGTGGACGTCCAAATCATGTCAGAATGGCTGACCATGTTCTATCAACATGTCGGCTCGCGGCGAGTTATCCTGCTCCTGGACGATAAGCCTGCCCACCAAGCTGCACTGGAGACCACACCTCCACCAGGAAATGTGCACATCCAATGCTTTCCCGAAAAATGCCCCAATGTATATCAGCCCTTGCGACTCGGCGTCACCGAGCAGCTCAAAACTCATTATCGCAAACAATGGCTTGGGTATATGGCGACAAGCTTCGACTCCGGTTCAAGTCCGATGGAAATGATCAGCCTTTATCATACCATATGCTGGATCACTAAAATCTGGCGACACGACATTGCGAATGCAACAATCTACAAGGCATTCCGCAAAAGCCACCTCGTCCAGCCACAAGCCGACTATCTCACCGCGCCAAAGCCTCCAGACTTGACCGAGCTCTATGAAAAGGTTATTCGGTATAATCGGAGTGGTATCTCTACAAGGAGTCTCGAAGAGTGGTTGAACCCCGTGGAGGAGGAATACGCTGGCACGATAGACGAGGCGCTCCGGCTGAACCCAAATGTAGACACATCCATTCTGGATGAATCGGTCAACCCTCTACCACCGTATGAATTGATCCCTGCCCCGGCAGATGCCATTGCGGGCATCCAGACAGCCATTTACTACATGCTCAATCAGCCAACAACTACCGCGAACGACATCCTGTATTTGGAGACGATGGAAAAAATATTGGACCGAAAGGTCCGGAACGAGTTCCTCCAGCAACAACATCAAACACTTGAAACAACACCTGCCCAGTTATCAGCTCAGGCAGCTGCTCAAGTAACTGCTCTACTCCCTGCCCGATCATGGATTCAATCATCACCCCAAGCACCCGCTCAACAATCGTCTATACCTTCAAGTCAGCCTCCCACTCAACCGTGTTCCCAATCATATCGACCGCACGTTAGGCCAGCGACCCGGGCACCCTTGCCAACAGGCCAACGACTACTTCCTCCGCTCGCTGAACAACCCGCTCAACAAGCTTTGCAAACTCCGACTCAGCAACCCGTCGGAACATACATGCAATACCAATTTCCGAATCAGAACTCCTCTTTTCAGCCATCACAGGCCGGTATTCGAGCTGTAGGTATGGTACCGATACATAATCCATCCGGAAGTCCTTCCGTAGCGTCCACTATGGGACCGAGCACGAGACTGTCGGGAGACCAGACGCGTACACCTTCGGAGGCAGGGTCCTATCAACCTTCTGAAGATCAGTTCTCTGGTGATGACATGGAGATATAACCTGGTCGGACTCTTGAGTATCACAATTCTGAGTGATTATAACCACTCTCGATTCTAAATCAATGCATACGCTTGACTAGGCAAGAATAACACGCTGAAAGTATTGCGCTTGGCAAGAATCGTAATTTGCAACCCTTCTTAAATAATGAAGGGGAATGAGTCAGATGAAAACCGGTTCCTTTATATCAGATAGTAAATATATTCTATCAACGACTCAACATGAGAGTACAACAATAACTGAACACATGCGCCCGCGTGGCCAAAGACTGACAAGAGTAAAACAAAGTTAATAAAAACAACAAAGGCGATGAGCTTGATTTGACCGCGAGAACCAAGTTGGTCCGTGAGTAGCAATTGTCCTCGGACCTACATCTCAATCGGACGTGCTAGTAAGCACACGTCCAATTGGCCATCATGGTATCTAAGCAGAGGTAGGACGGCTACCGCTGGGGCCGGAAAAAGAGGCACCAGGAGAAGAGCCACCGCCACCACTGCCACCGCCCATGCCAGAGCTCTCATTCTCAACACCACCCTGTTCGGTGTAGTACGCAGCGGCGTTAACACTAGTGTCCTCAGTGCTATCAACGCCAACGGAGATCCAAGCGAAGATGCCATCGGAGAGGTCGTCGCCGAGCAGAACGTACTCCATGAACGGATCGATGGTCTCAGCCTCCTCGGACAGAATGCTATCATCGGCGTTGGTGGTGAGGGTCTGGGTGTTGGTGGAGTAGGGAGAAACCTCATTGACCTTGGTGATCAGGTCTTGGTCGAAGAAGAGCTGGCCAACGTGGGAGGTCTTGGAGGAGTACAGGCCGCTGATAGTGTTGTTCTGGAGGACGGTGGTCTCGTTGGCGGGGTGGGTCAGGACTGCACGAATAAGTGTTAGGATGTAATTTTCATGAAAGATTGCCGGAAGGAGTGGAGCAAGGCTGCATTTCGGATCGGATCCAGGAGTAGAAATAGAGACGTACCGTGAATGTGGACCGTACGGCCGGTGTAGTACCCAGGGAAAATGGACTCAAACTGGACAACGCCCTCGGCGTTGCTTGGCTGGATTCCGCGCAGGAAGGTAGCGTCGAGGTTCGTGGCATCGGAAGAATCACCATTGCCGCTGGCTACAACGCCGGAGTAGACACCCTATCATAGGAAAGTTAGAATCACATTTCGCTTGGTATTGCGTAATTCTCAAATTTCAAGACTCACTGTAGCATTGCAGTGCCACAGATCCATGTAGACATCGGACAGAGGCTCGCAGGTGTTAGTGTCAATGAGCTGGATATCCATGTACAAAGCAACACCCTCCTGGTCTTCAACGATGTTCTCACGGATGAGCTCACCGCTCACATCTAATATCTATCAGCTCTGTCAATTGAAATGGAAACCGATAACTACTCACAGTAAGGGCCTTGGGTGACATCGGGAGCCAGAATGCAGGTAGCCTCAGAACCGAACAGAACAGAGGCATCGGTGGAGGGAGTAACGCCGGTCAAGTTGGAGGCGTGGGAGGTGTTTAAGAGGGTGTCCAGATCACGAGCCTTGAGGAAATGGGCGTCTACAACAAATAGTCAATATTAGACGACTAAAAGTGCTATTTTTTGCCCAAATATCTGTGATTCTCGAGATAAACCTACCATTGCTCAGACCACGGCGACGGCGAATTTGCTTGACGGCGTTCTGACGACGAGCAACATTCTTGGCCTCAAGACCGCGGGCCTTCAGCTTGGAGGCACACTGGGACAGGCTGCGCGATTGAATAGGAGCATTGCGCATGAAGTGACGGCGCTCAGCAGCCTCGGCCGTGTGGTCATGACCGGGGTGGGCGGCAACGATTGAGGCCAGACCGAGGAGGCCGGCAGTAACGGCTGAGGCGAGGTGAACCATGGTCTTTCTATCAAGTTCTTCAAAGCTGGAAATTTGTAGAGATTGAAATCTAGGTAGATGAGAAGAGAGTGTTGTTCTGTTGATTCCAATTCAGTCTCACGGCGACAATCTCGTGCCTTTATATCTCGTCGTCACGGCTTCTCATTGATAGAGCACATAGGCTAAATTCCACAGAATAGGATCGAAGTAGCCCGAAAAACGTTAAGGTTGTCTCAATCGCACGCGTCCTCGGGCAGTATCGCGCCGCTGACAAAGTCGATGGAGGAGCATAATTCAAGTTCCGCAAATCAGAGGGGCTCCGTTTCTCATCCAGCATGAAGTCGAAACCCTTCGGAGCCACACCCGGACCCGCAGCGGAGCAATCACCGCCTCTCCCCGAAGCTGGACGGTGCGATGTGATTCTAGTTGATCCATAGTAAGGATTTCGATTGGCTTCGGGGTGTGGCGTATGGAGAAATACCCGGACGATCTGCAGGCCTGGAGGTGCCGCCAAGAAGGTGTAGACGAGTCGTGCGGAGCATATTGCTCCACGCGAGGAATTAAGGATGAGAATTGAGCGGAGCAATATGTAGAAAATAGAGGCCAGTAAGTGGAGGAAGGTCGGGGTGATCTGCGCTGACGACGAGGCGCAAACCGATGCGACTCGGCGCAGCTCCTTCGTCGTCTACCTATGGGACAAGGCTTAGAGGTCAAAGAAGGTCCATATTGAACCAGCTAGCCGATGTAGTAGGTGGAGAGGCATGCGGACAATACCCATGGGGGCATAGGAGTCCGATGCAGGCCGCGACGCCCAGGGGTCACTGATGGGGCCCTGCATCCGTCGCGGACTCTTCACGGCTGGCATAGCATCTAACGTCCAGGGGTGTGTTGGTAATGGAGATCGGGTATTGGCCGGTCATCAGCCTATTCGTCGATCATTACCGCATACCTGTGCACAAAAATTGCGCCACCGGGGTTAACCTCGTCGGTCCCTGATAGTTTCTTGGATCCAACGTATTCGTCGTACGTACGCGTTCTTGGCGTTCCCCTCGTCGGGGAATTGTCGCCGCATGCGAAACAGGAGGCCTCGGCAAAACAAGGGAGGTGTGCGTTGATGAAATCGTGATGCCAAGATAAACAACGGATGAAAATCTTCAATGACACAAGAGTGAAACTGTTGGGCGCAGGCGTCGTGGCTCTAGTCGAGGGAAATATTTGCCAAGAAATCTCTATACGACGCGCCCGAAGGCTTGGCGAGGCTTGCGCGGAGATCCCGCCGTGGGCGGGCGGGAAAACGAGTGAAAGGGTTGTTCGTTCGTGATTGTAGCGACCTATGGCTTACGTCGCATCCTAACGTGGATAGAAATAGTAAATGTTTGCACCGTAGTAAAAATTTTGGATTTGTGCTATGCTGATCAAACGATTCGATGTAATGAGCGAAAGTCACCTGAAGAATGAATCAGAGAAGATTCTAGTGTCTCTTCCAATAGCAAAGATCGAGTCAGATAGGTAGAGACATATTCTGGGGACTTGCAATGTTGGGTTCTTGCTCTGATAGGCCCAAAGTGGCAGAAGTAGAAATATCCTTACACATATGAGTTTCTCGAAAAGGAAGATTCAAAATTCATTGGTCTGATTGGACCAATGAAACAGTAGATAGAGCCAGTACCGGCATCCAGACGCCGTAGCACGTTGACTTATGGTCTAATCGTCTCCTCCCGCCATGCGGTACGCTTGCGATAAATATCGCGACGGAAGACCTGCTTCAACTGGGCAATCAACTCGCCATCCAACGGCAGTGCATCCTGTGCAGCACCGATGCCGCAAGGGTCATTCTTCCGATCGATGTATGAACCACGCAAATGTAAGACCGTCACCCCAAGTCAATGTCCGGTCACCGTACCGACCATCTACATACTGACGCATAAGAAGACCACCCAAACCATGGCCAGCCTTCACATCGGGTCCACGCCGACACGGAAGAAACTTCTCATAGGACTTGTGAGCACAGCCTGGTGGCTGTTAGTCGCCTGGAGGCTGAGGTGATGCTCGAAAATATCATGGATAGTGGCAGGTTTGAGCAGTTTCATACCATTTGCCCAAATCGAGTGCAGAATCTTACTGTCATCGTCGCCAGGTAAGTACAGACCATAACTGCCAAAGTCACCGCGCAGTCGTAAATTCATATCACCACGGCCCCCTAGTACGGCCGTGGAGTCATTCGGGTTCAGATCAACCATACGAGCTCGCAGATATTCACGGGTTACTGGATAGAATTGTCCGTTCGCTGATACCGGGTGGGTCAAAGATGCGTTGCTGGATACTCTCTTCGAGCGAGAGCCCCGTTACCCTCTCAACTATGCGACCAGCCCAGTGCACTCCGGGCCCCTACACCCAGCCTTCGTCAGGCTGGAAACCAAGCGGATAACACAAACGCTCCTGCACGGATCGAGGACCTGCATCATCGGGAGCGAAGAACTTCTCACGCCACTTGGCGATATGTGGCAGATACCAGGAATAGGACATCATCTAGCTGCCGTGGTTGTTTCTCGCCCGGTAGAAGGATGCATTGGCCCAGAGTTTTGTCATAGACGAAGTGGCCCCCGGCATCAGTAGCGTAGATCACGGCATCGTTGATCTTCCCCGCATCAATGGCGGCCTAGAAGCTGGTGTCGATATCGTCGGCCAGGTTCGAGCATGTAACTCTATACCGTCATGCGATTATTCAAAGTGAGTTTTGGGTCCCTTAAAAGGGTATTGGAGAAAAGATCGCTTCCTCCCAGAGATTTGAGAGTGCTGTCTCTGTGTAAGCTGAGGATGACTCGTGGGACGGCCAAACGGATGACGGTTTCTCCTCAGTATTAGGGGATGTCGAGTTTTGGCCCCTACTTGTTGAACGGCTCTCCGTCGCCTCTGTATCTGGAGCATCTAGAGGATATGTAACAAAAGGAAGCTCACATAGCCGGCCACTATCGACCGCTTTCACCTCGAGTAAAGTAATTTCTTGTCGAAGGGTGTGAAGGTCAAGGAGGAAAAAATGTATCCCAATTTTATTTGTGTGATGGCTGTTGCTTGAACGACTTGTTGAAAAATATCACCTGAGCGTACTCAAGATTGTAATTTTGTAGATATACCAAGAAGAACAGCAAACAGCGGAAAATTGCTCGCGTTTCCGGAACAATCTATGACAGATCTACGAGCCTTGAAGACAGATACAAAGTACGAAGAAAAAGAGGTTTCAATAGGATTGAAAAAAAAGATTTCAATTAATAAAGATACATCCACATTAAACTGTAACAAAATAGCGGCATAAACACGTACACGCATAAACACCCCTGGTATTCGCTAAACAACCGGACCAGCCTGCACGAAGCAAAGAGGTAAGAAGGGCGCGGGTGGAGATGTCGGATTTCAACAATCCCCAACACCACGGCAAGACGGTATGACAGGCCAAGCTTTTGTTGCCCGCTGATTCCACTTTTTTTGTAAGTTTTTGTGATGGAAACAAGAACAAGCAGGACATAAGCTTGGACATCATCTCAGAGATAAGACGTCTTGCAGGATTAGACCTCGATCTGGGCGACGTGGGGCTCGCCAACGACCTTCTCGTCGTAGTTGACGCCCATCTGCTCGGCGAAGGTGGAGTGGGGCTTCCAGCCAGCGGAGGTACGCGGGGTAGTCTCCTCCATCATCTTGTCGACCTGCTCGAGGGTAAGACCCTTGGTCTCGGGGATGAGGAAGTAAGTGTAGACGAAAGCGCAGGTGCACAGGGAGCCCCAGATGAAGAAGACCTTGGCGCCGAGGTTACCCTGGTCCGCGTCGACCATGTAAGGGGTGATGACGGCAATGATGCAGTTCCACAGCCAGTTGGAGGCGGTGGAGAGGGCGACACCGCGGGAACGGATGGGGAGAGGGAAGATCTCGCCGATGACGACCCAGGCACCGGGACCCCAGGTGCTGGCGAAGAAGAAGATGTAGATACAGATGAAGGCGATCATGGCGGAGACGGCCTGCGGGTTATCGCCGTCGGTGACACCGATGATGGCGACGATGAACTGGCAGATGACCATGCCCAGAGCACCCCAGAGGAGGAGGGGGCGACGACCGACCTTCTCGATGGCGTAGAAGGAGATGGGGGTGGAGAGCACGTTGACAATGGTGGTGATCATGCTGAGCAGGAAGGGGCTCTGGATTGTGCCGAGCTGCTTGAAGAAGGTGGTGCCGAAGTAGAAGACGAAGTTGACACCGGTCCACTGCTGCATCATCTGGAGGGAGGTACCGAGGACGGTACGGCGGACGTTGGAGTTGGGGTGGAAGATGTTACCGCGGAAGCAGTTGATCCAGCTGTCGAAGTAGCCAGAGTCGGGGATGACGGTCATCTCATACTGGTAGTTGGCCTCGATCTCGTTCAGCTCGAGCTCGATGTACTCGGAGTCGGGAGCCTGGCCACGGATGCGGGAGAGAGCCTCACGGGCGGCCTCCTTGTTGCCCTTGCGGATGAAGAAACGGGGGGACTCGGGCAGGAAGAAGAGACCGGTTGCGAGGATGAGAGCCCAGAGCATCTGCAGGCCAATAGGGATACGGTAGGAGCCAGAGTCGGTACGGTTCTCGGTGGCATAGTCCACGCAGGAGGCCAGCATGAGACCGATGGTGATGCAGAACTGGTAGCCAGAGACGATAGCACCGCGGACCTTGCGGGGAGCAATCTCGGACATGTACAGAATGATGATGGCGGAAACGAATCCGACACCGAATCCAGCAATGAGACGACCAGCAACGAGGAGACCGAGGCTGGAGGAGGCAGTCTGGAGGACAACACCGATGATGAAGACGAAGCAGCCAGCGATGACGGTGGTACGACGACCGAACCAGTCAGCCAGATCACCGGCGATCAGAGCACCGAAGAAAGTACCAGCAGAGAGAATAGAGACGATGAGAGACTTCTTCCAGGAGGGAACGACGAAAGCGTCGGGGTTGGTAGTAGCCAGGGATGGGTCCTATTGGAGGGGGGAACATCAGTATCAGTATCCAGCACAGAGTGGATTGAAATAATGATGGCTTTGCCAGTACTTACCAGGTCCTCGAAAGTAGAGATAAAGAAGTCCATACCAAGGACACCGGAGATGTAACCAGAATCATAACCGAAGAAGATACCACCAAAGGCAGCAAAGGCGCACATCAGGTACGTCTTGATAGTAACCGGGGCCTCGACGCGACGCTCGTCGACGCTGCCCTCGGGGGACATAACAGCACCACCAGGCATTGCGGCGATGTTCACTGGAGTAGTGATAAAAGGAGTAAGTAGGTGGTAGAGGGTGATCCAAGTAAATTGAAGTCAAAGTCCCAAGTCGAACGAGGAGGATTGGTTGAGAGGATGATCACGATGATGAGAGAGAGAGAGAAAGGAAACGAGCAGGAGGGGAGGGAAGAGAAGGAAGTTTATATCCTCGCGGTCACGGCACCCCCCAACACCCCGGCTCCCCAGATCCCCAGACGGGGGGAAAAGAAAAAAAAAAGTTCCCCATCTAAACCGATCTAGTCCAACATTGTCAGCCGCGACGGAAAAAAAAAAAAAAAAAAAAACTAATGCTGTACCAGACGGTCCGCCACTCTCGGCTCGCGTACACGGCCACGGCCGATGGGTTGGTCGGCCGATGATAGACGGGGATTGGCCCGTTTGCCATGAGGAAGTAGGAACTATGAAAAAGTCTGGAACCGTGATAAATTCCCGGCAAAACTGCGAGACGGAGATGGGGCAAGGGTGGCCCACTAGATCCAATGGAGACTAATGCGGGAAAAGCCACGCTAACCCCCAAAACGAAGAAAGAAAATCAAACGTGGCATGCGGCACGGGGAAAAAAACCATGGAAAGAATAGTAGAAAGCCGGGGTAGGCCTGCAGTCTGCACGGATGAAGCCGTGGGCGGTACGAAATGGAACGGAGTGATTGGATGGTCGTGAGGGACCCTGCGCCTGAGCACCAGAGATTCTGGTCAGAGACTAGCACGAAAGAGGATGGAGCCTAAGCTTAAAGGCAACAAAGTCTCGGGTCAAGCGGGCTCTGGACCAGTCAGATGCTCGGCTCCCCGGCCAGGCCCCCTCGGCTCTCGGAGACCTGTCCCTTTTCGGGTCCCTGGTCCGTCTGTCGCTATTTTCATTGGTTGCCACCATGTGACCGCACTGCGCCACCGTGCTCAATGCCCTATAGCGTTTTTTCTTCTTTTCTTTTCTTTTTTTTTTACGACGCCTGATCAATATAGTGGATTGGTATACAGGTCTTACAAACTTAGACACTGTAGTATTCGAGTGAGTCAATGTCCACCGTTCACCAAATAAGCATTAGTCATGACTGTTGCAGTCTCGGGCTCGGTTACCCGTGCTGCTTCCCAGAAGTGGCTCAGCTGTGGTTTCTCTCGCCGAGTCGCGTGAGCCGACCCGGTGACTGGTAGACATTCGGCCATGTCCGCAGTAGCACCCAGCACCAGCACCAGCACCAGCACCAGCACCAGCACCAGCACCAGCACCATACCGGAAATAGCCAACCGTCCAGGTGAAGGAAAAAAAAAAAAAAGTGGGCGGTCATGCTCATGGCCGATAGCGCTTCGGGCAAAATTCAGAGAGGGGGCGGAAATAACCAACTGGGGGAAGGTCTAGAAAGGTGGGACAATCTCGGTTCGCGGGAAACATGAACCAATCTGGGTATCGTCGTATAGTAGCATCGTGTACGCTGAACTATGGCCCGTTCTCCAACCTGCGTCTCGGTACCGTGTCAGTCCACGTCCGTCGGCGCTTATTGGAGATTGGACCTCTGGTAGGGCACAGTCCGTGCCCCCCGCATTAGTTGGCACCACGGTTTCAGTAATTGGTCTTACTTGTCCGCGTTAGGTTGCTGGTGGTCGAGAAGGACAACCAATGCACCAAGCCAGTCAACTCGTCATCCGTCATCTCGCTAGGATGTGAGCGTAATAGAGTCAAGGGCCAAAGGGCGTGAGTAAACCCTCAGCTCCATCGGGAAAATGCGCCCCGTGCGTGGAAGCCTTCTACGAAGGAGTTCCTTACAAGAAAGTTGTTCCACCCCGGCGGAATCAGCCAGTCATAGGGGGAGAAACCGAATCTCACTGGTTGAAAGGGGATTCACATGTGGGGAAAAGTACTCCGTAGAAGGAAAGAGGAAAACTCACTCTCCGCCATTCCGCGCAGGGGTCTTGGCGCATCACGTGGCGTCCAGTCGCGAGGGTCCCCGCGAACGGGACCCCTCTCTTTGGACTCTAGGCAAATGCGAGTGTAAGCAGGTTGGGACCAGCCAAGTCTGAACAATGTGGGACGATCACACTGGGAAGGTTTGAAGGCGTGTTTCTTGCTCGGGCTAATATCGGGACAAGGACTTGGAAGAGGGTCCTTGGCCGCGTCCCCCCTCCACAGTTTGGCGAGCTTGGAGGGAGAGAAGGTTTGGAAATGTGGTTGAGGAAAAAGAGGGGCGCCATGTGCCGGATGGGTAGAGGTCCTACGGGGATAACAATATGATGCGATCAAGGAGATTTTCGTTTCTAAACTCTGGAGCTATCAAGTCCTGGCCGCGTGGTCTGTCAAGTCCGATTGTCAGGGCCTCCTGGCGGATTCAGGAGGGTTGACAGGGACGATCTCACCATCTAGAATCTCAGATCCGAGCTTGACGAACCGACTGTGGGAGCCCGCGATGGTCGGGCCAGTCAACATTTCACACGGCATGAGAAAGTCCCGGAGAAGATCCACTAGCCGAAGGCTTTCAGTGGAAAAGCGCTGTCAGCGTATTATTTACTCTTTCCAGAAAAGAGTATTCTTTGCATTGACAAGTCTCAAGTGCTACCTTGTCTCCTGCTCCTCGTATACGCTATGACTATACCTGACTCGGTTAAAACAGTATACCGCCCCCAAAAGCCACAGTAGTATTCATGATCGCAGACTAACGTAGACCCGAACACCCTGGAAAATCAGGCGTCCAAACTCAAAAAAACCCTAATACCCTGATGGACAGAGGCAAAATTAAACGACATTCCCTCGCCCTCAGAGAAAACGACGAAACCACCAACCCTCATTCACATTTATCCGGAAAATTTCCACAGGAACACTAAAAAGTAAAAGAATAAATAAATAGCCCCAAAAGTGTGGGAATAATTTCCAATATTTCCATAGTCCAAATTATCGCTCGTTCAAGCCACACCCATACATTCACACCTTCCAAGCATTCCATGTATCCCACGGCCCAAATTTTCCCAACTGTGGCTTCTCCACGCCAATAACCAACCAAACCCAACCTTTGTCTCTGTCTCGCCACATTCCGATCAATGGGCTCATTTTCGGTAACCAAACGCCCCCGCCTTTCTCCGAGTATGACAGGCCTAGCCGAGTACACATCGCCCATGCCGGTGAGAACTTCGCGTTAGCACCGAACCTTGATCCCGGACCCGGGGAAATCGGGGTCGGCCATTTTCCCTAGCCCTAGTGCCTAGAACTCTTGAAACCCGGCCGAAGCCCACGGAGTACCATCCTAAATTCTCTGGTTGGGCCGAGACCAGCGGGACCCCGGGGAGTAAAACTCTGCCGAGGGTTTTTCATCTATCCAGCCGAAACTAAAATTTCCTAGAGAATCTTGAACGCTTGACCGGGATCTCCGATTGCCCCCCCAGATATCACTCCGGTGAGCGTATACAGGCAATGTGGGTGGGAAATGCGGAGCATGGGGGAGGATTTGCCTTGCATCCCGCGAAAACGTGGTCTGGGGAATGCGGGAATGGGGAAATTGGGGTTTAGTCTGATTCGAGCCGTTGGGCACTTTACGAGGTAGCAAGGATAATAGGGTCTCGAGTTTGAGGGAGTCTTTTTGTTGAATACGGGTCCAGAAGGGAAGCAGAGAAAACCGACCTAGTCACACAACTGGTGGTTCGATACTGTAATCCGACGTGGCTGTGTCCGTGCTGGGTCGGTTCCATGCAAAAGCTTTGCCGGTAGTCATAAATATGGGGAAAAAGCAAAGGCGGAAAAATAAAGACAGGGATGGTCATAGCTTCCAAGACATTCTTGCTTGCGACGGGCCCAGTGCCCGACACGGATTATTTCGTAAGAACATGGGCCGTTGGACATTTTGCGTTGAAGCGCCAACATGTCGCCCGGGCGCTCATTCTCGTCGTGTTAGCTTGGCAAAGCCGCCAATTCCCCGTCGCCGGAGATACGTGAAGCTAGGTATTCATTTGGGACACTTGTAGGGAGAGCTAAGAGATGGTGACTTTCCATTATGCACATATAGATCTATTTTTTGTCGGCGCTGGTCGTGGACTACACATCAGATCTGGGAGACTTGTACGAAGTTGCAGTCTGCGAGCTGATTTCAGGCGTCGATTATGCCTTGACCGATGCAGGCTGATAATGATCAAGAACTAACTCTTTTAGACAATGATATTATTCCGGACCATGTCCAAAGACTTCTCGCGGTCGATACTAATGCTGATGTCAATGCCGACGCCCGGTCAGCCTCCAGTATACGAGACGATGGATTGTCAATGATGATACTGGCTCTGACCAGGTTGCCAATGCTAGGATGATTGGGCACAGTCCTGCAGGGAGATATCGTTAAGCCACATTGGCCGTCAAGGTCGGGGAGTCGTTGACCGATACGCTTCCAGATGGCCGATCAGAGAAATAAGTACATGCCTATTTACAAGGTTAGATTTCCGATTATGAGACCTGCTGATTGAGTTCATGTTCAGGCTTCTCTTGAGAAGGATCATATGGGGGAAGGTCGAGCGATTCTACATGGTACTAATCCTGGCGATACGATCCTATTTCCTGACGGTGAGCGGCCGATCGCTGAGGGATGGCCTTTTTGTAAGACAAGAACATATCGATATGCAAACCACACCTGTGATAAATGCACACAGGTTGGATTATATCTTCTCAAGATCTATATTTACAAACCTCAAATATTCACTGCCCGCTTTCTCCTGCCACAGCAGAATCAGTGCAGTCACCTAGACAGTAAATCGCAATAGCTTAGATCGATATCCCCTCCCAATGTCAGTTTCGACTACTATGATAAACTTTCTGTTGGTAATTCACCTTCAAGCCTAGCAATATCGGTGTTCCGGGGCTAAATGTGTACGATAGCCGCAAAACGAAAACCCAACGACCTTGACCCTCTCCAATTGACACACCCAAAGTTTTTTTCTGGCAGCTGGCCCAGAAATGTAGTTTCAGAAAAGGAGGCGATGTTCGCATAGCTATCGAACATGAAGAGCTAGAGCAGTACCACGATCTTTGCGTTGCACTGTGCCAGAGGTACGAATGCTCGCACGTGGATCTCCTTTCATATGTTCGATTATCAGTTGGGGTTTTAGTTTTAGTCACGGTCAAAGCATCTTGCAGTTGGTTTGAGCCCGTCTTCACTAGACTGCAAATGTCTACTGTGCGGTTACAATTTACATGCCATATTGTACTTTTGTGATGCTCCCGATTATAATTTGTTGCGGTCCAGCTAATCCGGGGTATGTATTACCCACTAATCGCGGCGCGGCATCTTATGAATGTTCTACTATTGGCATGCGTGTATATCTGAATTCATATAGACTAGAAAGAGCAGGCGATACTATAAGTGATGCTATTGATTTTGATTTCTTCCAGTCCTGCTCTTCTCTAGTATTGCTGAGTGATCCCAGCACAACCTCCTATATTCCTCATTTACACTCAATCCGATCGGGAGAAATTAAGTTAAGCCAAGTTATGTAACAAAGGTTAGCGTTAGGGTTTAGGCGCTGGTCCCCCTAAGCCTGACGGTGAGCGCTACTTTTATCGGTCCCGGGCATGCTATAACATAGCGCTCTAGCATAATGTTACGACACGTGCCCGGGTGCACTTGCTAAGCAGGCTAAAAAGACAAAATATGCTAGAACGCTATAATCTACCATGCCAGGAACCGATATAAGTAGCGCTCATCATTAGGCTTAGGGAGACTAGTGCCTAAGCTTTAAGAGCTTTACCGCTTTTATCTAGCGCGTGTTAATTAAGCAATTCTCATTAAAGGCGACCAAGGCGACCAAGGCACCAATTATTCGTTCATGTGCAATTCAAAAACTCACGTCAGCTTCGATGCATGCAATTTCCTACAAAGGAAATTGATTCATGCCTTCATGTTCAACTGGGAAACTCACGTCAGCTTTCGTCAATACAATTTCCTACAAGGGAAACTAAGGTCTATAGAAAACTACTGAGCCATGGTGCTGTTGGGATATATTCAGCTGACGGAGTTCCATTATTCCCGAGGAATCCTCTCCTCTAAAAATGATCATTAGCTCCAACACTGAGCCATTATAAATATCTTGCCCTGCTATGACCACCATGGAGATTTGACTATCAAAAGCACAATATTTCCTTATACTATATCAATCATGACTGAAGATCGCCGTAACGAAGAAACTATGCGATCCGTCCTCTTTGATGGTCACCCGTTTGAGGTGAATGTTCGCAGCATTCCAAAGGCAAAACTTGTCAAACAAACAGACGCTGTGGTACGTGTTACCACAGCAGCTATCTGTGGTTCCGATCTACACAATTACCATGGCGTTTTTGGAAGTAACGATGTGCCCTATGCCCTTGGACACGAGGCCATGGGAATTGTGGAAGAAGTCGGCACAGAGGTTAAAACAGTGAAAGTTGGTGACCGAGTCATTATCCCAGATCTTCCTGAGGATGATTCACTTCATGTGGAGCCAGAGATCACACCTGTGCTGGCGCTTTATGGCGAGGGTGCGCAATTTGGGAATCTAGGGGGCTGTCAAGGTATGTCCAACTATTTTTGACTCCATTCTAATTTTTTTTTCTTGGAAACAGCTTCTTCAGGCTGAAACGATGAGACATGTTGCTGATTGACCCACCACTATTAACAGCTGAATTTGTCCGTGTTCCAATTGCGGATAAATCATTGATCATCCTAGGCGAGGAGTTCGAACATATTGAAGATCGGGACTTGGTTGTTCTGACAGATATATTCCCAACGGCTTGGGTCGGTCTCACCTGGTCCGGCTTCCAAGCTGGAGATACGGTCGCTATTTTTGGAGCAGGCCCGGTCGGACTTCTCGCGGCATATTCTGCAATTATTCGTGGAGCTTCTCGTGTGTACTCCATTGACCATGTTGAAGAGCGCCTTGAAGCCGCAGCCTCTATTGGGGCGATTCCGATTAATTTCACGAAAGACGAACCCTCTGCACAGATTCTTGCCCGAGAGCCAAATGGCGTGCAGCGCGCAGTGGATTGCGTCGGAGAGGAATGTATCAACGGAAGACTGAAGCACGATCAGTCTTTTGTGATTACCCAGGCAGTAAAGTGCACCAGTGTAGGAGGTGGCATAGGGGTGATTGGTGTTCACTTCGCTCAGCCTACCTCTAAGGGCGTTGAGCGAGGTAACACCATTTCGCCCACTATGACTTTTCCCATGACGCTTTTCTGGGAGAAGAACTTAACAATGCGCGCTGGTACGGTAGACAGCAAAATGTTTGTTGAACCAATGTTGGAACTTTTAAAAAGCGGCAGGGCCAGGCCTGGTTTCGTTTTCTCCTCTACGATTGGGATTGAGGACGCACCAACGGCGTATCGACGATTTTCTGATAAATTGGAAACTAAGGTACTGATTAAGTTTCCATCGGGCGAAAAAGGAAATGGGAACGTCAGAGAGGAGGCTCGGAAGAACAGTGACAGCTTACTTGGGTAAGTTGCGACCGAATGTACGATATCCTCAGGGCTAACAAATCTCCACAGGGGCCAGCGGCCCAGGAAGGCTAAGCAACGCCAAAGTTTTTCCTATACATCTCCGAAACGAATTAAGCATTAGAATTAGGGGATTGCTAGAGCGACCCCCCCTTGTCCCCTGCCTGAAAATGTCTAAAATCTTAAGGCAACCAACCTTTTTTCTACCAAAGGTTCTGCCACCACTCTAACTAGATTCTACCACCCTTTCTGCCCATTCCCTACCATCATCCTGCCACTTTGGTCTTTATAGTCTACCTTTCCAGTTTACATACAGAAGTTATACCTTTTTAAAGACCTTTAACAGCACTCAATTCAACAGAATTCTATATCTCTTTTACTCTCCTGCCTCTCTTCCCTCTAATTAGCCAGAAGAAGAAATCTTGGTTGGTAGTATAAGAGGTATTAAAGAAGGAGAAATCTTAGTGAATCTTGTGAGTAGGCGGTGAGGGCGGTAAGGAATGTGGTGGAAAGCGGTAAGGGCGGTGAAGGAGGATGACCGGAAAATTGTGATTCCGCTATCATGTGATCTAGATGAGTTGCCTTGATGCCTGAAACCAGAGAATTCAGGCATTTCAGGCAGGGGGGGTGTGTCAAAATAGGACAAGGGGGGGTCGCGCTAGTAATCCCCTAGAATTAATCCTGACCAAGTTTTGCCCACATAATTGTCTCTGAGGGTTCGATGGTCTGGTACTTCAACAGAACTTGTAAATAGGACCAGATAGAGGCCCGGCTTTCATATTTGAGCACGCAATTCATGATCCTCCAAATATTATTATAGATACCGAAAACTATGGTTTCCCCCCTTGGAGTGCTCCACTGGCTAGTGCTTTATAGAGTGATAGGGCAATCAGCCTCCACTTTTCTGAATGGGGGTTTCTGTAACTTCGCAGCACCCAAGATCGCACGGGTCGTCCCAGGCCAATGTTTCCTCTTGGGTTTGTGGGTGCTAGAAGACTATTACTTTTAGGCAGGATTTGATTTTGTCGAAACGGCCTCGCATCTGAATGAGATCAGGGGATTAATACACAGACCCCCCCTCCCATCACACGACCCCCCCCTGCCTGAAAATGCCTTAAATACCTGAATCCTCAGGCACCTAGGCGTCAAGGCTACCAACTTTTTTTCTGCCAAATTTTCTGCCACTTTTCTGCCACCCTTACACCCTTACCAACCATCACCCTGCCACTTTGGTCTCTACAGTCTACCTTTCCGATTTACACACAAAAGTTACACCTTATTAAAGACCCTTCACAGTACTTAATTCAATAGATTTCTATGTCTCTTCTATTATCCTACCTCTCTGCCATCTAATCAGCTAGAAGAGGAATATATGCCCTAGTTATGTGAAAGGTGTTGATGAAGGAGAAATCTTGGTAGATCATATGCATAGCGGTAAGGGTGGTGAGGGCGGTGGTAGAAAGCGGTAAGAGCGGTGAGAGAGAGATTAGGGGAAATTCATTGTTCCGGTATCATGTGATCAAAAACATTTGCTTTAGTGCCTAAAACCCCGAGAATTCAGGCATTTTTCAGGCCAGGGGGGGGTCGTGTGATGGGAGGGGGGGGGGTCTGTGTATTAATCCCCTAAGATTATCTCGTATTAAAACAATTGAAAGCAGTCCGGCCATATACAGCATAGATCGAAATCAGATTCACCAGCTACACACAGAGATCCTTTCTCTAGTCCTCTTTTGAAACGTCTTTATACCTATTACGGTTAATCTACCCCCGAACTCCTCTATTAGCATTATTCCAGTACGTGTGTAAATGACAGCGTACAATAGCATCCGTAATGAGCCTGTATGGTCCCATTGGCCTCTAGAAAGTTGAGGGTATACAAGCCACTGGGTCACCGGGTGAGAACCCCACCCGGTGACCCGATATACGAAAAACCCGAAAGTTGATACTGCAACCAAAGCAAACAAGAGGGAAATCCGCTTTGTTCAGTGGTCATTTGGCCAGCATTCGAGTTCGCTTCCTCACCCAACATCTCATCCTCCACAGCTTCACGGTAGTCTTCTATTTGCAAAACCAGGGATGTTGAAGAAGTTTTGAAATGTGGATTCTGATCAAGAACCTCTTCATTGAAAGCCCTACGCAAGCTAAATTTCCTGCAGCCCCGGGGTGGATCCAGTCCAAGTCATGAATTGCCCATTGTGAACTGAACCTTACAATATCTGGATCAATCAATCATGGTGTTAGAGGATAACCACGTGGTCTACGTCTAGTCCTTGGTATCGATTTCACCAGCATTCGAAGGATGAAGGATACTGTGAAGATGGCCCCGGAAATTTATATTCCTGTTTTCTCATATGTAACATCATATTAAATGTTAAGCAATCACTAATCAAATGCCAATAACCCCCAGCCCCGTCTTAGAAACCGTCCGCATAATTTCCAACCTTATAAGCCCTGCCTAGGAGGAGGCTCTTTGACCCAAGTGAGTGCAATCCATGGATACTGTATCACTCTGCGGTTCCGTACCTATCTCCTCTGAACCAAATCCACTATACGATTACCAAAGCGTGTATCCGAATAACTTTCCTGGACCGATTGTCCAAGCTTTGCCAATAGTTTCCGTAGTGCCGCGCGATCCTCATCGTCACATTCTGGAGACGGTCTCCATTCATTCTCAAGAGTTGTGCGTTTTTTGGGATTCTCACCTTCCATATAAGGCGTAGGGCCATATCCATCATAGCAGCACATGTACCGATTGAAATACAGTCCGACTCTAATATCCATCTCCTGCTCAAATGGAATATCCGGGTACCAAGTACTATGGCCGATTCGAAAGTGTCGCAGTTTTGGCAGTTTCTCTGCAAATAGATCGAAAATATGGTGCCATCGCTTCTCGAACGAACCATACAAAGATACATTATCGCCATCGCGGCGCACCAAGGTGTCCCTAGGCAGAGCACAAGCGTCCACATTCTCTTCCATCATACCAAAGTCGTAGAGGACGGCGCAGTCATCGAAGTAGATTTCCTCGAGAGTGTCGCCATGCTTCAGAATCCAGTCGATTTGGGTATCATGGAAGAAACAGAAGTTTCCTAGTGATAGCGTCTTTAGGCGTGGAAAGAACAGATTTGAGAGATCCAGGTGAGGGTAAAAGCCCGAGTATTCACGCGAGCAGAGCGAGAGATGTTGGAGAGAAGGTGCAGCGGAACTCAGCCATGTGCTGGGTAACTCCTTGAAAAACTTGCGGATTTCCGCATACTGATAGATTTAGACAAAGCATGTCGATGGAGGATGGGGTGGGTTGTACCTCGAGATCATGCTCAGGGGCGGCGTCATTTGTCTCACTAGTAATGCTTAGGTGAAGGGACAGTAGGCCCGACAGGACCTTTGACATTTTGGCAAGTGTTTCCGGATCTTTGGGGTTATCCGCTTGCAGGTTGCGAATACCAAGATCTTGAATTGGCTGCCGTAAGGATTCGAGAAGAGAGAAGAGCTTATGCATTGCGTGGAAGCGAAATCGAGGCGTCTGGGGGAAGTCCCAATAATGGAGCCAATCATGATCCCCGCTGTCTGAAGTAAACCCCTTATCGAAGCACAGAACGGCGGCATTCAGCCGAGGCAATTCTTTCACTTGTGGAACAAGATTGTCCCAGCCTTGGGGCCATTCTTGCTCTTCTTCATCATCGTAATTCTGTGCGCATTAGTTATTGCTTGCAGGTGGTTCAAGATAATCGTACAAGACTTTCGTCTACGGTGTCTATGTAGATCTTTCGCGGAATCCGACGTAGACTGGGATTGTTCAAAATCTCTTGTAAGAGGCGTTGACTTGTCTTGCCGGGCTGCAGGTGCACTGTCCTGAAGAGCTGATCGGTGGCCAGCTGTGATATGAAACGGCAGGATTGGCGCAGCGACTTTAATGATGGACGATCCACATAAGAAAATGTGCGAGCGAGCAGTTCGCTGGGCAGATTGAGAAGGCGTGACATCTAGGCGTAGTCACAAGTAGATTTCGCAAATCGATGAGTCGAAAGGGGTCATGTTTCGCTTCGCCCCAGGCTCCCATCGTGGGGTCCAAACATCCCAATTCGGTAAAGCCTCAACAAGTCACATGACTGAGTAGTAGACTGCGGTAGGTGATCTGATTAGAGATAGAAGAAATTACCTGGCATATCCAGATCACGAAACAGCACAATGAAATCACGAAAACAGCTTACGAGGCGAGCTGTACTGACCTGGTCGATGACAGGGTCTGCGCCTGAACAGAGCACGACGACGGTAGTCAACATTAATACGAGTGGAGACATCATAGCTCCGAAATGAGTAAAATCAAATGAGTACAATCATGAAAATTGAATGAATCAAAATATGTTGAATCTTCTTTCGCCTCCCGATGAAGTGTGGAAGGAAAGCTGTGCTGAGAACGCGATCGGTGGAGGCGGAACGCGCCATGTGCACGTGTCTAAGGGTGCCCATTCCAAGTCGTCAGCCAATCAGCTAACTGACGGACAACGGAGGTTTTGATATTAACGGGCCCTCGAGAGCGGTTAATCAATAACGCCTCAAAAACACATCCAAGGTATCAACACAACGAAACAGGCAAAATGGAAGAAGATGTAATGTCGTTACGGTCATGAGGTCAGCGGGCCCGGAATAGAATAGCACTCGGCTAATAAGGAGGCTGTAGGTGGTAATTGTGAGAGCTAGAATCGTACCAAAAAACCGAGTCAGACATTGTATACCTCTCTTCGAGTACATCAATTAGCTAACAGTCGGCTTCGCTGAACCTGTTCGGTAAAAATCTTTTCCAAAACGAACCATGATTGGTAGAGCCCTACGCTCTTCTGTCTATTTTTTGACGCGTTATGGAGCACATAACATCATATATGATGTACATAGGCCCACTGAAACAATAATCCATCTTTCATGAAGGGTCATCACTGCCTATAAAAAGTAGGAAGAGAAACCATTGCGAACAATTGGACCATGGAGCGAAAATTCGAGAGAACTAGGAGTTTCTGACGTGAGCACTAATACTAACTAATTAAAAACGAACTAACTCATTTACTTAGTTGACTTATTCAGCATATTTTCATGAAGGCAATTGCCTAATATGGTATGTGTACCGCATTTGCACGATCAGCCTGTCTATCAACCACCGATGCTGATCCTTGCCGATTGCATTGAAAATCGCGTTCGGATTAATTAGTCGAGAGAACTCTAACACTTCTCCTTAGTTTTCAGGCTGGCTTATTGAATTTGCATATCATGTTATACACTCTCTGGCCAAACATCAATAGATAGCTCTACAGTGAATAAGCGGTCATTGAAATTCTTAAAATTTTACGGCACTGAAAAGGATTTTTATTGTGCGTCATAGAGAAGGTAAGATTGGTTTGGTAACAGAGAAACATGTGGCACTATTGGGCGCTATGGTGGAGATGTCCCGCCACTCGGCCAGAAAGTGTAAAATAGCCTGGCTAGATTTAGGGCCAGGGTAAAAGATTCACCTGCACACACATAGAAGCAGCCCTACGTAATTTCCACCCAGCAGGTGCTAGAGCATTACGCCGACAGATTTGTCTCACAGAATAGATACTAGCCAAGGAAGAATGCTCTCGAATGCTTTTAAGCTTGAAAGCTATAATCAAAAGATATAACGGTGATCATATCGAATGCAACAATAAATCTACAATACTTTCTCGAATCACAGGGATTGTACAGCTCTGTGAAAAGGACAACTTGTATCAACTTTGACTAGCCCATTGCTTAGCCTTCTCATAATCGCCAGCAACTTCTGAATCAATTGTTACTCGTAGTGTTGTAGAAAGCCGAGCCCACATATAATAGAACCCCTGTTATGATGACACACACTTAGTGATACAGAAAAAAGAGCAACAATTGAGTCTTCATTACCTGGGCCGTGATTATCTCTACTAACTGCCTCTCATCAAACCATTTTCTTGCTTCATCGAAGCTTTCATCCCCCGCCACTGGAGAATCAATGACTTCATCAAGGAAGATAAGGAAAGCAATCTGTCTCTCATCCCATGCTTCTGAATTCCGGAAATCACCGTTCTGGAGGGCGCTCATTTGGCTTTCTGTAACACCCGCCTTTTTGGCGTCATTCATGTGTCGTTCCCAGATATACTGAGATTGGAATTTAACACCACAAAAGAGTGCGAGAATCTCTCGTAGGTCCACAGAGATAGACAATGAACTAATACATGCAGTTCCAAGGGCCATCACAGGACGAAGGGTAGTAGGAGAGTGCGCCCACATTCGCAGCATGTTCGCGGATGGCAGCTCCGGTGGATAATTTTCAGGTAGAGGATAAGGCAGGCGTTCCATATTGAATCTTTCCTAATCAATCAAAGGATAAAAATATTTGTGGCGATCAAAGGATCGTAGGCAATGGCTATATATAGACAGAAAGCTCAAGGAGAGAAAAATGTCCTTGAACGCCGATTGCAACAGTCTACCGGAGTTTAGGGAATGCTCACGGAAAGCCGGCCGCGAGGTTAGCAGAATAAACCCAGCAAATTCTCTACATTTATGTTGTGGAATTCAGTTCTCCCCCTCCTAGTTCAGCCGTGCTAAGAGAGTCCAAATGCTAGATTGAGAATAGTATAGTTTGATGATTACCCGTTGATATACTACGCTAGTTTTACTGACTTAGAAGAAAACATAATTACACTAAGCAATTTGATCGGCGCCGAATCCGGCATATGTAGTGGGGGTTAGTGATTACCCATTAGTGAGTTGCGTAGCCTATCATAACATTATCAATTCGATTTAGCCGCAGTAGACCGTTAATATCGAAGCTGAGGCGAGGAAGAGAAGCTAGTAAGTAATGTATAATACACAATTAATCGCGAAGAACTGGGTACATATTACAAAATAAGTGCCCGTCCTTAAACATCAAGTCCTTCTTGTCGACTCTGTGATCAACCCCGAGGGTATTGAGGGTATGGTGTAGTCGCTGTATAAGTGATTACACCCCGGGTATGTTTCCACCCGGTCTAAACTATGTCAGGATTGGTTCCTCAGACTAAGGCCTTGCTTTTTATGTGTGGGAATGACGGTACAAAGTTACTGGGCTCCAGTGAGTATTCTAGCCCTCAGTAGGGTACACAACTATCCGATCCAAATCCGCGCCCTTATAATCAAACCCATTATAGAGGCCCCCGACAGTGATGGTGTTGTATCCTTTCTTCAGCTTTAGCTGCAGAGGCGTGGAGAGAATGATTCCCTTATGTGTATCCCTTTGGTACAAGGTTTGTATGCTTGACGAATCTCCGTTGACCATGACGCTGCCAATCCGACGCAGCTGCCATGAGCCACCGATTCTGTCTGGGGTACCTCCAGCTGTCAAGCATCAGTACCGCGACTTGAAACTAAACATTCAGTGGACTTACGTTGGTCGCCGAATCCCATATCATCAATATCTATTCATGGTGTGAGAACTCGATTGATATAATATGGAGGTCATGGCCTTACTTTGATAGTAAAATGACACCCATTGTGTACCTCCTGATCCCTCGACATTCTCAAACGTAACAGTACTGTCATTTCCATATATTCCTGTGATGATGATGCCGTCGGTAGCGAAGTTCTTTGGGAGATATCAGCAACAGTGATTCTGCAGCATGCAGCTATACTCACGGCTTCCTGCTTGTATGCTTCCCCACGCGTCCTCGCAACTTTTGCTGTGTACGTTGTTCCCTTGATAGGTTTCCATTCCCCGGTTTTTCTAGCCTCCAGTTAGTATTCTTTCCTTAATAGGTGTACGAGTTCGCATTCATACACGTCAAGATCGTAAATATCATGCCAGTTCAACACTAGTGTCTTCTTGTCTTCATCAGTCTGAATTGGCAGCCAGACATAACGACTGTCCCAGACAGAATTTGAGTCCCATTGGTCTCCGATGTATAAGTGCGTTGTCTTCTTTGTCCCTTCAATTTTGAGTACCGAGCTAGACTGTGAGTTAAAGGTTCTCGTGTTTAGAGGAGCAACAATAAATGGCTGGGACCAAGGTCCGTTCAGTGAGTCGGCACGAAATGCGACGACGTCTGAATCATTAGCAAATCAATTACACAAAACTGTCATGGACGCTGTTTACTTACTATTTGGCCTGTATCCCGTCTTGTGGCTCATCAATGCCCAATAGCTCTTGTCTGTCTTCATGATCGCGGGTGCCTCAAGGTCGAATTTCGGGAATCGATAGACGGCTTGTTCGATTGCGGTGAGATTTTTGTTCATTCTTGAGATGTATACATCTCGCCCAAATTGGCTATCGCCATTTGAATAGAGGGCGTATGACCGGCCGTCCTTGTCATCAGTAAACATGCCAAAATCCTGTGACCAGTTCCCGAGAGGCGCGGTTGCGTCAACAAAAGTGTACGGACCGCCGATTTTGGAGGATATCGCGTGCCCTTGAAGAAGGAGCCCATAGGTGGAGTTGTCGGCATGCCACCACATCTATTGAGTTACCTTAGCATCATCCGCATAAGGTTAAGCCGAGAGAATAAAATTGCATACATACATGATAATCATTAGTTTCCGAGCTGTAGGCCACTTTAGGTCTCTGGATTACGTTATCAGGCGAGATATAGGGATGTCCCTCGATTGGAGCTGTAAATTTTAGACTGTCAATATATATCTAGCCCCTCTAAGAACAAGTTAGATTAAAAAGAGTAAATTACCTAGGGCCAGTCCCCCTGATGTCCAGGTCCTTAAATCCTTAGAACTATAAACAGATACGCCTCCGCCTTCCGGCCGTGCTTCTGTTTTATACTCGCCGAACCACCAGAAGAGGCTGGATTTCTGGTCAAAGGTAATCCCGCCTCCGTGCGCACTAATTAAGGTCCCATCAGTGTCGTACCATCTACCCCCGGGGACAATGTATTTGCTTTCAGCTGCAATGGCTAGAAGGGTGGGCAGGATACCGGACAGTATGCGCATTTTGATCGTGATTTTCTCTCTCGATTGGGTTCTTAGAATAATTTGCAGAAATATGTGCGATCGCCGCTGACGGATTTATAGAGCTCGTCACGGTGTCGGCACAACAATTGCCGACACAGCGGGGTAAAAAGAAAACAATTTACCTCAACCTTGGCACTATGCTAGTACCTATCAAGCTGCTTGGCGAGATGGGTGGGTTTTTTGTTTTTGGTACAACGACGAAATTTTAATACAATCCGTAGCACCAGAAAACATGAACAGAGCTTGAGTAGCGGGTGCAACTTTGCAATTTCATCTCACTATGAGTATGGGTGAAAGTTTCCTAAGCCAGTCACTATTGATACACTACCGATATGGATCACTTCATGCGAGTGCGGCAGACTGAAGAGTGAAGAGAAATTTACGCCCCCACGTGGAGAAGTGCCCCTTAACGCCACTTCCCCGCAAATTCATCCCGCTCCAATATGTAAATTCGGTTCAATTAATGCCGACAGAATGGGCAATCTTATGGGGCGGCATTCTTCTTTTTTTTTTTTTTTTTTTTTTCGCTTAAGAGGTTTTATTCGTGCAAAAATAGCTCTGTTGATGACGATCATATCCGTGCTAAACCTGATGATAGGCAATATGTCGTAATTTTGCTTCTCCTCGGGCAATAATAGACCGAGCAAATCATCGGACAGTAATAAATCGAGTAACGGAAGAAAAGAAAGGGATAGCCGACCTGCAGGCAATAGGTTTCTTATAAGCATAGATAAGACTAACCGCTGGAGTCATTGTCTCTTGTCCGGATCTGCCTTCGCCATGTGGTCTTCAATCCCAATTTGCCTAGCCCTATTGGGCACTTTATTCAGTCCCGCGACTGCTAAAGGCCATCGAAAGAGCTGCATAATCAAAAGTGGCGGAAGCAATGTGACTGATGATGCTCCAGCAATCTTGGAGGCATTCACAAAGTGCGGCCGAAATGGAAAGGTCATCTTCGCACCTACTACGTACTATATCAACTCGGTTATGAACATCTCCTGGCTGGAGGATGTTGAGATCGATATTTACGGGAAGCTTCTGGTAAACTTGCCCACTATTCACCCGCATCGAATTTGAAGGTATTCTCTATTGACATGGTAGCTGATGATCTTTCTCCCTCTCATCAGTGGAGCACTGATATCTCTTACTGGCTCAACAATTCGATGGATGTTGGATACCAGAATCAGTCAACAGCTTTGATATTTGGTGGTGACAATGTCAGCATCAACGGCCACGGAAGCGGCATTTTTGATGGTAATGGTGACTACTGGTATCAATGGATTAGAGAGCAACCGAACACCTCCAACTACCCGGGCCGGCCGCACGCTGTAACTTTCAGTAACCTCACAAATTCTGTCATTCGGAGCCTCACCTTCCTGAGGAGTCAAATGTGGTAAGACCATTGACAGCTCTTGACAAGCGGTCTGACTTTTTCTTGCTTACCGTGATCATTCAGGACGATGTCAATAATCAACTGTCACAATGTGTTGCTCGACAGCGTTCTGGTTAATAACACTGGAAACTGGGCACAAAGTTGTTGGTGTTCCTAAAAAAGGCACATCCATAAAGAAATAGTTACTGACTAGCACAGCCAATACTGACGGAGCTGATACCATTCGATCATCTCATATAACTTTCAACAATTGGACCGTCTACAATACCGACGACAGTCTCTCTATGAAGGCCAACAGCACTGATATAATCATCACAAACAGCAGATTCTACAATGGCCTAGGTATTGCGATGGGGAGTATCGGGCAGTACAAAGACCAGTTCGAGACAATCGAGAGAATTACTGTCAACAATGTGGAGTACGACAACACATTACATGCTGTGAGAAGGCTCAAATCTAAGTATAAAATACAGTAGCCTGGACAGCAATTCTAACTTGGATATGTTTAGTTCTATATCAAAACATGGACAGCCGATCAAAATGGCTACCCACCGAATGGAGGAGGTGGCGGACTCGGTTGTAAGCCCTGTGTCTATCAGAATGAGCCACTCTGATGCCGCTGACATATGCATTTAGTTGCCTCGGGAATGAAAATCTCGAATTTGACCACGACAGGACTTCGTGGGGCCGCATTCGCGATATCGCAGTGCACGCGGTTCTCGGGTGCACCGGGCGAGGGAAACTGCACGAACTCGGAATTCCAGATTAAAAACGTGCTTATTGACGGGCTGAGGGGCACCAGCGAGTCGACACGATTGGCGAGCATGCAGTGCAGTGCAGTTGCACCATGTACCAACATTACTATTGTTGACAGCGCCCTGCACCTCAATAATGGCACCGTCGCAAAAGAGTATCTGTGTGGGAACGTCCGTAACCCAGAGGGTTTCAGCTGCACCGGGTCACCGTGTGTGGGTGGAAGCGCCACTGGAGAGTGCTAGAGGGGTTTTGGAGGCTCACGTACAGTAGTTGGTTGGTTGGTTGATGTCATTTGCCCTGAATTGAACGAAGTGAGAGGAAGGGAAACTGATACACGTGGCTTTTCGCTGTGTATTGCGCTACGACCTCCAGACGAATGTCTATGACCTTAAGATAAACTACCGTTTTTGCACGGTCTAGGTTGGACTTTGGGCAAATGAATTAAATAATTAGATCCTAACTCTATAAGCGGCTGGACTTGATAAGTGTGGGCCTAGAATCTCAGCAGCGATGATACCCAGTGGCCAACGCTGCTGGACATTCAGGTTCGTTCAAATTTTATTATCGAAGAACCGATGAAACGTAGAGATGACACTGGGGATGAGCTTCAATGATCATTTATATTCATTTAGATATTATATATGATCTTTGCACCACCAAAAGAGATGGCCATTACCTCTATAGTCTTACCTTAATGACGGTCATACTTCCCCTCGCATCTTTTAGATGACGCTTACTGATACTACCCAAACCAGAGTCTTAGACCGTCACCCAACATTAAAAACTACAGAATTGAATTCACCAGAGTCCATGTTCATTTATTGACTAGCTCTGGTTCCGTTCGGAAAGAACCATCTGAAACAATCATGCTCAATCTTCGGCTAAAATTATACGACTTCCCTCCGTGACTTCGCATCTAAGATTGGTGTTTCTCTCGCCTAGGATGTTGCCTGACCCTTTAGTTGAATTGTGAAATGAATTTCCACAACTCTCCAGGAGTCCATGATGAGCTGGAGCTGCCATCGTCGGGCAGGGGCACATGATCACCGTCAAATGGAATCCACCAGACAGGATGCCCTGATGAGCAGCCTGAATACACGGTTTTGATGTGTGTCCCACTACCAGTAGCGGGCTCTGGAGGGCTTTGTGTGGTGCATTTATTATTCTGCACAAATGTATCTCGAATGCCACGACCGAGGCCAATGTTGAGCACCGAATCGTGGACCCCATGCTGGGCATAGTAAGCTACTGGCTGAGTTCCTGGACTGCATCCGCTGAGATTAGCCCCAGACATCACAGCAACTCCGCGGAAAACATTTGGTCGGGCACACGCAAGTGCATATGACATGGATCCGCCATAACTCCATCCCATGGAGTAGACTTGGTTCTTATCAACGCAGAGATTATTTTCAATGTTTGCAACCATTTGATCATTGAATGTGATATCTTGACCGCCTGTGTTCGCCCAACCGTTGTCAATTCCTTGTGGGGCGACGAAAATGGCAGAGTTACTAGCGAGAGCCTGTACTCCGTAATAGGATCCCCCTGAAACGGCTTGCATGTCGCCTCCAAGCCAGTGGTAGCCGAAGATGAGCCTATAGGGCTTGCTCGGGTCATAGCCCGAGGGAAGAGTGAGGATGTACTGTCGCTGTTGGCCATTCACAGTGGTGGTATACGTGCCGCTGCTGAGCATTGGTTCCTTGCCGCATCCTGCGGACAGATTGGTTGGGAGACTCGTCGTGGTAGCAGTCTTTGTTGTCGTTTCCGAAGATCTGGTAACAGTGGTCGTCAAGGTGGTACTTGGCGTGCAATTTCCAGGCAGACACTGGGAATACCATGCATTTTGAGAGCTGCAGCACGCCCCTGCGACGCATTGGGTTGCCCCAGTCCAGCCAGTGCCACCACCTATAGATGTAGATATAAGGGGTTATGCTCAAGTAGTTAGTTAGAACTGAGATCACTCACATTGGCCATAAAGGGTTTGTTGAGCCAGCACGGGGCTGGCCATGAAAAGGATCACCCAATTGTTTCCCGTGAGCTTCATCGTACTATCATAGAATAGTCTGACTTCCTCTTCTGTAAATGGCAATAAGTGATAATTGGAAGGTATGAAGCGTCATGAGTTATATGAGTTTCCATCAGATCTTATGACGATTCTTTTATAATTCAATTTCTCTGAACTCCTCAGGCCAAGCAATCAGAATGACGGCTAAATGGACTTTCTGGAGATGCTTCTGGCTCCTCCATCTGCGGAATTCACAGTAGTTTACAGGGTCTATTCTCTATCGGCTGAATACGTGTTCCTGTCCGGAAGATACTACCCGGAATTCCGGCGGGGGATACAATCGGACTAGGGACCACCCCACTCAATTCACTTCGTGGAAGTTGTTTGAAAACTTAGAACATGGATCGGCGCCTCCTCTTCTTGTTCGGCAATATATACGTTGACCGAACTGCCGCGTCAAATCTTTCTGCAGCTGTGGTCAGTCAGCTAGCCCAATCCGCAACACGGGCCAGACGCCACAGGGTAAAGTGGGGTTTTAAGTCAGTGCAAGGTGACGAAGACCAGCTCCAACAAGGGCGAAAATCATGATTGGCTAGCCACCGCCGGGGTTTTACTTCGTCACACCAAGTAAATCCTCGGTCTGATGTGCCAAATTCCCGTGTTGACAAAGACATGAATTTACTCAATATAGACAAAGGCATCAGCTCTGAAAGAAGTGAACGTCAGATGGACTTGTAATTAAAAGCGAGTTGGCAATGATATTGTTATCGATAGCGTGACATCCGAGTTAGTGGCTGCTCCGAACCAAACGGTTCATCCTTAGCACTGTCCTTTTGTATCGGTATATTGAAGTTTGATAAGTAGATATACTTAAGCCATATTTATAAGCCAGAGTCCAGATAACGTTTGACTTAGGGTAGAGAATTTAGCGTACCGGTTTTAGAAGCCATTTCGTCTTGACTCGCATATCCGATTTCAGACCAATCTGGAAGGGAGTCGAAGTTCCTCGAGCCGTAGATTCCAATTTTGTCGGCGGTTGATGGAATGGAAGATGTGTCTATCGTTGTAGACTCTACTGTATAACTATTGACCGCCGTCTCTTTGGACTAGGGGGTTGCTTAGCCACTAGTTGGCCCTTAAATTAAGTCAAAGAACCGCGCAATCGAAAACGAAACTGCCATTGATGCGAACGAAGATTGGAGTGATACCAGGCTAGATCTAGCTTTTTTTAGCCGCATTTCTGTTGAACTTCCTGCCAGTCATAGTTTCGAATGACTGAGAAACTCAAGTTAGACGTTAATTCAACTGGATGGGAGCCGCCCCTGTTCATCAAAGTATGTCTCAAAAAAGGAACTTGTTTAGAAATGAGTTTAGCCATGCTTTGATATGTTTTTCGGCAGACTAAATTCTTCATGGCCTTTTTACCTTTCATCCAGAAGGAATTGATGCTCATTATGGTTCTCAGTTGACTTCTTCTTGAGGCGTAATTCGGCAGGAAACTAACCTATATTGGCCGGAAGAGAATCATCCACCGGAATATTACCTACGTGAAAGGGTTATTGACATGATGTCCATATAAATTTCACCAAGTTACCAATATCTAGACTGTAAAATCTTGTTATATCCGGAGTTGTGGAGCTAAATCTTAAGTTCAGGCCTTGGGTCACGCACGGGATGTCCGCACGGGCTAGTATTGAATGAATCAATGAGCATGATATTCATGATATTTAAAAACCTACCCGGGAGATTGACTTTGCGAGCGTCTCTGCTTTAGCGAACGCTGTGCGGAGAACCCTGAATGCCAAGAACGCAGAATGCAACGGTCATCGTTTTGCGCTCTTCGCCAAACTTGTCAGCTGCACCCACGAGTTAGGGGTCTTGGGGGCCGAGCATTTTACCTGCTCTTCATAATTTATTACTGAATGATTTGGCTAAATGAATACGTGAGAGAGCGCTGAGGGTACATGTCATGTGGTATTCTATAAAATGGCGCGGTCGGGTCTCTTCCCATTGTGAATAGATGGTCAAAATCGATCTCTTACCCATAGCCTGAATTCTTAGCCTAATAACAGTAATTAGAGACTGTAGAGTCTAAATATGGCATTCGACCGGACAGAAGTATTGGATGTGAGGTTCTATTCCCACTTGGAATGCTTAAACTGGGCGGAAAGTATTTGGTATCAACTTTCCCGGCCATTCCACACTCATCTTGCTGGATACACCACCACACAAGCTCAACGAGAAAAGAAACTCTATTCCAATGAATAGAGTACCAAGTTCATATGCTAGATCCTCAACTCGCACTGCAATTGGCCCCACATAGCAGCTGGTGGACATAGATGTGACGATGCCGCCAACTAACGACAGCCAACAAGTGGCAGTGCCTGGCCGCCGTATGTACACCGCCCCCCAATACCGTAATACCATGTAATGACCATCATTTACCATATAGTTGTACAGAACGCCATTTATTACCCGCTGTATAATACATTCATACAATCCTTACGTAACTGCTGGGTCGTAACATCCCAAATTAGAATAGTAGTATACTTATCACCAATCTCAACTGTCAAATCGAGATTCATCGCCATTGTCCTCATAAGCTTCAGCACTTGTCAGCGCTTATCAATCTACGAACCATTTTGCATAATGTCGCAAATTCCAGAGGTCCCTCGCCGCGTTTACGCCCGCATGCCCCAGAAATGGCAAGACGCAATTGATGAAAAACGGGCCGAGTCCAGGAGAGTGAGCTCGAGCATTGCAACAAATTCAAAAGTGCGATCAGTCTCGGATTTCTTGGAGGAAAAAGTCCGTGCCCACCAATGCGAGCTCGCTTTCTTTCAAAGTGTCCATGAAGGAATCCACCGGGCCTACGATTCTCACTTACTCTCGCCAGAGGAGTTCCGGGACGCGGTAAGCCCATTCTTGTCGAGCGCCAAACAAGTCTCCGCGGAGCTTGGAACAATTTCCAGACAGAGAAAGATCTTGGAAGAGGACTTAGAGGAATCTGTCAATGTGAAGCGCCGACGACATGGAGAACCAAGTCGCGAGATGCTAGAAAGGGCATATACCTCTAGCATTCTTGAACGAGTCATGGCAGCCCGAGCTAAGCACCAAAAGGACAAGAGTTTCAACCCGCGAAAGTTCAAAAAAGCTGTGAATGACTATTACGGCATTCATCCCGACAATGGGATTGACCCTGGGGCTGGCTTTTGCCATATACTAGGGGTCTTCAATGCCGAGGATATCAAAGCCGCCCACATCGTGCCAAAAAGCCTAAATGGAGATGAGATGGCGCATCTATTCGGGGTGGAAGAGCTTGTTGCTGAAGACCCTCGGAACGGTAAGATAAATGCTCCTTTCTCCCTTACTTGATGGTAGCTAATGATGTTCTAGCTGTGAGCCTACATAGGGCACTTGAGCAAGGTCTAGATAGCGGAAAGATTGTGATCTTACCGATATTCGAAGATAACGCCGAGCACTTACCTTCGAGGTGGAAGTGTATGCTGACGGATGTTAACTGTGGGAAGGAAACCCTACTTCGATATGGAGGCCAAGAAACAAAGTGGCAGGTTAGTTACCCACGATTTAACTTTACTAAGTGCGGACGGGCTTCTAATATCTCCTATAGGATATTGACGGCAAGGAGCTTAGATTCCTAAACGATAACCGCCCTGCCAGACGATACTTATACTTTCACTTTATCATGACCTACATTTTCCGGAAAAAAGAAAACACCTCAGGAAGCATCATGTTTACCGAGAAAGTAGAGCAAGAAAACCCTTTTTGGCCAAGCCCGGGTGCCTACTTGAGAAAGTCGACCCTAATGACATTAGCAAGAAACATTTCAGGCTTCGAGCCCCCCCCCTCCCTTATTCAAGATACAACTTTCGACAATCGGGAGGAATCTTCCGGGGTCTTCGAGTGCAATCCTGTAATACTGACTGCGCAGGAGATCATTGATGCAATGTCAACTAGCATAAAGGCGGCTCGAATCGAAGAGAATGAGGGGGATGAAGGGGATGAAGGGGATGATGCTGGCAATAGCGACGAAAGTTATGACCAACTTGTGTACGAAAGCTGCTCTGAGTATTTATAAGAAACAAGAGAAGATTGAAGTTTAGTTATCGCAAGCGTTCCGTGCCGTTTTTCAGGCCTCAACTTGCTTCCTACAATAGATCATCATGAGATCGGCTCCGTTAGTGGTGATATTCACGAGCTAATTATATTAAGTTCTGTGTGCTATCGACATCATTATTTATATAAAGATATCTTACGGGTGACAGGATGAAAAGGAAGGACCTTGGATCGCGGCGACTTTCTTTAAAGCAAACTAGAGCGAGAGAACGGATTTCTTTCTCAGCATTTCCCCGGGTGCTCATAGTCCGAGTGCCTCGCGTCTGCTCTTGCTTGTGAGATCCAAGAACGGTGCCTCGCCTAGCGAGGCGACTCGGTCCCCTGCTCGAGCATCGGCGTAGTCGTAGGTGGCGCAATGCCACATGCTACGGTTATCCCAGATGGCCATGTCGTTCTTGCGCCACTTGAATCGCACCTGGGCGTCGTGATTCTGGGTCACAAGGTTGAAAAGGTAGCTAAGAAGCATATCGGACTCGTCCTTGGTCACGCCGTTGATACGCTTGGTGAAGCCCTTGTTGACGTAGACAGACTTCCAACCCGTTACAGCTGTAAAGTGTCAGTCGATTGAAACTATGTAGGGCAGCCCGAGGAGGAGACGACTACTAACGATTTGTCCGGATCACGGGGTGAATGGCTTGAAGGCTCTCGCCATTGTTCAGCGGTGAACCTCGAATGTCCTTTCGGATTGGGTTGCCGAGACGTCTTGCCTCATCATGGAAGAAGCTCGCATCGTGTGTAGCTGTCAGACCCTCGAGGAACTTTTGCATGCTGGGGGATAAGCGATCATAAATTTCATATCCAGATGCCCAGAGCTATTGACTGTTAGTTAGACTTCAAATAAAGGTGTCTTGACAGGCGATCAGTGGTCCACCTTCATGCCCAGGAGCTGGGCATATCAGGGGACTACGTACAGTGTCGCCTCCCGTTTCAGGGAGTGTGTGGATTTTTAGCATTGCATAGTCTGAGGGGACTGGTTCGAACGAGATATCCGTATGCCAACCAGCACTGGCAAAACGGCTAACGTCACTGAGCTGATGAGTGAGGCCACCACCTTTCTTCTGCTTCTCACTGCTAATAACGCTGATCTGGTCACCAAGCTCACTGCCCTCCTCTGTAAGCGGGTGGACATGTAGGCCTGACGACTCGGGCTACGTAAGAGAAATCAGCGGGTTTGTTTCTAAACAGAACAACTGTACTTGGAGAAGGGCTTCTCACGCATCCAGCAACTTCTGTCAACCGGAGACAGAATTGTTTCATCTGTTCGGGGGTGACAACCTGGTCACGAAGGAAGACAACTCCACGCTGTGAAACTATTTGCAGAATGAGTTAATGCGGCCAGGATTACGGAGTGTGGAATGCTAACTGATGCTGGCGAGATCCTTGATCATGGCGTCATCTGCCGAGAGCAGTTCAGTCACCTGGAGACCTACATACTCGCGACCGATAACTGGTGTGATGTCTGCATAGGTGAACTTTTCCAGCAATCCAGAATACACCAGCGGCTCGAGGCACCGGGTCTTCGCTGCGGTGTTTCCGCCCACAATGTTCGGCCCGGCGGTGCTGATCGAGATGCTCTCTGCGGAAGGCATGGTATGATGTACGAAAAGTTGAAGACGATGGTATGATAGGAGAGCTGCTGTATTGTGATTGACACTTTTCCCGTCCCTGTCGTCTAGGTGCTGACTTTCCAATTTATCAACAAAGCCGATATCTCTCCAATTCAACTAATACAGGTCAATCCGGATGGGAGGTGCCGATCATGGGGATGCTACCCATGTCCCCGCGTTCCTGTCTACCACTCTGCCGAAGTCCTTGGCAGGGCTATTTGCCTTGTGCCGGAGAAATTCTCGGAGTTGAAATCGGAGCGTTCGGTTGGAATGGATAAATGAACCTGTGACGATTGTCCAATCGTAACAATAGCTCGCCTGGGCCCGAGCGTCACGGTGGACCACGTGCCATTATAGGCATTGGGAATAGAAATCTCGGCCAATAGAATCACAGGCAGCGAAGACCACGGCGAACTTTCGGATTGGTTTGGCAAGAAAAAGAGGCACAACCACCTAGTTACCTCAGAAGATCTCTGGGGCCCCGGATTTCCCTGGGGTGATGGATGAACATGGGGAGAACTGAGTATCAGTGGAGTCCAAAAGGCGGCAAGTGGATGCACGCTCTCTCAGCTCCCCACTATTGTGCACTCCCATTAATGGTGCGAAATCCCCCAGGCTTAAGGTAAGATTGGCTTGGTTAAGCAATATACCAGCGTCCGAGAGAATCAAATCTGTCTCTTTACTCAGTCATAAGGACCGTGTATCCTTGCTCTTTTCTGCCGCTCAAAGCCTCTCCTAAGCGTGGCAACAGAGGCATGGAGCAGCCAAATATCACTACCAACGTCGATATGGACAAGGCGACCATCGCGCACGTCTCAGACGTCTCGCACATTTCACCCGTCTCAAAGGCACAAGTCGGTCGAGAGAGGCTCTTTGATCGCCTCCCACCGCATGAGTCGTACGAGGGCCGCCATCGGTGGGATCCCGACATGACATGGACCGCCGATGAAGAGCGGAAAGTGGTCCGGAAAACGGATTTTTATCTGCTCTCCTGCCTATGTATCATGGTAAGATGTTCATTGTCGCTACTTTGACACTTTCCTTCCCTATTGCCGCCAATGGCAAATATGCAGCGCCAAGTTACTCACGGTTTTGGGGAATCTAGTTCTTCGGTCTCCAGCTAGACCGAGGCAACCTGTCTAATGCTCTCGCCGATGATCTGCTTCAGGACTTGGAACTCACCACCAACGACTATAACAATGTAGGAGAGCCATTTCCCCCCGCTGGAACGAGGTTTTAATCTCCGCAAAATAGGGTACCACGATTCAGCTCGTCTGTTTCCTTGCAGCTGAGTTCCCCGTCCAGATGATTACGAAGAGGCTTGGGTTCAAAAATGTCTTGCCCACAATGATGTTTCTTTGGGGTGCCGTTTGTACGTTCTATTCCTTTCAAAACTCATGAAACGAGAAGGTATGGTGCTAACGCTCGAGTAACAGCCTGGGGCCAGGCATGGATCACGAATCGCGCCAGCTTCTACGTTACCCGCGCGCTCATTGGCCTCTTCGAGGGCGGATTTATTCCAGGTACAGGCAACGGCTGACATGGCTTTGAAAGAGTCATGCTAATAAAAGGTGGTTTTGTAGGTGTGATCTTGTTCTCAACCTACTTTTACACGTCCAAAGAGCTCTCAACCCGGCTGGCCGTCTTCTGGTCTACGCTGAATGTCGCTCGTGTCATCTCGGCGCTACTCGCGGCGGGGATCCTCAAGATGAGGGGCATCGGGGGCCATACGGGGTGGTTTTGGCTCTTCCTTTTGGAAGGCCTTCTCACCTGCGTGATTGCACTGGTGGTGAGTCTTGTTTTGCCAGTGACATTATGTCAAGGCTACATGTCGCTCAGAAAATGCACTGTAGGCCTTTCTATGGCTTCCTGCCAGCCCAACGGAGACCAGGAGTGTTATCTGTCGTAACCCCTGGTACACGGAGCGAGAAGAGGCCATTATGGTCAACGTAAGTCCCTCGTCACATCACTCCACCCATTCCAGGACTTTCATCATGAATACCTCTCTGACGGTATTTTCGCTTAGCGTATCCTTCGTGATGACCCAGCCAAGGGGCTGACGGCCCTCAAAGAGCCGGTCCGCTGGAGCAACATCAAGGAGGCCTGGATGGATAGGTCCATGTGGGGGCTCTACTTTATCGGCCTAGTCGCCTATATTCCTGCGACACCTGTCCAAGGCTACCTTACCCTCACGTTAAAGCGCATTGGCTTCACAACATTCAATGCCAACATGCTGACCGTCCCGTCGGCAGTTCTGCAGATCTTTACAATGCTCGCCATATCCTTCAGCAGCAACTATTTCAACGATCGGGCTTTTCATGTCGTCTTTGGAGATTTTTGGGTCATGCCCCTCCTCGTTGGTCTTCTCACGCTGCCTAACGGCGGCCGGGACTGGTCTCGCTTCACACTCGTGACACTAATATCTGGTTGTAAGTTTGTTTCTGAATTCCAGCGCTACTACTAGGGGATCTACCGCCGTGATTTGAAGGCCCAAATACCAGTTGACTGACAAAACAAAACCAGATCCGTACTTTCACCCAATAGTATCTTCGTGGATCTCTGAGAACAGCTTTGATGTCAAGAAGAGGGCCATCACGGCCGCTACTTACAATGTGATTGTACAGGTCGGCTCCCTCATCGGCTCCCAGATCTACCGGGCCGATGATGCGCCGTACTACCATCGCGGCAACTCTGTGCTACTAGCAATCTGTGTCTTCACTATTGTTGTCGTTATCATTCAGCGTGAGCTTTTGCGCCACCTGAACCGGAAGAAGGATATGATGTGGAGGTCCATGACAGTGGAGCAGCAGGCGGCGTACCAGAACGACATTCCAGCTCGGGAGAATGATGGAAATAAGCGGCTAGACTTTCGCTTTTCATACTAGCGTGAGAGTAAAGACCATGGAGGATATTGCAACGAGGATGAAACTGACATTGCGACTGTCCTAGAGGAATGGGGTCAGTCGATCCGGGGCCTTAGTGAAAGATCTGAACTCGGCAACTGGGGATAACTCCTTGGAGATAGCGGGTCGGCATGGGAGTTTATCACAGCAGGCCTCTTTATATCTCTTTGCGCAAGGAGAATACTTGAATTCATTAGCCATGACTTCGGCGTTGTATAATGGCCCGCATTCCTGCCAGTGGTATCTAAGGCATTTCTGGTACCTAAAGTATCACCCTTTAAATTTATGCCCATTTAATACTTATTGGGGCGTGCGACTCCTGGACCTTAAGCTTTCTATTTGCATTAAAGGGCTGTGATGAATCGCAACCACCCATCGTGGAAACTCCTCCAGCTTTGAACTAGGCTAAACCCTATTTGTGCTAGCACTCCCAAATCGCGACATCACTCCTACTCTCCAATAATCTTGCCCTTCCCCGCATCAGCTAGAAGGATAATGCCACAATCCACGAGAAAAATAGGTAAATGGGCCTGCGATGCATGCAAGCTCCGCAAGGTCAAGTGCTCGAGTGAGTCGCCATGTTCAGGCTGTGTGACTGCTGGCATCTTGTGTACCTTCAACAAGCGTCCGTTAGTGCGAGGCCCAAAAGGCTTACGTGCTCAAACGATCCGGCGGATCACTGCGACTCAACAGCAGCAACAGCAGCAGCAGCAGCAGGAGCAGCAGGAGCAGCAGTTTTATGGCTGGGGTAGTAACTCAGGAAGTCCTGGTGAGAGAAGGACGGGTCAGACACCTCCAGCCATGCCGTCGAGTACACCGTCGCCATCCAATGATACCTACCAGGTCACTACCCCTGATTCGACTACCCTCCCTTCGATAAGTCATAATATGTGAGTGAAATTCTCTCATAAACCCCTGGAAATTCGTGGTGTGGTGTAGAATCCAAGAAAAATGGTCGAGTCTTGTTAACCATCCATGCAGCGACGAGCCCCACCGGACATCGACATCCTCGATGGTCCTGCGGCTTTGCGTCTATCGACTGCGCTTATTTCCAGTATGGCCCATTGTTGACGTGGAAGAAGTCATGGGAAACATTCACCGCGATCCCGACAACATGGCCGCCTATGCCCTGGCGAATGCCATAGGAGCCGCAACCATCGCCCAACTCAAGCTAGATAGCCCTGAGAACGGGGACATGGCAACGGCAGCTTCGATGGAAGCCGAGTGCCAACGGGCTATTGAGCTGCTACGGAAAGACGGGGGAGATTCCATTATGGATATTAATGCCTTGCGCGTGTCTTTCTTTTTACATGTCTACCATGAGAACCGTTCGCCGGGGGGATCGAGATCCTTGCTTTACCTCCGTGAGGCCATAACCATTGCCCAAATAATGGGCTTGCACCGAGAGGCGACTTACTCTTCTTTGTCGGCCCGCGAACAGCAAATGAGGCAGCGGATATTGTCCCTGCTGTTTATCACCGAAAGGTAAGGTCGATACACCTTTCTCTCTCCGAACTTGGCCATTGCACGAGGTGTTTGAGTATCTGGCCAAGTTCGCTCAATTACCTGGCTTTTACGCGTCAGCTTTTCTGACTGATATTCCTATGCTTAGAGGGGTGGCGATGCTTCATAAATTACCCGTCATCCTGCGGTACAATGCCCGCTTCATCAACCTTGACGAAGCCGACGACGAATCTCATGTCCTACCTGCTTTCAAGAAGCTCATGAGTCTCTTCTTAATGTTCGACCAGTCTGGCGCTTTTGATATGCTGCATAATTCCGACGAGATTCAGCTTCCCCCATACGAAGGCATGCCCGCCCTGAACCGTAACAGCTTCAGTCTACTCCAATGTCAGCTGCGAGAGGCTTCAATTCAACCCAGGGAGACAAATGTCGTCCAAATGGCGGATATCTGCGTCACAACCCAGTGGATGCAGGCCATCTTATGGAGGGCGTCGATGAGTCGCAGATCGACTCTTGACTCGCCACAGCAGCAGACAACCTCACTCTCGCATCCAATCCAAATTGCCAAGGAGTTTCTCGAGACCATGTCTCACCTTCCTAGCTCTGCGATAGAGGCCCACGGACCCGCCATGGTAAGCATGAAAAAAGCCCATCAGAGCAACCTGCCTCAATATCACAGGACTAACTGCGAGGACCACGCATGTGTTTCGTTTCTATAGGAGTACAAGATCTATGAGATTGCGAGGGCCGTGGTCGACTCAATTACAACAGAATTCAATGGCCAGCCAATCTCACTCGACATCCCCAGGGCAATACTCCTCCGACTACAGAGCAAGCTGGCCTCATGCCGTGGAGGTAATAAGATTCTCCTACCGCTGCTGCATGCTCGGATATCAGAGGCCCTACTTCGTCCTAGTCCGCGCGACTACAAAATTTCCGATTTTGGACCCTCGTCGAAGCCACTATCACGGGATACCATGCCTTATTCAAGTCAACAGCCCCAAATCTTGCCTCTACCAAGTTCGCCGCCCTTAGGATACGCGGAGGTTTACGAGGAGCAGGGGAACTTAGAAGGACGAGAGCTCCCACAAGATCCAACCGACAATGTCTCGACATTAAGAGTAGTGACTTGGGACCACAACATCCCCGACATACTATTTTCCTCTGATCAATATCCATTCACTCAGGCCCAGGTATTTCAAGGATCATTTGACAACATTGACTCCACGGGGACTATTGAATTCCTTCTTAACAATAATACAATGTTGGATTCTGGCGAGAGCTGGGAATCGCAGTTCTGTGGCGCGGCAGCGGGGTAGCGAGGATTCTGGTGGCATAAATGTATTGATATAACAACTCCCACTTTTGGCTGGATTTCTAAAATACGAAGCTGTGTAACATATTTCTGGATTTCCGGTTCTGAGGTAGTTAGAAAATATGGCGTGTCTACTCTGTAACCAACATGGCAATGGCTTCAAAGGGCTCCAGCTGTACCTGGGCCCCCTGAAGTGCCTCTCGAGATCGGCCAGTTGTTGTCATAATTACCTCTTGAACAGAAGCTGGGACCCCGACCCATTTAGCCGTTTCAGCTGAAAAATTGCATACCACCAAGACCCGACCCTCGGGCGCTGTCCGTGAGTACGCAAAGATCTTATCATTATTCTCGTCTACGAGATCGAAACGCCCGTACACCACAATGTCCTTATACCTCTTTCTCGTCTCCAGGACCGATCGCCAGCAGTTGAAGACCGAGCTGGGGTCATCAAGCTGAGCAGCAGCATTGATGATGGAGTAGTTGGGGTTCACTGCCATCCAGGGCTTCTCTGCGGAGGTAAATCCAGCATGCTTGCTCGAATCCCACTGCACGGGGGTGCGCGCATTATCGCGAGACTTTTTCTGATATTCCTGTCGGAACATTTTTCTCGTTTCGTCGTCAGCATCTTGGCCTTTGAGTCTATTTGATGAGTCAGAAGCTATTCCAATACAACTGGCATCCTGGTCACCGAATATGTTGATTCAGGCACGAACCTCCAATGATTCAAGCAGTCGATGTCCTGGTATTCCTCCATTGGCCAGGCTGCGGGCATATTGTGCATGCCGAGCTCCTGCCCCTGGTAGACGAAAGGAGTGCCAGCCTGTAATGCGAGAAAGACTGCAATCATTTTGGCACTCTGAATGCGATGTTCGGGGCTGTCATTGGCGAAGCGGCTCACAGCCCGTGGCTGGTCGTGATTTTCCATGTACAAGGCGTTCCAGCCATTGTTCTGGTACATGAATTGCTGCCACTTGTTGACCGTTCTCTTGAGATCTGGTAGAGACCATTGGCCAGGGAAGAACTTGCCCTCTGCCCCGTGGTCAATGTCCATCCTGATATTAATTAGCACTTTTAGATTGTCACAAAACGAATCTGGGCAAGGCGGCGTTCGCTTGTCGGCGGCACTGTGGAAGTGATTATGGATTGACAGCACTTACAATTCAAAATGGAAAATCATATTGAACTCGCCTCGGTCTTCCTGGACACTCTTGATGATTTCCTTCGTATCGTGCACGCATGGCATCTCACCTACGCTGAAGGCATCATACTCTTGGAGAATGCTTCCCAACTCCTGCAGGTACTCGTGGAGTCGAGGCCCAGCGGCATAAAACTCAGACCCCGGGAAGAAATCGCTGGATGAGTCAGGAAACTCTGTGCCCTTACTCACAAAGTTGATGACATCGAAACGAAATCCATCAATCCCGCGGTCGAGCCAGAACCGCATCGTCTCATGCACCTCATTGCGAACTGCAGGGTTCTCCCAATTCAAGTCCGGCTGTTCCTTGCCGTAGAGGTGGAGATAATATTCTCCGGTGCATTCATCCCATTCCCACGTGCTCCCTAAGTACGACGGTTAAGCTTAAGCCACTTCTCTTCTCTTCTCTTCATGACCTGTAAAACCTTGAGGATAACATTCGACGTACCTTGGAAGTGACTCTGCCAATTGTTTGGTGGCTGTCGGTTGCCCTGAGTATCAAAATGGGCAGGCTTCCAGATGTACCAATCACGATATTTGTTCTTGCGAGAACTCCGTGACTGTTTGAACCATTCATGCTGGTCACTGGTATGGTTCATGACGAGATCCATGATGAGTTTCATGCCTCGTTCGTGGAGTCTGTCCCGCAACACATCTACATCCTCAATAGAACCATACCGCGGATCAATCACGCGGTAATTACTGATGTCGTAGCCCTAGTGGTGAAGGATTTGCATTAGTCCGGTCAGTAAAATAGAGAACTAGTACCTTGCTCCGCGATTTTTGTTGCGTCCAACGAAGGTATATGAAACTAACCATGTCAACTTGAGGGCTCTCAAAGATGGGTGACAACCAGACGACATCAATGCCAAGCTTCTTCAGATAATCGACTTTAGAAATGACACCCTTCAGATCTCCAGTGCCCGACCCCGTCGAGTCCTTGAACGACGCAGGCCATATCTGGTATACGGAAGCCTCCTTCCAGCTCGCCCGTCTTGCCTCGTTCAGGAGATCTTGGACTTGATGTGGTGACATGTTTTCTAACGCAGGGTTGATCAAAGCAACATCAAATGAGTCTTGTCTTTGGTAGTGTGCAAACACGAACTTGACGGTCTTAAACAGGCGTGGTTGTTACGGGAGAGGGGGGCAAACTAGGATCCCCTCTAAGGAGCTAGTCCTCGAAAATGACACATATTATCAGCAGTCGACCGATGTTTTCTCCGACCCATCTTTAGGCGGGCATCAACCTGGTGGGCTGCGGTGCATACAAAATTGCTCGGTTAATGCAGAGTACTCCATTCTGTCCGAGAATTTCTCCGGTCGGAGCCTCACCCCAGAATCTTGAGGTTTGCAGAATGTACGGAGTACAATACAAAAATAAATCATATGTGGGGTACAGGTGAGGTAGACTCCGCCAATAGCCGGGGCCTGCACTCCTTGCATCTCACGTGAGACTCCGTGGTATACATCTGGGTTGCAATCGCCGATGGTTTCAATCGCCGATCAAATGGTCTCCGAAGGCGCGACTGATCACCCGCGCAAGGAAATATTACACCATGGAGATGAGAGGGGTTCAGGAATGTGGCCGGTGGCTGAAACTCCTCTTCGATACTTCAACCGGTTGCGAGAGTTGAGAAAGGGACATATTGCAACTACTCGCGGATACCCATCACCATGCCGCTGAAGAACGCCATCTCCGGCCGTCTACTGGCACGTTTAGAAAGCTCCTACTGGACAAGTTGTGTTCAGCATACAAGGAATTCTTGTCGGCTACCCCGACCAATGAACCTGGGAGGGACCAGGCGCTATTCGCATCACGTCGGCAATAATCCTAAGCCCAGCAGGTCGTGGGCTTCCCTTGCAAGCAGAAGTGCCATAGTCGTTGGAATCGCTGCCGGGTCTCTCCAATTATTGAGCGAGGATTCGAACGACAAACCCTACAGCAAGGTCAAGAAGGCCAAGGTCAAAACTTTTCGCCTGGCTGAGGTGAAGCAGCACAACGGATCATCCAAGAATCCCTGGGTTATCCGGGGAACCTCGGTGTACGACATTACGGACTGGGTCCGGGCTCATCCCGGGGGTGAAGTGATTTTAACCGCCGCGGGAGGCAGTCTGGAACCCTACTGGGACATCTTCACAATTCATAAACGGGCAGACGTCTACGAAATCCTGGAGCAGTATAAGATTGGCGAGATTGACGATGTTGATTTGAAGGATGGCCGGGTACCCCAGGACGCCATCGTTGACCCTTTCAAATATGACCCGGAACGGGATGAGCGACTCGTGACACTGACACCATGTCCAAGAAATGCAGAGACGCCAGAGGTAGGCCTCAGAGAATTCATTACCCCGAACGAGCTGTTCTACGTCCGAAACCATTTCTGGGTTCCCACCGTGGACGGACCAGAACATAAGATCATCGTCGAGCTCCCGGATGGGAGCGAGAGGACATACAATGTCAAGGAGCTCAAGGAGAGGTTCCAGAGACACAAGGTCACAACTACACTGCAGTGTGCCGGGAATCGCCGCAAATCCATGACAGACGGTGCAGGGCCAACAAACGGCCTACAGTGGAAGGCGGGTGCGATCTCGACTGCCGAGTGGGAGGGAGTCAAGCTTGTCGACGTCCTCGCCGATGCCGGTCTGGATATTGAGAATCTACCAGCCGATGCTCAACATGTCCACTTCTCGGCCATGGAGGCATACGGAGCGTCCATCCCTATCCGCAAGGCCATCGATCCTTGGGGGGATGTCTTATTAGCCTTTGACATGAACGGCGCCGAGCTGCCGCGAGATCACGGCTACCCGGTCCGCGTCATTGTTCCGGGCACGGTAGCAGCACGCAGTGTCAAGTGGCTATCCCAGATCACGATATCCGAGGACGAGTCTCCGACCCAGTGGCAGCAGCGCGACTACAAGAGCTTCTGCCCCAGCGACGTTAAGAATCCGGACTGGCAAAAAGCTCGATCGATACAGGAGATGCCTGTGACGTCGGCGTTTACACGCGTTGAACCAATTAGGGACAGCAAAGGCGAGGTGGAATCTATCTGCGCAGAGGGCTATGCCTACTCCGGTGGGGGACGCGAGATTATCCGTGTGGATGTCAGTGTAGACGAGGGCAGGACATGGCATGAGGCTGAGCTGTTGGATGATGAGGCTCAAGTGAGCGGAAGTAAGGCATGGTGCTGGAAGCGTTGGAGGTATAAGGGGCAGGTGGCCGATGATGGAAAGACTGTTGCTCGGGCTGTACTGGTGGTTAAGGCCACAGATGAGGCCTACAATACACAACCACACACTTACGATAGCATTTTTAATGCCAGAGGCAATCTGGCGACCGCATGGGATCATGCCAAGGTGTCGCTAGGGAGATGAGGGTGTTTGGGGCGATGGGGAAATGGGCCTTGTACAGCAACACGGAGCGGCCTCCAGTCTTCTCTGATCCATTGTTTTCCATTGAGAAATCCAAGCTTTGAGTCGTCCTTTATGTTGTCTCCAACCTCGACCCTCATATATTAGCATTAATAGCGTTATTTGAACCGCATTTCTGTTGGGATTTGTATGAAATTTTTGAGACTGTAGTACATGGAGAATCGAATTCAAGTCAGTAAACAGAACTGGATTATACTTTCTGAACGAAGCTATACGTTCGATCAAACCACATCTACCCTATCATCCAGCTTCATAGAGGGACATCTCCCAAAGGCAGCGTTAAGATTTAGATCTATCCCGCCTTTTCTTGTAGCCGACGAGGGCCTTTGCTAACTAATTTACATCGCCCATCTCTATTGACGGCGTATCCTGAGAATTTGTTTAAGGGACGGGTGGTGAGTCTAGACCTCGCCACCTCCACCCGTTGTGCAAATAATGGCGATTTTGATTAGAACCTCAGTATAGCCACAGTACAACAATTTTCCTATAATGTACTAGCGTGCTTCCGATCATGACTCATGACTATCAAGGTGGACAGTTAACCAATAATCCACGATGGTCACCCCGCTACTCCGAGAATTTCACCGGAGAGTGGGTTGGTCTCCACGTCGAACGGCTCTCAATCCCCGCGTCTGTCCGGCCCGACGTGTCTTTTTAACCAATCGTCTTGGCTCTTTCGAAGGTTCGTACGTACCCTCGTCCTCTTCCCCTTTTCTTTCCCTAATTCTTATCATCATTAAAAAGAAAAACTGCCGAGCTTCAATTTGCCAAGTGCTCGAATTTCTCTTCTAAAATCATCTCTTGCCCCAGCAGCAACTCTCGGACTGACATGGCGTGGTCGGAGCCAAGGAAGACGGGTATGCAATACCGCAGGCTGGGTAACTCGGGGCTCCATGTCTCAGTTCTCGGGCTCGGAGGATGGCTCACGTATGTTGTCTGTGGCGTGGTGTTGGCTGCGAATTGCAACTTTTCAAATTCAATATGCTAATTGGATCGTTACAGATTTGGAGGGCACGTTGAGAATGGTTTGTTTAAGTCTGGTCTCCCATGATGTGCCTGGTGGAATCTAACTTCAATAGAAAGAACCATTGCTTGCATGAAGCAGGCGTACGACTGCGGTATCAACTTTTTCGATACCGCTGAGAGGTGAGTTTGAGCCTGAAATCGATCTCAAGGCGAGAGAATTGATGGTCTACAGCTACGCGGATGGCCAGTCTGAGATTGTCATGGGCCAGGCCATCCAGAAGCTCGGGTGGAAGCGCAACGATATTGTCGTAAGCACGAAACTCAACTGGGGCGGTGCCAATGGGGAGGTGCTCGTCAACAACCACGGACTCTCCCGCAAGCACATCGTCGAGGGTCTCCGCTCATCCCTGAAGCGTCTGAACCTGGAATACGTCGATATCGTCTACGCCCACAGGCCCGACCGGCTAACTCCCATGGAGGAGACAGTCCGGGCCTTCAACCACGTCATTGAACGCGGCTGGGCGTTCTACTGGGGAACATCCGAGTGGTCGGCGGACGAAATTGCGGAGGCCTGTGGCATCGCCCGTGAGCTGCGCTTGATTCCCCCGGTGGTCGAGCAGCCACAGTACAATCTGCTGGCGCGAGAGAAAGTCGAGGGCGAATTTCAGCGCCTGTATAGCCGCTTCGGCCTCGGCCTGACCGTCTTCAGCCCTATCAAGATGGGCTTGCTCAGCGGCAAGTACAACGACTCGCCTGATCAACCTCCCCCAGGGTCGCGTTTCGCCGAAAGCAATGACAAATTTAGCAACATGGTGAGGGACTCGATGTATGGTAATGATGAATGGAAACGGTCAATTGCCAAGGTGATCAAGCTTAAGGTATGTGTTTGATGGGAGGGAGCATCTGGCTGCTTGCAGTAACAGGGCTGTGTCTCAGCCTTTCTCTCACCGCCGACGAGATTCTAGTTCTGGGTTCAGTAGTTCTTAGCAGGCTAACGTGTACTTTTTTCTTTAGCCTATTGCCGATCAACTCGGCGTCACTCAGTCGCAATTAGCACTGGCTTGGTGTCTCAAGAATGAGCACGTTTCTTCGGTTATCACTGGTGCATCGAACCCCCAACAGATCGTTGAGAACGTCAAATCACTGCAGGTTCTTGATGACCTGACGCCAGAGGTCATGGCAAAGATTGACGCTATTGTGGGCAAGATTGAGCTTGCTCCGGCGAGGCAAGACTGATCGGACTCGCCATCCCTCGAATTTCCAGAGGTATGAGAAACAGTAAGGCCAAAAATTATAAATATGTATACATAACATATTTCAGAGCTTCCTTTGAATCGCCATGTAACAGGCTCAGTGGTATGAAGCCGACGTCTCCAAGAAAGAATGATGAACTTTACCCGACAAGCATGCACCAAATTCTTGGAATGACGCTCAGATGGAGAGCTGTTTTTGTTCATATTTTTGGGTATTGTTGAGGTGTAGTTACGCTAGTTCTCTTGCCTTTGTGAACCAGAATCATCAAGTAACACAATGATAATCCATTCTAGCCCTGGGAATGGCGGAAAGGATATTTAGCTTTGCAGGGTAGAAGGCCTGTCAACTAGGTAAAAGAGCAACCCATCAATTCCAATTGTAACAGAGACAGTTTCTTGAAGAGTCTCAAACCCACTCCTCAAGCATAAATCATATACAGCTTCTACCATGCAAACAACAGGAAAACAAACAGATATCGTAGAATGGGGCCGATTCGATTTCTTTTGCATGGCCCCATTATTTTTGATTCTAGTTCAGTCCGATTTAGAATTTACACTCCATTCTGTTCAACCTTCCGGTAAGATACGGACTTCAGATTTTCACAGTTTCAAGAGTCGGTAGTGTCATGCAGAATATTGTAAAATGAGAGTATTTGGTATTAGATTGATGAGGTTGTGATGAGGTTTTCAAAATGGTAAATTCTCTACTGGGGTGCGATTGCGGGACTTCGCGTCTATTAAGATGGGCATTCAGATGATCGGGCCTAGGTCCCGAGGGAACACTATTCTAATACCAACCGAGGCGACTCGTCTATTTAATGTACACAGAGACTGAGAAGAGCGCTGCAACCTCCAAGTTTTGATTTGAACGACCCACTCCGTGCGTTCTCACGGTAACTGCTAAATTTTTTCGTGATCCTAGATCGATGAAGATTAAGATATCCAGTCCATACAATCCGAGAGCCTGGGGCAAGGTTTAGCCACCGATCGGCACGCTCACGCCGCTGAGCATCGCGTGGCAGCTAGATGATTTGAGCCACAACCTCACGACAAAGTGTGCCTTGGATTAACTGCGACTGTCAAGTTCAACCAAAGCAAGCAGGAGAGTTAGTATCAGAGCCTCGGGAAGTGACCATCTTGGAATCCACGTGCAGGATTCCGAAGTCGGGCCCTGTCAGCGGGCGAGTGCGGACAGAATTCGCGGGAATGCCTTTCACGAAGAAGAGAACAAGAAGAGTGCTTGAGATGTAACAGTCATGATACTTTCAAGGAGAATCAACCATTCCATTCTTCTCGAATGCAACCCTCCTCAAAGCGAACGCGCGTTTCGCCTCCCCTGGAAGCTCCCACGCCAAAGCCAAGCCTGCCCTCCCTCGGCCACCTTAGCCAAGCACCAACGCACGATATCTCATCGTCAATTGGGCAACTTGACGTGGCCAGACAATTCCGCTCTTGTGCTTGGCCTTGGCAGTCCCCGTTTCAGCCCCCTCCTGGCCAATAAAAACGAAATGCGATCGCTAGTTTGCCCCGGACAAGCAGAGATCACCCAGCGCCAAGCCTCCACGCGCTCCCATTCGCCCGGCGGGCGAAATCGTCAGCACTAGCGGTGGAATCTATGGACCCTTCAGCTTGGCCTGAGTCGGTGATCCCTGCGATAGGTCGGGTGCGCGAACTGGACATTTTATGCCTGAGAGCGGCCTTGGCTAGGTTGCAATTTCGGGGTTTGAGTTTGTGCGACGCTGTCGCCGTCATTCCTGCACTCATCGACACAATGCTTGCGATATCACGTTTGGTGGTGCCTTGGGCGGCGTTCTCGTCGCTGGCCGTAGCTACGACGGCTGGTCATTTCAATGATACCTCGGTCTGTGCGGATCCAAAGGGGATAAAAAAGTGTTATGAGAAAGCAGAGACGAGCTATGCGAATTGTATCATGAGTAACTGCTCCGATGGAAGCAAGGGCTGCTACGACTCGTGTAATGGCGATACTACATGCATGGCTACGCAGTGTCCGAATATTGGAATAGACTGTATCAATGCTTGTGGATGCGTCAGGGCCACTGATCAGATTGATTGTACTGCATCCAGTTGCTGGAACCAGGTTTGTCGCGATAAAGCTTTCCTTCATGGAACCAAGTCTCACTGCTTATCTGCGTCTTAGGTATACTCTTGCGAATATCAGCAAACGGCACAAGACGTTCTTGACCTATGTTTGAGTTTCGACATCGATCGAATACCCTTCTGGCCAGCCCCGGAAAATGCGCCGGGTGGATGTTCGTGCAATATTGGAAACCTTGCTCGGAAAGAGACGCTGATCTCGGCGCAACTCACCGAGTGCAGCAATAATATGACTAATCTCGATCAACTCTCCGAGGGGAAGAATATGACGGACTATGCTCAGGCTTGTGTTTGCTGTGCACAGAGCGCCATTGTGTCTGCGTAAGTGGGGAGTTCAAGCTTAAAAAAGTTCCAGAATGCTTTGAAAGTTCTCTTTGACTGATATTCCCCAGCATCTGGGGTGTGTGCCCAAGTACGAAGCCCTCCGAAATTGGAGTCGACGACTGGTACAATGCGTTTCTGGGCCCTCATCACTGGAAGGAATGCGGTCCATACCTCGAGGCATACGACTGTGGCAGCAATCTAGGCTACGCCGCTGAGAGTGCCGGCGACACGCATACCTTTTACAGGCCGAACAGCCTCCCTAAAAACGGGACCGAGACATTATATAACACTGGTGGCATACTGAGCACTCCGGTCAGTGGAGCCACTTTTACCTGGACAGATGGCTCTCTTTTGCACGGTATCACTGCTGCGTCGACAAATAATGTCGTCTCGGCTACTGGTGCAGGCGCTCAGGGAGCAACTGCGACGGCAACCGGGACTGGCGCAAGTGCTTCAAAGACTGGTGGTGCAACTATCTATTCCCCGCCTACATGGGCTGGTGCTGGCATGGTGGGTGCCCTTGCTTTGGTCATTGCTTGAACTGCTCCACGCCTGATGCAGCCAAAATTCTAGGCAATGCCAACCAACGACAATACAATTGTTCTTCTGACCTAGCTTTGGACTTGTAACCGGCATATCTTGCACGACATCGTGAATCGAGTACCGTCGCAGCGAATGAGGAGGCATCCCATGGGCATTGGACGATTCTCAATCGGTAAGATTGACCCGTGCTGTTTTACGGAGTACCTTAGAGACCGTAAATATGAGCCAGTGCAGCCCATACGTCCTCCTAATGTCTCCAAGAGCTGCTGGTCATCGAGTGAAATCATCGTTTGGGCGAGTCACACTATGACCAGACATATACAAGCCTCCTGTATCGTTGGGAAGGTTCGATAAGCTTCTCACAAAGCTGAAATTCAGCAGGAGACTTGATTCGTGATTGCTGAGCCTATAAGCCAAGCTTTTAAAATACATACATACTTCTCGTAAGAGGAAACCATGGATATCTTGCGGGTCACTGCCATCTAGCTGTTACTATCCGACACCTTGCCATCTATTCAGGATAACATGAGACAATAAGTTGATTGTTATTGTTATCCACAGTAAATTTTCTTCATTATACATCGCTAGTGTGTGATCAGGATGATTGAGAGTCGGGAATTTCATTTCTCTACCTCAGTAGATGATTGGACTTGCGAGGAGCTGCCAAAGGTGAATTCAGGAATGCTGATGGTGCTAACAGTCCAGGTCTTTCCATTATCGCTGGTTGTCAAATCACCGGTAACACCGTCGCCCTTGGCCAGGGTGTTGATGTAGTTTGCGTCGGCGGTATCCAGGATGATCTTCGTGTCAATCCAAGCTGTTGTAGCAGAAAAAATTGAATCAGTTCCCGTATCTATCAAAAGAAAGATATCGTCCTAGCAAAGGCTTACTGTGAGCCGGCATGGTGCCGCAGTTATCCTCGGCACACTCAATGGCACTGCCCCAACCTTGGGCCTTTCCATCACTGGTGGACAGAGTCGAAACACTCACGCCGTTGACGAGAACAGTTTGAGTGTAATTACCGGTGGAATCATCAAACTTGTCTGCGGAAAAGTGAGCTTCGAGCCATCTGTGGAATTTTCAGCCTGACTTACAGTGCATTGTCACCTTGTCTCCAGCATTGGCAGTGGAAGAGTCACCCTGTACGGGCATTTGGGTGGTCGCTTAAGATATGTCAGTTTTTATCCTCTACATCCGACACAAATGTTATCCACCTACCGCTGGTGGAGAGCAGCGTGTAGGCGAAGATACTCCACGAGGTCGACTCCCAGTTGTCGGCAATGGACTGGATCAGATCACCATTCGAGGTGCCCATACCAACCCAGAGAGAAGCATCACCGGAAGAGCCGCTAGGAGTCTTAGGGAGGACCAGCGTGGAAGTCGATTCACGGATGAAAGAGTCCGAAGCAACGGGGCCAGTGCTGAAGGCAGGACCCATGGCAGCGTTCACCGAGGCGATCGCTGTCATGGCGAGCGCCGAAATAATTTGCTTGGTAGAAGGCATTATGGGAATCTTGAATCAATAGTCTCGAGATTTGGGTGGTGATAGTGACGCTTACTCGCGCAGGGCGAGTACTGCTTTATACTCTCCTGGTATTCACGCCCTTTCCACTTCTGAACCTTGAGCTCACCGTCTTGAGTGAAGGAAAATCCATTCCTTCATGCAATCTTCAGCGGAAGTTCCAAATCATCTCCACCAGTAATGGTTGAGCTCTAGAGATACTCGCTGGAGAACTCGGAACATTGCCGTATCTTGAAGCATTGTGCCCCACGTGGAACGTTCTCCTTTCCTTAAAAAGCATGTTAAAACACCCGGCTAATATATCCGCCTAGGCTAGTGTTGCAGACATAGACATTAGTGGCCTGATGATCTACATTTAACAAGCCAATTATATACCCTAATGAGATTTAAGGGTGGAAACATCCCTCGGAATATACAAAGGACTAGAGGAACGAGCTGCTCTATGAAGAATTCTGAGATCGTTAAAGCCAGGACATTCCTGAGAACCCCCTGAAACGTGGTCTGTCTATAAATGTCAATCCCAGCTGGGAATTCGTGTCTCACAATTTGCGAGGATTCTGCTTCCAACAGATCGGAGAACAGCCTATTTGGGTAGGTGATAAACAGTCAGTTATTGCCATAAGGTTCATCTGCTCCAAGTTCCCCACTCAGTAGGCAACAGGGCTGTGGGGGGCAATTAATCCCAGACTTCGAAGATTCTCACTCTAGATAATATGGTTAGTAGCTTAAACAGAAGGAGAAACCCTTTGAAATCATTGTCATGCATCATATTTACACACTCAATTTTCCTCTACGGCCATAATGCTCATCCGCGTGTTCACGCATCTCTGCGGCCGACAACATTCTGAAAGGGGCACTAACGATTTGAGGTCTACGATATTCATCCACGACGACTATTTTCCTTGGAATTTGAAAATCCAGTAAAAACTCAGCTCAATTTGCAACATTCTGCTCCCAAACAAACCTCTGATAAAATTACTGAGGTAGGTCGGTAAAGTTGGAACTTAGGTATGGGGCTTGTGACGTTAGCTGACCAGAACGCTTTCTAAATATATATTCGTCAATGGGTGTACGTTTTCCGACGCAAAAAGAAATACCTAAGAATCAGAAAGAAATAAAACAAAAAAGGGTTCAATAGGTCTATAGATGGCAAAGAATCGAAAGCGATTCAGATCTTCTAATATTGCTTTAGCATATATGTACTACCAGAGCCACCCACCCAACTTAGTGACAGCCTCGGCAGACCGAGGTGCAGCCCCCAACCTTAAACCCCGCTGGGCGCATGCAAAGTTTCCCTTCACCAGAGCTGCCACGGCCGTCAGTCCACCAGCTCAAAAGCAACCCCGACCATCCAGGGCGCTCTCAATTCCTATCAATAAGCTTACCGCAATGACTCAAGCAAGTGCCACAGCTCTCGCTGTCGCCATGATGGGCGCTGGCTACCTCTGCGCGCTCTGCTCCACACCTCCCAACCCATCCCCCGACCGTAAAGACCGACACCAAACAGATCGAATCAGCTTCATCGCAGGCTCGGGGACAACGATCCTCCGTCGTATCGCCGTCACTGCCATCACATACCATGCCCTCCTCACCGCACTACCATTTTACGCGCCCCAGCGAATGGCGCAGGTGTGTCCGCGATCGCACAATCTCAACCCGGAGCTGTTCTCGTGGAGCGTCCCCGCGATCGCGGGCATCGTGCTGATATGCCTCGGGGCATACATCCGCCTCGCTGCGTACGGCAGACTCAGTCGCAACTTCACATTTCATCTCGCGGCCCCAGATCACTTGGTGACGAGTGGTGTCTACGGTTGGATGCAACATCCGAGTTACACCGGGCTGGTGGTGATTGGGTTTGGTGTCGTGTCGTTGTTTTTTCGATGGGATGCGGTGCCCGCGTGTTGGATTTCCGAGACCATGCTGGCCCGATGGTCCGGGTGGGGGTTGGGTGTGCTCGGGACATATATCTCGGGTGCAAGTTGCGTGCTGTTCATGAGGGTGAAGGATGAGGAGGAAATGCTGAAAGGGAAATTTGGAAAGGAGTGGGAGGAGTGGCATCGGTCGACGAAGCGGTTTATTCCCGGGATTTTGTGAGGGTATTTCTTAATATACATCTTCTCTTGCACAGTGACAACACCTGAAAATAACCCCAATTGATGAATGTGCTCATTGTGCATGACACCCTTGGTCTCGCGCCGTCTCCAAGCTCATATCGTGCACCTGCTATTCGATGATGAGACAGGGAACTGATGCCTCCATGCTTATTTCTCGTGGATGGCGGGCACCTCCTCGTGCGTGTGCACATTATTCAACGCATCAATAGTGACATCAACACGGGGACCGGTAAAGTTCTTGCGTCCATCGATGAACCACTGGAAAACAGAGATGATAATGATAACCGCGAATGCAGCAACAGCGTAGTCTGGAGAGTGGATTAATCGTATGTACACGAAGTCGAGTGAGGGGCCAGGACCACTTACTCATGTTACTGCCAGTCACACTTTGGTACGGAGGGAAAACGAACAACACGGTCGTGAGCGCAATGTATGCGAGAGAGATCTTGTCCGTTAGAATGGGCTGTACAGCAGGGTGAGTATGATGACCTACCAGATCAATGACCCATCCGACAGCATTTGGAATCTTCCACTTCCTTTCCGGGAGGGCTCTCCGGCCCTGCAGACAGTTAACGAGAATGGGCATGGCGTAGGAGAGATCAAGAGCAACGACTGCGGCGGAAATAATAGCATTGAATGCACTGTAGGTCGTCAGATAATGTTCTGTCCGGGGGTAGAAATAAGGGTGTGGCTTACCTGGACGATCCCAGGAAGATGCAGCCGAAAATAATGACAACGACTACAGTCAAGATAAGTGCGTTCAAGGGCAGCTTGAGCGTCGGGTGCACTTGGGCGAAGAATCGAGATGCAGGAAGACCCCCATCACTGCCATGGTCAGTTTGGTTTCTTGAATGACCATATCCATGTAAATTGCGTACCGTGCGAAAGCGAAAATCATTCGGCTGCTAGTAGTCATCACACTGAGGATGGCGAGAATCAAGCACACGAGAGGTAGCCTTGATACTTGTTAGCGAGACATGAACCAGCGATCAATCATCGAGTAACATACATCAACAAGCAGATCGCGCCAGCAGTGTTCTTGGTGGCATCGATGAGAATCTGCAGGAGCGGACCGGCAGCAGAAGTAGTAACTTGGTCCATGTCGCCAGCCACGAAGAGTAGGACAATCAAAAAGATCGAGCCGGTGAAAGTACCGATGCCAACACAGGAAACCATAATCTTGGGTCCTTCAATAGATGGGTTTGGAACCTCTGCCAATTGTTAGTCCAAAACTTGCGTGCAGTGCAGCAACCGCCTCCTTACCCTCAATCATATGCACCACAGCATCCTAGGAAGTCAGTACCATCCCATAATAAGTGATCGTAGAGAACATTTACAAAAGCAGTAACACCAAGTCCTCCTTGAAGCAGACCCAGCATCCATGCAACGCCATCAGGCCCTGTCATCTTTAGCATCGCTCGCACCTAACCATAATTCATTGGTAAACTCACATCCAGTGCTGTTCACAAAATTGCAAAACACAAAGCTAAGGCGGATTAGCAACAGCCACGAGAACATGTCAATATTCTACTTACTAGGCTGAGTTGAAGTTGGGCGAAGCGCAGGCAAGAACGGTAATGGAGACGACCGCGAAGCCACCAATTGACCAAGAGACTGTACTCGGTTAGAACAAAGACCGTAGGTAAGTCTAAAACAGACTTACAAGCACCACGGTAAATCATGGGCAGAATAGAGTTCATGAATGCGTTGATCACAAAAGCTCCCAGTGTCAGGCCAATGTAAATGAGGAATTGGTGCCACCGCTGAGCCACATAAGTCTGATAATGGGTGTTAGTCAACGCCATTCCTTTTTCTTAGTAGGAGAGTGCTTACAGGATGCATCGCCGAGATACACCCGACAATAAGTTGACTCGACAGCAGCGAATTAGTAGCCACGAGAGCGACCTGAGAAACTGTAAGCCTTGAAGTAACGGGAGGTAGACCAGGCAATTGTCCTGCGCACCCAACCAGCCACATTAATCCAGCCCGTGATCCAAGAGAGAATGGGCACCCATTTTGGCCAAGCGACTGTGCTATGGTAAGCTAGTATTCAAGAAACAGGTGATGGTGAAAGACATACTGACGGCGACCCAATGATACTGACCACCGGCACTGGGGAAAGTCAGGCGAGTTTCCAAAAGTCGATACAAACAGAAGGGGTTGCTAGACATACGTGGGATAAGCAGACAGGAACTCTGCCAACGAGGCAGCAATGCACAAGTTGCAAACTCCAGCCGTGACGAGGCCTGTTTGGGAGCGTTGTTCAATATTTCATGCAGGTCTTGCTCGTTATCCAATTTGACCTACCCCAGATGACGCTCGTACTTCCTCCGGACGAAAGACTAATCGACAAGCTCGCAGAAAGAGCAGTCCATGACTAGATAGAGAAAGTAGTTTGATGAGCTGAGGGGTTCCTGATGGGAGTGATCGAGTCGATAGACTTGAATGGACTTACGTTCAGCACTGCGAAAGCCAGTCCCAGCATCGACCTATCCCCAGATCAGTACTGTGGAAAGTTGAACTTTCTCAATGTCGATCCTACCACATAGAGTATTGACGCTTCAACTCTGGCTTATGGCCCAGGGCCGCCAGCTGCGCATCATCATCCTCTATCGGACCACCCTTCATCTCTGTTGGATGACTCATATCGTGAATCTGTGCAACGCAAAGGGTTATAGAAAGTTTAAAATCAGAAAGAAAAGTTTCTGATCACAATGATGCTCCAAAAGGTCGGACGAAATTGCATCTAAGTATTCCGGATTTACCGAACGACAGATGGCTATAACATCCAGTTTGCGGATAGCGCCGACAGGGTTACAGCTGGCTAGCATGCGGGGGAGTAGTTGAGCAAAGGAGATCGCATCAGCATAAACACCAATCGTATCCATACGGCGGGACAAGGACTATCCAACCGATGCCCACCTTCGGCCCACTTAGCTCGTGGCTGTCCTAATCGCGGCCAATCGTACTCGCCGCTCCAACCTGGTCCCAACCGAGCGGAATGTGGTCTTATCGTAGGCATCCCCACCTCCCCCAAAACGGTGAAACAACTGTGCTTGAACTTGGTTTCTCTCCGCAAAGCTTATCGCCCCAGTACCTGAACGACCCGGCTTGTCCTCCCTATTTCGTCAGTGGTCGCGTGGACTTCCCTCGAGTGCGTTAGTTGCACGGCAAGCTATCCCAGGCTATCCCTAACACGCTCTTCGTTGCGTCGCGACAATGTCCTGAAGATGCTATGGATGTTGATCTCCACCGCGTGCCCGGGCGGAGGTGGACCTGCTGATAGTCTGGTAATCTTCGGCGAATCCCCTTCTAAGAAACCGATCTCCGGTGTGTGCCTATTGTGGTGTATAAATAATGGCATTGCGGCAAGTGCTAATCTGTTGAAATTAATGCGATAGTCTTGTCATCGCTTCCTTCATCTCATACTCGTTTGCCATCTTCGTAGTCATGTTCTCGAAGAAGGGGCTGGGTTTGTTGACAGCTGCACTTGCCGCACAAACATGTGCCGCGTCGGCCAACAAGATCCGCGATGAGCACGCCACTTGCAAGAAGACTACGGTCGCTATCCTGTAAGTCTACGATGATTCAATTCGAGACGTGAGACAAGTTGAGCTCACACATTGTAGGGGAGGTGGAATGGCTGGTGTTGCTGCGGCAGTAAGACAATCTCCCTTCGATCCAGTGGGGACGCGGGGCTGACTTCCAACTTATAGCAAGCTTTGTCCAATTCTTCGATTCACGACTTTGTGATTATCGAGTACCGGGATACCCTCGGTGGTCGCGTGGCCCACACCGACTTTGGCAAGGGGCCTAATGGCAAGCCGTATACCGTCGAATTGGGAGCCAATTGGGTAGGAAATCTCGCAATCACTCGCTCTGAACTACGCAGTGACTGATCTGATAACTGTAACAGGTGCAAGGACTTGGATCTCCCGGTGGCCCAGGTAGGACTCATATCAAATCACTTACCATACCGACCGATAGATCATTGCTGACCATGCCTTTCCAGAGAATCCCATCTGGACCTTCGCGAAGAAGTGGGGTCTGAACAACACCTATTCCAACTATAGCTCCATTCTCACATATAATGAGACCGGCTACGTCGACTACAGCTCCCTTCTGGATGACTATGAGACCCTGGTGGAGGATGCTTACGATGCGGCCGGAGTTCTCCTGACTGAGAACGGCCAGGATCAGACTGCTCGCACTGGCCTGGCTCTGGCCGGATGGAGGCCTAAGATCGATGATATGGCCCGGCAGGCCGTGGAGTGGTGGGAGTGGGGTAAGTCAATGCGGGCCTACTCATGCTCTAAAATCAAAGCTGACGATGCTTCAGACTGGGAGGATGCCTATTCACCTGATGAAAGCTCCTTCATCTTCGGAGTTGCTGGTCAGAACTTGACTTTCAACCAATACAGCGACGAGAATAACTACGTTTGGGACCAGCGGGGCTACAACCGAATCATCCTCAAGGAGGCCTCGACCTTCCTCAAGGACAACGACCCCCGCGTCCAGCTCAACTCCGTCATTACCAATGTCACTTACTCCGATAGCGGTGTGACTATCTACAAGGAAGATGGCAGCTGCGTATCTGCCGCCTACGCAATCTGCACCTTCTCACTCGGTGTTCTCCAGAACAACGCCGTCTCGTTCAGCCCGTCCTTCCCTGATTGGAAGCAGACTGCCATCGAGAAGTTCACCATGGGCACGTACACCAAGATCTTCCTCCAGTTCAACGAGACCTTCTGGCCTCGCGATACCCAGTACTTCCTGTATGCCGACCCAGTCAGCCGCGGCTACTACCCCGTTTGGCAATCCCTGTCTGCCCCAGGCTTCATCCCGGAATCGAACATCATTTTCGTCACCGTGGTCTCGCAGGAATCCTACCACGTCGAGCGCCAGTCTGACGAGCAGACCCAAAAGGAAGTCATGGCCGTCTTACGCAAGATGTACCCAGACCTCGACATCCCCGAGCCTACTGCCTTCATGTACCCCCGCTGGTCAACCACCCCCTGGTCATACGGCAGCTACTCGAACTGGCCTCCATCGACCACCCTTGAGATGCACGAGAACCTGCGCGCGAACGTGAACCGCCTGTGGTTCGCGGGCGAGGCTACCAGCGCACAGTATTTCGGCTTCTTGCATGGCGCGTGGTTCGAGGGTCGCGATGCCGGTGAGCGGATTGCGGAGTTGTTGGGTGGTAAATGTGCGAAGACGGATACCTCCGGAACTTGTGGGAATCGCAAGCACTGGGAGCGTCTGTATGGTAGCTCACCTCTGGCTGACTACAGCGTGTTTGATGGGTGGGATGTCAGCAGCTTCTACTCGAGCTATTAAGCATTTGGAGGGAATCAACATGATTATAGTACAAGATCAGTGCTTTGGATGGGGCCCATGTGGGCAGGTTGCGTATATTTTATTCAAGTAATATATTTTTCCGTGAGAATGTTTCATGAAGTGGGTAGGCCTTGCGACCAGGTTAGGGGACAGACAATAAGTAGTAAATTGAAGTAGCTCTGTATTATCAGGATATAGATAGATATAGAACTGCATGCAGTACGAGGCCATAAATATTCGCCCGCATGCTTGGATTGTTGAACATAAGAAATGGTAGAAGCATCCACTGACATGATAGTGAAAGTCACACTATCTGAGAAAGAAAGGGGTAAACCGCAGCCCCGAAAAGGAATTCCGATCCTCAAACACTAACTCCATAAACTCCATGAAATGACACCATGCATCATCGTAGCCCGCTTAGCCGCAAAAAACCAGCATCGCAACCGAGTGGCCTATCCAAAGCACGCTCATCGAGCATGATACGTATCGAGCGCCTGTTGGATATCGTGCAGGCTATCTTTGCTCCCATAGGCGTCCATGAGTTTTTGGTTCTCGGCGAGACGCTTCTCTTCTTCCGCCATGGAGAATTCGTGCCGCGATTTAGCCTCGTTGTAGTAATTATAGCCGGCGAAGCCTGGACGGAAATAGGTTAGTCGCGGACCGACCGAAGAAACAGACGTTATTGATGAGGGAACTTGCACGTACCGAGTCCAACGGCAGCGACGACTGGGATATACCTATTGCGAACGATCATGGTTAGATTGGTGGTTGTTGAGAACGGAGGTCCTGTCCTTCCAGGGGTAGATTTGCTTACCAGCGGCTAGGTCGGGGCTTTATGGATGGGCCGGTGGCATGAGGTCTGTGAGAAGGATTGGCTCCGGGGAAAGCGTATTGAGACATTTTGATATCGAGAGATGAAGAGGATAGCAAGTTCTGGAAGGCAGATGGAATTGCAGAGACAGGATGGAGTGAAAGGTGGAAGACGGAAAAGTGGCGCATGAGTTCCGAATCGGAGGGTATTCCTCGGTATAAAGGAGGAAAGACAGATTGGCGGCTGTGGGATGCGGGAATGCGAGAATGCGGGGATTGCATGACGTGGAGAACCGAGTCTTGCAACGTTGGCTCGCGCAACGAATCATGCCACATATGATATGGGGATCCACGGTTAGCTAAAATAGCATGCCATCACAGACTCTGCTTTACGCTGCGTAACTGCGTTGGTTAGAGGTTTCTAAGATATACGAGAGTTGGTTACTTTGGCTTAAACTTGGTCATCTTGTTAGTTGTGGTGATCGTCCCCACATTCAAGATACTAAAGGGGCTTTGCACTCGCGCAAAAAAGTTCAACCGTCTAAACCAGCGATTACGGCGGAATCATGCAAACAATCAAAAACGGAGCACTGGACTCCGTGCTAAAGTGCCTTGGCACGCGATAGACAGGCATAAGAAAGATAAGTCTACTCACGAAATCCACCAAGTAGCTGAACAACGTTACCCATTGCAATGGATGACTACAATTGGAGTGAGTTTTGAAGCCATGATCAGTATAAAGACAGTTCCCGCCCGAGAAGCTCTGTGCTTGCTAGGAGTAGCTTACCATGAAATTTCCACTTTACAAAGAACTAAACAAGGCATTAACATACATGTGAAAGGTTTATATCCTCCTCGAGCTTGCTCAGTGTGACTAGCTTAAGCTAGATACTTTTCCTGAACTGCTGTTTCGCTTCTAATTTGGCATAAGCTCGTACGTTCGCTCTTCGCAACAGAAGACCTCGTATTAGACTCGGGGCCTTCCGGCCCACAACAAGCGTCGAACCAGCCATGTAGTCGATTGGTAAATAATTTCGAAGAGATCTTAAAAAAAATGAGATGGATATGAACTCATTTGAGACCGGAAAAATAAGCTACGCAAAGGAAAGTGATACTTTGCGACCGCGGGCAAGTTCAAATACCCTCGGAAAGCTAGAGTGTCAAAAATTGCCGATCTTCGGTGAATACATGCCGCGATCGCTTCCAGAGGCGTCAAACCTTGACACATGAATTAGGTCAGCGTTCAATAAACAAATAACTATGGGAATCGGCGCGATCCGAATTGACAGTCAAGGTAGTGATTACGGAGTACGGTATATGGGAACTCCTGACTCGCACCTAGGTAAGGAGAATATACACTGGATATCGCATACATTACTACCTAAATACTACCACCTAGACAGGGGTCGTGGAAGGCGGCTAGAAGTGGCCTTCTGCTAACCGTCACGAAAAATACTACAAGTATAAGCTTATGTAGCTTACGGCCTCGAGCATTATAGGGAAAACAAATAGTTGGGAAATCTTCTGTGTTAAATAAAAATAGAGGGTTTCCAATTTTAATTCAAGTTCTAGCAGCAACACACCCCATGCACACCCCCACTGGCACTTCGGGGGAGTCCGAACAAGATTCTCCTGTGGGCGGTACTTGATTACTTCTGCTTCGGGGTTCTCACTGAGACGGCATAATAGATGCCTCCATGTTGAATTGGAAGCTCATGCACTTCAAAATCCTGACAATAAATCTTTAAAAAAATCTATGCACATGCTTCAGTTCGCTGTGGCATACATCATCATGCCACTTGCAATTTACTTCAACGGGTACATAATCACCTGCATTTTCGTCGGCGCATTCCTGGGCTCGCTGATCTTCTTGTGGGAACCTGTGTTTCTGAACAAGGAGTAAGTAATCTTTCAGGGCATTCATTGTCTTGCATTGGGTATGGACAGATCGCTAATGTCATCTTCAATCAAACTAGAATGATGCTTGTCAAATCATCAAGCACTGTATCTAGAGTGCATGCTCCTCGCTGGGCATGGCAAACACGCAAACAGGTGGTTGAAGGACACAGAATCGTTAAAGTAGAGATGGTGAACTGAAATCATGAATGTACGGGAAAAACACCAGTTATCTCACGGGCTACGTGAACATTAATCTGATCCTCTGCGCTCTTAAAACATCTGGCCAATTACACCTCTTTTCGTATTGGCCAGTTTCACGTCTCTTTGTCCATATCGTCTCGAAAATCTGCTTTGCAAGAGACGCATTGACAAGTCCTGTGGTAGTCAAACAACTATCAAACCAAGACCAGAAGAAATGCTGTGATTCCAGGCTAACTGCCTCGCAAGCAGCGATAAAGGCAGGCCATATGAGAGTGGCCGTGTTGCCCTCGCTATACCCAGCCTCATCTTGTCGAACGCGCACCAGGGAGTCCCGCACACTATCTACCTCCTGCTGTAGCAATGCAGCATCAAGGTCATAGATTCGACGGTAAAAGAAGATCCTAAGAGCAGTATACATCGCCAGTGCCCTTCCGTCTCCCGCCTGCGATGGACCCTCATTATCGTGCGCCGACAAATGCGTCGAAGTGCAAGATTCTAGAAGATGCTGGATCCCTCGTTCGAGTGTCTTCGCACGGACCCAAAAATCTTTTAGATTGAGCATCCCTTCATCCCCATTCTCGATTGATCGATCCCGCTCATTAGCAAGACGAATCACCTGCGACATCAGCATGAGGAAGCTCTCAGCGACCCCGTACATTTTCGGAAACAACGTCAAGCTCCATCGACCTGGAATCGCTAGGTGAAGATCTCGCTGAGCCACTCGAGGGTCTTTTTCAGTCTCCATTATGTTTCCGGAGAATGCGATGTTGGGACATTTTCGAAAATCAGTGTAGGCTGGATCTTCATCCGAGATGCTGGTTCTTCCAAGGTTGTCACTTAGATCGTCAGCGATGCTCGTGGTTTCGGCCATGATTCTCATATAGGCGTAGCAGTGGTGCAAGGCTCTCCGCTTCGGTGAGACAGTGGATTCTTTGAAGCCGTTGATGCAGATGAATTTCTCGGCTTGGATTAGGCAGAATAGGCGTTTCTCAGAATCTCCTTTAATCATCTGAGACAGCATGTTAGTTGTTTTTCTCGCCGAGCAATTGATCTAAGAATTGAGTGAAAACCCACATAAGCGGTTGAGAGACTCAAAATGGCCATGAGTATCTCTTTGTACTTGCTCCTCTTCGTTGGCAAAGTATAGGCCTCTTCAATGCACCGCAGGAAGTGGCCCTGTGCTCGCTTTAAATAAGTATTGCCGATGGATACCCAGTACTCAATGCACCAGGCAGAGTGATTCCCAAGATGAAAGGCACTGGTACTTAATACAGCATTCAATAAGGTCAATCGCGCATGAGTAGTAGCTCCATTCATTGTGACATCTCCAAGTGTGCTCACGGCACATGGCATCACAAGATTTAGCCACGGTGCATTCTGGCCGTGGCCGAAGGGTGAGATCAGTGGGATGATTCTGTCTTTGTAGTGAGACAGGAAATTCCAAGCTTCAGTATTGTTACTGAAAAAATTGGGCGATAACCCAGGGTCCGGTGTATGTAGAACGCTGTTGGTGAAGTCCGGACTTGGATCCCATAATTCTACCCCATCATTTTCTTGGTCACTGGGCCCGTCAAAGAGGCTTGATATGTGGCCGATCTCTTTATCTTCCCGTCGTATCAAGTCATCTAGTCCCGTCAACCATTCTTCGCACGACAATGACTCCACATCAAATTCATGATTTGGGACCTCTGGCTCGGGCGCTTGGGATAGTTTTGACACACCGAACGGTCCACGGAACAGAGAGAAAGGCGTGGTAGCGTTCAAGGTTGACTCGAATCGTTCCAAGTCCAGTAACGCTTGCGTGGGATCACGATATGGCACGGAGTTAATGACTTCATTGCTCATAGACTGCCGTTCGGCATCTGCATGATGTCAAATTGACCCATCAATGAAGATGAGAGTCTGAATACATACCAGTAAAGATCGCATGGCGGTGTTTGGCCGCTTTCTTCCCCTGTAACCACCAAACATTTTGCTGGCTCTCGACAAATGTCAGTCTGTACCCTTCATGTTCAAGATCCTCGTTGTTGTCATTTTCGGGTATGGATGGGGTTGAGAGAACGAATCTATTACTTTGGGCTGGTAGTCGAGGCCGCATAACCAGGGAGTCAATATTTTGAAGTATTCTACAATGATGTTCGCAGGAGGGGCGAGACTTTCAAGATATGAATGAGGTGCGAGATAAGAATGACTGTTCAATTGGCCCAGGTCAGGGCCCCACAATACTGGTTGATTAGGAAGGCGTTTCCACAGAATGCGGGGCATACAAAACACGGTCACGAAATGAATCCCTCACAATCAACTCTCTAGAAACCTTCAAGACTGACACTACCTCTATGAGTGAAAAGATTCATTGGGACACATTTTGCATGGCAGATAAAGATCTCTGGAAGGAAGATTTCATTGTCGGAATAGTTCGGAAGCACTTCCCTTCGCAGGATCCCTGGGCACTATCTACGAAAGCCACACTTTCGACTTTGACTTCGTCGACGGGTTTACGATTGGGTTTCCAAATCCCGTGAGCTTGATAAAATAACACGAGTAGTAGGCAAGAGAAGATGTCATTGACGACATTGAGACATTGACAGTTCGCTTTAATTCGGAATTGAAATTCATTGACAGGAATCCCCCAGGTGCTTCTGACTGGAACTTATAAACATAAAATATCTAACCTTGGTGGGCAAACAACTTGGCGATGCGCAGGTTATTATAATCCCACGCTGTAATATCATCATACCGGCACGGCGTCGACGGAGTAATAAACTTTTTGAAGGGAAACAGTGATGCGGTACGATTGGGCTTCGCAAAGTACGCGATAGAGAATCGCTCAGGACTGATATCGTCCGAGCCCACCTTAACTGTAGGCGGATATGTAACGCGGTGGCACGCAGCGCGGAAAGTATCATTCGTCAAACGTTGCAATGAATCGCCAATGTTCAAGATGATCTCAGTCTTGTCTGCTGACTCGATGTTCCGGAAGGTACCCGGCTGTTGCTGGTCCTCCACTTGCAAGCCGCCCACCGAGTCCTGGAACAGCATGGTAATGGTGCCAAAATCGGTATGTTCTGCAATTCGTGTCGCAGTGCCATCTGCCAGTTCGGAGGCTTTGATGGATGGGTAGTGCAGGAGACGGAACTCGTTCTCAGCTCGGCTGTGCAGTGCTGTCATTTGCTCGGGGGGAACTTCGAGTGCTTCTGCTAGGGCGGAGAGGATCTCGAGCTCGACTTTAAAGCATTCTTCGTAAAAGTCTTCCATGAATTTGTGGAACCCCGGGAGCTTGGACTCTTCTACCCAGATGTTGTCTACCATGTCATCATTTGCTGAGCCCATGTCGAGAGTTTCCTGATGTCTTCTTAGTACGAGCCTGAATTTCTGGTGTACAGGGTGGAAAACCTTGATGTCACGAATTGCCTTTCCTGGGGACAGCCCTTTTTCATACCCGCTTATGCTGGAGACTGACTCTTGTCCAACGTAACTGTATCCGCGGTTGGGCGTGGATTCGGGAGGATGTTTGGCCGTCATCTTGTCCTCGTGCGAAAGAGCGAAGAACTTCCGAGTCTGTAGAGAGGTAAGTAACCGGAAGGCCTCTCAGTAATGTGTCACTTACATAGTCAAACAGCCCGTGAATAAGTTCGTCAGGAAGACCATGGTTCTTCAACTTGGCGCCACCCCGGGTTTTCAACGTTTTGAGCAGAGCGGCAGAGACCTCTTCCCTCTGGGAGGGAGTCCCCTTTAGCAAGGATAGATCGAGAGCTTCTGACATTTTGATGACAAGATTACGTTGTAGATGAGTAATGTCTATCTCCGTGAGTACTTTGATCCTTGAGCGTAAACGATGACTTGAACGACGCCGCACATCTAATTTATAGGTTGAGGGCCGTCATTATTTGCCCGATAGACATGAACCCATTTGAGAAGGTAATATTCAATGCATTGGTTCTGCTCATCATCACCTTCTCTTTGTGATGTTTTAAACAAACCCCGCAAGGTCTAGAGCCGATCATGTTCCCGAATAAGCTGAGTGGAGACTACAATTACCTTCCTCACCCACAAGCCCTCCAATCAGAGGTCTGTATAATTATGGGTCACCTTCCAGTGACTCGAGAATACGATGATTCCTAGGTAGCTCTACGTAGGGGATTTCCTGTGACGGGTGGGGCGTTCCCCCTTTGACTGCCGCCGCTTTAATGAGGACGCTCAGACTCAGACTGAGTAAAATCAGTCCGGGCTCAGAGTCAAAGCGAACGGAACCATTGAGAAGATCAAATCTCCAAACCAAAGCTTTACCAAAAAGGATTTCATGAGAACAATATGTTCTTCGTGGCAGACGGATCATCGCCGTTTTATGCCAGGGCTACTCAAAGTGACTATCTGACTGGCCCTTCAACTATATTTCTTCATTCGCGCGAGAATTGGAGCTTTCATACCAGCCCATGAGGATAAAATGGAAAGAGGTCTCCGAAACAAGGTCAGGAAAATCTATGAGGACAGGTAAAATCCGAATCACCAAAATGTTCGCTCTCAGCTCCACTTTCGACTTTTTATGCAGGATTAAGATGGTTAACCCATTCTATAATGGTGGGTGTGGGTGTGTGTGTGTGTGTGTGTGTGTGTGTGTGTGTGTGTGTGTTCCTGCAGGTAAAGACGGTTATCTGTGCCCAAAAAGCCTATTTTTACATTTATTATCTGTCTCAGCCAGACATCTCCCTGACTGCCACTCGTTTCAAATATTTTGAAGGCCAAAATAGCTTGAGAATCAGATGTCGGTTTTATTACGGGGCTTAAGTTATTTGCTAAACGTGTGGTGTCACCATTGTGCATATAATGTGGTATGAGCTTCATTGAAATCGAGGCTCGGAACGATATGTCCGATTCACGTTGAAGTGCTAGCTAACGGCGAATAGAACTCTTTCTCCCAAGTAGCCAGCTCAAAATATCTCGATACAGTTCGAAGGGGTGCCTTTGACGCCACTGAACCCTCAAAACAACATGTCAGGTAAGGTGCCGCTTGCAGGATAAGACAAGCTGTTTCTTCTGCCATGGCCAGGTTCTTTTTTAATGATTGAGCCTGTATGTCAAGCAAGCTTCGCTGGAGTTTTATCATTTGCATAAGAAGTTCCAGCCGATACGACCAGAAGGTCACAGCAAGACCTGCCTTTTGGGTATTTTGGAAACGGATTTGGTATGTTTCATCTGGGAATGAGGGTATGCAAATCGAGTCGACGTCGACAAATTTGCTTGGCATTGGGATATCCGAATGCCAGTATAGAGGACCCTGCTCGGAAGCTTTCCAATTGCTTTCCCAGTCTTCTAATTGATTGAAGATGACCCGGTAATCATTCAAAAGGGAGAGAGTGAGTTCTAGATTTTGATCCGTAGAATCCGAGGTTTCTTGATTGGAATCGTTGAAAGCGGAATTTCCACGCCCATCAAACCAACGATCTGTTTGGTAGAAGAGCCCGGGAATCTGCAATGCAACATCGTGAAGAAATTCCATTCTAGCCTTCTGGGCATTCAGAAATGGGAGACGTATCCAATCTGGATCTGCTAGGAAGGTTGGGGTATGCCTGCTGATTCTAACAGAGAGCTGTGGACTTATTAGCCAAAGTAAGAGCAGTGAATATTGAAAGCGTACAAATATTCCCCTGAATCCACTAAAAGCCTGTCGCATGTGAGGTGAAGAGAAATTGTTCGGCCCATAGAGCTCTAAAATGCTCAAGACTCCACCGACGTGGGCGGAAAGAGCAGTCTCCGAGTATTCATTTTCGTTCACGAACTGGAAATAGTAGTTAGAGAAGGAATGTTTTTTTCCCCAATTGTGGACCTGGTTCTCACTTCAAATACCAGAAATGCTATCGCTAGTAGCAGAATATATTCCAGTTTGACCTTTGATCTCGCACTGCGTTGGCTATTCTCTATGACCTGTTGGATATGCGGACGTGACTTTTTCAAGGCAGATGTGTACGATGACTGTGCAAGTTGTGCTAAATCTTCGTCATTTCTCAAGTTTCCCATGTAAGTTGCGAGGAGACTGAAAATGGGTAGATTGAGCGAATTGATCTGCAAAGACGTGAACCGCAGTAAAGCTCGAATGCACAATGCTGCGCTCGAATAATGGGGGTCACCTCGCGATATTCTATCGCCCCTGAAGACACCCCCAAGGGGATGAGGTTCAAAGTCGTTGATCAATGCCAAGAACGTCAAGCGTCCAGGAAAATCAATGGAAATTATATCAAATGGTGGGCTTGGCTTAGTGACAGCTAGCGCAGTTCTTCGAGATGGAGAATCATCCGTGCTAGTACTCGTACTTGAGCTCTCAAAGTTGGCGTTGGCTGATTTCGGCTTCCTTCTATTTTGTAATGCGTAGACTAGCGCTTTTTTGTCACTTTCTTGGGTCAGAGTTGTAGCGTTCCGATTGATAAACGTTCGTGAATCTTTGGGGCCACTGCATTTGACACCAGATTTGCAACATCGAAGACACTCAGGTTTGTTGAGGTCACACTAATTGTTTAAATTTGTTTCTATAATTAATACAGAGTCCGAGTATATCACTCTAAGAACGGAACGATATGCATACCTTCTTGCGGCGTCGTCGGCATTCATCGCATCCTTGAGAAGCTCCTGGGTAGAGCGGCATGGCGCGACTCGGCAATCAGCAGAAAGCTCAAGAGCATCCTATATGGGCCACTGCTTTGCGAGGAGCGCGCAGTGACTGCCGAATATATGTTGGTGCTTGTCAGCTTCGCCCGACGATCCCGCCCTTTCGCCACGATCGCACTAGTCCCAAAAAGGAAGTCACAGCGCCCGAGGATCGATAGTACGTACTTTTCATGCTTTTCTCTGGCGCGCCCTCAACCCAAATGATACGTAATCTGGCAGTCTTCATTTTTGTTGAATAATACATTATATCTTGCAATTGTCAATGATGACAGACTAGTACCGAACACCGATACTATTATAAATCAACTTTCTGGACAGGGTATAAGAGGGAAGAGCAGGTACGGTGGTTTCATTTGACATACATTCAAAAGCATTCTACTCAATTATCTGCAGCCATGAGCTCCCGCACTGCTGTCCTCCTCATTGATCCCCTCAATGACTTTCTCCACCCCGATGGAAAGTTGTATCCCACCATCAAGGCTAGCTTGGAGGCGACCAATTCTTTCGAACATATGAAGGAGCTGGTTGCCGGCGCAAGAGCAGCCCACATTCCTATCTTCTACGGTCTTCATCAAATCACCAAGGATGGAACTTATTCAGGCTGGAATCACATGAATGCGTCTCTGATCAAAATTAAACAAAATGCGGCCTTTTCCGAGGACTTCGGTGGCCAGATTCTGAAAGAATTGGAGCCTCAGCCTAGCAACGGCGATGTAGTTGTCTCTCGACACTGGAACAGCAGGTGAGTATTAGGAGGCCAATTGCATTCAAGCCATTGATTTGTATAGAGAGTGATGCTAATTTAGATAACCGCCAGTTCCTTTTCGAACACCGACCTGGAGTACCAACTCCGGCAGCATGATATTACTCACGTCGTGATAGCGGGGTTAGTGACCAACTCATGCGTGGAGTCTACTGCGCGGGCTGCTCGTGAACTGTAAGTATTTCCGAGCTACCTGGCCTTTTGATTATACTTTACTAAGAATTCCTTCTGATTGAATAGTGGCTTTCATGTCACTTTGATGTGAGTTTTAATTTTATCTCTAATACTAAAGGCTGAAGGTCTCAAGACGGGGATGCTAACTTCAAAACCAGTACCGATGCAACTGCCGCATTTTCGATAGAGTTGGAAAAGGCAGCAGTCAATCTAGTTTGGCCCTTGATTGCAGATCAGCTTATGACGGCCAAACAGTGGGTATCCTCCTTCTCAAAGGGGCGTATCTAGGTGTGGGTCTGGCAAGGAACAACAAAATACATCATCAAGGGAATTACACTAGATCTGGTTGAAGCACGGAATCTATATGTTTGCGTACACCCAAAGGTAGAATCCAATGAGGGCTAGTGTTCAGGAAGAATACGGTAAGTTGTATGTGTGAATATATGACCCAGTCGTTGCGTTATGGGATGAGGGTTTTTAACCGAGATTAGATTACTTCACAAAATAAGTTCCCTGGCAAGATGTGGGGAAGCACCCCTATTCACAGCTACATCGATGCATCACAACGCCACGGGCAGTAGGCTCATTGTATCCTTCGTAATAGCTCAGACTCTACCCTCATTCAGCCGTGAAGAGGCTTTCTCCCATAGACAGCGACTCTGCTCATGATTAGTAAAAGTACTCAGGTCATCGAAGGGGTTGGGTGAAAGCGTACGTCTGAACATATGCATGTAATCTCTTATCCCGCAGCTCCTGCTTGACCACAGCATTATGAATCTTGGCCGCATCCGAGCCCCATCCCAGCACCTGCGTGTACAAACGCAGGGAATAGGAATCGATGGCTTGCTGTAACTGCACAGCCTGGTACTTCCCCAAAGCCTTCAGATGGGGATCGCGTGGCCAGGGCGAGAACGGCAGCAGGTAGACCGATAATTTGACATCCTCGAAACCGGCTTCAATCATCCAGTCCTTCAGCTTATGGTATATGTTCAGCTCGCGACCGATTTTATCGCCTGCGAAATTGATGGCCTGCTGCCATTCCATCAGCGCAGAATTCGGCTTGAGGGAGCCGTCATCACTGCGAGCCCACACAGCGCTCTCGTGTGACTCAAAGTAGCCACCGGGTTTGACGTGGTCGTAGATCCGACTGATGAACCTGGGCCAGTCGGCCACGCATCTGCGCAGTGTGTCAGAGCGCGTTATACCCGTGGTGAGGTAGGGAATAGGTGACGTGGACATACCCTGCCAGGCATCGTGCATGGATGAAGTCGAAATAATTTGGTTCATAATTCCATTCGCTTTCAAAATCTTCCACGATGAACTCGATATTGGGGGCCACCCAACTAGGCTGGATAGGGCTAATATCAGTCCCAATGACGTGGGCGCTAGGGAATTTCCTATGATTCGAGGTCAGTATTACTATCATACCAAGATTGGAGGATGGAGGGGTTCGAGTACTCAGCAATGTCCATGGCCCAAATGCCTGTTCCGGTTCCTAGGTCAAGAATGTTCTGTGGTGATGATTTGATAGGGGCATTGTAGAGCTCCCCTCCTAGGAGCATCAGCCATCTGTAGTTCTCTGGTTAGCCAGGCTCGTTCACCGAGCATACGTTGCGTCACGGACATGTGGTGTGTCTGAATGAAGAGTCAGTGTGCATACATGGAGAGTCACAAGGGAGAGTGTCCTACGATATCCATTCGATCCTGCTCCTCCTCATCGTTCGGCATCCTTACTTGGTCAGTCTTCACGAGCAGGAGTCTCTAGAGAATAATGCGAAAGTACATATAATTTCCCTAGTATTAGATAACGGTTTAGTTGGCCCCTGAAGCTTCGTCCCAAGCATATGGGTTGGGCTAACTTACGGAGCGGTTACTGCAATACCGGCGACCGTTTTCATACTCAAACTCGAACACGCTCTCCGACAGGGAGGTGAGATCGGATAGATCATCGGGGAATTCACCGTTGGAGTCCTGCCAGATGGCCAAGAGTTAGTGCTCGGGCTCATTGTAAGCCCGGAGCCTGAGTCTACGTACAGAGCTAAAATCATCGACCGCAATTGGCCCGGGCGGGTTGACATGGGTGTCCACGTTGGCTAGAGAGTCTAGTGGGGCGGATTCGGATGGCGCCGACTGCGACTCCGCCAAGGACGCTTCGTGGAGAGTGTACTGCATTTGATGGTGATGTTGAGGGAAGGAACAAGAAGGGGGGAAATTTTTTGGGAGGAAGATGCAGAGATCTCTCCCCTTCTTAAAAAATGCGTACTGTGCAAACAACTCCGCTCGGTACGGCGAGGGTAAGGTTCGCATCCAAACTGTCGGGAACGCTCATGGCAACTTTTTTGGATCTATCGTGCACTGGTGCCCTAGACCCCTCACGTGGAAATGGGAGATGCCTTAGTCACCAGTAAGCAGGTCGGGTTGTCCTACTGTTGAGTCTAGATCCGTGGAGTGGGTACCAATGAAAGCCGACTAATTGAGGCTGGAAATTATTTCCAACTCCCAATCTTCTTCTGATGAATCATGCTTCCTGCAGCGAAGTCGTCCCCCCCTTTGCAGACTGACACAATCAGGAAAATACTGTGAAACCTCACAGGTCGTCAGAGATACCATCTTGATAGAATCCGGCAGAAAGTCTCATAGATTAGAGCCCCGCCAATGGCCTACGGTAGGTATGCCCCGGAAGGCTAAAATTCCCATGGGCCCCGAATCCATTCATCCATAATGGCTCGCGACAAAATTTCCTTGACGGTCGAAGTTTGACAGCGCCTACGACCGCAGAAATGATACGGTCCCGTGTGGCGAACTCGATTTTGAGAATTTGAGATATGCCAACAGCACATGTACTCGGTTTAGTGCCAGGCAAGAAGTCTGCACATACCCCTGTGGTTTTACATGGTACTCTGCCCCAAAGTACCTATTTCTAAATTTATCATTGGCCAAGATGCCTGGGCATGATTGAAATCAGCAGGCGGTATCTGGACGACGGCGGGGCTGTGTGCAAACCTCTTGCCTGGCACTCTTTGAGTTGAACGTGGTAGGTACAATCGACTAGGTAGAACATGGCAGGAAAGTAAATACAAGATCCGCCTAGAATAAGAGATGGGGATGAGGTTTTAGGGAGGGAGGTGGCGGGTAAGGCAGGCAAAGCGGGATATGGAAACAACGAGGCCAATTAGAAGCAGACCTGGCCCGGTCGGCATTTGACCTTCCACTATGAAATATAACAGCTTGGCGGGGGGCCAGCATTCTTGAGCCAAAATTTAGTGCCTGTCCCAATGTGGCTTGGTCGTTTCCCTCCTCCAATCAATCAAGAGGCCTCATTGCTCTGATCTAGCTGACAAGCCCCTGTCCCGCATACAACCTATTACAATTGGCGCAACATAATGCGAGTGTCAATTCATTTGCAGCGAACAAGAGAACTCATTACATGGGTATAAGTGCTTCCATCTGTTCTATCCTCCCATAAAGCGAGGTATTGCTTCTACCATCATTTTCGAGAAGGATCCAGTTCTATTGACTTATCCATAACCAAATGTTCGAAACGACTCAAATATCCGACGTGAAAGCCTCTCGTAGGCTTCAGTCTTCATCATAATGATTCTCTCCACTTTGCAAGCCCTGGCCGGCAGTACGTCAATAGCTTCTCCCGGCTGATGATTCCTTGATTAATATTGTCCTAATGAAAGAGCCCGTAACCGGCTCCTTTCTAAGCTCTACGTGATGATCTAGGCTGACCTTCACACATTCCAATCTCTCGGAAGCACAAAGCTGAATCTCTATTTGCTCCGATATTGCATCGGCTAGCATCTTTCATGGCATAAATATGTTGTTTTGCACGGAATCCGTGGGCCACGCACTGACCTTCTAGGCACGGTCATCATGTCGGCTCGCACCGTCCCTCTCTGCCTAAGGCGGGGGTCCAATGAACGAAGCCTTGAACCCCTGTTCTGCGGAGTCGGACAGATCAACACACATAAGCTTGTGTCCCCCGCTTTTAGAGGTTGATAGGTGTCACTTTTGGGCTTCTCTTCGAATCTGAAAAGAAACGAGAAGAGCCTCGAAATCTCTCTGCACAATTTTTCTATTATTGTTTACGGCCATACTCCACTTGGAATTATGTATTGACCTCGCCCTGTCTCTACTCCTCATCCCAAACCGCTAGGTAGTGAACACAAGTAATAATGGTCGAGGCTAGCGGAACAATCTCTGCGGTTCTGACAGTGGTGAAAACTTCCATCTCGACTTCAAGCCCGAGACGGCCATCGGGGAGAGTTCCGGAGATAAGTCCAGTTTTGAGTCCCTAACACGCATTCTCAGTGAATCACTTAGATGGTACTTCAGAAGAGAAGAGGTTTTTGCTCTGATCGGGTGTTTAAAATTGACGAAGGCCATATCATCACATGCTATAGGAGGTCTAGCGCTATATATATTGGACTTGCTATTCTTTGCAGCAGACGTATGCTACTGATGACCCCCTGGCTTCTGACATTCGGAACATCCAGTATGATGAGTAAAGGCGTGGCACGCGGCATTTTCTGTATATTGGCGCGATCGTTAGATTAAAATTAGAGCTTAGAAAGGTTCAACTTCAATTTGATATAGGTGGCGTCGAAAATGAATCATCAACTATTGTGTTAACCAATGACAACCCTGCGGTCTATTTTAATTACCTTAGTGTGATTGGCCTTCTATCTCGCCGCTTAATGCGCTGTCTTCTTAAATAACCTTATTTCATACATAACGAGGATACCTAGGCAGAATTGGTGGGTACTGCGCTGTATAAATGTGAAGCTCTGATTATTCGTCACTTTGCTGATATCTCTAAAAGTATAACTCACCATGTCAAGGAGTGTGTTAGATACAAAGGCTGGCACGCTTGTTTTCAAGGGGCTTTGTATGCGGATTGATGATATGGTGTATTACCGGGAGGAAAAATAGTGGGTCCTTTAGCATACGAAGGTACCATAGTGTAAATACTGATGAACCATGACTGTACGTCAACTTATCTGGAAATTACTATCTAGGGCCGACCCGATAAAAGAAGCCCACGCTCTTCACGATTCTGCCATTGATTTTCGCGCTGCCAGTTGCCTTCTTCGTTCTAAACCTGATTCTAAAGCGCACTCGTTTACCGGGACACTTTGAAGAGGCTTACGAAGTCACCGACACAGTGGTGATAGACATAGGAAAGAAGCAGCTGCACTTCAAATAATTCTCAATTCATCTATACCAAAGAAAAAGTCGAATTTTGAAACCCGGGAGTAATGTAAAACATGTTAGTTCGAATATCGGGATGGAAGTCCTTTGGGTAATCCAAAGTAAAAGACTAGCATCTGCATGGCTGCTCGGGATTCTTGTTAAGAGTTTCATGATTATGCTTTCCGTGAGTCTGACAGGAGTCGTCATGGGCCTTGGGGAGTTCGTGAGGTACTTCAAACATAGGCTTCAGGAGAGTAACGCCGGTTGTGCGCGACAGCGACAAGGACTGGAGTATAAATAGTTAGCAGTTCCAGTGCGTGGACTCAGCAATGATTCAGCTGTAGCTCGTCGGCATGCAGATCATCAAATGGATCAATCGACGGTGCGTGAATCGGAAGAAGCGCGGAATTTCCTACAGGTACGGCGGTAGTACAGTATGTAGCACCCGTTTAGTATGACTTTCACATGCGGCATCACATGTTGGCCGCTCGTATGACGCATCCCGGATGATTTCCCCCAGACACATCACAAGCCGGGACAATTCGGCCCAATACCCCAGGCATGCTGAACCGAATGAAGCCGAGTTCTGGCTCAAATTCCAGACCAATGCTTGCATTTCCTGAGCTCTGTGACTGAGCCGCGGCTTGATTGGCAAGCTCGGGCATGCGGGGAGAACAGAAAAGGGCGAATGGCGGCCCGCCTCGGGTGAGTTAGGAGACGATTGTAGCCTGGGGCAGGGATTGGGGCGAACTAGGGTTGGACAATGACGGAAACTTTGTTTTTGGGGCGAATGGCGCAGACTGGACAATTCATCGTGTTGCTCATCACGACTTGAGCGAGAATCATGGGATAAAAAACCTATAAGACCGCACGTCTTTCCGGAGGAGAAATTGTGAGTAGACCCGGATAGCAGTGCGCCGGTCGCGCAGCGAGTTGACTCGGTATGCGGCGCATCCCGAGTGATTTCGGGGGCCGCGACCGCCTTTTGAGTGCCGATTTGGAGGGTTGAAGGTTGGTGTAGACTGGGGGTTTCGGGGAACGGGCGATGTCGGCCGAGTGGAGGAACCGTTTGGGGCAGTTTTCCGTCGGGAAAGTCAGGTGCGAAGAAGCTGAAGAGAGAGCTGATTGGGTGGAGATTTCAAGGTGGGGTCGGCCTGGGGGAAGCTGGACGATAGCCGAAAAGGAGTGAGAGACTCGATTGGCCCGGCGGAACAAGAAAGAACAGCCGCGGCTCTCTTGCTCTGACGTCTGCTATCTCCGCCTTCGGGCGGGCGGCTGGTTCGAGGATCTTGTATATAGTCTGAAGACGTCGGCTGCAAGAAGAGTCCTTCCTCTTCTTCTACTCTGTTCTGTCACATCCTATCCATCACTCAATCCCGCTATCAATTGGATGGACCATCGATACTATCGGTAGCATCTATACAAAAGACCCCACTCTTCAGGCTATCCACTATCTATACACTCCATATACCCTTCCACCCTCACAATGGCCGCCACCGTCGACTCACACCTCAAGGACGTGGCCATCCTGGCCAGCATCCCTAACGATGCCCGCAAAATCCTGACCAAGGAGGCCTGCGCCTTCCTGGCCATCCTCCACCGCACCTTCAACCCCACCCGCAAGGCCCTCCTCCAGCGCCGTATCGACCGCCAGGCCGAGATCGACAAGGGCCACTTGCTCGACTTCCTCCCCGAGACCAAGCACATTCGTGAGAACGACGCATGGAAGGGTGCCCCCCCTGCCCCCGGTCTGGTCGACCGTCGTGTCGAGATCACCGGTCCCACCGACCGCAAGATGGTTGTCAACGCATTGAACTCCGATGTCTGGACCTACATGGCCGACTTTGAGGATTCCTCTGCCCCGACGTGGGAGAACATGATCAACGGTCAGGTCAACTTGTACGATGCCATCCGTCGCCAGGTCGACTTCAAGCAGGGCGGCAAGGAGTACAAGCTCCGCACTGACCGCAAGCTCCCTACTCTGATTGCTCGTGCCCGTGGCTGGCACCTGGAGGAGAAGCACTTCACCGTTGACAGCGAGCCCATCTCCGGTTCTCTCTTTGACTTCGGTCTGTACTTCTTCCACAACGCCAAGGAGCTGGTTGCCCGCGGTGCCGGTCCTTACTTCTACCTCCCCAAGATGGAGTCTCACCTCGAGGCTCGCCTGTGGAACGACGTCTTCAACCTGGCCCAGGACTACATCGGTATGCCCCGCGGCACCATCCGTGGTACCGTCCTGATCGAGACCATCACCGCCGCCTTCGAGATGGACGAGATCATCTACGAGCTGCGCGACCACAGCTCCGGGCTCAACTGCGGCCGCTGGGACTACATCTTCTCCTTCATCAAGAAGTTCCGTCAGCACTCCAACTTCGTCCTCCCCGACCGTTCCGACGTCACCATGACCGTCCCCTTCATGGACGCCTACGTCAAGCTGCTCATCAAGACCTGCCACCGTCGCGGCGTCCACGCCATGGGTGGCATGGCCGCTCAAATCCCGGTCAAGAACGACCCCGTCGCCAACGACAAGGCCATGGAGTCTGTCCGCGCCGATAAGCTGCGCGAGGTCCGCGCCGGCCACGACGGTACCTGGGTTGCCCACCCGGCCCTGGCCGCCATCGCCTCCGATGTCTTCAACAAGTACATGCCCACCCCCAACCAGCTCTTCAAGCGTCGCGAGGAAGTCAACATTACCGCCAACGACCTGCTGAACACCAACGTTCCCGGCAAGATCACCGAGGATGGTATCCGCAAGAACCTCAACATCGGCCTGAGCTACATGGAGGGCTGGCTGCGCGGCGTCGGCTGCGTGCCCATCAACTTCCTGATGGAGGACGCCGCTACCGCCGAGGTCTCCCGCTCCCAGCTGTGGCAGTGGGTCCGTCACAACGTCACCACCGCCGATGGCAAGCGTGTTGACAAGGCCTATGCCCTGCGTCTGCTCCAGGAGCAGGCTGATAGCCTTGCCTCCCAGGGTGCCAAGGGCAACAAGTACCAGCTTGCTGCCCGGTACTTCGCTGGCCAGGTGACCGGTGAGGATTATGCCGATTTCCTGACTAGCTTGTTGTACAACGAGATCTCCTCCCCTGGCTCTGCGGCTAAGCTGTGAGTGGGGTTGAGCTAGTGGAAATCTGGACTGGCGGTGGTGGATCATGATTATGAATACCCTTATTTTTCCTTTTTTTCCCCTTTTGGTCATTCTGCATTTTCTTTTGGTTTCATTGGTGATGATCAATTAGCATTGTTGTATAACATTCATTGAATATACGTTATTTCAAAACTTTATCTTCATACCAGTCGTGTCGATATCATGGTAAACACTCCTAATCCTCTGCAACAGACCCGGTGCAGAGTAGTGCGATAGGCTTTCAGGCATGTAAAGAGGAGGTGAAAAATGTCTCTGCAAATACTATCGACCAACGTGCTCATTGATATGTATCTTACACCACTTCTGTCTTCCTTGGAGGGAATTGATGGATATTACAATTATTTATTTCCCACTAAACCACATAGGCGTAAGCTAATCTGAATTCAGTTGTCGACTTTAGCAGAAAACAGACCATGAGGTTCACGCGGGGCTTGGTCTAGCCTCCTTACTTTCTCAGGAATATAGCAGACTATAGGAGAACTAAGAACGCGTTAGTCGGATTCCATTAGTGAATAATCATACAAGACAAAAGTGGGGCACCGTCAATAAACGTTAGTGCCATGTTCAAAATCAGATTCCCCCGCGTACACTCGTAGAACTACTTCTCAAACCCTAAGTAGTGACTTCGGAGATGGGAAACCGTTTGGGAGGATAACAGGTAAAAGGCAGGTGAAAATGGGAAAGCCATCGGACCCTTCAAGACCTTACTTGTATTATACAGTAAATTATGTTATTTCAAAACGGACGTCTTTATCCAGCCTAGCCTCGAGTTCTATCTAAGCTAGATTTAGACTAATGTGTTCGATTTCGAATATGGCAGTAGTAAACAATCTTCACGGAAAATAATTGCGGACGCGTACTTCGTACTTTTGTCCCTTCAGATTGTAACTGAGTACTAACTAGTCCATTGGCATTAGCTTACTGCATGGGCACTGTAGATAAATAACTTGACACCCCGCTCGTGTTTTTTCGCCCCGCCCGCCCCGCCCGCAGTCCTTACCCCTTCCTTCTCTGTGCTTGCATATAACCCCAGCTCGCGATCATGTCCGCCGAGATCGCAGTTGTAAGTCAAAATACATTGCCTAAAACCATATTCTATTTCTTACAAAAAGATAGGACCCAGACTACTACACGCTTGACAAAAAGGTGTCTGCAGATGATGATTGGAAGTCGTGAGTGCGCCCAGCATAATTCGTGGCACTTTGCACACCGTGGCTAATCAAAGCTTGGGCAGCGATACAACCTCCCTGGCTTCAGAGGTAGCAAGGGGGCGGTTAGAAAATGGGCGTAGGTGAGGATAACATGCTTCAAGCTCAATTGATACGGTCGGACTGATTGAACTCTCTAGGTACCAATCGCTGAAGTCGGAGGAGTACTGGTATGGTGATACACAAGCACATCATTCCGGACCCACGGCTAATTTCATGCGATAGGTCTCCATCCGATGACCAGCAATTCGAGGCCTATGAGACTGGGTCAGTAATTATGCCCGTTAAAGAGAGAACTAGAATTTTGACAACTCTTGATATAGCCATCTGGTGGCACTTCTGCTGGAATATCATCAACCTAAGTTGCTGCACCGAGCTCCTCTCAAAAACCCGAAGGTAGGTTTGCTGGCCTATAACAAGCGACGCAGGATGCTGAATACAGACCTAGAATATCCTGGATGTTGGAACTGGTAAAGGTAGCTGGGCTATGTAAGATGAGGCAATTTTGGAAATTTTGCGATCATTCTGACATTCGCGTCTAGCGATATGGCGGATGCCTATCCCGAAGGTGCGTCTTGAGTATACAACCTATAACCTACTATCAGCACTGATGAAAACTAGCGACCGTCCGTGGAGTTGACCTATACCCTCCTCCGGTTAACTGGATGCCCCCGAATTGCATTTTTGAGTTAGACGACCTCCTGCAAGAGTGGACATGGTCTGAGCCGTTCGATTTTATCTATCTACGCCACATGCTGGGGTCATTCGATGAGGTGGGATGGAATACGCTATATAAGCGCTGCTACGAGTCAGCTCTACCTTACACTAAATTTTCCCTTGCGAGATCTGCGCCATATTTTGGTCATGAAACTAATGTGTCGCCTTTGCAGCAACCTCGAGCCCGGTGGTTGGATTGAGGAATTCGAGCTTGATGTTCGAGTCAAGACGGATGACAATTCTCTACCAGAGGACTCTGAGCTGGCGAAGTGGGGTGAAAACTTCATTGGATGCTCTCAAAGGGCTGGGCGCCCCCTGAATGTCCAAGAAAGCATGCGATCGAAGATCGAGAAGGCCGGTTTCATCGACGTACATGAGCAGGTTTACAAAGTTCCCATCGGGCCTTGGCCTAGAGATAGGATATACAAGGAAGTTGGACAGCTCAACTATCACCACTGGGTGACTGGCATGGAAGGCTATGCTATGTGGCTGCTCACTAAATTTGGCGCTCCCACGCCCTGGACCGCCGACGAGGTGCAGATTTACCTCGCGAAGGTTCGGGTGGAATTGAAAGATCCACGCATTCATGGCTGGCATTATGGGTAGGTTTATTTGACGATCATGATGGGATCCATTGCTAACTCGGTTCCACAGACGAAAGATCTGGGCCAGGAAACCTAGCGAGGTTGAGATCAAGAGAGAGCCCACAGAGGCTCCCATTACGCCTAAGTCATCCCCTTGAGGGCTTCAATGCCTCATGGAAGTCGCTGGTAAACACTTTCATACATAAATCGCCAAGGTTGGACACGTACTCATCCTCACCTTCACCTTATGCTATTGTATTTTCGAACTTTCATCCAGTACATTTAGTTCCTTCTTGCAGATATTTTCTTCTCGCCTTGGCACAATATCATACATTTGATACAATCGCTAAGGGCTTTCGTTCTTTCTCAAAGACTGAGACATTACCGGGGAGAGCTTGTCCGACCTAGGCCTGTATTTTCGCTGTGAAATGCTATAATAATTCTCCCCCCCCCCCCAAATCAATTGCGTATTCACTATTCTGCAAAGTCCACCTGAGAGATCTAGGTCTGATCGGCTCTTCCAAGTCCCCCGGATTGGAAATTGTCTCCTCTCCTCTACCCCTGTGAGTCCCTTCAGGTTCGACCTCCTCGACTTGTAGTAGGCCAAGAAGGAGTCCATTTGCGAGTCCCAGGTATCATTGGGTGGACTTGGCTCTTATGGATGTGCCGATGCCTATGAGAGTGTAGCCTCTCGATACGACGCAGATGATGGTCGCTGGTGCTCGCCTGAGCTCAACTGTGAATTGCATGATCGATTCAAGCGAGGACTTTGTTGTCCAAAGTCTAAAGGATTCAACAAATCGAGGTGCGACATGAAGGATGACGCAGCCTGATTGCTATCAGCAAGAGGGAAGCTAGGAGAAGAGAGATTCAAGAAGCGAGGAAAATAGCTACAAGTCTATCTTGGCAAACGCCACTGATTGCGGAAGCCGATGGCGCAACTGCGATCTCCCCATGACATGCTAGAATATATCAATCTCCTTGGTGCGAAGGATCTTCTATAATTACAGCAATCATTTTCATCTACAGTATACAATACGGAAGGCATTCTCGGCTGCCACAATCTTAGCACCAACAAGGCCAGAGCTGCCTTACACGAGCTTGAAATTCATGACTCAAGAGACAGTGTCACGCGATCAGAAGGAGCGCGCATGATCGGCCCCTCTTCATATACAATGTTGAACAATCAATATAAACAGTAAGGGAATAGGCTGGTCAAGTCTTATGGTTGAAGTCCTTAGGTATGCACCCAGGCTCTCGTCGGTTTCCATCCTCTCCAAGAAAATCTATCAAAAGCGTTCCGTCCCTATGGACCAACAATTCAAAGTCCAATAGAATGCCTGCCGTCCGTCTATCGTGCAAGGTGAATTCTCATTCGGTCCATCAAGGCAATTCTTGCACCAGTGTATGAGCTTTGCGACCAATAATGAAGGTCCAAATGATGGCCTTTACTTTATGGTACGAACGACGTCTTCGATCGCCTGAGCGACGTATTCAACGTTACCTTCATTGACTATCGAAATAATCAGTCATTAGTTTTTTGTGAAATTCACTTGGTTAGATATTAGAAACTCACGTCCAGAAATTGAGATTCGACCGGATTTCAACATGTAAATGTGATATTTCTCCCGAATCGCAGAGACTTGTGGCTCAGATAGCCCGATATATGTGAACATACCAATCTGCTTCGATATCAACGACAGACTCGGTTAGTTGTACGGAGCAAGTATAACATACCTGGCTCACAATGTGCTTCCAGTCCCCAGGTGTTTTCAGTCTTAGCATTTCGTTGTATAGGGTGTGCCTCATGCGCTGGATTCTTTGGCTCATCGTGGTGAGGTCTTCAAACCATCTCTCACGGAGTCTCTCGTCTGCCAACACAGTTCGCACTATCTCCGCACCGCCTCTTGGTGCCATGGAATACTCTCCACGAATCAGATGACATAGATTTGCCCGGAGTTCCTCGGTCACCTCGTGCACTGCGGGACGAGTGACAACATGTAAAGCTCCCACTCTTTGTCCATATAAGCCAAAGTTCTTAGAAAATGATTGAGCCACACAAAACTCCGGCGTATGCGTATCATTGAAGAAGCGGCGTATAGCCCATGCGTCCTTATTGACATCTCCAGACGCGAAGCCTTGATAAGCAAGATCAAAGAAGGGAATCAGGCCTTTCGCATTGCACAACTTGGCTAACGCTTCCCACTGCTCTTTGCTTGGGTCCGCACCAGTGGGATTGTGTGCGCAGGCATGGAGAATCACAATGTCGTTCTTACGTGCGGACTCTGACAAGGTTCGAATTGTGCCTTCAAAATTGAAAGATTGAGAAACACTATCGTAGTATGGATAGGTTTTCCTTTCGACCCCAGCAAGTTCCCAGATTGTATGATGATTAGCCCATGTGGGATCTGGAACCCAAACACATCCTGGTCGAATATTGCGAGCTAGCAATTCTGCACCGAGTCTGTTCGCTCCTGTTCCGGAGACAGTCTGTACCGAGACGACCCGCTTTCTTTGATCTTCTACCATGGCTGGATCACTAGATTTGCCATTTTCAAATCCAAATACAAGGTCAGCTGCGAGTTGAAGGAACTCACGATCGCCTTGGATGGCAAGGTATTCATGTCTGCTGACATTCTTCGCATCGTAGAGCTCTTTTTCAGCATCTTCCACAACCCTCAGAGGCCATGGCGCCCCATATTCAGTGCGATAGACCCCTATTCCAAGGTTGACTTTGTGCGGATGGCTGTCTTGGATATACGCGCCATTGACGGAAAAGGGCTCGTCGAGTGGAGTTGATGGAAGGCTCGAGAATAATGAAGTCGTTTGCCGCTTCTGTTGGAAGCTTGGAGCTTCTGAGATGGATCCCATGGTATATTGCTATATTTTCGAAGTCTTTGGTCTGTAATTTTGTTAGAAAATTCATTGTGGGTTCTGTTCAGTAGAATTTATACATTGCTAGAATAAGGAATGGTGGAATTGCTCATTGTTCAAATACCCGTTCCCAGCCGCCATAATCCGGCTCGATCCGCCGGGGATGGTGGAGCGCTACTCGAGAGAGCGAAGAACGAAACTAGAATTGCGTAGAAGTAAGTAAGGAAAAAAGATATGGGCAAGCACCTATCATACGTCACCATCTTCCTTAGGTATATCGGATTCTTATCGTGGTCCAAGCATGTATCATGTGGTTAGGCAAGGCCTTCAACTGCCTCCGCCGATCTCCTTGTAGTCCACTGCAGCCCGTCATGATTGACCTTGTGGTCGGCTTAGCCTGCACTGTTCCCGATGGGCCAAAGTTTCTCGAGTTCCATCAATAAATTAAGGAGTTTTGCCTTCTATGGAAAATGCAGATGGTGTACAGCATTTACGAGACGGGGATTGCATTTGCGAATATATCTATCATGGAACAATGTTCGTATGCGTACCACAGCCGACCTGAATATTTGTAAAGAGCTGAGCCCAGGCTTGCATACCGAGTTAGACTAAGGGAAGATCAAAGGAAGTGCCCTTATTGTACGAGTAATTCAATTGGAGCTACTCGCTACCATAATTTACCTGCCTTCAGCAAAGATACAGAAAACATAATATAAAGCCTCATAGATCGCCAGGACCCGGACAATAATCCTCACTAAGAACAGTTACCTGTCTTTACACTCTCCATACTAGTTACAGCCAGTGGTGTCTGTTTAGATGTACTCCCAAGCAAGGTGCTCTGAAGAAATGTTCAGACCAATAGCCATAGCCTCGAAGCCAAGGCAGTCATCCACATTGCCAGTAGGAACAGTCGCGTTCTGCAGCGCGGCAAAGACCTGCCAGCGATTGGCAGCAGAGGGAGCCTGGCGGCGAATATGACGAGCAGCAACGGTAGAGTTAGCCGGAGCAGGGCAAGCCATGAAGCCCGAGGCACTCTGGCCAGTGTAGGTCCAGGTACCGAGGGACTGGCCGGGGGTGTACTTGAAGGGGCCCTGAGACGATCCAGGGGGAATGTAGGCCGAGTGAGGAGTTGTGAAGCTCAGGGCGCCATTGCGGTCAACATAGATGCTCTGACCACCGGGTACAACGACATCCTGATGACATATTTTAGTTGAATGAATCTATACAGATGCTTCTTTGGTTGAGCAATGACATACCAGGGCGTTCTGGGCAAAGATGATGGTGTCGTTGGTACCCTTGGCGCAGTCGGGGACGACATCAGGGCAGTAGGTCTGGCTCTTTCCACCGAGCCAGAACTTGCTGCCAGCAGCAGTCAAAGGCAAGAAGTGGATGGGCGAGCCGGAGCGAGCAGCAGTGACACCGAAGGCACCATTGGAATCCTTAGTAGCTGAGCGAGAGCCGGGGAGAGCAGCAGCCAGGGGAATGAGGGACAGAAGTGCTGAGACCTTCATTGTGAATGAGCGAATAATAAATTCTTTGGTAAAGACTGATTTGGTTGGTATTGCAAAAGTCAGATAACAGTGCTGTCTGATGAATATGCCGGCGCCGGACCGATGTGAACAGGAGACGAAGTTTTTATATGTGAACTCCATCTACTGGACCCTTCTATGGGCCGTTCAGGGTCTTCGTCTCAAAAGTGATCGACATTCGCCTACAGCAATAGTCGCTGCGACGGTACCACTGAAATAGTACCAGGAGTTGATATCATTGCTCCGCCATGTGGAGTAGCTTTACATCTATCAAAGCGGGCGCCGAGCCACCATGTACCCACAGGATGTGTTGGGAGTCTCAATGCTGGGAATAGCGCAGATTTGAAGGGTCCTCGTGTCCAATGAGCTGGCGTTGATTCCTGCAGATTCTGTCCATAGTCAGTATCCTTGAAGTTTTCTTTCCAGGTACATACTGCAATCCCCTATGGAGGGAATTGCTCTTGAAACAACGATGCATAATTCCCCACCGATAGTGTTAGAGGATCGACAGCCACGGACCAGGACAACGGCGCTCGATGGGGTAGGAATGCCACAAGACCGAAGAGACACGGCAACGCGATTGATGTTCTCCATCAAAATTCTGCAGTAGGAAGGTAAGTTGGATGTTGATTGATGAAGGCAGAACATAATCAGCGCATCTGGTCTCGAACCCGATCAGAATTTGCCTCAAGAGATCTATTCGAGGACCCTGAAAGGTGGATCGTTTCAGCCAAATCAACTTGATACAGATAGGAGTAATGATCGACGGCTGTTGCGGTGGAAAACTCCACCCTGCTCTACTGCCAGTATCGCTATCAGGAGATCGAAGAACGAGGAAAGACGCATGCTTTTGCCTACAATGATAATACAGTCGTCGAAGATAGTTTTCAATGTGATTGAATGTGTCTCTATCATATTTCTGGCAAAAATCTCGGCACAAATTGAGCTTGTCTCCACCGGCCCACCAGATGTCTCGGAGGGGGGAGTAATTGACATCACTGAGCGGTGATGTCGTCCGATCATTCATACGAATGAAAATACGGACACCTCCGTACCAGTCCAGGAAAATGATGATCGGTGATCAAGTGGTACAATGAGCAGATCGTGGATTACTCAGAGTGTTGACGCTGGACAGTGGAGAATAACCGGTCTCGAAGCAATTTGTCTGTGACAGGAAACGAAGCGATCGACAGCCGCCCTGTTAGCCGAACGGAGACTCCTCCATTAGCACCGCCACAGGGAGGAAGACCCTCTTGCCAGACATGATGTTGGAAGAGGGGCGTTGAGGAGGCAGCAACAATAGAAACTTAGATGAAAGTGGGACGGGACAATGTTGGGAATCAGCCACCGCCGTCGGAATAAGCTCTACCGTGATGAAATTAAAGTCAGCTCAAAGACAGCCACCTCGTTGACCGAACTATAATTAGTGAGCAGTATAGGAGTGGAAGCTCTCAATTATTTAAGAATGAAACTTGCGTCTGCGCGCATATATAGCCCGATTCTGTGCCTCTATTCCAGAATGACCAACCCGTCTATGTACAATACACTGATATCCGAAAGATCCCATCGCTGATGTGCAAAGCCCAACGCCGACAAAATAGCAATAAAAATGGCAAGCCGTCGTCTAATGAAAGACAATGTTTACAGGAGAACTCAAAACTCCGCAACAAGCGGCAGATCCCGAGAGCTCCGTCCAGCCCAGATACGGAATGTGCCTTCAATCGGCATCACCCAATTCTGAGCTCGCACGCTCCAATAACTGAGATCCTTTCGGGACAAGGTCATCCGGACGGTAGTGCTCTCACCAGGCTCAAGAGAAATCTTGGTGAAATTCCGGAGGACGCGATCGGGGAACTCAATGCTCTCTCGGGACTGGCCCAAGCCGCGATGTTCCGCCACACGTTCAGGGAAGGAAAGGTAGATCTGCACGACCTCTTTACCAGGTCGCTGGCCAGTGTTGCTAACCTGAACGGAGACCGCCAGCATTTCTTCGTAGAGAGAAGGGTTACCACCCGCTCCGCCGCCTGCGTCGGAGGGGTGCTGGCGCTTCTTATACCCTTCGGGGTAAGGGTAGGAACCAGGTTTGGTCCCAGCTCGGTCGCGGGTGTAGGGGTAGATGTACTTTGACAGGGCTTTGATACCAGCGGGGAATCTAGTTGAAGACTCTGTTGGTGGTTTGGTATCGTACTGCGGGGGTTCAATCTCGTTCTGTGGGCGTTCGGAAGGGAGACGAGCTTTTTCTTGCAGAGGCTGGACCAGAAGGGACGAGATATTAAAGGTGGTATATGACAAGCCAAACCCGAATTCGTAGCGCGGAGTAATATTGTTTCTGTCGAAATACCGATAATCAATGAAGAGGCCCTGATCAAAGGTGATCTCTGGCTGCCTGTCTCTCGTATCGTAAAGCACTTTAGCATTGGGACCATAATCATCGAGCGATCGGCCAATCGTATAAGGCAGCCGGCCACTAGCATCAACGTCGCCAAAGAGAACATCTGCCAAGGCGTTGCCACTCTCTTGTCCGGGTAGGTTGGCGTAGAGAACTGCATGTACTCCGGGCAGATCGATCCATGACTCCATCACAACAGGGCCGATAGAATGTAAAACCACAACGGTCTTCCCCTGGCCACCACCGCAATGCGTGGCCACACGCTCAATAAGTTTGGCGCCGCTGTGTTGCAAGTCAAGATCGTTACGGTCTCCAAAGATCTCATCGTCGTGAAGGAAGCCCTCGCCTCCGTCGGAGTTCGCAAAGACAAGACAGAGATCCTGATCTACCAGGTTCTTCAGCGCAACGTCATTCCCCAGGAATCCTCGCACATCACTCGTCTCCGAATGCCACGCACGCTGCAGGGCTTCCCAAGGACTGACGAGATACGGGAGCTCTACTGCACCGCTTCCCCAGCCAGAACCCAGGGTACCTTGGTTGCAGCCACGATCGGCACAAATATTAGGACCTTCGCCAGGACCAGCGTCCTCGCCATAAATGCCGACACGATAGGCTCCTTCCGGGCCGGTAGCACTGCGGGAGAGAGGGAGAGTACCGTTGACGTTTTTTAAGAGAACAGTTCCTTCCGCGGCTACTTTTCGAGCCACGAGGGAGTGTGGAAGCGACGTGGACCCTGTGGCTTGCGCATTCACATAGTGATTGACCACCTCATGCGTGTCGTCATCTTCGCTCCCGGGATGAAGCCCTCCCATTTTCTCGTTAGTCCACGAAGAAAAGTTCGGTCCACCTTTTCCCAAGGGCGGAGGTTGGTCCCATGAGTCCTGGCGGAAGTGATACCAGGCTGCAACGATACGGGTGACCATGTCGTTGATGCGCTCCATGGGTACTGAGGTGTTGAGAGCGGCTTGTGTCAAACGCATGCCCCAGAAGGAATCCCCATCTGTCCAGCGTGCGCCGTCACCGGGCATACTCATGTCAAGGCCACTCAATGCACTTTGTACACCAGAACGTTGAGCAAGCCAGTCAGACTGCACAAAGCCTTGAAAGCCGAGTTCATCCTTGAGAATGCCATTGATCAGCTTGCTGTTTTCACAAGCATAGCTGTTGTTGACTTTCTGGTAAGAGCACATGACACTCGCAACATCGGCACGTACACTCTCGGCGAAAGGCCAGGCGAAGACTTCGTGGATAGCACGGTCATCGACGTTAGAAGAGATGGCATTTTCGTTACCCCATTCATTAGCCTGGCGATAATGTTCCTGTTCGTTCATCAAGAAGTGTTTGGCTGTCGCCATCACGCCGTTCCGCTGAATGCCACGAATAGTCTGTGCAGCAGCCACACCCTGAAGCACAGGGTCGGATCCGAAGCCCTCCCAGTTACGACCACCAGCAGGCATCATTCCCAAAGGCCCCATAGCCGGCCCCAAAATGACATTGACCCCCTTCGCACGCGCCTCCTTCCCCAGCGCAAATCCTCGTTCAAACATGAGTTCACGATTCCAGGTTGCCCCCGTGGTGATCCCAGCCGGGAAAGCGGTGATATTATCCGCAAAGCGAAGGCCAAGAGGACCATCCTGCAGACAGAGTGCGGGGAATTGGACATATTCGGCGGGTCCGGTATTTCCAACGCAAAGTCCCATCTGCCATCCTGTCCCAGTTGTGATGTTCACTTTCTCCACCAGTTCCATGCGTTCCACGAGATCATGGGCCTTGGCATAACTTTCTCTCCACGCGCCATTGGTCCCACCGAGGGGAGTCGGGTACCACGAAACAGGAGACTATATAGGTCAGCAATGAGTCCAATATAGCAGAATCACAAGGCGGCCGTCAAGGCGCTTGGATGTCGCTCAAAATGAACCAGCACTCACATATTCCTTAACAGGTTTCCCACCCATCACCCACGGCAACCCCTTCGTCGCAAGCCACATCACTAGCAATGCAACTGCAACCAGCGGGAAAACATGCCACCAGGCCGTGATGTGTAACAACGATTTTATTCCAGAATTCCAGCATGTTTTCTGATCCTTGTATGGCGGACCTCCGACGCCTTTATGTTTCGGGATCCCATAATCATCGCTTTCTTCGTCGTCAAACATAAGATGTGAGGAGCTATGATGCAGATCTTCATTGAACGTTTCCGACAGTATATCCCGCTCATGATCCAACATGTGCTCGATGGCCTTGGTTACATTGCGCGGTTCGCCGGACTCATCACCGGGAATGGGGCTCGCAGCACTCGCAGAGCTGGGTTCTGGGGTAAATTGGACTCGTTTTCCGCGCGTTTTTGTCTCGACGTTCTTATTGAGTGGTAGGAGCTTCACGTTCGCGTCGTCTTGGGTGGAGGACTCGTCGCCGCTGGAGAAGAGATCATCCAGGTAGGGATCGGGCATTGCACCGCCGGGTCCACGATTGGTGGTGCGTGTCACATCGTCCGGTGTGCTTGAGGGGTGGTCGTCATCAGAAAATTGGTTGTCCAGCGAGTGGTACTCCTGCCGACGCGTATTCGAAGCTCCGGGTCCGGAGCGGGTCGATC